CTGGATTCGGTGGTAGGTAATTGGAAATGTTCACAGAGGATTATTCTATGCTTCAAATTATCGGCGATCTGATTTCACCCGGAAAAGAATATGGGCGGCTCAGCGCAGAATAAGAACCATTGTCAACGCTTCCAACGAGAGGTAACGATACGCGTACAGGCTAGATTACCCCCGAATTCTACTGGGCAAGGCGTTGCGGCGCATGGATGGAGGTCGTGTCGAGGAACGGGACCAAAATGACCAAAATCCTTTTGAATTACGCATTAAGTCAAAAAAAATATGCTAGCTTTTTATACGCGGCCTTTTCATTCAAAACCGTTTAATATCCCAATTATTCATGTCCACTTCCAGTTCAAGTATGTTGTGTCATCCAGTTATATTGTATGCTGTGTACAGTGGTTATACTCCGTCCGGGCCCTCCTTCGACTCTCCCAGTGCTTAGTTTTATCTAGGCCCATATGTAACATCCTTGTGCTCATATAGTACAAGAACTAGTTGTTTCTTCCTCTCTCGTAATTTGCACGTCAAATCTTGACATATAGGTGGATTTGGGGTGGCTAGCGTGGAGATCAATCCAATATATATTTGTATTGCTCGTCTTAGGTTGCGAACGAAAACCATAATATATGAAGAACACAACTAAAAAACCACCATATTATACATGACCACTAATAGTTACTAGCTATTGCCAACCGATTCAATACAAAAAAAATAGCAATCAATTTATAAAACTTCAGTTTCAACGAAGATGATATTGTAGTAATGTAATTCACGTGACACGGCCGACGCCGGGTGAGTCGAGCACTTCCGCATCCTCCAGATACCGACATCTCCCCGAATTCAATCCCGTGTGATAACTCCCAGCAACTTCACAATGGCTGCTGCTATCAAGGCAATCAACGCTAAGATCCGCTCCAACTCGGTGCTGGACTATGTCTGCTCAACCCGTACGTATCGATCCCAGTTTCCTGAAGCGCTTCCCGTCCCGAGATCGGCCAACGGCGAATGAGGCCGAAGGGGAATAAGCACTGGAAGCGACATCGAGGATGGGAAGAAAACGATTTTTTCTCTAGAACTTGCACTTTCGGAAAGCAATAAAGCGCAAATGAACTGTACACAGATTGCTAACAATCAGTGGCGCTTCCTAGACTTCTGGGGCCCCGTCTCCAACTTCGGTATCCCCATTGCCGCTGTGATGGACACACAGAAGGACGCTGAGATGTACGTTTTTATCCAATGAATGATGGGAGCTTCGACTTCCATCTCCTGCGTCTCCCTTGGCTGCAATAGTCTCAGAGCAACTTTACTGATAGCTCTATCTTCATAGCATCTCCGGCCCTATGACCGGTGCCCTCGTTGTCTACGCTGCCACCTTCATGCGCTACTCCCTCGCTATCACCCCCAAGAACTACCTCCTCTTCGCATGCCACTTGACCAACTTCGGTGCCCAGACTACCCAGGGATTCCGTTACCTGAACTACTGGAAGTACGTTTCATCCCCTCGATACCTTGTTTGATTTTTGTCTTTGTCTATAAGTATCATATAATCGTGATTACTAACCTGTTTCTACTTTGCAGGTGGGGAGGCCGGGAAAAGCAGCTCGAGGAGCAGGCTGCTAAGGGCGGCGCAGCCGCCGTGGCCGGTGCTTAAGAATTGTTTCGAGAAGAAATTGGTTGTGATTTTCTTTCGGTTTTCATTGGGGCTAATAAGCTGTCTCGTTTCGCAGCATTGCACCTCCATACACATATGGTCTGCTTGTTTCTGCCCCGAGGCCAGATAAGCCTCGGACAATGATAAAAGAGGAGACATATAGAGGGAGAACTTGCGACTTTGAGGGAGACGCTTAGGTATCGGCGCTGGCTGGGATGTAGTTCCGGTTTGCTGATAGTCACTGTACATAGGCTCTATATTATTGCGCTCGAATCATATTCCTTTTATGGGATACCTTAGTCTTTGATCGTGACAACTTTGAGCTTCGGTGATAGGCTGGGTCTGTTATCCTTGGTTTATTCCTGGTTCGATGAAAATCTAAATAAAGCCCCATGTGTATGATCGAGTAGATAGTCCCCCAAACCAAAAGAAATATGTATACAGAAAGGGCAGTCTGACCCCAAAATTCGCCGACCATACTGACAATTTGACCGAGACTGTGAATGAACATCACAAGTATGCCCTCCGTCCATGTGTTGAAGCAACATATGAAAACCCAATGATATACATGCCAGTCTAGGGTTGAGACATAACAAAGAAATCCAACAAGACCTAACTCGCCACGCTCTACAGTAACCCCAAAAAATAGAAGTTCTTTAATGAGAGTCACAGTATCCTGGGCTTTGAGGGACGTCAGGGCCCATCCAGCTCATGAGGGTCAGGGACGTCGTAAAGACGCAGCATATGGCGCCGAAGACAGCAAGAGTTATGTCGGCAATCGCCTGGCGCTTGGAGCGCGCACAAGCGCGTAGGTGCAGGAGGGGCTGTAGCGATATAATGAGTCAGTCATACCGTTCTGTGGTGATTAGGAGGATACAGGATAAGGACATACCGGGTACACGTAGATCAATGGAACACAAGCAAAGCTTCCGACCAGCGAAACGAACTTGTCTAGATCATTTGCACCACACCAGGCGATAATGGCACAGACCGTAACCAGGAAGAAACGGAAGCCGTTCTTCTTCCACTTGATATATGGGTTGTACTTGCCACTGCGAGTGAAGAGCTCGTTCTCCATAATGCGGATGGCGGGGAAGAGCTGCAACGGAGTGCTCAGCAGGATGGCAAGTGAGTAGAGGAACTGGACAACGTTGACAAATTTATCATCCTGGGGGAGGTTAAGAAGGATGACGGTCTTAGTTGCCGATCCGTAAGCCGCGTAACTCAAGGCACCGGCAGACAGGAAGATAAAGGTGATCACGACCATGACACCGGCAAGAACACCAGGGAACCTTTTTGGTTGCTTCATTGATTCTTGAATCGGGATGATGAGACCGATACCTTCGTAGGTGAAGATGGCGGTTCCGATGAACATAGACCAGGTGGCTGGATTGAAGGAAATGACGTCTGAAATGCCGCCCTGGTCAACCAGAGTGCTGATATCGTAGTAGTAGATATATAGTAGACCCAAAAGAATGAAAACATCAGCAATCAGGGCGGTAAACCCAAGTTTGCTGATGTCCCGAATCAAAGACAAAGGCAAGAAGATGACGAGCTGCAACAAAACCATATACTTGATGTCAATGAATGTCGCGCATTTGCTCACAGCTAGCACGAATGCCTGCAAATTTTGCGAGACGAAGACAATGTACGCTGCGACAAAGCCTAGCTGACTCAGGACAATTGATCCGAGAATGATGCGTCGCATGTGCTTGCCGTATAGAATGCCACCGATGTCACCGAAAGAGCCTTCGATCTTCATGCGAGTATTGACCAAAAGAATGAAGGCGTAATAGCTCAGAATCGAGACTCCCAGAAGCACCATGCTACTGAAGAGCATACCACCATTTAGGAAGGCGCGAGGCAGGAACAAAATACCGGTACCCACAAAGGATTTGAGCAGTAAAAGCACTGCACCTGTTGTGGTAGTAGTCCCTGCCGGTGAGCGCTGCTTGTGCTTTCTCTTCTTCCGACCTGGTGTTTCAGGCGGCAATAGCGCTGCGTCTTCTCCAGACTCTCTGCCCTCCTCTGGCTCCCAGGCATCAGACGAGAAGTACTCGTCCGGCCCTAGCACCTCGTCATCCTCCTCCAATTCTTCTCCGGCAAAGTGTCCATAGAGAGTTAAGAACTCCAAGAAGCTAGTAGTCGGCAGTTGAGGTGCGCTATGTCCATGAGGCGCCCCTGTAGTTGACCCGTGGGTACTTCCGCGGTGTGGACTTCCAGCTGCTCTTCGCAGGTAATCTCTGCGGAACCCTCCTGGAACCCGAATCGTGTCAATGTCTTCCGTATCAGCCTCTGGCCTTGGTCGGCTGACGCTGAAACTCTTGCTGCGCAAGAACCGCCCTGCGGCTTCGGCCTCGGCATCCTCCGCCCAACGGTAAACTTGTCGTGTGATATCACCGCCCTGAAGCTGTAGACTCGAGAAGTTATCCTCACCACCAAGGCTGGTTGCAATTTCCGACTGACTATCTGTGTGTTCCGTGACTAGATGCCGCTTGATAACTTCAGGGTCTTCGTACGGAGCCATGCCCGGGGAGTCAGCTCCATTTTTGGTATCGAAAGAACCATACTGAGAGGTTAAGGGTCGGTTATCTAGAATCGAATGCACCGCAGGGGATCCGTTGTGTCGTGACGGAGCTCCAAATTTCGGCGGCGAACGACCAAGGCTTTCCTGGAGTTGGGATGTAATGATAGAATGACCAGGACCGGGGACCGAGGACGGATTGCCAATTGACCTGGAAAACTCTTGCTCGGTGGTGATATTTGTGACAGGTCGGCTGGCCGGAATACCCTGTCGAGACGACAAGGATGTTCCCAATGAAGGGGAGGGCACTGGGGATGCGAGGCGTGCCATGGAAGCCTGCCTATTACCGAACTCTGGTGCGGGGGACCTCGAGCGCACCGAGGACGAGGCTGCTATCGGAACAGACCGAGGTGGATTTAGGGACGAGCTCTCTCCATTATCCGCCATTTTGAAGGTGGCCTCAGGGTCAAGTTAGCTCCTGACAGGGTGCTGTGTTTAGACTAGGGGAATAGGCATGGAAATAAGGCCGGACGGTTGAAATAACAGTGCAGGTCAGCTTCTCGGAGGGAATATTCAGATGAAAAGGCCAAGATGTAACTGAGGAGGGTTTGAGACACTAATAATAGCGCCAAGCGGCAGATCAGCTCCAAGTGCGGATGGGATGCAAACTGGAAATTGTTTGCACCCCATCAACGTCATTTACTGATACTGATACAGCCATCTCTTTTGTAGACTCAATGGTCTTGCTGGGACTATTGGCTTCTGTTATCTAAACCATTTTGTTGTTTATGCCCTCATGTTCATACCATAAATTTTGCAACTGATATGGCGAAACGAGTCGGAGAATCCTCCGACTCCTTGTCTCGGCGACGCCCAACTTTCGCGACTCGAACTGCTCAAGAGGATGTCTCACGTCTCGACCCGGGGGACTCGGCCCATGCTATCTCCGACGAACGTACTCGCCTGCTACCCTGGCCACCGACTCAATGGGCCCGTCCGTATGAGCCCGTGAATTCGTCAGAACCAACCGAGGACCAACGCCATTCCTCACCCATGAATTACTTCCGGGGAATTTCTCGGTGGTGGCATAACGGAGGGGACCACGATCAAGAACAGCAGACCAGTGGAGACACCACTTCACAAAATGTGTACCTGTCTGCGGATCCTCTCCTTGACCCCCGCGCTGATAAGAAGGACAAGAGTGGACATCGATCCCGATCGGTGGATGAGCCGAAGAAGCTTGGTACATTCTCAGGTGTCTTTGTTCCAACGACATTGAATGTCCTGAGCATTCTTATGTTCCTTAGGTTCGGATTCATCCTGGGACAAGCTGGTGTATTGGGCATATTAGGTGAGCATACGTCCTCACAAAGTCAGGATCCCACTTCTGATACATTAAAGGGCTGCTACTTGTATCATACACAATCAACCTCGTGACAACGATGTCTCTGTCCGCAATCGCAACGAACGGGACGGTCCGAGGCGGTGGTGCCTACTACCTTATTTCTAGATCTCTGGGCCCCGAATTTGGTGGCTCCATCGGCATTGTATTCTATCTTGGTTATGTGTTCAATACGGGCATGAATGCTGTTGGCTTAGTGGACTGTTTTACTCAGAACTTTGGGATGCAGTCTGGGGACTGGGCCAACTTCTTGCAGGAAGGCTTTTGGTGGCAGTACCTATGGGGAACTATTATACTGGTATTCTGCACGGGTATTTGCTTGGCAGGAAGTTCCATATTTGCGAGGGCAAGTAACGGGCTTTTGGTCATACTACTCGTGGCAACCTTCAGCATACCGCTCTCTGCAGTTTTTATGAAGCCTTTCTCAATCCCTCGCCAGGGCGTGGAGTTCACGGGACTTCGTTTGAAAACTTTGATGGGGAATCTTAAACCTCATCTAACCAAGGGAGCTGCAGGAAGCCAAATAAAAGGACGAGAGAACTTCCAAGATCTATTTGGCATCCTATTTCCTGCCACTGGAGGTATTTTTGCGTAAGTTGGCGACATCAGACTTTCAACCCCATTTCACTAATTGGCCATTAGAGGTGCAAGTATGTCCGGTGACTTGAAGAACCCGAGCAAGGCTATTCCTAAGGGCACACTCTCGGGTTTGGCCTTGACCTTTGTCGCCTATGGGCTTGTCATCTTTGCGATGGCGGCCTCGGTGACCCGGGAGTCTTTTTATAACAACGTGAATGTTATACAAATCGTAAGTTTTTAGAGACAAAAACTACCAGCACGCTCTAATTGAGTGTAGGTCAATGCTTCTGATAGTGTGATCCTTCTCGGAGAATTCGCAACCAGTTTCTTTTCCGCCCTGATGGGTGTGATTGGATCTGCTAAACTTCTTCAAGCTATAGCGCGAGATAGCCTCTTGCCTGGCATGGGAATCTTTGCCCAAGGCGCGCAGAAAACCGATGATCCCGTATATGCCATCATTGTGACCTTTGTGTTTGCCCAGGTCACAATGCTTTTCGACATCAATCGCATCGCATCTTTTGTTACCATGACCTACTTGATGACGTTCCTTGTGACGAATCTCGCGTGTTTCCTCTTGAAAATTGGCTCTGCACCCAACTTTCGTCCGTCGTTCCATTACTTCAACTGGCAGACTGCAGCGGCTGGAACGCTCGTCAGTGGGATCAGCATGTTTTTTGTAGATGGAGTTTACGCTACGGGATGTGTAGGCATCCTGGTGTTTCTCTTCCTGCTGATCCATTATACCTCGCCACCCAAGCCTTGGGGCGATGTCAGTCAAAGTCTGATCTATCATCAAGTCCGAAAATACTTGCTTCGCCTGCGTCAGGAGCACGTCAAGTTCTGGCGTCCTCAGATCCTGCTCTTTGTCAGCGACCTCGACAGGCAATACAAGATGGTTTCATTCTGCAACTCGTTGAAAAAAGGATCTCTGTTTGTACTAGCTCATGTTCTTGTGACCGATGACTTTTCAGCAGCTGTCCCCGAAGCACGTCGCCAACAGACAGCATGGACAAAATTTGTCGAGTATTCCAAGATCAAAGCCTTCGTCAACATTGCCGTTTCCCCCGCTGCGGAATGGGGTATGCGAAATATTGTCTTGAATTCCGGACTGGGCGGCATGCGACCTAACATCGTTGTGATCGACCAATTCCGATCTGACCAGTCGCTTGTCGAAACCTTATCTTTGAACAGTGGTCGCAAAGACTCGAGGTCTAGACGCCATTCGAGCACGCGAACCGAGGAGTCCAGCGAGTCTGGGCCGGCAAACCCGCCCATGAGCGGGCAGAGTTATGTCACAATCCTCGAAGACCTATTGTTCAAGCTTCGGATCAATGTTGCTGTAGCTAAGGGATTCGAAGACCTGGAGCTACCAGACCCCGGCGGTCGCCACACTAAGAAGTATATTGACTTGTGGCCGATCCAAATGTCCGCCGAGCTTGGGGCTGACAGTGAAAGCAAGCAAAATGTGCTGACCACTAATTTTGACACATACACTTTGATCCTTCAGCTGGGTTGTATTCTTAACACCGTTCCCTCGTGGAAGAAGACATACAAAATCCGAGTTGCGGTGTTCGTGGAGTACGAGACCGACGTGGAAGATGAAAGAGGGCGAGTTGAGGCTCTCCTTGACAAATTACGGATCGAAGCCGAAGTCTTGGTCTTCTGGCTTGCATGTGGTGATCTCCAGGCTTACCAAACCATCGTGAATGGCGACACTTCGGTTATAGCTGATGCACGAGAGAGGGTTAATTCTGCTCTACAGGGGGAGGACTGGTGGCAAGGGGTCTTACGAGCTCGTGCCCTAGACCAAGACCCGCAGGATTCGGATAGAACCAGTGACAGTTTCCATCTTGATAGGTCATATACATGGCAAGGACCATCGAGCCAAGACAGCGGAGCCAAACCTTTGCACCATCGAGTGACTGGCTTGAGGAAACTGATCCAGTCTACTCGTCGCAGACGATCTGTCTCCAGCTTCCGGGCTCTAGGAGGAGTGAACCTCGGCATGCAAACGCATCGCTTGCTAGATGCGTTCGTCGACTACGACAGCTCCGATAACTCGACTGAGGAAGACAGTGACCTAGAGGCGTATGTCAGCGACCCAGAACCAGAGGACGGCGGAGAGGACATAGTCAGCGCTCGAAATGAGGCTGTACCCGTTTCCGGCTCTTCAAGACTCCTTGGCCGGTCCAAGACCGATGATTGCAGCCCTAGCGCAGACTCCCCTAGCACACCATCCAACCAGATAATCCCATCCATAATTGAGCCTGGCGACGATGCTTCCCCCAAAAGCAAACCTTCAGGTCTACGGCCCCCCATTAGCCGTTCTGCTTCCAGCAATCGGTTCAGCTCCTCGCCCATCCCCGAAGCCAAAGTGAACACTGAAGCTGAGGAGGGTAATGGACCGTCTATCATGTTTGCGGCGCAAAACTCACCTCCACGATTTGCAAACAAGCTAGATTCTATCTACGCTCGTCGCCCATCTGCCGTGTCTCCCCCCTCCCCTGGTGCCCCAAGCAGTCCATATGCACATACAACAGGATACCCTGGTGTAGCATCGGTCCCACTGTCTTTCAATGATCTCCCGAGTCGAGCACAGCATTTGATTCTGAACGAGTTGATGGTCCAGCAGACAGGTGATACCGCCGTTATCTTCACGACTCTGCCGTCTCCCGTGGAGGGAACTTCGCTTAGCGCGGATGACAGTGCGTCTTATTTGAGCGATTTGGACGTGCTATTGAACGGCTTGCCCCCATGTCTACTGGTGCACAGTAATAGCATGACCGTGACGATGAATTTGTGATGAATACATGACGGCGAATTATACAGAACTGTACATAGCACACGCTAGATTTTTCATTTTCAGTCTTAGATTCAATGTTGTTAGAAGTATGTATTTGACAGTAATGTTAACCCATGCACATACTTATTCTATTTAGCTATCAGATTCAAAAGATACATATGTAGAGACTACCTGGTGTAAATAGGTATAAATCCCAGACACAAAGGCATAGAGCTGATCATCCCGGCGCTACTGCACGCCACAAAATCTCTGCACTTGTTATATTATTGTACGAAAAACCAGATGAATTGTAAATATAAGGGGGATAATATACAAGTAAGACCTAAGACCCAATAGTTAAGGCTAAATAGAACAATCTAGTACTCAAGTAAAATTAATATGACCAATTGGTATTGTTGTGGCTGTGATTGGGTCATTCCCTCTCTCGTTCCCTGGTATACCCAGTAGCTTCGAGCACTTCTCCCCCAACTTCTCCAGGGCTACTCCATTGCTTACCTTGGTACTCCAGATAACTTGGCTATCTGGCTAGTTTGGCTATTTTGGCTATTCTACTCATTCTTTACTTTTCTCAACTTTTCTTCTATTTCTATTTTAATTCCTAAAACTTCGCCCCTTTGTTGCCCAAATTCCAATCCCGCCTGTCCGCCTATCATGACCGAGAATGCAACGCGCCCATTGAACGGTATGAGTGCCAACCTGGTTTCACGTCGTACGGTCGACTTTCATCCCGAAAGCACGGTCAAAGTGCTCCCTATCCACCCTAAGGGTGTTGACGATAGCTCCGACAGCGCCTCCGTCTCCTCCGCCTCAGAAACACACGAAGCGATCACTACAGGGGAGCGAAAGCGGCCGATAATGACTCGCAAAGCCTCTTCGCCTATGGCGCCCACCTTCATGGTGTCCGCGCCGGGCAAGGTTATCGTCTTTGGCGAGCATGCTGTGGTCCACGGCAAGGCTGCTATGGCCGCAGCTATCTCTCTTCGCTCCTACCTTCTTGTCACTACCCTCTCTAAATCACAGCGCACGATAACGTTGAACTTCCGGGACTTAGGTCTTAGTCACACTTGGGATATTGACACCCTACCCTGGGACAAGTTCCACGAGCCGTCAAAAAAGAAGTTTTACTACAGCCTTGTCACCGAACTCGACCCAGAACTTGTCGACGCAATCGAACCGCACCTCCAGGGCGTCTCTAAGGGCCTCCCAGAGGAGCAGCGCAACATCCACATCCGCTCCGCATCCTCATTCCTCTACCTCTTCCTCTCCCTAGGCTCCCCGCAAAGTCCAGGCGCCATCTACACTCTTCGATCCACCATCCCTACCGGAGCTGGCCTAGGCAGTAGTGCTAGTGTCTGCGTCTGTCTTAGTTCTGCGCTGCTTCTTCAAATCCGCACTCTCGCCGGGCCCCACCCAGACCAGCCGCCGGAGGAGGCAGAGACACAGATCGAGCGTATCAACCGCTGGGCATTCGTTGGAGAGCTCTGTATTCATGGCAATCCTAGCGGGGTGGACAACACAGTAGCCGCGGGCGGCAAGGCTGTGATTTTCCGGCGCGACGATTATACGAAGCCTCCAACAGTCATCTCGCTGCCCAATTTCCCTGAACTCCCTCTCCTACTTGTTAACACCCAACAAGCGCGTTCCACAAAGACAGAAGTCGACAAAGTCGGAGCTCTAAGAGATGCCCATCCTATCGTGACGGAGTCAATACTTAACGGCATCGATCAAGTCACACGCTCTGCACAACGTTTAATCGAGGACCCTAGTCTCGAAGGCATCTGTGACACCACCCTCGCCCACTTCGGAACCCTGATCCGTATCAACCACGGCTTCCTTGTCTCCCTGGGCGTCTCTCACCCCCGTCTTGAACGCATTCGTGAACTGGTCGATTACGCCGACATCGGCTGGACAAAGCTGACCGGTGCAGGCGGTGGGGGATGTGCGATTACCCTCCTCCGGCCCAATGCGAAGGCGGAAGTCAAGCAGGACCTCGAACAAAAGTTCGATGAGGAAGGTTTCACTACGTACGAGGTTACCCTCGGCGGTGACGGTGTTGGTGTTCTCTACCCGGCTGTCCTACGCAATGGTTCGGACGAAGAGGGTGGCGAGGAGATCGATCAACAGAAGTTCGAAAATGCCGAGGGCCCTGAGGGTATTGAGCGTCTTGTTGGTGTCGGAGTGGAGGAGAGGAGAGAGGGCTGGAAATTCTGGAAGCGAGCTTCGAATTAAACCGCTTGTCTTGGCCAAACATGTGACACAGATCTCTCCTTGTTTTCCTCCTACCCGGGAGCCTCACCACCTTCTCCGGTCCAATTTGGCAAAGCCTTTTCTTTCCAGCCATTCAGGTCAAGACTTTCGTTCTGTCTTGGTTTTGATTCGACCTCAAACCCTGGCTCGGACCTTCTTTTCCCCCATTCATCTCCCATTCTCTGTACACATCATCCTTATCCACCATATGCATTATAAACCCACTTCTTTCTTCTTCGTCCTTATTTTCGGTGTCAACCTGATCTTTTACCTTGTTGGGTTTTGTCGTGGACTTCACCATCCTCGTTCATCTCCGTCCCTGTTCGGATTCTGGTTCTGATTCTCTTTGTTACCCTTTTCCTCGCTTCATTCAACTTTTGTTCCGGGCTTTCTCTTTACGTGAAATAGATTGACGACATGGCTGTGGAAGAACTGCTTACCTAGATCAGTTCGGGCTCTCTAATACATCAATCACATAATAGCTCTACTCGGTAGAACTTGCTTCTATTGCCCATGTAAAGTGCCCAAACAAAACACAGAGACTCCAAACCCCACCGAAGTGAGAGATGCAGCCAGATCCGCATGCCTAAGTCCTATAGAGGGCAGTAGGGTGACTGGTAATAGCTTCATTTTTATGGAACCACCCTTTGGTTGATGGAACGGAAAAAAAGGCCAGTGTGCATACCAGACAAGAAAGGTGAGAAGGGTGAGGAAGAAGGAAGAAGCAAGCTGCGAGAGAAATCTCGGTATATATAACCTCTATTCTTACATCCCAACTTTGGTATGGTTTTGGGATGGTTTCTGCCTGGCCAAAAGAAAATAAGAAAGCCCCGGGCGCAGAGACGTTGCTTGCGATGAGTGCGGATATTGCAACCGCACGCTCTACCAAATGATCTAGCGGTGCTCTTATTGGAGAAGAGTAATTCAAGTTGTCTTCTGGTAAGTCACCATGTATACCCGCAGGACTGTTCACCTTGCAGGAGAGGTGAGGTGCTCTGTTGTAAAGCCTACAGGAGGGTCGGAATCAATCCAGAGACGTATGGAAAATGTGCCGCTTTACTAGGTTGCTCCAGGTTGCTCCAGGTTGCTCCAGGTTGCTCCAGGCTGCTCCAATGCCAATTATTGAACACAGCATGCCACACAATACTGTATCCATGGATGGTTACAGGTGCTAAGTAAAATCAACGAGGCTAACCAATGAGATGACACTAGAATCTTCAAAGCTTGTTCATAGATTCTTAATATTCTTCCACAAGGCTTCGCTGGCCCTGATGCAATGCCATGGGGATCTTCTCCAAGCACCTAGCTGCAGCAGCAAAGAAGCCGAGGAAGACCTTACTCGGCCGCAACACATGGCTCAAGTATTCAGGGTGGAATTGCACACCGACAAAAAAGGGATGATCACGGATCTCGACAATCTCGATACGTTTGCCGGTAGCATCTTTGCCAACAACAGCAAGACCGGCCTTCTCAAGCTCGTCAACTATTTCCGGGTTGATTTCGTACCGGTTACGGTGACGCTCCTCAATCTGGGAAATCGTGGGGCCATACAACGATCGCAACTTCGACCACTCGGTATCATCCTTGAAGATGCATGGATGCTTGCCCAGACGCATGGTGTCACTGCCGCTTTCCTGATTATGTCCAGGCATGTAAATGATAACATGGTTCGTGGATTCCGGGTGGAGCTCTTGGCTCCCAGCGTCCGGGATACCCATGACATGGCGGGCATATTCAACTACTGCGAGTTGCATGCCAAGGCATATACCTAGGAATGGCTTTTTATTAATCCTTGCCCATGTGATAGCCTTGATTATCCCGCCGGTGGCGCGAGTCCCAAAGCCACCAGGCACGACAATGCCCTTGACGCTACAGAGATCATGCCAGGCTTTGTGAAACTTGACTGCAGAGTTTTGATACGTCTCGTCCTCGAGATGCGCGGCGTCAATCCATACGATTTTGACTTTCTTGTGGCAGTACATGGCCGCGTGTTCGATTGACTTTGAGACACTGAGGTAGGCGTCTTTATTGGAGGTGTATTTTCCCACAAGGGCGATTGAGACTGTGTCGGTGATGGTATCCTGACTTCGAACAAGATGAACCCAGTCATTCCACATGCGCTTGCCTTGTTCTATGTGCTGGGTGGGTGTTCGATCAAGTGGAAGTTCGAGGTACTCGCAGAGAATGCTGAGGAGATTTTGTTTCTCGAGGAGAAGGGGTACGTTGTATGTAGTTGATCCGTCGTGTACGGAAATGACTTGTTCTGGCTCCATTGCGCACATATTGGCGATTTTCTGGATGGTACCTGGATCCAACGGCACCTCGCAGCGGCAGGCAACCTTTTATTGATTAGCTTAACTAGTACATGAGATGTATAGAGTGATGGCATACTAGAAGTGGACTCAATCCAGTGCTCCGAACGTCGGCTATGGATCTTTGAGTCGGCTTCGTCTTTTGCTCACCAAAAGTTCCTGGCCTAGCCTGATGTTAGCTTACAGCAGTGTAAATTTCGATAAGAAGAGCTTACGGCACGACAGGGACATAAGCTACGTGGATTTGAACGAAATTCTCTTTGCCGACCCTTTTTCGAAGCTGAGCAAGCGCGTAGATAAAGGGAGAACTCTCGATATCGCCGACGGTCCCGCCTAGCTCAATAATACACACATCAGGCTCGGTTTGGGACTCGTCCACAGGTATCTTTGCTGTCCGTTCGATGTATTCCTGGATGGCGTTGGTGACATGAGGTACCACCTGAACAGTTTTGCCTAAATAATCACCGGCCCGTTCCCTAGAGATGATGTCTAGATAGATCTTCCCTGTCGTGATGTTATGACCACGTTGGAGAGTAGTTGCAAGGTAACGCTCGTAGTTGCCAAGGTCAAGATTTACCTCACCCCCATCCTCCGTCACATAGATCTCTCCATGGCTAAATCAGTCAGTGTATAGGCCCGCAGGCATCAGCTCGGCGGGACTTACTGGAGTGGGCTCATAGTCCCCGAATCGATGTTGATGTAGGGGTCTATCTTGATGGTGCTGACGATAAACCCTTTACTTTGTAGTAGCAGACCTGCGCTCGAAGCGACGATGCCCTTCCCTGCCCCAGAGATGACGCCTAGCAATGTCAGTTTCATATCTCTTATACATAGTACCTCGAAACGGAGACTGCCCCGCTTTTCTCCACGGGCTAACGGTGGAGCCAGTTCTGGCAGATCACCGTTAAACTCACCTCCAGATACCACGATGTACTTCATCTTCGCACTATGAGACTCTTAAGTAGGATAAGAATATTGATGAAAAACAAAAGCAAGATAGAGAGAGAAGAAAGCTAATCCCGATTTGGAAACCTTTATATATGACATGTGAAGTGGCAGATCAGACACCGCCTTCATCTTTAGACAGCCTCTTTTTTCAGCCTCTTCTTTGGTCATCCTTTTTGTTATCAGAAGTGAGAGGTTAACAAAGCAAGAGAAATCAATCTGCTAAGTGTCCATACATACAACTAGGAAGACTTGTTGTTCGCCTGAATTCTAAGGCAGAATTAGGATAGGCAACACAATATCGTACATCGTGCAACGGTATAAACTCCAAGTACCATCGGTTGAACTTCGATATCAGTATTCCTTTTGATTACGCAGATCAGGGATGTTCAGGGATTCGACCTCGGGATGATGATGTGCTTAGTTACCAGCCCTAATACCCCGATCCGAATTAAAACACGACCTTGGGAGTATCCGACGTCATGACTTCTCTCAGCCGTCAATGCCCAATACACACCGTACACAACGCATGACGTAGGAAGAAGGCAACGATTAATTGTATAAGAAATTTGAGAGCATGATCCAGTGAAAATTCGGGCTACGAAAATGCCTCAAAGATGCTCGTCGTGATTGGACTTGCCTCCTAGATCCAACCTTGGAAGCTTCATGACCTGCCCCACACACGACGACGATCTCCATCTTAGGGTCCATGACGCCTCTTGTGGAGAACTTCTATCAGGCCAGGTCCAACACGAACGAATCACACCTCACAGTCATAAATCATCCCGTCCATGACAGGGGCAGTGCTTTTTGGAAAAGCTTGACTTTCTAGCATGGCTTTTTACTAACTCTCCACTCCGCGCCTTTTTGCTATACAATACTTTCCATACATTCTGACTCGTAATGAAGTCTGAATCTGTGACATTGACATGCGCCGGTCTTGCGACATCTATCGCTTTGGCTACATGCCTAACAGGCGCGCTGGCTGGAGGGAATAGTCCGGCTGAAAGGAATAATTCGACTGTTCCGGTCAGTCTGACAGTCGCAACGGAGGGTGGTAACAAGTCGAGTCCGCTTCTCTATGGAGTTATGTTCGAGGTGAGTAACAAGCTAGCTCCATGCGCAAGTGGCCATATCGCTGACCTTTGATATTGTCAGGAAATGGACCATTCTGGTAGGGAACTCGAACTTTTTGATCACGTCATGAGCATTACTAACTATTCCAAGGCGATGGTGGAATCCATGGACAATTGCTGCAGAACAATGGATTCCAAGGAACTAGTCTGGGTTTGACTGCCTACGCTCCGGTAGGGAATGTGACAATCCTCCAGGATACCTCAAAGCCTGTCAGCAAAGCAATTACGTCTTCACTCAATGTTGAAGTACCGGATGGGGTAAAAGACTATGTTGGCTTTGCCAATACCGGTTACAACGGAATTCCAGTCACGGGCGCCACATACAACTGTTCATTCTGGATGATGGGTACCTACTCGGGGACTATCAACCTGCAGCTTGTTGGGTCGCATAGTGGCTCGATATATGCCGATCACAACTTGACTGTGAAGAGTACGGATACAAAATTCACCGAATTCAAAACCAGCTTCGACACCACTTATGCACCAGAAGGAACCAATGAGTGGCATTTGACATTCGATGGATCGAAAGTTGCCGGTAGCTCGTTGAACTTTGGCTTAATCCAGCTATTTCCTCCCACTTTCAAAGGAAGAGAAAATGGGTTACGAGATAACCTTGCATTGTTTCTGGACGAGGTCAATCCGGCATTTCTCCGGTTCCCGGGCGGGAATAACCTCGAAGGTTTTGAAGTTGATTCTCGATGGAAGTGGAACACCACGATTGGACCCGTGGTCGACCGTCCAGGAAGAGAAAGTGACTGGTTTTACCCGAACACTGATGCCCTCGGGCTGGATGAGTATCTATGGTGGTGTGAAGATATGAAGATGGCGCCACTACTAGCTGTGTGGTCAGGAAAGTCCTATGGCCAAATTCTCTCCGGGCCAGACCTCGAACCTTTCGTCGAGGATATCATGAATGAAATGGAATATCTCTTTGGCGACTCGTCGACACATTATGGCAAACTGCGAGCCCAGAATGGCCGGAAAGATCCATGGAATGTTGACCTCATTGAAATTGGCAACGAAGATGACCTCACCCGGGGTTGTGACACCTATCCGGATCGTTTCAATCAAATCTACAAAGCCATCCACGACAAGTACCCGAACATCACGCTTGTTGCTTCCCACGGGGACTATTCTTGTCTGCCATCTCCGCTTCCCCAAAATGTCATCATTGATCTGCACCTGTATAGAGCACCGGACGACTTTGTCAAATTGTTCGACCAGTTTGATAATCAGCCGCGCAATCAATCAGTGATGATTGGTGAGTTTGGGTGTCGCAATACTACAAAAGAGACAGGGACATACTGGTCATACATGCAGGGCAGCTGCAGTGAGGCCGTGTACATGATTGGAATGGAGCGCAACAGTGATATTGTCAAGATGGCGGCTTATGCACCCTTGATGCAACACTTCGATTATGTCACTTGGTCGGTAAGAATAGCTTTACAAAATATGTTATGATTGGGAATATGTCTGACCACGCTGCTTTTTTACTTACAGCCCACCCTATACGGTTTCAATTCAGCTCCCGACTCTATCACACCTTCGGTTTCATATTTTGTCCAAAAGATGTTCGCATCCAACAAGGGTGACACCATCCTTCCAGTTGACTCATCAACAGGATTTGGACCTGTTTACTGGGTGGCTTCGAAGACAGGTTCACAATACTACTTGAAACTGGCAAATTATGGTCCCGAACAGCAAAATGTCAAAGTGAGTATACCAGGAACCAAAACTGGTAAACTGGAAATGCTTGCTGGCCCTAAGCACCAGGGTGACACGCCTTCCAACGTGCAAGTCCAAACCGTCGTCACCAGTGCGTTCAATGGGCAAGGTAACTATTCAATTAACATGGATCCTTGGGCTGTCGCTGTTCTGGTAGTCTCATGAGCGGGATGATTGTACATGTTCCAACATTTGATGTTTCATGCGATGTGTGTATTGTCCATTGGTTTAAGAATGTTAAGCGTGCCCGACATGTGTCCCATAGAGTTCAATATCAAATTTCTGCATCTCACTGATAAGTATATCTTATGATATGTCCCGCAATATAAATAAAAATTCAATTCAAAATCTCCACCGGAACCTCAACAACCTTATCACGCACATAATCCGCAAACCCCTTGCCAAACCCATCCAATCGACTCGAGCTGCTGACACCTCGACCAAGAATCCCATAGATCACAAAGTGCACAGCATGAATGTACGGGAATTCCACTCTCTCAACTAAGAACGACTCATCCCAGTCATCATCATCAACGAGCATCTCTCGCATTCTTTCAACGCTCATATACGACCGCAACCAAGGCCAGTGAGCAGCGTCAGGGACAAAGATCCCAAAGTTGAGGTTAGATCCTTTGTCACCAGATCGGGCAAGAGCAATGTCTCCCAGTCGAATGGACCGAGTTGGAGATTGGAGGAGGGCCGCTTCATCGCTGGATGGGCTGTGGTTGTAGCTTGCGCGTGGCTGTAGAGCTTCGTACTGTAGAGGATGACCTGTTGGGAAGGAGATGATAGAATCGGGTCCCTCGATGAAGTTAATCTCCTCGTTGAGATCGTCCTGTTTGACTATAGCGGGATAGTAGGCTAGGAATGGGCGTGGGACTGCTGTGCGCATGTCGAGAGAGGAGTGGAATCCTGAATGGTCCTAGTCAGCTCGGAGTATGTATATTACTGTAACAGATATTCGTTCGCACCTGAGAAATGCTTGAGGGAAATATCTTTTATTGCTCTTCCGACAGCGAGAACGGTGTCGGCCTCGACTGCAGCAATAAATATCCGTAGGTATGTGGTGCTCTGTCGCTGTGAACTAGGGTTCGGAGCAGGAACACCGATTCTAGATATTCACACGTCAATACTGGTTCAAGCTGAAAGATGAAATAGAGTCACCTTTGGAATTCAAGTGTGTCGATCCGATCAATGGATTCCTTCGCAATGAAATGTCGGAGTTGTCTTTCGATCAGATCCCACTTCTCATTAGACGCATATCCAGTAGCATTCAGTAAAACCTGAGCCTCGAAACCACCAGGATAAAACACGGCCAGCTTGGTTGTTGGAGGAGGGGCATATCCTCGTATGCCATGAACGCGGACTCTGGACGTGGTTTTAATATATAACCACAACGATAAATAAAAGGAGACACTTACCTATCCTTTCCAGCTTGTTCAACAACAACATCATCCAAGACAGCACTGACATCACTATTCAAGTAAACATTTCCTTGAAGTTCATATACAAGTTGACACCGAACAGTATCAACATCAATCATCCCACCAGTCCCAGGATGTTTCACAACAACACACGATCCATCAACATCGATCTCCGCAATGGGGAACCCCGGCTCAACAAACCTATCAACCGGGTGTCGATCAAACCCAGAGAAGTTGCCGCCAGTAACATAGGCCGAGCACTCAATAAGGTGACCCGCCACCAGGGACCCAGCCAGACGGTCATAGTCCGACTCCGACCAGGAGTGCCAGTACCACGCCGCCGCAATGACAGGACTGGCGTCTGCAACCCGGCCGCAGATAATAATATCTGCCCCTCGACGGAGTCCGTCCACGATTCCCCGGGCACCGAGGTATGCGTGTGCTGAGACCATAGGGACGGGCCTGGCGGTGTTGGTGAATGCATAGGTGAGAGGGCTAGGTTTGACGGAATTGTTTTCTGCGTCGAGGTGTTGGAGCCGTTGAAGTTGTTCTGCAGATTGCGGCATGTTAGGTCCGAATTTGGCGTAGAGGTCGTCTCCTGATAGATAAGCTACTCTCAAAGCGAGGCCTTTTTGGCGGATCTGTTTGGCCGATTTAGTATATAGATTCATGTAGCTAGGTGAAGTCTTGTACTGACCAGTTCGTGCACTTTCAAAGCTAGCCCTTTGGGATTTAGAGCCCCTCCATTTAGTACGACTTTGATGCCCTTTTCGGCGATCACGTCGATGGTCTGCTGGATACCCTCCCAGGCTGTCTGCTCGTATCCGGGATGTTCGCCATGTTGGAAGGCCTGGGCATTATTTGCCATGTTGACCTCTTAGCTCATTTAGTACTTTGTATACTTCCTTAGTCCATATTGTCAAGCAACATACCCGCCAGGTAATCGCCCGTGATAAAGTCGACATCTCCTAGAGTCGCTTGGCGATACATCTCGTATGCAGGATCGCCTTTGTACATTAGTACTGTTGGTTTAATCTAAGTGTGCTGCTCCATACCATGATAGCCAGAGCAATTGGCGACTCTGACTGGTCGGCTATTTTCACTCGGACTGGCAGACATTGTATAGTGTTGTAGTTCTTATTTTTCATAAATTATTGAGGTAAGTTGGTGATTTTAAACTAGATGCATGTAGAGTATAACTAAATAGTGGAATTTCATTATGCATTATGCCAATAGTATATTCGGATGGTTATTCCAAGTTTGTCCAAGTTTGTGAATCCCCGCGGTTGGAGAGAGCGCACCGAGGCAAAAACGGAAACCCACGGAAAATTCGTGAAACCCCGTGGGCCGTGGGAGTTATCAATATCAACAATAGCCCCACTGATTGAACCAATTAAACGAGAGTGATGACTTTTAAGCTAATGCAAGCCTTGTTTTTGATGGAGACTCCCAACTGTCAAGATTATCCCGTGGGCTTTTTGCTTCTATTCCCGTGGCGTTTTCTAAGGCGCCGACTGCGGGATGGGTCACATCAATCCATGCCGGATTGGGAAGACCCCTCTTGTATGGACCAGTAGGATCTTGTCATGATTGTTGAATGATAGTAAGATTGGATAGTGTCCAAAAAAATACGAGATGATGTGCATGGAACACGGGTTGGAGGCTTAGTTGAGGCTTAGAAATTTTCGCAATCTTGCCCATGCAAGTATAAATGGGGACTACCGGTGTCGGTGTATTTTAAATATTCGCTTAACAATAGCCATTGTTACTTCCTTTGTCCTTTTTTGTTCCTTTATACCATTGTTTGTCTTCGAGCCAAAATGCACGACACTATCCCCGGAGACGAGGTCTACGGACCCGGAACCTATATCGACAAGTCCGTCCTCCCCGTACCCGAAGATGCCCGTCGAATCTTTGAACTGTTGGCATCACGAACACCCGGTTTCACAAAAGACACTGCACTATGGGACACTGTCAACTTCGAAGGCCGACCGGATCCTATGGTTCCCGGTCCAATGAAGTCCCCCGTCGTGACAGCAGCTCTGCATGCCATGTGCGGGCTAGTTGGAAACGAACTTCTTGAGCTACGCGATGGCAAGCCAGCCAAAGAAGCCAGCGTGACTGTAAACACAGACCATGCCGGAATCTGGCTTGCATCGACCTTCACGGCATTCGTGAATGGCAAAGATATCTCGACTCTTGCACGATCCCGCGAACTTCCTAACATCTTCGACAGGGACTTTGAGAAGGGATTCGGGATCGGTCCGTTGGCTGGCCGAGCCACTGCACTGTATCCCACCAAAGACTCCGGGGTGTGGTATCAACTCCATGGGTCGCTGGATGCAAGCAAGACACTCTGCTCGATGGGGATCGACATGGATGTGCCGTTGAAATCGTTCCAGGAGGGATATGAGTATATCCGGGAACATGTGCAGAAATGGAGTCCTGATGAACTTGAGATGCATAATGTGAGACATGGATTATGTGGGAGCATCTGCTACTCACCCGAAGGCTGGAGGAAGACTGAAATGGGAAAGCGTCTTGCGGAATACCCTCTTGTGAATTATACGCATGAATCGTATGCGCAATCGACGCCGCCCGTTCCCTTAAGTCAGCTCCCTGATCGTCGGCCTCTAGCTGGGATCAAGGTTGTGGAGATGGTGCGGATTATCGCTGGTCCCACTGTTGGGGTGATTCTCGCATCGTTTGGTGCGGATGTCATCCGTGTCAATTGTAGTAGACTGGCAGATTTGAATGTGAGTGAAATGGACTTCCTTTTTGCTTGAAACTAAATCCTGATCATGCGAACACAGGTCCTCCAATTAACGCTTAACGCCGGAAAACGCACGATCGATCTCGATATTGGAAAGGAGGAGGAAATGGCGAGACTCAAGGAACTGGTGGGCGACGCAGACGTGTTTGTCCAGGGCTTCCGGTATGGGTCACTAGACCGGAAGGGGCTCGGTCTGCAAAGCATGCTGGATATGGCAGCCAGAAGAAACAAGGGCATTGTCTACGTCGATGAAAACTGCTACGGTCCATCTGGACCATTCGCTGAGAGACCTGGCTGGCAGCAGATCGGGGATGCCGCATCGGGTGCTTCATACGTGATGGGTCGGTCGCTTGGATTCGATGAAGGAACGAGTGTTCTTCCGCCACTGCCAATCTCCGATATGACAACTGGCGTTGTCGGTGCTCTCGCAACAATGTTGGCTCTCCGGGACAGGGCTCAGAAAGGAGGCTCATATCACATTGTAAGCTCGCTTGTGGCGGGAGACGCAATTCTGGTAGACCCCGAAGTTGGCCTCTATCCAGTTGAGGTGGTACAAAAAACTCTCGATACATTCAAATTCGCGCGCTCGTCTCCAGACCAGTTCGTCTCGGAGATTATGATCCAGGTGATTGATGGGTGGAAGCGGGTTTTCCCGGAGTACCTTGCACAAGACTCTCCATTTATGATGAGTTTCGAAGATAGCCCATGGGGACGGATGGATATGTTGAGGCCCGTGGCCAGACTAGATGACAAGGACGCAAGTCCTATTTGGAAGAATGCCCCTGTTCCGAACTGTCATCATGATCAAAGCATCACCTGGAATGATCATGTTGCAGGGAGGCTTCCTGGGTTGTCACATTAGTACATATATATATGATAGAACTCCATGATAATAATGTTCAAATTCAAAACTCTCCAGTGCTTTCAGCTAAATCATATGCACCAAAATCATACGCCGGAGGGACACCTGCTAGCATGTCTTGCCAGTTCCAAGAAAGAGGAGCGGGGAACGGTAGTGGCCCTGTAGTATAGAAACTTTGATCTGTAGGCATCGTGTTTGAAGACTGAATGTTGCTGTCATCATTTTCAGTCGCCTGGGGAGGATTGAAAAAAGCTGGGAAAGAGTTCGGGGGCAAGTAGTCATTATGTGTCAACATTTGCCCTTGCGGACGAATGGCAACTGGCTGATTATCACCCACGGAGTCTGGCTCGGGATTTCTGGCCCGATGCAACTCTTTCCTGGCTGCACTTTCGAAGTCAGAGCACAATGCCAATACATAGTCCAAGTATGTATCTTGTTCTTGGGATGCGACCCTTGATATGAAACTGACAACCCCATGAATCATAGTAATATCCGATTCAGTGTCGGGACGCGACGGATCAGTGAGTATTTGGGAGAACAATGCAACCAAAGCTGCCCCTGGGAAGTAAACAATGCTCCTGTGTGATATATTAGAGACTAGCAAATGTTCGACACATCAGATGAGCTTACCATTCAAAGGATTGGCCATAGTGGCCTCGGACTTGGCTGATCAGTTCAATCGCCGCTCGCGCTGCTTCTATTGATTGTTGCACTGATCTCTCTCGGTCATTCGACAGACCCGGGGGACTGAGCCCCTCATTCTGCGGGCTATTCGGCCAGCGCCGAGGAAGTAGACAGACTCGGTGGATATTGAGGTAGCAACAATGATATGCAAAGTGTAGTCTGAGGATGTGCGGTAGAAAGGCATGGTCGCCGATCGAAAAGTTTCTTCGGGGCCGGAGGATCGGTGGGATACTTCGTTTCCATGCTTCAAGATCGTCAAAGCAACCCCTCACATCTTTCATCAACTGTTCTTTGTTTTTATTGAATGCCTCAGTGCTATACAGCTCATCACAAACCTTCCGTTGGATCAAAGCAAATCGGGATAGTGCCGAGAAGAAATTGATTTTGGTATTCCCGATCTCTATCACACCTAAGCCATCAGGTGGATTCTCGCGAGGCAGTAAAGTATTGTAATCACGGGTATCTTGGGCAGCAGGGCGGCCGGTCCGCTGACAGATGTCGGCGTCCAAAATGAACGCTATCCAGAAGACCCTTCTCCGCTCTGCAATCTGGGACACCGGGAGACCAAAGGAGTTGGACTTGTGCAACCCAATGGATTGCGACAGACGTACAGCTGCGGCGGCAAACATGAACAGAGGTTGGGGGTTTGGGGTGCCTTGAAAGAAGATTGCCAGTCCAAGAAGCGCCTGAACAGCGAGGAGATCACAGGTTCGCATGAACAGCTCTGTGACCACGTTCATTGCGTTTTTGACATGACCCAGGCATTTTTGCCAGTCGTCGCTGCTGGCACCGGAGCTCTCTGCCCTTCGCATGTATGCAAAGGCAAGGACAATATTGAATGCAGCCCACCATGAGGGACTTTCGTTAGGATTCCATGAGAAGTGTCTGCTGACCATTCCCATGAAACTTTCGGGCCCGAAAAGCGGTAGGGCCTTGTTGAACGTGTCAAAATATTCATGGACAAGATCTAGGATGACCGCTTTCGATGGTAAGGGTTGCGAGCATCTGCTTTGGAAATCATCTTGAAGAGCTCGAGGATACCAGTCGGCTAGCCTCCATCGACTGCTGTTTCTTTGAGCGACATGGCGCCATACATTATTACCCGTCTTGCTTTCAAGCCAGCCCACACCCTCAGGGGAAACAATCGAAAAATGAGAGGATGCACCTAGGCGTAGTCGGTAGAATCAGCTCAGCCATTCGTGCGACCGTTGAGGAATGATATTCGGCGAGCCAATACTCACCAAAAAATCGCATCGCGCCTTTCGGAGTTTTAAGGGTATATGACCCTCCGTCGCCATCGCCTCGATCGGCCTCGGCCTCGAAAGATGCTTGAGCGGTGTCATTTCTCGGAGATGGCAACTCTGAATCGGATGCTTCTGAATGTTGGACATGCTCTAGGCCTGTGTTCTCGTCACTCGGCAGTCGCAGTCTCTTAGCCGCATGTGCTTCATTTAATTCGTCTTGTAGAGACTGAATGCGCTGTTCGAGCTCATCAAAATGCTCCTCGCTGTGAGTGAGTGAATATGCGTTAATTTAAAAGACCCAACAAGTCAAGCAGAACATACCGGTTGTGCTTTTTCTTGCGTCGCACGGTGTCCTCGTACTTGCAGGGCAAGTCGAATGTTCTGCAGGGGACACAGACCGGCCGAGTCCCATCACATTTAACCTTCTTTCGTCTGCATATACTGCATGCCTTTGTAGCGTATGTCAACATCCAATTATAGTCGTTCCCTCAGTAGATGGGCCATTGGGGCCATCTGGGGGCTAGTAGATAGATACCTTGGCAAGGCGTACAACGTTGCTGGTGTTCCCATCCATGATACAAAATGATTGTATAGTAACACCAGAGTTGTTCTTTCAGAATTGCAATTCCTACGCGGCTCCAACCATCATGATTAAGAATTGTAGGCTGAGACACCATGAGGTTACCCGCTGAGATCCAGGCGTTCAGGTGTTGAGGCGTTAAGGCACCAATGCTGAATCATCATGACTGCCTCAGGCCAAGTTATATTGGATTTAACACTTCCCTTTGGTAGTCAGCTTCGAATCACAGCCTGTAATTTCCGCAGATTGTGTGATTGAAGATTTTCATAAGGTGTACTCACCGCGGGATATCCATCGGGGAGAATCAACGGCCTGCCGAAGAAGCGGCCTAGAACATTCATCTTTGCTTTCTGGAAGACTTACACTTTCGAACTTTCTAAATCGGTCTGCATAGCGAAATAACGTCTTTTTTGAGTTTTGAATCTAGACCTAGTTCTTATGATCAACACTTTTCCGATGCTATTTGTAGATTTGAAAAGCAGTTCTGAATGAAAACCTGTGCTATAGTAGGCAAACCGGAGTACTAGAACAGAAGTCATGATATCACCGTGTTAGATCAGACCAGAGTGGTGATAACCTCATACAACCCATCAGGCCATTAAGAACATGATATGAATCATTTGATTCAAATCGGGTGATCCTGTAACTTTGTACTCCCCTGACATAGGTTCCGTCAATGTACTGTGATATTTGTGTATCAGCAATAGTTGGAGCTTGCGAAATATTTCCTTAGTTCGAACCTCTTCACCAAATTCTCTCATAGGATCAGGTATCCCAAGGACTATTTACTCAAAGCCATGGCGATGCAGCGGGATGTTACTCTGTATAACAACCCAATCTAGACACAGCAAATAGCCGCGAACCATAATCAAGCCTAAATGCATCGCTTATAGAATGATTACCACGACTATAAGAATCTTGTCGCACAATTCAGCTATGTCTTAGGTATCTGTTTGCGCTACCTTTGCACTATCTCCGGTGAATGGTTGTGGTTCAGGTCATTGTCACACTATTGTCTGCATCACAGACTGGGCCTCCTTGACCAAGGTTACTCTCTCTTTAGGAATTATATCCAAGGCAATGTAACCGTAAAACAGGACGTACTTATATCGGTCAAGCTGAGACATATATCGATCAATGGGAAAAAATGAAGCCATGGCGAAGACCAGCTCATTGAATCTATTGGCTGATTTCAAGCTTGTCGCGATGTTGCCGTTCACATTGTTTCAAATTCCTCATTATCAAGGAGCAAATATGGTTGCAATAACAGACCATGAATGCAACCTGTGGCTGGACTATATGCCCTCACCCAGTTGTTTTGCAGGTATGGTGCTTCCCAAGTCGTATGAACTTGTCCGACACGGCAAAAGATCACCCCAAACATTCGAACTTCAGCACTTCGGCGTTCAGTAACTCCACATATAAGAGCCACAACCCATCCATTTCAAACATTGTTCTTTTCATCAGCAAAAACCTTCAGCTTCATTGCCAGTCTCCAGCCATATAATCAACAAGTCCAAGCGTGCCTCTGAAGCCCAAAATGGTTGCCATCGGTATCCGATCTCTCCTTTGCATTCTGGGAATTGCTTCCCTTGGCACATCTGCTGCCGTCGATACCGATACTGTCCAAGGCTGGCAGCTGACCCAATATTGTGAGTTGAATTAAAGTAAAGCTCCGCTATCTCAGGCTAGGCTGATGCAAAATCAGGTACCGAGTTTTATACTGTCAGCAACGGAGACACCTGCTGGGACATCATCGCGCGAAACCAGAATAGGTTTACCATGAGTCAGCTTCTGTGCTGGAACAATGATATCAATCCGTGGTGCTCGAACTTGATTCCGGGCCGACAGGTCTGTGTTGGAGTCCAGCGTCCTGGGCCTGTCTGCTAGAAATAGCCAGATTGATGGCTGGATTGCTGGCACTATAATTTAAAAAAAAAAAAAAAATGCCTGACATCGCCGAGGCCTCTGATCAGATTGTTTGATGGAATTAATGAAAGTCTGAGTTTTGAGCCTTGATTTCTTTGTGCGCTGGTAATACAGAATTTCATTCATTAAATCAAAGTTGTGAAGCTTGCTGGTATTGATATTTTTATGCACTGTTTCTGTTCCAGGCATTGTGTAGGAATTGTCTCATCGTAATTGGCTTCACTTCTGGGAACCGAGTATTGAGACGGTCACCGGGCAATTGAAAGACATTATTGACTGTGAGTCTGCTCACCAACGCAGTCACTTCTTTAAGTTCGTCCGATGACCATTCCATTCCCTCTGGCTGGGGAGGGACGGTGACACGACCAGCCTTGATTTGCTCCAGGCTATCGTATGTTACCTTGAATTTCTTGCCTGTTTCGGAAATTACTATTAGGTTGCGGGTGTATCTCAAATAAGGGCGTGCGATATGCTTACCGGTGAATTCTTCCGCCATGCCGAGAACCTGGTTGTAGGTAACTTCATCTCCAACGATTACACTGAATTCAGGCCATTCATCGAGGTCAAGTGCCTTAACCAGGTAAGTAGCCATGTCGTACGTGTATGTCATACAGATCACGTTGTTCCCGTCTCCTGGGATCGCAGCCGTGCCGCTAGGTATATCAATACCAAAGGTGAAGGGATGCAGGTGAGTTTGGACATGTGGCATCCCCCAATAGTCCATAAAGAAACCAGGGATTACCCTGGTATATTGTAAACCGCTGGCCTTGAGACGATCTGCCGCATCAAGCCAGTATTGAATGCTAGGGTCAATCTGGAGTAACCTTGGAACGTTAAATATCAGCATGGAATAAATGACATACAGCTGAAGTTAGCCAACCTACTCGGTGGTTTGGATGAATGAGTATTCACTGGGGATGAATCTTTTCGTCGATGCTGATTTCTCTGCAGCTTCAATCAAGTTCAACTGAGACTGACTTGTCTCATCAGAAACAAGACCAATGGCGGATATAATGGTGTGGATGTTGTGTCGCTCAAGCACGCGTGCCATTGAAGGAATATCATCGTAGTTGATCTGGAAATTTTGAATATTCGGCGAAGCAAAGTCCTGTTTCACCTGAGAAGGAGGTCAGTCACCTCAAGTGGAAAGTGTCTCTACTTGCGTACACTGCGAGATAAAACGACAACATCAAATTTAGAGTCGAGCAATTTTTCAACAATAGTTTTGCCAACTCCGCCAGTTCCACCAGCCACAGCAATGACTGTCATGATTAAGAAGTGTTTAATAGTTGAAAGTCGAAATAGTTGAAGTTGCCACGGAAGGGTTCCCCGCGATAACCCCACTAAGCAGATTTTCATGCATTTACTACTTCTATGTTGTACTTCTCCTCTAGGGTATACGATGTAGAATAAAATCGCTATCTGCATATTGCCAAACTCCAATCAAATTTCTCTAAAAACCACATATCGGGGATTCGGGCTTCAGGCATCGGCGACTTCGGGGCTTCTCCCGGGGCCCCGCGGCCCTGACGATTATGACTAATATCGGAGGGAAAAGATATAAAAGCTAAATCTTCCAACATTTTCACTTCAGTGAACCTCCCTCTAAAACCAATATACAAATCCAATCTCATCATGTGTATGAAGGCTACCTGCTCGACCTGCAGTAAGTTTCCACCATCTCTGTGGCCGCAGAACAGCAGCTAATTTTTACAGACAAAGTCACCTGGTGGGGCTGTGGAAGCCATATCCCTTCAGTGATGGACTCAGTTCCCGAAGGCGAATGGTGTACCTGTACACCTCAAGTTGAGAAGGACGGGAAGAAGTACCCTCCCAAGGCGGCGAAGGCCGGCTGACTACAAGGCTGTGTGATCTGTTAGTTTGAAGAAGTGAGCGCCGCATGTTTTCCAGAGAAAGCCTTGTAAAGGACTTGTTATCGACAAAGCCTGGTGGATCTCGACAACATTTCAGGGGAGGGATTTGATGGAGTTCCGGAAATTCGTGCCAGATTTTATACGTCAATTGGAGCAGATATGTAACAAAAGTATAACGAAAGACAAAATCCAAAACAAAATCCAAAACATGTCTGATATGGAAACCAAGGGATTGAGGAACCACACAGAACCCAACCAACAGGATAGCAAGTAAAAAGCGAATAGCCGAGTCCACGTACAAATACGGAAACACTCGACACTAAGGGCTCCCTTGCTTTTCCCCCTTTTTCTTCTCTCTCTTCGCTGGTGACTTCGCTGCTGCCTTCGCTGGTACTGGGATTGGGGGTGGCTGCACTGTTGCCTGTCTCTTGAATTTTGTCTGTTCTAGTAAAAAATGGGGTGGCTCTCCACCTCCCGGAGCTGCAGGAGTGGTAGCCACATATGGCGGTCCCCTTGGCACCCAGTCGTCCGGGAGGGCTGGCAGCTGCCCGAGCTCCTCCTTGCTATCACAAACGTAGAGAAGTCCCTGTCTATCTGGGCATGTTGCGGTGTAGAGCGCAAACCGCAGGAAAGGCCCCGAAAGAAGCATTCCAAAGTGATCACCCGGCCTAGATTGGATGACACAGGCCTGTATTTTCATCCAATGGGATATAGGCTGATTGTTGCCGTCAGTCAGCCGGACGTCAACCTCCACAACCTTGTGAACTGACGAGCCGCCAGGGATGTCCATGAGATTGTAGCCATGAACTGGAACGGGGATACCTAACGACTCCAGCTGGTCTATATAGCATTGAGGTATCGCCATAATATCAGCACCAGTATCATGGCACACGTATAGGGTTAGGCCATTGGCGCCAGGACGTTGACTATCAGCCGATATATGCACCGGGAACTATATAGAAGGCAAGAAATGAAAGTCAGAAAGAAGAAATAATAAGTTGAGCGATCAGTATAGGCGCTTACCTCAATCGTTTGAAGATTGTTATACGGCGCAAACGAGTGGAATCCCCCTAGACTACCACCACCTGGAGATTGAAGCTATATATGACATCTCAAGTCAGCGCCAAAACTAATATTTGCATGTAGTAGTGATCAACTTACACCTTCCACCCACCATGCTTTAGTGGTATCATACTGCTCGGCCAGGCTCTTATGAAAATCCGCGTCAAACTTCTGGGGCGCATTGAGCTGCACGCCCTTCGACCAGTAGCTGACCCATCCTCTCCACCACCCCAATGTTTCTTCCCTGTAACCTTTGATGATAGCCTTGACATTGGGAAGCTGATTATCCGGGTCCCCATTCGTGTTGAGATGCGTCTCGATAATCTTCAAATGACCCAAGCGTCGAACGATGTCCCAGCTGAGTCCGGCCGGTTCAGAATGGACCATTTTATCGCGAGCAGCTCTTCTTTGCTCATACTGTGACAGTCTAAACTTGAAGAAGTCGGGCAAGATTCCATCACTGATCCTCTCCATACATCTCTCGACTTGACTATCGATGTCATTGACGTCGAGATCTAGCTCGTCGGCGTTCCAGCCTTCTGGGACAAGCGCTGGATCGGTAATAGGCTGGTTCCCATCGTGTTTCCATCGCTGTTGTCTCGGGGGACGCGAATGCCCCTCATCCTGGCCACCTTGGGACATCAAGCTGTAGTCAACATAGTCGTGGTCCTCTGGCGCGACAGGCAATTGACTTTCAGGTTCATCTGATGAAAGATTAGAGGAAGAGGAAGGAGAACCCTCTGTTCTACCATTGGTACCATTGGTCGGTTTGCGCTTCTGGGTAGATTCCTCGGGATCCACAGGGGACTCTGAGTACGCCCGCTTCTTGCTACGACGAGGAGGCATCTTGAAGAAAAAGCTGATGGACTTTCTGGCACGGCAGGAGAGGGCCTGGCAACTTGGAATGAAGAAGAATCATCGAGATGGGGGATATAGATGAAGATATTTGTAGTAAACATCCTGGGGATTTGAATTAGACCGGCACAAAGAACCACGATGAATTGAAATGACCTATGGAGTAGAGGAAGATGATCTCTGTGTGCTCGTGTAGATAGACACAAATCGGTCGATGGAGTCATTTCCATGGGTGCTATTTTTGGATTTCCAAAAAGCTCATATGCTCGACAACAAAGAAGCGGCGAGAGTAACTCTGAGATCTCGAGTGTACAGCTCATCAATGGAAATAACTCGAGGTCGAAATGTGTTCTCTCGGAAGCCCAGCCCCTGATGTTGCTTCAGCGTTCTTTGTTTCATCTCGATGCATCAATAAGTCCCACCCGAGATGGAAGGCTCGATCAAAGAACATGTCAAAGGACCGGGCGTTTTTCCCAAAGCATACCAGGGAAAATAAGCAGAGCGCAACACATGACCAGGGTGTAGTTCCAGTCTGGTATAGCGTAGCCCTTTTGAGCTTCTCGCTCGCCAACTCCAGATGTGAAAGACTTGCGCACTCTCTTCGATCTCTCGCGCTTTGACCAGCCATTGGAGAAAATGATACCTCTAGAAAGGATCTCCTTGACAGCCTTTGCAATGGCTCGAGGAAAGTGAAATCGTTCAAACGCGCTAGAGACACAAACACCAGGCCAAGAGTGACGAATTCGGAATTCTAGTGTTTGTTACTTGTAACGGAATGTACCACTTCTTTGTCCCGATCCAAAGCATCATTTGAGATGTTAGTGGTGTGAAAGAACCAGGGACAAAGACCGGGTTTTATGTCAGTCGGAAGCCTATTTGTATATTGGAAGGTATAGTCTATGGTGAGGCCAACGAGCTTCAGCAGAGTACTCCGTAATGCCGACGTAAAAGGAAAGAGTGGGCCCCAAGATGGAAAGCGTGGTCGATGGTTTCTTTCACGCTGGAGGGACGCTGATATTGTGAATTGACTTGGGGATCTGGCCATGGCCCTGGGATGTGAACTTGCCCGTCTCCAAAATTCTCGACATGATTGATGTAAGGCACCACGGCCTGCAAGATCAAGTCATATTTCGAATATCAGTGTCTTCATCAATGACGTTGGGGGAAGACGACATAACAATAAGGTTATCAAAGTACATGTATCGGATACTTCCTACAGTACACAAAGCTCTACAAGCACCTCACACACCAGAACTAAGAACTAATCCATAAGCCGTCAATTTCTAACCAGTATGCACCTTGATTCTTTCTCGATCATTTCCATACGTGAATATCATGTAGATCAATCACAAAAAAAGCGCAGAAACGGGGCAATTTTTCCGACCTAAAAAACAAGGAACGGTCGTACTAACACGAAGGGGATGACAGGAGTAAAAAAGAAACCATGAAGAAAGGGGAAAAATAAAAGAGAAGGAACATGCCATTACATCAGAATCTTAAGCCTTAATCGCTGCGCCCAATGCACCACCACCGAACTGCTGGCCACCAGGTCGGCGATCACCCTGGGGAATGCGGGCACCGCCACGACCACCGCCACGACCGCGACCACCGCGGCCGCCACGGGCACCGGGACCGTGTTCACGCTGGAAGGCATTGGCCATACCCTGGGTGCGCTGCTCGAGGGTCTTCTCGTTGGACTCGAGGAGGTTAGTGGACTTGTCGGCCAGGGTGACAATCTGGGACTGGAGACGGGAGAGCTCGACGCCCTTGCGGAAGATGATGGCGTCGTTGACCTGGTCGAGAGCGGCGGCGAGCTCCTCGTGCGAGATCATGCGGGAGATGATGGAGATGATCTTCTTGGGCTCAAGTTCGAACATGGTGGCCAGAGAAGAGATGGAGAGGCTGTCGTAGTAGGGGGCGTAGGTGAAGAGGTAGGTGCGCAGACCCTCCTCTTGGGTCTGGCGGGACAGCATGGCCTTGATCAACTCGGGCTGGGGCATGAGGTCCCAGATCTTAATGGCGGCGAATGTAGAGGCGGAAAGCTTCCAGTCACCGGCGGCAAGCGCCTTGGCTCCGGCAATAACACCGTCGCGGGTGTTCTCGGGGGGACCGGTGAAGACCTGGCGCTCATTGTAGTCCAACATGCGGCGGAAGGTCTTGGAGATCATGCGGCGGCGCAGCTCGGGGGCGGAGGAGGTCTGGGCCATCAAAGGCACCTCAAGCAAAGCACTGCTGGTGAGGTAAACACACTCGAGCAACTCGAGGTTGATGTGCATGTGGAAGGGCAGCTGGCGCTGGCGTTCCAGACGCTCCTGCTCGGGCGAGACAGTGGAGTAACGCTGCATGATGATACCCTGGGCAAGAAGCTCCTTTTGGCGGCCGCTGCCGCAGATCTCACCAAGGGTGTTCTGGGCCTCGTAGATGAGGCCAGCGCGGAAGGCACAGAGACCGATCTGAACAAGGGTGCGGTTGAAGAGGATCTGGGTGCTGACGTCGAAAGTGGCGATGTTTTCGGTCAGATGAGACATGAGCATCAAGTCACGAGACTTGTAGTATTGGTCGTGCAGAGCAAGGAAGTAAATTTGGCAGAGCATGGCGCGAGCGCGGGGAATGCCATCGCTGTGTTCGAACATGTAGTTACAGATAGAAGCCACGAGACTCTGGATATCCCCAGACTTATAGGTAGCAGTAACTGCTGACTCGATATTTGTGGGAACTGCCTTGTCCTTGGCCTGCTCGACAATGGCAATGACATTAGCGGGCTTGAAGTAGATGTGCTCCAACCGTCTGATAACCAGTCTGTTCATGCTGTCCTGGCCATTCTTATCGGCGCCCTTGAGGCTTTCAACGTAAAGCTGCGAGCGAACAAGGGAGGAGTAAAGTGCCTGCTCGTCCGTCAGACGCTCAATGTACTCTGAGGTGTGCGGGTCAATCTCGCGGAGACCCTTTGTGAGGCTGTCGTCGAGGTGCTCCACGAGGGATACGACGGAACCGGGAATGAAGAAGGTCTCGCCCTCAGCAACAGTAGGTTGCTTCTCGTCGTCCTCCCACTCGTCAGCGGCTTCGCTGACAAGGAATTGGCGGTTCTCTTCCAACACGGAAAGGAGAGCGGAGTATTCCTCGTTTGCGGCCTGCCATTGCTCACTTGACATGTAGGTGGCGGTGGATGTGGCAGTAAGATCGAAGCGGGTGGAGATCAGGGTCATGTAGGTGCGGATGCGTTGGTAAGGAGTAGTGGCAACCTCGAGGAGCTTCTGCATGGTGCGGATCTGGTCGGCACGGTCGGTGTTCTTCTTTCCGCGGGACTCAACAATGACACGGAGGTGCTTGAGGATGCTCTCAGGGGTGTACTGGAGGGTCTTGCCACCACGTCCGACAGTAGCGAATCCATCATCCTCACCACCAAGAGCAGCGGCGGCAGCAAAGTTCTCGATCTTCTCGACCTTGGTGGGCTTGGGGGCAGGAGGAGCGGCGGGCTTCTCCTCAACCAGATCCGCCATGAAGGCATCCTTACCGGCACGGTACTTCTCGATCAGGGTGGCGTATTCCTTGTTGTTCTTCTTAATCTTCTGCTTGACCGCGTTGAAGCCCTTGCTGTTGCTAGCGTTCATCTTCTTGTTCGAGGCCTTCTGCTTGGAAGCGGTCTCGTTGGTGAAGTCTTCGAGCTCGGCAACGGCCTGGATGTAGACCTTGGGGGTGATGCCGGTAACCTTCAGCATCTGGCGGTTCAGGTTATCGAACTCTGTGCGAGAATCATGTCAGTTCATGCCGTTCCTTGGGCCCTCCAATTTTGTTGGCTATCCAGTCCTCCCATGCAGCGTGTGGACTCACCAGTGGCGATAACAGCCCAGTCGTTGATCTTCTCGGCGTTATCAATCAGGCGGATGGTGCTCTCGAGGCCCTCGAGACGCTTGTCCTTAGCGGACTTGACGACTGTAACTTTCTCCTCCTCCTCGCTCTCCTCGCTTTCGGACTCATCGTGCAAGAACTTGGAGGCACCGGTGCGGCCCTCCTCACCCTCCTCGTCGCTGTCGGTGCTGGAGCCGGAGTCGGAGTCATTCTCGTCAGAATCTTCCTCGCTGCCGGAGCCGGAACGGTAGACCTCCTCCTCCTCGTCAGACGAGCTGTCGCTGTCGCTGCCGCTGCCGTAGAAGAAACGCGACGCCATGGTTGCGGATTACGGTTTCGTTAAAAGGAAATGGCGATCCTAAAGCTGAAAAATCAGGTCGTCGGCGATACAAAGTTGAAGTTCCCGCAGTTGAGAGCCACACACGAAATTTAAGCGAGGGGCTGACTAAACCTGATTAGGCATAGCGCATAACAAAGAAATAGTGACGGCCTTTTTTTATACTTCTTTTGTTGCTTCAACTTGCTTCTGCTTGCTTGGTCTGACTCCTTTTTGACTATTTGCTGACATTTAACGAGTACGAAGGTGTTCGAAAAAGCAATTTAGACAACTCAACCTGCTTTGAAATTGGGAAATTGCCTCTCATCTGGAAACAAAGGCCTGACCGATCAGGCAGACGCAGGCAAAGAAATCTCTAACAATGGAAAGAAAGATGCGCACATAAACTCATAACTATTGTTTCATTCATCATTCGACCATCAACTCTACTATTTACTGCATACAGAAAACCAAACGAGGAACCGCCTAGAAGAAATGACATGCCATAACATACGACCGAAAAACTTACCTTGACGAAAAGGAAGAAAAAACGATAGATCAACATCCCCGGGAAGATCCGAATTAATTGAAACAGTTACGAGATGAAAAAAGAAATGGAAGGGATCGTTCTTTCATGCTCCATCCAGGCTATGCTGAGAGAGAAAGTTCACGAAAAAGGCAGACAGATATGCCGAAGCACTGCCTAAAGAAATTGCAGAGACATAATTGGGATCGTAACACAGCAAGAAACGTAACGAAACGCAATGAAATAGTGATGATGATGCGGGAAGTGATATCTCGCGGCGAAGACTTGGCCACTGATGGGCACAGCTCACGGTGAGTAAGCGTGCGGATCGATCTAGCGCTAGGTAGCAATGCAGATCGTGTATCAGTGGTCCGAGACCATTGTAGACCACGTTGACCCACGGGAGGGGTATTTTTCTTCACTCATACCTACAAGGGCCGGCCATATAAGAACACGTTGGCTGGCAAGGAATGGGTCAGCAGAGCAGGGCTTACAAAAACAGTGCCTTGGGGATCATTGACACCCGTGGACAAATATATCAGTATGCCTGCTCCCGAGTCGTAGAGAACGCTGGGCACGGGGAGTGCGATTTTGCCCCGATGCCCTAGTGCCATTGGTTCTGACCCATGTAACCTTCGCTGAGTACACCGTCTTCGAGAGTGCGAATGAAATCCCGATTGCGTTGGTTCCCATTCCCATTACCTGCTCGGCTCCCACGACGCCGTTGACTGGCATTAGCATCAACATACCCGTCAGGGGGAGGTGGATAGTATGCAGGGCTGGGCTGCAATCGAATCGGTGCGTTTGGATCCAGGTGGCTAGCAACTCGTTGGATGGTAGTCGGGATTCCTCCGTTAGGGTCCATGGTGGATGCTCGTTGACGGCCGGCTCGCGTAGTCGCCTGTGCGTAGAGACTTTGAGGGGGCACCTGGTTGCCTGGCATCATTCCCATTTGGTGACCGTAGCCAGGCGGCTGCTGGGTAGGGTATGGAGGAGGCGCTGCACCTTGTTGGTACATGCCATTGTACATGGGCGGGGCTTGAGGCTGGGCCTGAGGGGGAGTATGGAATTGGTTCATCTGCACGGCATAGGCATTTTGCGCATGCGCCGCCTGAGCTGCTCTTTGTTTGCTAGCGGCCTCGGCCTGCTGTTGTTGTTGAACCCCCGGAGCCGGCTTGTTGGCCGTCGAATACTTCAGATTCATTGGTGGCATGAAGGGCCCCGTGAACTTCTGCTGGGTGATGAACGGGTGCAGCTTGGCTTGTTGGGGTGACCATCGCTCGAGAGGATTGATCGATAGAAGTCCCCGCACAAAGTCGATGAAAGCAATCCGATTGTTTAGTTCTGCAATGATTAGTCAAGTCTCAGGGTAAACCTTGGAATATAGAAAAGAAAACCTACCTCGATCAACCTCTGCTTGCTTCATGTTCTTCCGAGGCATTGGGTAACTTCGGATAATCTCCTCCAGTGTTGAGGCTGAGAAATACTTCTTGCTCGGTTGTTCCTTCGTGTTGTGTTCTCGGGAATACTGCTCCAGGCTCTTGAGGCGGTATGTCTTTCTTCCGAACTCATCCTGTGTCTTTTCGAAAAACTCTCCCGACTGCTTACCCATCTCCAGCATCCATGTTGGTGGGATACCCAGCATCTCGACGATCCGACAAACTTGATTGTACTCCGAAGAGCCGGGGAACAGAGGTAGACCCAGGAAGAGCTCCACCACGATACACCCAAGAGACCACATGTCAATGGCAGATGAGTAGCTAGGAAAAAGATTAACAGGGAACAAAAAAGATGAGACAACAGTACTTACGGCAAGCCTAATAGTACTTCTGGAGATCGGTAAAATCGCGATTGAATGTAGGTGTAGACTGTCTGGCGTTCATCGCATGCAGAACCAAAGTCAATGACCTTGATGATTGGGCTCTCGAGGCTGTGAACAGTTAGAAACGGATCCTGAAAGCTGACAGGCGATACTGACTTTTTCAGGAGAATATTCTCCGGCTTCAAATCACAGTGAATCAGATGCGCTTTGTTCAACAAGCTCAAGGCATTGAGCAGTTGCTGGGCAAACACCCGGACAAGGGTAGTGCTCAATCCACGGAATTGGTTTTGTTTGATCAGCTCATACAGATTGACACTGAGCAATTCGAATGCGAGACACAAATGCTGACGGTGGATGAATGTGTCCTTGAGACGAAGCAGGTGGTGGTCGTCGTTCTTGTCATATTTGCTGTTGAGCTGCGGGGAATCAGCGGGGGCTCAAACGATAAGGGCTGGGGATATATGACATACCAGATCCAACACAGAAACTTCCATCATACTCTGGTTGAAGTAGGCAGTCTTGTTCTTGATGACTTTGACAGCCACGACTTCTCCCGTTTTCAAGTTTTGGCATTTCACGACTTGGCCGAAAGTACCTTGACCTAGCACATCCAGGATGAGGTATCGATTTCTAGATCGGAAGGAGAAATGATTGTCAGCTCAGGGGTCCGCTATCCAGGGGAAATCGGGGGCATACTTGTGACCGGCTTCCTCGCTTCCAAGGATATCGTTGACGTAAAGGATATAATCACTATCCTCGTTGTCATACCCATCATTCTTTACCCCTTTGCTGGGTTTGGTCAATACTCGTCGCGGGTTTCTTGAAGACTCATAGTTGAAGCCAGGGTTGCATATGCGGTAGGTGGCCGGGAGGTGAGTTGTCAACGATTGAAGCGGCTGAACGGGTTAGTCAAAGCCACGACATGGTGGATTTGCTGAGTACTCACGCTGATGAATCCGCCCTCTGGATTGGCGCGCCGATATGCGGGCTGTATATTCATCCGCGGCTTCAGCTCTTGCACAGACTGGATCTTTTGGAACTTGGGAACGGGACCGCGACCGGGCACCAGAGGGGCCTGAGACGGCAGCGAGCCGGACCGCGGAGATCGCGACCCTGGACCAAAGCCTGGACTCATGTGTGAAGATGCGGATGGTGGGTAGTACTGGTCTGGGCTGAGGTCACCGGATTGAAGAGGAGGGAGTCTAGGGGGCCGGTTGGCTGCCGAGATGTTAGCGAACGGGGCATGGCCGAACAAGTTACCGAAATCGAACTCACATGGCGGCGATTGATATCCTTGTGGTGGTGATGCATATTCTGGTTTCGCAGGGGACCGGCGGGATGCACTCTGGGGCGCGGATGGAAATCCATAGGACCCTTGGGACTTGCCAGGACTAGTGGGATATGACATCGGCGGCGAAAGAACATGCCCCGGAGAGTATCTGCGGGCAGCCGATGATTCCTCTGCTTGATTCAAGAATTGTGACGAGGCGCGATTGTGGTTTGGCCTCGAGGGGTACTTCGCCCGGTTGTACGGGTCAGCGTCCTCCATGGCAGTATCCGCATCGGTGACATAATCCCGAGTACGAGGCGTGGAGGTGGGGGAGGAAGCCATGGAGACAGTTTTGGAATTTGAGCCAGCCGAAGGGGCTTTGGATGTCGTGCCGGGGGTCTGGAATGTCTCGTACGTGTATCCGACGGGCGGCTGTGACTGTGGTGGTTGACCGTATTTCGAAGCGAGTTGCTGGGGATGAGATGCCAACGCAGTATTGAACTGCGCAGGGTGGCCCATCAAAGGATCTTGGTAAGGCTGCCACCCAGGATCCATTTTGTAAAACCCTTTGGGCCAACAAATGGATTCGAGGTCCGTGTTCGTCTCTAGCACTGCGATCAGGGTCCGTGGGATTCCAGCGGGGACGGCACTCGTAATGCGACCGCAGCTTCGAGGCGAGTCTTGACGGAATTCGAGGGATAGGGGATGAAAAGTAGGGAATTGGCGTTAAAATGAGATCGTGCTATGCTTCATCATCTGAGGAATTGTTGGTGAAGACAAGTTTTGAAGGGGAGAGGGGGGCGGTCGCAATTTGGTTGCGACGCAGTAGACGTAGGCGGCTGGGGGGTTCAGCCAAGTCAATAGACTTCTTGCCTTGGGACCCGAAAACGAAGAAATCAAAAACACAGCTGGCATCAACAGAAACTATGTTAAACAATAACTTGGCTCGAAGAATAGAGATAGTTACCAGTATATAACCAGAGATTAAGAAGAGGGGAAAGATGAGTTCTAAGGAAGTGGAGGTGAACTTTGCTCGATGTGAATCTACACATATCATTACTTTTCTTGAAATACATAACATATTTAGGGTGTATTCTATCTTTGGCCATACAATGTACACAGGTATATTCAAGACCTTGATGCTAAAGTTTTGACATTTGTACTGGATTGTGGTCTCCTTGGCGACGTGACTCTTTTCACATGATCGACGCTCCATTGCATGCCCAACTGTCAGAGCGCCCTTTTTTTTGGACACTGTACTAATTTGCTAGATCCAGTTACACAGGGCTCAACAGGTCTACCACCACTATAGAATGAAACAAATGAACTACAGAGTATCATATTTATGGTATTTTATAGGTGCCGCGACGTCATCGAATCCATAGTTAGGCCGGGAGCCCAAAACTGGGGTGTTGGTCATTGTATTGCGAGGAATAATGACATGGTATGTATTCTCCAGGGCTGAATATAGACATTGATAATCAAGCAAAAGCAATTCCATTTCACTTGAATCATCACAACCGTTTTAGTGCTCACCTCTTGCCGCTTTTTGCTCCGTACTACTGAGCAGATCTATATCCAGTTCAGCACTCTGGGACACAACCAAATTGCTCGGATATTGCTATTATGCGAGAAATGGTATAACAATTTCCATGGAATATCGATGAAAGACATGAAAATATGTACCAATCTCTATGTTAACTGTGATAGCTAGTCGCTCATTCTCTTCACATCTAATTCAGAATCTGATCTATTTGGCTTCAGATCTCTTTCAGATGTTTGTTTAGGCTATTCCGCCGTTATGCACCTAAGCCTATTCAGAATAGTCTTTTCTCTGATCCTGTCATCCTTGCCCCCTGAGGTGGAATCTCTTTTTCATGGCTTGAGGTCTTACATATGTATGTTCGTCCTTTAAGGAGAGGCAACATCTTCTTGCTTTCATATCACCGGATATGGACCCTTTTCGGGAAAGCCAGTGCTTACGCACTGAGCTTTTATTCAACGTCAGCAACCTCATCTCCATTAAGCGGTTCGGTATATGTGGACAGACATGGATTTCTCAAACTATCCCAACGGGTTAGAGGCCCGATGCTGTGCTCGCTCCAAGCATTGACCATCACAAATGTTGTTATATATAATCAAGACATTCCCCAAATTTCGCTACAAGCTCGAATCCACATAACAGACATCCTGGAAGGACTTGCCTTCGGGTTTATCGACTGAGAGCTTGAGCCCTGCATGCTCATTCTGATGCCGCTCATCTAAATACCGACATGTGGTATCATGCTGTGCATCATGCTCAACCAGAGCTCAAAAATGATATTCCCGGGATCTCTGATTAGGACGATTGAGAAAAGGTATATAGCGGGTTCCACTCCCCCGTGAACAGTTCACATCCGGTCTTTCTCAATTGGCCCTCAATTGTGAAATTCATTTTGTCACATTGTGATATCTGCGAGTGGATCTCGGAATGCTGGGGATACGGCACAGATACAGTGAGAGACCGAAACCCCATCACCGTCATTGCTCCCCTGTAAACAGGTCGTACTCGATGAGCCCTTGGTGGGCTCGTGCAGCTCCAGTCAGCCAATGAACCAGAATGGCGTACCTATGGCCTCATACCATGTATATAAATTTCAAGGTTCGAGGTTCGAGTATCGGTCCAGACCTCGGGGAATGTAATGGAAATTACGTAAGCTTTCAATGAGTCATTCATTCACGTGAGCGGTGTCATAGGCGGTGGCCCATTGTGCCATTCTCTGATAGAGGCCTAGATTGGATGCTATTCATCTTGACTTACCTAGGTATTGCTGCCTGTGCTATTGTACTATTATATTTGCTCTTTGAGCATTCACCATGTTAGCCCTTGCCCTAGACAAAGTCTTTTAGTCTCTCACTTCTTTTCACTTAATACAATCTTTATTTGGACAACTTTCACAATGTCTACGAACGAGGAGGCGAGTCGCCTGCGTGACCTCCAAGCAGATGTTCGCGACCAGGATGATCTTGAAAGAGACATCACTCGCCAGGTATGACCTATTTCTCAATTGACTATCACTTTGGGCTCACATTTCTCTTTTTTCAGGCCGATAAAGCTCTAGCCGATAAAGCAGAAGAGAATGACATCAAGCGACTTGAAAAAGCCCTTGTGGATCGGGAGTAAGAGCGCATGCCCTAATGTTTGAAAACATTACTAACTCAATCCGCAGACGGGTCGATTCGCAGGTCCGCCAAGCGCAGCAGCGCCTGACACAGCCCGTCGGAGCCGCTACTCGCCACCGGGTTGAAAATGAGCTGAAAAGGCTGCAGGCGCGCAAGGCCGATCTGGGGAAAGACCTGAAGGACATACAACAGCGCATTGATGAGAGGCGCGAGTCACAGGGCAATTCGACGGTGGCGCATGGGTCAGGGCGACAGCCGAATGAGTCCCGCCGCGACTATCTCCTGCGAACTGGAAAGATCACCCCGTTCGCATTGATGCAAGAGGGCTCCAGAGATGGACCACTTGCTAATCTTCACGATGCACTTGTCGATACTGAGGAACAGCAGTATGAGGAGGAGGAGCGCGAACAAGCCAAACATCAGCCAGCCGCGTCCCACCGGGACCTTGCACGCCCAGACCTCGACTTTGATGAGAGCAGCGAAAGCAAGCGCAAGCGGAGGCAGGTGGATCGGCGTAGCTCCCCGGGAGCGGATTCCTCGGCAAGTTATGTTGCCTCTGAAGCTGAGATTACATCCGAGGGTGAAGAGTTCATGCCTGATACTCTCCCTGAGACCAAGCCAAGTGGCAAGCGCAAGCAAGGAAAAGCGACCACTGAGCTTGAAGATCTTAGTGGGGTTGATGATGGAAACGAGACAATATACCAGTCTCGCGTCCAGGAATGGATCAGTCGGCGGAGCTCTGCCCGACGGCACGCTGACAGTCATTCTGTCGAAGCTGAGGTGAATGAAGAAGAGGAGTGGCTTAAGCCACATCCCACCGAACCAGCCATGGAGCTTGACAATGGGCTGCGGGTCCCTGGAGACATAAGCCGCTTCCTATTTTCCTACCAGAAAACTGGAGTGCAGTGGCTTTGGGAGTTGCACCAGCAAACGGTCGGCGGAATTATCGGAGACGAGATGGGGCTAGGGAAAACCATTCAGGCGATCTCTTATCTTGCGGCGCTGCATCATAGCAAGAAGCTCACCAAACCTGCCATCGTCGTTTGCCCTGCAACTCTTATGAAACAATGGGTTAATGAGTTTCACCGCTGGTGGCCACCCTTCCGTGTTTCCATCCTACACTCATCAGGCAGCGGAATGATAAATCTTAGCAAGGAAAGCAACCGGGAAAATGCGCTTTCATCAGAAATGATGGGCAGCCACAGCTCTCGTCACTTATCTGCTGGTCAGAAAGCGGCTAAAAAGATCATTAAGCGTGTTACCGAGGAGGGCCATGTCCTTGTGACTACATACTCAGGTCTGCAATCTTATGCAGATGCTCTTGTTGATGTTGAATGGGGCTGCGCTATCCTTGACGAAGGTCATAAAATCCGCAATCCAGATGCCGGTATCACCTTCAGCTGCAAGGAACTCCGCACTCCGCATCGCATCATTCTTTCGGGGACCCCAATGCAGAACAGTCTGGTGGATCTTTGGTCCCTATTTGACTTTGTGTTTCCAATGCGCCTGGGGAACCTCGTTACATTCAAAAACCAGTTTGAGATCCCCATCCGCCAGGGTGGCTATGCATCTGCATCAAACCTTCAAGTGCAGACTGCTGCGAAATGTGCAGAAACCCTCAAAGATGCCATTAGTCCTTATCTGCTCCAGCGGTTCAAGGCCGATGTAACATCTGATCTGCCGATGAAAAGCGAACAGGTCATTTTCTGCAAATTGACCCAACTCCAGCGAACCATCTACAAGAGGTTCCTTGGCTCAGATGATATGAAATCCATTATACGAGGGAAAAGAAACTCTTTGTACGGCATTGACATCCTGCGCAAGATCAGCAACCATCCAGACTTGGCAGACCACACATTGCGTTCTCGCGAGGCGGACTATGGCGATGCAGAGCGGTCTGGCAAGATGAAGGTTTTGAAGGGTTTGCTTGAGGTCTGGAGAGATACTGGCCACAAGACCTTGCTTTTTACCCAGGGCCGTCTGATGTTGGACATCATTGAGAAATTCCTTGGGGTGCTGGGTGGATTCAATTACCGCCGAATGGACGGGACTACTCCGATCAAGGAGCGTCAGAATCTGGTTGACAAATTCAACAACGACCCCGATATCCACGTTTTCTTACTTACCACCCGTGTGGGCGGGATCGGAGTGAATCTGACAGGTGCTGACCGTGTCATTATCTACGATCCTGACTGGAACCCATCGACTGACTTGCAGGCGCGGGAGCGCGCATGGCGTCTGGGCCAAAAGCGTGATGTCACCATCTTCCGCTTGATGACCAAGGGCACTATCGAAGAGAAGATCTATCATCGCCAGATATTTAAGCAATTCTTGACCAACAAAATCACCCGTGATCCTCATCAACGAGAAGGATTCCAGCTAAGTGATCTCTATGATCTGTTCACTCTGACGGATGAAAATGACGACGAGTTGGAGACGACTAAACTCTTCAAGAACGCTGAAGTCACATATCAGGAAGAGGCTAAAGATGTTCCCCTTCGCAGCAAGAGCAGGCCTGCCCCGACTCCCAAGGAGGAAGACGACATCAACGACATCCATGGTATTGCCAAGGTCGAAGAGTTCCAAAATGCCGCCGAAGAGGACAAAAATGCCAAAACCTCCGAAGACCGCATTATGCATGGCATCTTCGCTCGTTCTGGCGTCCACTCTGCAGTCCAGCACGACCAGATCGTAAACGGCAAACGAGTCCTTCGCGCAGACCCCAAGATGATCGAAGCCGAAGCTCGCCGCGTCGCCAACGAAGCCGCCGAAGAGCTCCGCAAAGCCGAAGAAACTGCCCGGGCACTCCCAATCGGACTTCCCACCTGGACAGGCCGTTTTGGGATGGGGGGCCGCGAAGATCCACGGAGTGGTGGTAGCTCAGCTCGCCCTGCTGGGGCAGGGCCATCCTCCTCCGACCTGTTGGCTAGGCTTAACCCTGCTGCTGCCGCAGCTGCTGGACAGAGCCACAGTGGTTCCGATAGTCCATCAGCACGTATGCCACGCGGCAAAGATTTCATGCCCTTGATCCGTGATTACCTTGCCGCTCAGCGTGGGCCGACTCTATCGCAGTCGATTGTTCATCATTTCAATCATTACTGCTCCAATCCGCAGCGTGTCGCTGAGTTCCAGGAGTCGTTGAAGAAGGTTGCGACACTTGAGCATGGTCGTGATCGTCGGGGTCGGTGGACTCTGAAGCCTGAATTTGCCCGGAATGCCAATAATCAGGGACGGTGAGGGGGCTTGTAAAGAAGCCGGTGGACTGAGGGCATCCCCGATGGGGCAGAAATTGAACAGGCTATCTTTCTTCCTACTCTGGGGATGTTCATGTACGATAGTGGGTTTCACGAGATGATGAATGACAATGACAAAGACAAAGCCGATACCCTCAATGCAATTGCACAGTCAGAAACACGATATAAGTACACCGTACTGCATACTCCATATTCCATCGTTACAGTAGACAGTATCCACTAGGCACATGCTTAAAACGCCTCGTGGGACGGTACCAAGGCCTTCCAACACGCATAGAGACAAGCTGCCGTTTAATTCAAGCCACATGCGTTATATGCACTGTCCATGATGTATGCCAAGTATGAAAGAACATGCCAATATTTAGGTGCCTCATAACTTCTCTCCTGTAACTTATCAAAGAAAGGGGCCGGATATTCTATGTTGTAATAAATTTCCAATATCCCTCAACTTCAATGTTTTCAGTGGGCCGTGTTCTATTTCTGGTGGGACCACAAATTATCAATGATGCAAAACAACATGGAAGCGAGGATATACCGAGCCAAATAGGCAAGAGATTTTCGTTTGTACAAAGTAGAGTCGCCGCGACCCGACATTCATAAAACAAATCAAGTCAGACAGGATTCAGGGGAAAGGCTCCACGGGGATCTTGGCATTCGTTGTTTGACGACTTCATTTACTTCGGTGGCGAAGGGTTTTTGGTATGATTCTTGATGTTTTTTGTTTTGATGAAATCATTCGTGAAACAAAATTCACCATGTATCATTGTGCAACCCAATCATAGGGGCAAAATCACATCATTGATATCACCAATCTTTGTCTCAGGTGCTTCCATTGATGGATAGAAGAGGCATCAGTGGGTGTGATCTACACTCGATCAGGATCATGACTGGTTCGGATGATGGTATAGCTAGTAAGGTCCCCACTTAGTGACTTCCAGGATGTCGATTGTAATTCAGGATCCTGTGGGTTAGTCCTTTCGTTTACCCCATACACACAACCCAGGTTCTGATACGGTAGTGTGGATCAAGCAAGATCCTGCAGCCACAGTTATGTCTGTCTTAAGGCTGACAGTACCTTGCATGCTGCAAAGAAAAACAAAGAAAAATGAACAAGAGCGACATCGCCAGAGTACAGAGTCAAAAGGAAGTCGAAGAACAATCAATCGAAAGTTCTAGCGATACTTTACCGATGACGGCTTCTATTTTGATCTCAAGGATGCCTACGGAGGATCCGGATCAGCGTTGGACACTCGAAACAGCCCGACGGCCCTATACTCCACCGTGGAGCATGTGTTCATCGACTGTCTCCCATGGATATCCAAAAGCATATAAATGCGTCACTTCCCCGTCAAAATCCTACCCCTCTCTTAGAGAAACATATAAAAACAATCGGAACCCCTCAAACAACGGTTAACTTGAAACCATTCCCAATCTAACATCTTCACCTACCACCCAAAATGAAGTTCTTCGCCACCGTCGCTCTCCTAGCCACCGCTGTGGCGGCCGCCCCAGCCGAGAAGCTCTTCAACCTGAAGACCTCCGGCGCCAGAAACAGCTCCCACAACGACCTGTTCCTCTCAGTCGGCCACGGGCTGATCAGCGACCCGCTCAACAGTGAAGCCATCTTCTCCGGAGCCCCAGCCAGCCGCGCTGCCGCCTTCTCCTTCGTCAACGGCACCGTCGTCTTGGATACTGACGCCAAGGTCCCCTGGACCCTGGACCTGATCAACGTGGAAGGTAAGATAGCCCTGGCCTGCCTTTGAGTGTGACTATTTCCCAAGCCCGGAATGCTAACGACATTGGTATTATATAGGCGTCCGCAAGGAGCGCGCCCAGATCAGCATCAAGCCCACTCACGGCTCGAAGGGCTTCTCTGTCGGCCGCCACGGCGTCCAGGGACCCAGTGAGACCTGGGACGGATGGTTGTGTAAGTTCTTCTATACCCCCTTTCCAAGGCGACATGATCGTGCCGAGTGCATAACGCTGACTCCTTTTGTAGGGTGCCCCACCGATGTGGAGGCCGGCCAGTTGTTCCCCAACTTGCACTTCCTCAGCAAGACTGTTCAGGAGCCTGCTCTCCCCGCTGGATGTGATAGAATCCAGCTCAACGCTGTTCCCAAGAGCTCGGCTTAGAGGGATTTTGGATTTTGGATTTTACTTCGTAGCGAACATCAGATTGTGATGCATGCTTTCTAGTTTTCGTGTCCTCTTCGAAATTTGGAACTTCCACTGGTCTTTTATTTCAGCATATTTCGGCGCATAAGTCAGACTTAATTGATAATATATTGATTATTCTACTAGTTATTTATCCTAAGATCCATGAATGCCCTCTGATATCAAATTCTTCTCACAACAGACGAATCCTCACCAGTGTCATATCCAGTCCATTTTTCTGTGTCTTCCTACCAGCAATTATAGAGAGTATTATAAACCTCCACCTCCCTCAATTTTTGATTCTATCCCTGAATTCGCAATAGTGTTCAGGAGTTGTGGTTACCTCGCCACCCCCAAGTTTGGGGAACTTGTTCGGCGGAACCGAGAGATGCCCGACCTTGGGTACCGGCATCTGGGTGGCGATTGTAGATCATATACTCCTGCGTGATAAGGGCTTTATTGTTGATAGTTCTTCTGTGGTTTGTTGCCTTGAGTAACTATACTATGTCATGGTTCATGGCCTGCCATTCATCATTTGCTCATCCAGTTTTTATAGTTGGAATGATGATGAGGTGTTGGCCAAACTCGGGAATAGGTGATTAATTGATGGTTTAGGGCAAGTAAATCCAAGATTTGTTTGTATATCGTCCTCCTGGAACTGAAGTATATATTGCACGGACCACGCGGTTTGAGTTTGATGTGATATATATCACCTGTTAAAGTGCAGAATGAGAATAAATGATTGGTGCTCATATGATTTGGAGATCATTTTGTGCTCATAATTAAGAGGTGGATATAAAGGCGATTTGCCTCTGTGGTTACGTTCAGATAAAGCCAAACCTTTGTATTGCCCTGAATTAGCATAAACTTAGACTTAACACACCTCAGTTACTATTACTCCGTAGCAAGTCAATACATCACTTGATAGTCCAAATAATAGTTGCCACTATAAATAGCCGATGTCTCACATGCTGGAGAGCCACTACCTATTTAGGTCTAGCCCCGCAATACAGCTCAAACATCGCATCTTCTCTTTCTCTGTTTTTTTCTCCCTCTCTCCAATTATCTGTGAAGACACTCGTTTACTGTTCGCTTTGAATCTACTATCGTTGCTCGGAATCGAAAATCCACATTCCCGAGATCTGCATGTTTTAGCGCCCAGACTGGCCAGGGGATTAATAACATATTCTGCACTCCACGTCCTTTTGATCGTCCTTCCGTAGCAACCGAAATTGCTTGGTACGGATACCAAATCGATAAGCCTGTTTCGACACAGGAGGCCCTTTTTTTGACAAGTCACACCGAGTTGTGCAAGGGGCGTGATCAGTCTAGCCCACCTTTCAGCCCAGGGAGTAACACCTCGGTCGCTTGATTTTTGAACCTCCAGATAATCTCTCCAAACTTCGACATGCGTTGTTTTATCTTGAGCGTGCTCTGCACCATCCTGTTGTTGGGAACGATATCATCGGCTTGGCCATGGCGGCCCTATGGAGAACTTTTGGGTGCCTCCTTGGATAAGCGAGCAGGTAATTCAGGACTCTTATCATACCATTTGTACCATCTTGATGCTGACCTACGATTCAGACACCACAGACTCATCAACCGCTCAAACCTCCGAATCTACCACGGATCCCTCCACTGCCTCGAAGACTTCTGCCGGAACCACCACCGGCACAAACACCGGCACAAACACCGACACAAATACCGACACCAAAACTGGGACTGCAACCGATTCCCAGACGACCGGCACAGCAACTGGCACGAAGACGGGAAAAAGCAAGACTACCGCCACCACCTCGATCTCCATTGACCCTGCTGCCGCTGCTGGTGGTGTGTCCATGATCACCCCCGCTTCCTCGTCCACAACCTACTACAAGATCGGCGAGGATGTCACCTTCGTGTGGAACTACACCTCCCTGTCGGTCACGCCATCTGCGGTCAACGTCGTAGCTTCATGCAGTCTCAACTCGATGAAATATACGCTCAGCTCCAACATGACCGTGAAGCAAACTGGAAGTGTCATCTGGGATACTGGAAAATACCAGAAATCGGCCACCATTCCGTTGCTTACCGCATCGTATACTCTGATCATCTACGATGCCAGCAAGGACATTGGTGATGCCGCGAGCGCGGGACACCTGAGCTCGCAGAACGGCGGTTACGTCTTCGGGATGTACACCCCCCAGGCTTACACCCCACTCAATGGTGAGTACCTGCCCCAACGATCCTCGCTCAAACAGACTGCTAACTTTTTGTCCAGAATTCAAGTGCGCCACCTGCAGCGGCGCCCTGTCCGAAACCAGTCGCCTAGCCATCAAATTTACCGTCGGCATGGCCGTGATTACCTTCGCTTCGTTCACCTGGTTTGCGGGCAGTGCTGGCGTCCTCGCCACTTGAAAAGCACCTATTTGGTCCATCCGAATTGACTTATCATGAACATTTATTTCCATTTTGGGGCGTTGCATTGTTGAAGCGATCTCAATTTACGATAATAGCAAGAAAACGGCGTTGCGTGACATTTTTATTTTTATTTTTATATACTGTTTCCATTTCATCCTTACTCTTACCTGTTGATTTTATTTTTCATTAATTACAAGCGGATATGGTCAATTAGATTTCAATTTCTTGTATTTTCGGCTTTGCATACACAATACAACCTCTGCTTTCAAGAGGTTGTTCCTCCTCGATATCCTCAATTTCAGAAAGATCACCCACCTCTCACCCGGGCCTTACTTTAGCCTCAGTTTTCCTTTTCGGCTTGCACGCGGCGGCGGCAAGCGTCGAGGTAGATGAGGTTGACCTAGCTTTTGGAAATCTGGGTCCAGCGTGGGATATCTGGGGATCGGCTGCAGAGGTTCAGATACACGCGCCTGACTTGGTCAAAGATTACCAAGATCAGCAGCGACAACCAAACTTATCATCAAAAAAGAAAACCTAGGTCGCCAGCATCCTAGGCAACCATTTATATCAGTACACAAACATTGTTTACCCCCACCTTTATGAATTTCTCTCACTTCCTGCTCATTTTTTCATCCATGCAGTGACGTTCCCATCAACGTCACCTTTCCCCAAATTGTCTTCCATCCTTATCACTGCCTTTATTTCATTCCTGAACACGCGACCATCACTCTCCTTATGAATGTCTCCGGTGTTGTGGCGTTTAACGTGCTTGCGGACGTTACGGGTTTCTGCGCTTAGCTACCGGTATAGAACCAGCAAGCATATCAGTCACATTCTCTATCATACCGCTCTCACATCTAGGGACCCGACACCAAACCTTCAGGGATCCCATCAGGAGCTAGCCCGGTAACTTGACAGAACACCTGTGTTGAAGGGCTTTTTGGTGGAGAGTAACTTGATGCGATGACATCCATGTCAGGGTTTCGATCAATGGATCGAGACATTTAGGAACAAAATGTTTATGATTGATTTCATTTTTAAAGATTATCATTCACTTAGTCGCCATATTGCTTCCAACCTTGAAAGCTTAGTTGTTGCCTGTATGATCCATGGATCTATAGATATATGCCCAAAGGGTGTCGGGAAGGGTGTATTTAGCTAGCTACATTGGAGATTCAATCCATACTCTGTTGTTGATCATCTGAATCATCTTTTGCCCAATAGAAATATACTATGCACGCATCCGTGATATTCCCTTTATTGTGAGTTTTGAGGCGTTCAGTTCCACTTCCGATGCAATTGTGTCGATTATTGCGGCAAAGACAAACCAACACAAAAGGAAGCTTGATGTCTTACTTCTTACAATTGAAAATTTGAGTCTGTATGTCTTACAGATAAAGAAAACTACGGGAAGCTATTCAAGCGGTTCATTGACTGAAACTTTAGAAGACATGATGTAAAAGTAGCTATTTAATCTCCTTTTACCTCTTCTCCAATCCATGAAACTAATTCCTACCTACTTCCATCTGTCCTAAGTCGGAATTCCACACCTAAAATCCACACCCAAGCCACTACCGACAAAGTATCCGTAGCCAAAAGAAAAGAAAATGCCCTCCCAACTAGGCTGGATTTGGCCCAAAGATCCACGCCCCGGCAACCCACAACACTGGCCACGCCGCTGGCGCCTCTTTGATGTCTTAACAAGCAAAGGGCCTGACATATACGTAGGCCGAATCGACCAGCCCACATCCAAGACCAGAAGGTCATCCTCTCAACCCCGGTCCGGATCCACAAGACAAGAATGGTCCCGATGGGAGGGCAACCCTAACGACCCTGACTCAAACTACAGTCCACTCCCTTGGGCGCGGCGGCCTGCCGGCGAACGCTATGATTTCCGCACGAGGAAATACCACGCCCCGGACCATGGGACGTGGAGTGCTGTTGAGTATTGCAATGGGAGAAGGGCTCGGAGGGGGGAATGGACCGGCAAGGAGGAGGTGCACTGTGTGCCGATGCGATATTGGGATAGGAATGGGGTTGAGTATCCGGCGGAATTTTGGCATGATAGTATTTATGGGAAGCATGGAGATTGAAGGCAATGGATGGGATGGGAAGCGGCCGCCGAAAGAAAACGAGAGAAAGGAAAGAAAGAAATGTGGGGTGTTGGGAGGGCAGTTTGCGTGATATTGTGTTTGTTAAAAATCCAGATAGATCGCTTGAATGCTTCCAATCATTTTCTTGTTTTAAAACCAAGATAAGATGGATGTAGCCCAGTGGGCCGACGTTCTTCCAAAATTCCCCCTAGGTTCCAAGAATGGGTCAGGCTGATATATGGAGATGGATCCAATCAGAGGCATCCAAGGTGCAATGCGTCAAAGGTGTATATACGTGCTGGTCCACCACCAGACTGTTGATTCGCCTGAGGGCGGCGGAGAGTTGGCAGTTGGGCACCGTTATCAGTGAGGCGATTGCACTTCGCACATGGTGTCTGCTTGATATCTGCATAGGAAGAGATCATATCCTGCGCTGGTATTAGCAACAGTTCCCTTAGGGGTCAGAAACAGAACATACCAGCAAGAAAGCAAGGTCCCATTTCCGTGGGCGTGACCCCACACATCCCAGTATAGCATTCTCAAGTTTCGTGGGTGACCGGCCAGCGATCTTGCTCGATACCTCCCAGTCAGAGATCGGGGAGCCAGGGAAATATACCCCTTTGACCTGGAAGACAACACCAGCTCTAACAAGTGCTACCGCTAGAGAAGTCTCATCCTGGCCCTTGATAACCCGTACACCGGGGATATCCCGCTGAACAAACCGCTCCAAAACGTTTTCCCACTCGCCCTCAGTAGACTGCGCTTTATTACGTTCGGTCTCTTCGTCCTCTCGCTGACGCTCATCTACTTTAGACTTTTCCTTTTGTGCTAGCTCTTCGAGAAGAACGTCATAATCCCTTTCCCACTTCCCTGTCGGCTGAAGAAGCTGTCCGTTGGCTTCCTTGATGCGTGATTCAACATGCGCCCAGATGGATGTCAATTCCGGATCCCGCCACAATGACTGAAATTGCTGGACATCAGCGACACGTGCGCGTGCGGCCTCATCCAGACTAGCCCGGAGGATTCGTGGCGTTTCAGCGACTGGATTGCCGAGTGTCACTTTATCTGGGTTTGCAATAGGCACTAGAGGCTCCAGGAGGCCCTGGGGCATGAATCCACGGAGTTCATGAATCTGCACATCTCATTAACTTGGTTTTGTGGCAGAGCTGTAACAGCTCATGTACTTACCTTGCGCTCTAGTTCTTGTAGCTTTGCTAGTGATGAAACAAGTTGGATTTCTGAGTCCAGCGTTGAAATTTCGCTGTTGCCAGTTGCCGGCCCTTGGGTGGAGTTCTGATTGGTAGTAGCCATCGCCGGGGCGGTTGGCATGGCTTTTTGTGAGAGACTGGATTAAATGGTCAAATCCACCACAAAAATGCGCAACTATGGCCACAGGAGATGAGTTATATATAGATATATATTTGAATAGACACTTGAGTTTCGAAGTGGACAACCGAGCAAGGTGGAAGACAACGGGCTATCGAAGTGATTGTTTTGTGGGCGAAGAGACCACCCCGTGTTGTCTGTTATATAGTGAAATGTCAAAATAAAAATGCCCAGACCTGGATAAGGTAGTGTTCTTTGATGATGGATCACAGATAATGATATTTTGTCGCTGCTCCAGTAATGCGAGAATGAGAGGATGTGAGAGATGAGATGGGCCGTGGACCAATCAGGAAAACTTCAGCCACAATTCCCCGTGCCACAGGTGGCTGATGTAATATTTACATAATCTTGTTTTTATAGTTCCAAGGTTGATGGAACATTGTGCTTTTTAATTTCATTTCCCTTACATCTTTGATAAGGGTTCTTCAGTATGAAAAATCTTCAATTCTTAGTAACTGTCTTGAATCACAGCTTCACCATACCACATATGTACCTATGTCTTTGACCCTTGCTAAACGGTCTCACTCTGAGTGAGTCCAAGTTGAAACAAGCTTTTGTTGATGAACTTGCGACTTTGAAGAATAATAATCACTGCCGTTAAAGAATGATCTAGATGCAAGGAATTCTAAGAAGCTCCACAGGGTTCAATGCATGTTGCTTTGTTGGCCAACGAAGCTATAGAGAGTGGGTGATGGAAGAAGTCCTCCGTTGTCGCACTTCTGCAAGCTTCTTTGTATAATGAGCTCCCCAGCACGATGTCTCGACCTTGTTTGGTCTATAAAAAGCCTCATAGTTCATGTGCAATACTTCTCATCAACCTTCATCAACCCTCATCAACCCTCATCAACCTCCATCAGCCTTCATTAGGAGCCATCAGCATCAATCAGCAAAGCAACTTTCACACCTTGAATTCATCATGGACGACACAGGCGGGGCATTTCAACTCTTCGGCATACCTGCCAAGGCAGCTAAATACCTCAGACGGTCACCTCGCATCGCGGACCAACAGGCTAGGAAAGCCGAACAAGAAGCGTGGAGCACCTGCGGCGAGCCCAGCCAGTCCGTCTCCTCCGACATACATCCGGTTCTAAGACACGCCAATTTTGAATGTTACAGAATCTTATGCAACCGTTGTAGTCTAGTAATTGATGACTGCGTCGAGGTATGATCCAATTACAAGGACAATCTTAGAATTTTTGGGTAATTGCTAATCAGTTTTAGATGCTCAACGACTTCCATCTTTGCCTTGATGGTGCACTGAATTTGACTGGGGATGAACTCAAATTTCGGATTCGATGTATTCTGGAAACAAACAAGGTGTGGGCTCGTGGTTTGAAAAGGCAGCAAAGCTGAGAGGGCTGATATGCCTGATGAGACTTCCGAGGAGATGCAGATGTCATTTCATCGATCCTTGGGGAAGTGATTAGCTAGTGTCTAGTGTGATAGATCTTGTTCGTCAATAGATGTGGATTTTCAAGATAAGACCTGATAGACGTTGATTTCAAGCCCGTGCCAGCCAAAGTATAATTGAACAAGAATAGTCGGTCGCATCAGCGGCATCTGTCACTAACGACGTATCTCAGTAATTCTATTTTATTTGATGTAAGATAATTTGAGGGACATAATATTTAATAAATTTCTGGAGTATCTTTTTTATGTCTTTTTTAGTGTGACGACGAAGTCCATGGTTGTGGTGTGGTATGGTATTGGTGAACATGCGACTGGTTGAAGTAAGACGTCGGGTCTAGTGCTGGAATAGAGTATGTTTGAACATCCGTTGCCCCTGGCCTCGATATTATTACTTTTTTTGCTTGAGAGAACGACAAGACAGCTGAGCCTACCATAATTCTTGGCCGGGGTTACAGGCAGCAGCAGCCCCGAGCAGAGCCTCAAAAGGTGGGGTTAAAAAGGCTCAGCCCCCAATAAAAAAAAGGGTTGCAACATTCCCATCTTTTGAGACCATAATAATAGCAACAATGACAGACCAAAAGATTCCAGATACCTTCCTCCGGGGTCCAGCACCAAATGCAACCCTCCACAAACTCGATTTCGAGCACACATCTCCACCGCTCCCCGAATACAAAGGCCACTTCGCCGCTGTAGTGGACAACCTCTTGACCGAAGCCGAATGCAAAGAGCTCGTCCGTTTAGCAGAAGAATCAACAAGAACTCGACTCGCAGACTCAACCCTCTCGCCCCCCGCATGGGAACAGGCGATGACCAATGCCGGCGGCGGCAAACAAGTAATGTCCATTGACACGCGGAAGAGCGGACGGGTCATATTTGATTCGCCTGATCTTGCAGATAGAATCCTGGACCGAATGATGCCTTTTATGCGCGAATGCGAACTCGACCGCGTCCAAGGCAAACCCCTGGTTACGGGTCTTGGGCCAGCGAAACGGGGTGAAGTGCTCCGTCTCAGTCGGTTGAATGAGCGTCTTCGGTTCCTGCGTTATGAGGGTGGTGATTATTTCCGCCATCATTGCGATGCGTGTTTTGTTACGCCTGATGGGCTGGAGAGGTCGCTTTTCACTTTGCATTTGTATTTGAATGGGGAAGGGGAACAGGATATGGAGGAGTTGCAACCTCATATTGAGCGGGCGAATAAGACGAATTTGCTGTTTGCAAAGAATTGGGAGCTTGGTTTTTCTGAAGTTGAGTCAGAGGAGGGTCAAGTTGGTGATGGGAGTTGTCCTTCGGCTACGGAGTCTTTGGAGAAGAATGAAACTCTTCTAGGTGGTGCAACCTCATTTACGGCTGGGATGAAGTGGAGGGAGGCGGTTCGGATCTTTCCAAAGATGGGCTCTGTTCTCATATTCCAGCAAAGGAACTTGTTTCATGGTGGAGACGATGTGTTTAGAGGTGTCAAGTACACCCTACGGACAGATGTCATGTATACTACCGAGTAAAGAAGAAGTCAGGGCCCGTTCAAGATCACCTTTTGCCCCTGCTTTTGGACCTCTTTACCGAGTAAATCAGGTCTCAATACTGACCTGGACTTTCCTGTAGGCTGTAGATATGTATACTGTTGGTATGCGTATCATGATCTACCGTTGGTATGCGTATCATGATCTACCGTCACCGGCAGGGCTCACCTCGGCTTCCAGCCTTTGCGTGATTTCATGTTGGCAAACTAGTCATCACGGAGAGTAAATTCGCCACGGGCTTAAAAGCGGTATAAAGCGCTTTTACGAAAGAAAGATTGAGATGCGTGTGGTAAGAATAATTTCCTAGGTGGACCCTTTATAAATAGCCCACATACCGCCTTCCTACCCGGGGCAGGGCGCTGTGCCGGTAAAACCCGCCACACTGTCAGCAACGCTCTCGTTTGCTTCAATTCAGTTCGATGATTTCCGTGGGAATTGATAAAATTGACGCGATACGTCATGTGAAATCAACATTTCAAGAAACACGAATTTGGAGAAGGTTTGCGATCTGATAATCAAGAAAAAGGCGAACCCTCACAGCCTCAAAAGGCATTTAGCGGAAGGAGTAGCCAACAGAAAACCATCAATCTCAGGTATCTATCTGAGAAACAAGCGAAAACCTATGGCGAGGGGATCACTGCCTACAAAACACGAAAGAGTGAGGGGAAGGACCAGCAAATCGGTGGGTACTGCGGCCCCGGATTACTCGAGATCCGTTTATATTAAAGGCCTACCGAATAATAAATCGAAGGCTCATCTGCAATATCCTGTTAGCGGCCTCGGAAAACTTTGCAGCTGATGTGTGGCGAGGAGAACCAAAAAAGAAAACTGGTCATCAGCTGAACTGCTCGTTTTAGGCCTCAACCCCCTAGAACAGAGATGGTGAACCTAACGGGTTGGGTTTCCCAGAAATGAGTTATTATAATCTATTAATGCATAAAAATGTATTTAAATACAGTTCTAACAATTGTCCCTGATATGGAATGCGGTCCGGGGAAGGCGGCATGTCGGCTATTCACAAACATGCCCAGGACAATAATAATGTTCTCACCAACCCCAAGCAACTATCCACTTCCAATGAATATCCTTTGGCCTGGCCCCAATCCACACTTCTATCATTCTTCCGTAACACCATTCCAAGGGTTCCTGAGGGTGGCGTTAAAATCGTGGCGCGTAACCAGGGTTACAGGGTTCATCCAAAATAATTCTTACACTTGGAAGTCAGGCCATCATGCAATATATCAATCATTACTTCGTATAAGAGAATCCGGCACAGAGTCATCAGTGATCGACAGCCGGTCTGACCACATTTGCGGGGTGAAGCTGTAGCTATACCAACATCTGATTGGTTGGGTTTTGAAGATGTCTTAGATAAAATAGGAATTCATGTTGGCAGCCATGTGGAGAAATGAAGAAGAAGTAATGGAGAAGAATGCACAAATCATAGCTGCTAGGGCTGTCTCACTTCTACATGAGTCCGCACATAATCAAGACATTGTCGTGGAGCAACCTATTTCGGGTGTTACCTGACTTGACGTTACATCCATGAATCTTTATAGTTCTATTTCGAGCCTGACGAAAGGACTCAAGGTCACCTGCAATGAGCTCAAGCTTGATATCAGATATGCAGGAAAACACTTAAATAGCTTCATTCCTCCCATACTGTTCTCTTCATTCTCATCAACATCCTTCAAAACCAAATAACCCAATCAACTACTCAACCTCTCAACCTCTCAACCACCATCATGCAGCTCACTCAGCTCCTCCTTGCTACTGGCCTCTTCGCCTCCTCGGCCTTCGCTGTCCCCGCCGACACCTCTGCCAAGTCCATGATGGCCAACACCCCCCAGTGGACTATCAAGGACACCAAGCGTGTCTGCAACTCCAAAGACACCTCTTGCACTTGGACATTCGGCATCTACCCCGGCGCCGGCGATGCCACTCCCTGCACCTACGTCGTTAATGGCAGCCCTGCCTCCCGTGCCAACGGTGGCCCCGCCACCTGCGGCGCATACACCGTCACCTCCGGCTGGAGCGGCCAGTTCGGTGAGGGAAATGGCTTCACTACTCTCTCTGTTGTCAACGGGGCTCGCCAGATTATCTGGCCTGCCTACACTGACAAGCAGCTTGCTGGTGGTGTGGTTGTCAAGCCTGATCAGAGCTACGCCCCTGCTGCTCTCCCTTGAATGAAGATGAAATGATGCCTCGGAGTATGATCTCAATACTGTGTATATCAACCACTTTCCTTAATGACAATGAATGACAAGCGATTCAACATGTTTTAGCCTGTTCTCATATAATTCTTATACTTTGGATCCGCAGTAGAAAATAGGATAACCGCGTAGCATATAATGTTGTTCCTGGAAAATTCAGCGAGAATCAGTTTGTTAATCTCTGCTATACAAGGTAGAGAGGATTGGATGCAAGAGTTGTGAATTGACAGAAAAAGGTAGATAATCGAGGAGTTAAGTGACATTTCATTGAACAGAATGCCATCAGTATTTCTTTTGGGCGTGGTGAAAACCCCATGACTGATAAATTGAACGCGCGAATCAATAGTGTATGTATGGAAAATAACACTCAGCTATATATGGGCGCAATCCATTAGACCAATCTTTCAAACCCTATCAAGTGGCGTTCAGCAACCACTGGGGCATCCCCCCTACATCTTTACTACAGCAGGCTGTCTCCACACATATGGCGAGACTTCGAAAAAAGAATCTCCTTCCCGTGAGGCCAGGTCCATAATGAGCATATTTTCCAGAGTTTGTCATAATTGCGCTCGTAGATGCCTGTATGATTGGCTCTGCGATCATACACCAGCAAGTATCGGTCATAAATTCGACACCGAAACTCTCCAATTCTTCGATGAATCCGGCTTGACGGGCCAGGCCGTAAGATGATCGTCCACATGTCACCACAACCTTGATATTTTCAGACTTTACTCGACCTCGGCACAACTGAGCAAGTTTTTTAATCTCGGTAAAGGAGAAGTGCGGATTTCCAAATGAAATTAAATCAACTGGCAAATGTTTTGGTGCGGTGTTCAGCTTGTACCAGCAATCGACCAGTTGCTCTATTTGCACATCAATAAAACGCACATGGGGTCCCTTGTCCAATACTGCATCAAGAACAGAAGCTTCTGGGGTAATTCCCACAATATGGAACATTGGTGCGCTGGACATGGTGGCGAATGCTGCTCCAAAAGCCTTCAAGTCGTCCTTGGAGGGTGCAAGGGATTCTATTCCCACAACCACTGGAATCTTGTCCGAAGCAACACTCCCAACAAAATAACCAAGGATAGGGAAGAATGAATCATCGACATTATCGGCGATTTGCGTTCTGGGAACCCTCACGACAAGCGATGCCATCCTGTTGATTTCAATGTGTGGCCCGCCTCTGGGTACACGGCCAGTCAGGGCAATAAAGATATCCAGAAAATCCGGATATTTCATGGTTTTGGCACCAAGCACACTATTGGCATAAACAACAGCATTTGACTCCGCCCACGCCACCTGCTCGCCACGTTTTGGGGCGCTTTGAAGCTGGTAGGGCGCACACGTAAAGGTCGGCAGGCATCCCATATCACAATATGCGTTGGCTAATTTTGCAGCGGCTTCCCCAAAGGCAGTTTCAACCCCTTGCAAGGCCCAACGCTTCAGATCAATGGATACAGAGTTGAGAGATGTAGGAACCCGGACCTTTCCTCCCAAGTCGCGGAGTCTCTCTGCGAAAAGGAGAGACCCTGGTCCTGTAAAGACGCAACCGTCTACATGAACTTGAGTAACATCCATCAATCCATTTGCTCCTTGCAGCTCTGCCATTCTCAAAATGATTCGGATAGCAATGCGGGCAGCCTCTCCATGAGCTCCTTCGAGAAACGCTCTGTCAATTTCCGAGAGCTCAATCGTTTGCGCAAAGACTTTCCTCACTTTTTGCCAATGACTGTCAAGTTTGGTATTCAGTGCCCGTTCAGAGACATGCCCACCTTCGACATAGATTTTTCGGCCTCCTAGTTTCAAAGCTTTTTGAAAGTCTTCTGAGTTCAATGTGATGATTGGAATCGACTTTCCAAACATCTCCTCAGCCACCATGACTCCAAGGATAAGGATATCGTCCCGTCGCCCAAGGATAATCGCGCTTGGGCCCTTGTTGTTCAATAAAAGTTCTAGGATCACGCCACTGCCAGAACACGAACCTCGGCCCCCTGGAATGGCAAGAACAGTGTCCTGAAGATGATAGCCACTGAATGCATGATGACGATCAATGATCTCGCCAGTTTGAGGATTAACGCCGCCCCAAAAGCTCAACTCAAGCTCACTTGCAATAAGCGTGCCACAAGCTTTGCCCATGATGTGGGGTGTTCCCAAAAGACTCGCCGTGCTATATGACGCCACACTGAGATACCAAAGCGAAGCGAGGTGATACAACAGTTGTAATAATCAGTGTTCTTGAGGAGCAAAAGCCGGTTTTCTTTTAGTTTCCAGATTCGCGAAGAGGGACAGCCATTGCTTTAAATTGAAACCAAGGTCAAAAACGGCAATTGACCCTTTTCCCCTCACCCCCATTTTTTGGGAAAGTTTAACACTCACCCGGGCCGGGAGCCTAGTTACCTTTTGTTTCATAATTAGGCAAAGTCAATTCCATCCTTTGAAAACCTACTATGAAATGCCCGCTGAGTTCAAAATGGTTTAAGTAGAATTCGTCGATTTTTATGGGCTTCCTTTGAGGTATAGATATATTGAGACAGAACCCTGACTTCATATTGAAAGGATAGTCTAATCAATGAGCTTTCTTCGACAAACGATTTTGATTTTAGATCGAGTCATATCTTAGCTATACTAATTAGGCCAAACTGATATAGGGTTTACATAATGAATTTCTGCATTTCTACAAAAAGTATATTTTCACTTCTCTTCTCCATTCCCTTTTACTCGATCTTTGGTAAAGGGCTAGCTTCGACATCCAATAAATTCCAACGCGAAGTCACGACACGGCCGTCCTTAATGGTTGCCAGCACATGGCGATCAGGCCGATCAAAGACAGTGATATCATCCAAAGGATTTGCGTTCAAGATGAGCAAGTCAGCAGCAAACCCAGACGAAATCTGACCGAGGAAACTACTTTGCCCCAGCATCCGGGCAGCAGTGATAGTAGCGCTTCGAAGAATTCCCAACGGTGACTGCACAGTGCCCCGGAGGGTAAACTCTCTACTTTGGGCATAATGCAGAGGGCCTAGTAGATCCGTTCCAAAGCAGATATCTACCCTGATCTTAGTGGCGAGCTCCAGAGAGTGTAGGCCTTTGTCCAAGACTTCGCGGTTCTTCTTGGCAGACACTGGAGGAAGGAAAGGTTCCATTGACGATTGCATGAAAGCGCCTCCGCTTGTTGGCGATTCTCCACGCCCCAGTGAGTCCAAATTCCTCATAGAGCAGGGCTGTTCATGGTCTCGGCGGTGCATAGATGCCAAAGCCTTGTTGACAGCCACCTGAAAGTTGCTGACGTACTTAAGGTTATTTTTGGCAAAGTCACTGCCAGAGGTCATGTATCGCAGAGCATCCATTGCCGAGCTGACTTTCGAGTATGATTCGAGACGTGGGCGCAGGATACTATCCAGGAGAACTATGATGACTGCGGAACTGCAGGTATGGAAATCGGTCTGAGAAAAGCGACCTAATTGTTTGCGAGACCTGAGAAGATCAATTAGGTCAATTATCTGTGCGGCATGTTTCACGCAAGTCTCTGATAATTCATGGCCTTCCCCTCTGGTGCCATAATCACTTCTTTCGGGCTCATGCTTGCTAAGTAAACTTCGTACCCTATCGATCAGGGCAGCACGACCGATGTAGATCCAGATCATACAGTAGTCAAGCTGTAAATGCGCATTTAGTCGCAAAGAGGCATCATTTAGTATTGTTAGTTGAGCTGGTAGGTCTGCCTTCCAAGACAAAAGCTGGCTTCGGATATCTTCTGTCGAACACTTATCGAAGGTCCTGTTGAGAGAGTCAGCATGCCACCGATGTGGAGGGCACTGACTTCATCGAAATCAAGATCCGCTTCTAACCTCAAGAAAATGACGCGGTTGAGCAATAGAGTCAATTTTGTATATGCCAACAGCCTTTCAGCTCTGAATGAAATCGGAGAATCCAGGTCGGGTCGTCTTTGGGGAAGGGGGCAGTCGATATCCTTGCTCTGAAGCGTCTCGGGATAGCCAAGAGAGAGAGTAACACGTCTAGAACGTCAGTAGGGGAAAACCTTGGATTCAAGCACTGGATGAAAAATTGTACCGTTCGATGCTGTATGTAGTCCAGAAAATACGATTGCGGACTTCTAAAAGTGACGGAGATATAGCCGGGCCTGCTGACTTTCGGTGAAGACCGTGGCAGATCGCGATGCGTAGTGCAAGACCGAGATAGGTGTAGCAAGTGTTAGTGTTATGAATTGGCAGAGCATATAAGGCGAGTATTAGACAGCTTAACAGGCCTTCCAAGGATGGACAAGCTATTATCTGAGGCACAAGCTTCTGCGCATGCTGGAAATAACTCGTCCCTGGAATTCCCGTGTGAACTGCAGTCATGATTTGCGAGTGGTTCAAATGATCACCCTGGTAGAGATGAACAAACTGGCTTCCGAGAGCGAAGACTGTCAAGGTTAAACAGATGAACTTGGGACTAGTGAAAGTTGGTGAGAGGCCACTGTCATATAGTCCGAATAGCTGGTATCTAAATGAGGTTTCATCAAAATAATACCAATTTGCCTCGGCGTATGAGAAAAACAATGAAATAAGAACCTCGGCACCGGCTCGGGAGGGAAAATCTTCCAAGATCTGCTCTATGAGGACATCCTCATTTCCGTAATATGATTCATCTGTCGGGTAAAATGAAGTCTGTTGAAGAGATACAGTCGACAACGGTCAGAAAAGGCCTCCAAAAGAAAATCCTTTGTCATGTAACATACGGTATCCTCTGTGAAGTCCGGTCTCTCAGATCGGGAAACGGCTGCAGTGGCAGACGCGAGAAAATCTTTGTGCGCCAATATATCATCACCTCCAGTGATGTTGTCAGTTAGGGCGATTGCAAATTCTGGGCTGGTTCTTTCCATACTAGGTGTTCGCGCTTCCGCTTTGGGGTGGGTTTTTGCAAAAATAGGTGCAGTCTCATGCGGCGATGGATGTCTAGGAGTATGGCAAAATGCACATCCTTCTTTTGAAAACCCCTCCTCTCCAGACTTTTGGCCTGAGACCATAAATATCTCTAGGAGAAAAGAAGAATGGTCGGCTGTCAGACCAATCTCCGGATACGACTTGTTAAACTGTGCAATAACATCGTCATGGTCGATACTAATTCTGCTGCGAGGATTTAGATTGCATCACAATACGGGGAAAGATGATTATGTGCATTTACCGAGATGCCGATGGAGCTGGTATATCCTCTTCCGTCTCAAAGATACAAGGCAGATTGCTTTTCCTGCAATTCCGGCATATGTCTAAAGTCCCCAGTATGCATCGCCTTTTGCGTTGATCCAAAGGAACTCTGGGGCGGAAACGCTTGGATGAGCCTTTTTGGAGAGATTCAGACATGTCTAAGACGATACTTCACCCGCTGTTATACAAAATAGAGGTTTGGGGCTCATGACCAGAGGGCAGTGGATGAGACCCAAGGCTTTTTTGAGAGGCGGGGGGAAAGCGGTCAGGAAGAGGTCCCGAAACCCGGGTCCCCATTTGTTCGCTGTTGATAGGGGGTGACAAAGGTAAGTGCACTATAGACAGGGTGAGAATCTGGGTGAGGATCCTGCGGGCCGGCGCGATCACCACACGGGCCGCCTAGATTGTACAATGTACATCGAATTTTCAAGTGGAGATGGATGGGAATTGTTAACAGATTGCCTGCTCAAGGATTGCCATGTTTGCTCATTTTGCATCGAATCTTTGATTGATATGGGGGCTACTAGACTATATAAATTGTCTTGGTATAATCAATCCTGTGTTCTCAATCTCTGGATGAAATAGCCGTTGAAACGCTTTATGCGGACATAGATTCACGTTCCTCCTGCCACCAAACATTGATACTCTCGTTATCCTCTGCAATGTCGATTGGAGTCTTGCCTTCTCCGTCTTTCGCCATAGGATCAAGTCCCTTAGACCGGAGAAGTTGAAACCAGGGCCACGCAGCCAAAGATTCGAACACAGGCGAGGTGAGCCCAGCAACAAAATGCAGCAGCGTCTGCCCTTTTGCATTCGTCTCCTGGATGTTGTAGCCGGCCCTTGAGAATTGATCGATGACATCTTGACCAATGGCAAAATATCGGTTATAAGAATCCTCATCACCGAATCCATCGTGGCTGACCGTGCAGAAGATCTCCAGGGCTGTCATGCCTTCCGCATTACGTGCTTTGGGGTCAACACCGTCCTTGAGAAATCCCCGAAGAAGACGCCTTTGCTCATCACCCATTCGATCCCTTTCTCCTAGTCTACTACCAGCGAGGTAGTGAAGAACGGTGTTTCCGCGCCCATCCACAACAAGAGTATTGGCGTTCGCAGCGAGAAGGGAATCCACCGCGGTTTCGAAATGATAGATTGATTCCGGACCTTCTGGCTCTGGGAGCATAATAGAGTTCATTCGCCAGATAGCAAGATGCAAAGGGTACAAACCAGCCTTGTCAGGCTGATTTATAAGGCTGGAACAGTTTTTAATCAGTTGCGCAAGTGTAGTATCGATAGGTGGTGGTAAGGTTGTCCAAGTGGAATCGGTATAGGTAAACAGCTGGTGAAGGGCGTTTTTTCCATAATTGTCAACTGCCAGTAGATTGGCTCCGCGTGACATGAAAAACGAGAGAAAGGTTGGGCCAGCGCAAGCCTTCGAGTTCTTGCCTTCAAACCCCCTCCACGGATTGTCTGGTTGAGGGTAAGGGTTTTCGTGGATTCCAGTGTCATATGGTATTTTGCTGAGACCACCATAGACACTACTGGTTGCAGCATCTGGACCTACTAGGCTCCGACAGGCCGCAAGAAATAGTGTGCGACCCTGGGGATCTCGTCGCTCTACATCCAGCGTGTCCCCCAGAAAGTCGAATATAGGCTGGACGAACATGCCGCTCTCAAGTAGTACATGAATGACACTGCGCACCCCGTAATTAACGGGCAGATCCAGATACTCAATACAATCATCAAGACTGCCTTCAAAATCTCTTATGAATTCGTCCAGATTGGGATTGTACACTCCTTGCTCGAGATGGCGCCGTTTACGTTCGAGTCGTAGGGCTTTTTCGACGATGCCCCTGCAGGCGAATCCCACTTGATCAAGCTCTGACGCCTCGTCATCTACTTCTGCGTCTCTTGGCTTCCCAGGGTAAAGACCGACATATCTATATTTGAGGATCGGCTGCCGATACAGCACATACGGGTCAGCGCCATGCTGGAGCAAGGCAGTCATAAGATCCGTGGCTTTGGGCTTATCAATATAGCCGTCAGCGCTTTCGGACTCCCCCGCGGCTCGGCGAAGGGCGGGTAGTTCAGTCAGGTCGAAATGGAACAAAGGAGGTGCAGTTTTCTCTTCACTAGCCCAGTCCTCGGCGACTCCCGAGAAAACAGAATCTAGGTTGTCAAATCGTGCATTTGGGTCGACACCGGCAGCTAAAAAAGACTCAACACGGTCGATGCAGCCTATCCTGACGGCTTCCCATAACTCAAGAGCCGCCACATCTCGCACTTCAGGTAGCATTGCGATAAGAGCAAATAATGATGTCGCTTGGCCTGTGGAAGGCAGGAAAATAGAAATCAGTTCAGGGTTTCTGAAAAGCTAGGAACGTCCACTGTACTCACTCCCAGGTCATTTATGTAATTTATGTACCTATGGACCCTCAGACCGGGGGGAAAACAGCTACGTACTTAAGAGTTCAAACCCCTTACGTGGGGGACTCCATAATTACGCCAACCAATGGACTCGGGTCCCACCACTCGCATTCGGGATCTGCGGTCACAATCTTGTATGGAGTTTTGTTCGGGATAAGGTGATCCCACAGATGTATCGGGACTCATAGCTTCCCTCACTGTTCTCTCTTTCCTTCTTCTCTTCTTTTCCCCAGTCTCTTCTTTTCCCCCAGTCTTCGATAGATCAATACATTCTGCATTGCTTCTCTCTCTGTTTCCCCAGTCAAGTTTTCCTTTGTATTTTAACAAGCTTTCAATTTTTCATAACAATATTTGATAGAAATATGTATATACAACAATCAAACAGACAACAATGCATATCCCGTATACATGCCATCCAAGTGAGAAATTAAATGAAAAGCAGACAGGTAATTCAATCATCTCTGAAAGTTCGAGTCTTCCACTCAGAGATCACTTGAGCTGCACACCTTTAGGAAGCTCGCGTTTTGCCCCCTCCTTCGCACCTATGGCTGACTGCAAGGCAGTCAGTCCAGTGATTGGGATCTTCTTCCCGATATTGGACACAGGCGGTGGTAAGCGCATTCTGAACGCCTTCAACGCCAGAATTTTTGGTTAAAGTACCTGGGCCATCCAAAGCTGTGATCGGGCCTGCAACCGATTGGATCTTCTTGGTGGCCAGCTGTAGTTTTTATATAATTATAGGCTTTCGTAGGGGCCTAATAGAGGCCCGTGATAGGCCGAGGATTAGGCTTTAGGCCCAGGGTCCGGGCCCATCTAGGCTTTACGGAAGCCTAGATAAATTTAACCTCCAAGTTTGCATTAGCAATGCAAACCAAGTTAATTAGTGACTAGTTTGTGAGATATCCTTCTTGGGAATGCGATAGAAAACGGTATCTTCCGGGGGTGAAGGGCTTGGCTGCGTCACTGAATGCCTCCCTCGTACTTGAAGAGGAGCATGCTTATTGATGAGTCAGTCCAGTGCCACGACATTCTCATTAGTGGCATATGACGTATACAATTTCGGGCTTTTTCATGGGTTGCTATATGTAGGCCGTTTTCCTGAAACTTAATTCTAAGAGACATATCTTTGACAATGAAAGCGTTCAATTTCACCGACCTTAAGGACATATGGCCCTCTCTCTTAAGGCTTCGTTGCCCTCTGAAACCTAGCGAACAGAGAATGGCGATCCATCATCTTGGAATATTGGACGATCTAGCGCGAGACTTAAAAGTAAGCTCGAATGGTCTGGAAAATGCACGGAGGCTGGCCAAGGGCTACGAAGATCTCGTGGTTGTGCTTATCGAGCCTACCAATAAGGCTGAAGAGGTACATTATGACGAGATGTTAGCTGCTTCAGAGACACTGCTTTGCGTGAATGAGACCCTCCAATTTGCGTCTGGTGGCCAAAGAAACATCGAAAACACCATCATCTTGGATATCAGGGCATTTCGAAGCGATTCTATTCGAACCAGCCAAATTTCGAATGATCGAACCCGTGATGACGAGTTGGCGTACGGCAATTTCGAGAGAATTATGAGCCTTTTGCGTCCTCGTGTGGTTGTTGCCTGTCAATGCGCGACAACTGAAGCAAACAACCAATTCGTGCAAGGGCTTTGTTCATCTATCAAGAGAGCCGGAGACATATGCTTTCAGCAACTCCCAAACGGACACCAATGCCTGTTGGTAAAAAGCTTTCATCCTATGGGCTATAAAAGATCGAAAGATTGTGCCTTGAAGAGGGTCATGCTTGAGTATTTATTCGATGCCACATTTATAATCGCGTTGAATGCACTGGCTGGTGATCGGATATCTGGCGTGGGGTTGAAAAATCTTCAAAATTGCGCGCAAGATGGACCCGCTCCAATCTTTTCGCCCGAGGAAATCTATATCTCCTACCAGTGGATGAGCGGGAGGAACGCTGCATCGGGCAAACTCTTGAAACACTTGCAATATATCGGGAACTAACTCGTATGTTTCTGTCCAGCCTATGAAGCTCCTGAAACTTATGACATAATAGGACAAAATCGATCAGGTTCTCGCCGAATATAAGCGAACTAATATGGGGTATCATTCCCTATGTGATCTATATTTGAAAAGAGACATATTAGAGGTATTCGCACGAGACATTAAACCTTTACCAGCAAACCAACCCTTGCCTCTTAATTCCATCTAAAGGTTCATGCAGTGTACAATCACCTGAATAATGTTTGGGGTGAGAAATTACGAGACACGTCCATAAGATGCAACTTAGAGGGGAGGAGTCTTGGTGGCATTAAGCGATGTCTGACCTTCTCTAAGTGACACATAAACGGTCGTCACTTGGTTGAAAATCATGGGGAGATATTCTCAGACGGCCATCTGCGCGGTATATACAGTTCCCCGTTATGGATCATGTATAAGACAAGCTCAGTTTGAAGGTCACGTTTGGCGCTATCTAAGTTCACCTCGGTATTTGTCGTTGAGAAACACCGTCTCTCGTGGGTTGTTTCAGGGTCGGGGTATGCGATCTACCGAATGAGCTACACCTAGTGATTTTCAGCTGCCTCGATATACTGCTCGTTTAGCTCTATCACAAACCAATATATTCTTTAGATATAGGGCTACGGTTGAAGAGCCTCAAAAACTATCGTTTCTATTGGCTCTAGAGAGGTGGACTAGGCAAGCACAACTTTCTCAAGGTCTGACCGCTGTCAATACTCATACTATCTAGATACAGTTACTACTTTTCTTACAGCCGTTGTCTCAAACTTCGTTCGCTAGATGCCTTCGCCGATAAGCAGTTGAAAGCGAAGCGCCGGAAAGGCGACACTGAGAGTAGAAGCCGATTCTGCCTCTAGTGTGGGGTCATGAATAGGAGTTACCAGCCGGGGCAGTTTATTCATATTAGAGACTATCCCTATTTTGCTTGTGGCGTCTGCTGGGGCATATGCGGTTCGAGTCTTTACTGCATGTTTTGTGGCGTATGCTAGTGCCGCCTCGAAAGGCAATGGAGTGAGCCAAATTCTCGCCTCGGACTCTTGTTTGATTTTCTCTTAATAAATCGATCGATCGATGCTAGTGATACCAGTTTGTGAAGTATCAAGGTGGTGTTGATGTTTGCTTACCCCGGCATTGGTGTTTGTCGTGGCCTTGCCTAGCGAGGTTGAGGCGTAGATATCACTGCCAGAGATAGACTAGGTGGAAGGTAACTGTCCCCGTTGCTTAAGGCATTACATTAATTTATGACAATTAGTGTAACCTTGTTTCCTTATGTAATTGATAACGAATGGGACGGATAATGCTTTTGAGGTGTCGACCCTTTCTTCCTACATAAGCGTTCGTCCTTTTCTACCTCTTACATAACTAAGCCCGTGCTACTTGCTGCCGTGGAGAACTAATCAGGTTGGGCTAACAAGGTTCTTGTATGTATTTTCCTATTGTTCCTGCTCGCCATTATCATTCGTCAAGGGTGTCTGTTCTCTTCTAGAAGCGCCTACCCAAGCTGTCGCGGAATTCCCGTGGCTTTGATTGTGCTGTGCGTAAATATGAGGGACAACTCGTATAACATGGACTACATGTCGTGTATAAGCACTATGCGTAGGCAATTTTCCGCCCGACCCCATAGCAATAGCTAGTTGTCACTTCAATAATTTAAAAGAATCTTGGGTAACTTTATAATATTATGTAAGAGAAGGGATGATAAGATCCCAACATATACGCAAACAATGATTTTCTCCAATCTCTCATAAATCGGACAAAAGTCAAAGAGGAAGAAACGACTTGGATATATACCTATTTCGCAGAACTCTTAGGCTCCCGACGCTTATCGCGTACACATATCTCCGCGGTTAAGCCCTTTCGAAGGGGGCGGGAAGTTTCAAACAAAGAAGAGGCGGTGATTAGATCGCTGAGCTTATGGTATCCATAAGTACGAGGGTCGAAGTCAGAGTATTTTTTTAGTGAGGAGCAGACCGACGTTAGAGAGTTTAGCCCATCCATCGTCGTCGGAGGCTGCCTCTACCGTGGTTCGCAGCTGACTTGCTAGATCGCCATCTTTTTGAGCCTGGAGGGCTGGCGAAAGATTTCCAGGCACGCTAACACTCTGAGCATGTGGTGCAAGCTTATCAAGATGCACGAGGTCTTCGGTATAGATAAACTTATCGCAAGCAGTGACGAAGGGCTTAGGCGTCTTACGCTCCCCGACTCCATACACGATTAGTCCTGACTCACGGATACGAGTGGCTAGCCGGGTAAAGTCACTGTCGCTTGAAACAAGACAGAACCCATCATATCGGCTAGAGTACAGAAGATCCATCGCATCTATGATCATAGCTGAGTCTGTCGCATTCTTGCCGTGGGTATACGCGAACTGCTGAATTGGTTGGATTGATTGCTCAAGAAGCTCATCCTTCCAGCCCTTTAGATTGGGGCTACTCCAGTCTCCATACGCCCGCTTCGCATGAGCTGTGCCATATTTTGCGATTTCGGAGAGTAGCGAATTGACGACGGAGCACCGCGCATTGTCCGCGTCAATGAGAACCGCGAGTTTGGGAATGGTATCACCGACCATGACCGGGGATGTGTATGAAGTGAGACGGTTAGATCACAACGAACACTTTGGGAACGTCATATTAGCGATGTAGTTTCTAGCCTTGCTACCATCAAGTGTATTTATCTAGAAATCGGGTCCATATAGGCACAAGTCATGACGTATATATGTGATTGATTATCTAGGGGCGGGGTTGGAGGTGGGGCATGTATAGTTGCTCTGTAATCTATGTAAGAAGGAATACAGATCCAACAGACATGGATAGATCGGAGTGATTCCCAAAATGTACAGTGTCTTGACAAGTAGGATTCAAGAATCAATGAAAGAGTGTAGGTGGTGACACCAGTTTCGGGACATACTGTACGGCAAATCTGAGTGTATATAACCTTTCATCAGAATATTGAGTATCTTTCGGTCTATTTAGTCTAAGTAGTATTATTTAAAGGGACTACCTTAAGACGATCTAGAAGCCGGTTAAGACTAAACTAGATAATATAAGTAAGGTGAGGAATTCGGATAATATTTATATTATTAGATAAAGCTTACTAGAGGGAATTAGCTAATATCTTATTATTAGATATATTATTAACTAGTCATTGATCTAAATACACAATAACTAATTAATAATTAAGTTCTGTATATAGTCAGCTAGATGGCTGAGAACATGAACAGTAGCAGTAGCACAGCATAGATATTCCCCTCGGGCACTTTCAAGCACCCCGATGGTCTTTTTAGGCATCCTATGGATCAAAATACCAAGTGTGCTTGAATAATGTGCATGATTCAGTGCAGCATATTATAGTTCTTTATATTTGTATGAAGCTGTGTTGGAATTGGAGTTAGTAATAGTAAAATTGAGCTCGCTTCTTGCTTCATTGCTCGAGTGTAATGACATTTCTCATGCTTTCTCTGCAGCAAGAGAAAACTCAAGCTGTACGTTATTCTTAGATAACTTAGATGAACTAGCACCACAAGCGGGATAAATACCGTGCGGACCTTCAAGATACGTAGCATATTACTACAATGCAACTTTGGATCAACTCAAAGCCCTAACTTCTTTCCCGCCTCGCCACCGATTGTCTCCATCAGTCTCCGACGAATGTGCTCTCCGACAACAGTCACCTCCCCAGATCCATCCAAGGCATGGCATTTAAGATCCAAGTTTCCGTTCATAAAGAAAGGGGCACTATATCTCGCCTTGGTGCTGGAATTCACAACCCGATGAAGCGCACTGCGGTAGTACCCAACCGTCCACTTCTGCATCATATCGCCCATATTAATCACATATGAGTGTGCTTTTACCGGCACGGGAACCCAAGTCTGCGTTGGAGGATATAGAACTTCTAAACCCTCGGTCCCTTCTTCCTGTAGCAGGACCGAGACGTTACCAAAGTCGGTGTGCTCGCCCACTGTATATTTTCAGCTTTAGTGTGATAAAAAAACACAAAGGTAGCTGTAGTTAATCAACGCACCTCCAAATTGGTTTGCCTGCTTGGTGGATTGAGGAGCGTAGTAGAGCAACCGCAAGGGCGCTGATGGATCGACCGTCAACTCATCAAATATGCCAGTTGGGCAGTTCCACTCGGCGGGAAGGCCTCGAGCCAAGATCTTCAGGATGACCTTCACCATCTCGATCATCTTGCCGTGGTATTTCATGATAGGGGTACGGAAGTCCTCATCACGAAGCGCCTTTGGCCACTGGTTAGGGCCGGTATGAAAGGTCCCTGCCTCGGGAGCATCTGCTGGGGTCTCTCGACCGAGAATAAACCCCTGTTTGACAAACAGTGAGTACGTACAATATTCGGAAAGGTTGCGTGATCTCACCTCTTTGGTATCAGGCAATAATCCCTCCTTATGCACCTGCAGAGCCGGCGGCTCGTAGCCACGGAACGACCTCCCCATGGCCTTGCCAATCCATGTATCCATCTTGTCCTCCTTAGGGAGGGCGAAGTACCGACGAGTGCACTCGAGCACGGCTTGGCGATCCTCTTCAGAAATGCCATGCCCGACGAGATAGAAAAAGCCAAAGGTGGAGCATGCATCGCGCATGGCGTTCACAACCTCATCTTTAGCGGCTGGTGGGGCATGTTCGTCGAGCCAGGGGCTGATATCCACTGTCGGAATGGAGGTTGGAGGGGTAGTATCAATGCTGCCCATATTTTATTTCTTAGATTGGGTAAGTCTTTGAAATGGGCGCGAAGACGGCTGACCCAACTGAAGTTATATGTCAATTGTTGTTTCCTAGACTGGTGAGTTATTGATACTACTAGCAGAATCTTTCGAGTGGATGATTCTCCGACGCGAAATCTTGTACCAGTGCTCATATCGCCTTATCAATCTATTTACATGTAGGATTTGAGATAATACTCCGGATCACTTAACAGGTGAGAGAGGAGAGAGGAATACCGAGAATTCGTATATTAATCTGGGGGGAAAATTGTTATGTTCAAGATAAGCGTGATATCAGCACAAAAGCCAACCTTGGAATGGGGCTATCATTTTGAATTAAACAGACATGAGATTAAATGATTTTGTTGAAATCCTATGCCAATTCGTAAAACTATCCTCAGCGCAAGGTCATAAGTGATGTATAACTTCGGACAAATCGAAATTAAATCGAAATTAAATCGAAATTCGCTTTCTGTGACAGTCAAAGTAACTCCGAGGGATGACTTTTAAGGATTTTCCTAAAGGTTTCTCCGACGCATCAAAACCAAGTCCCTGCTGACATATCTTCTCACATAACCTACCCGCGTACCTCCGTAAAAGCAGAAACCAAAGCAACATAAATGCCATCCCACCTCCAAAACCTAAACTACAGTCAAATCACAAGATATCTTCTATTCCTTTGATTACCAACCTACACAATGTCAACTGGCAAAAAGGACTATCTTGTCCAAGCCCCCATCAATCCATCCGCTCTCCAAGCCTGGGCTTCAAATCGCGCTGCACACGCGGCGCACTTGAAGCCTTATATCCTCGACGGGACCATTGTATTTGGAGGACCAACGCTCGTTGCACATCCCAAGAGTTCCGAGGACACGATTGAGGTGCGCAGTAGCGTGTTATTGTTCCGAGCAAGTACAGAGGATGAGGTTCGGGAAATCATAGAGAAGAACCCATTCGTCGACGCTGGGGTTTGGGATATGGAGACAGTTGTCATTGCGCCCTTCATGTGTGGAGTCAGAACTGCTATGTAATGTTCTCGCCCTGTGAAAGTTACACATATAGTTAGTCTTGGGAATACGGCTCTGTGGAAGAGAGAAACAGGGGAATGGCAGGGAGACACTTACCTACTACGAGGGTCCTATGACCTCTGGATGCCTCAGGGTTTTAACACTCACAGGTTTTGAACACTCAGCATATTTTAGTCTTCACAACTTTCAATGCTGGAATAATATGATCTGGTTGGCAAAGCAAAGCTCAGTGTTGATTTTCATTACTATTAAATCCTATGGTCGACGCGTATGGCATCTGTCCAAATTCCAGCAAAACGATTTCATTTTCATTACCCTTCTTCCGTATGATCAAACCCAATTATCATGCCTTGATATTGAGCTTTGGCCCATACTTGAAGACCCTAATCGCCGCGTAGCCTAGTCCCGACACACAGGTCGGAACGCCACCGAACACCCACAAACTGTGCCAATCAAGCGATCCGCCACCGTTCCTGAGAATTGCACCACTGCTGGGACCACTGGCCAGCACACCCAGTGCAATAATCGCGTACCCCATGCCAACACGGGTGCCCAGCTTCGACTTGTCCGTCGTAAGAATGGCTAGACACATAGGTGGCAGTCCGATCAGCGCACCACTCATGAATCCGGACAGCACCGCCATAACAATGACTGCGGCCTTTGAATGTACTGCCATCATGCAGAACATCAACAGCCCCGAGGATAGAGCAGCGGGGATGAGAAGGTTAAAAGGGCCGAAGCGGTCGGCGAGCTTGTTCGGGATTGTACGACCGAACACCGAAGCTGCATTGAAGATGGGCACCATGTAGAAGGCCAGACTGCTATCCGTGATGCGAGTTGCCTCGGCGAAGAATGACAGGTAAAACAAAATAACGAACAGTCCCATGTACGCAATGAGCGAGGTAAACACGAAAGCCAGATAAGCCGGGTCCTTGAACGCGGTGGGATCGACCATGGCGCGCACCTTGGGTGGTTTGACTCGTAGACGCATGATGCTAATTGGAACGAGCAGTGTGCCCAATGCGATGAATCCGATAACACGCACTGCCCAGGGGAACCCTATTTGATTGATGAGTCGGTACAGAACGATGGGGTAGATGACACCGCCGAGTGCGGATCCCGAGGCGGCCGCGCCCATTGCAGCGCCCATCTTGGTCGTGAAGTATTGAGGGATGATGGCGACACATGGAACAAACAGGCAACCTGTTCCAATTCCGACGACGAATCCCTGCGCCAACACGACTTGCCAGTATTCGGAGCACAGACTCAGCATCATGTGCCCGAAAACAACCATGAAAGAGCCTACAATGAGGAGCGTTCGAAGGTAGCCGCGGTCGTAAATGGGACCGACAAAAACTCCAACAAACAACAGCATGAAGGCGGCAATTGAGCCCACCCAGGAGATGTCGGACGAGCTAGAGTGGAAGAGAGCACCGGACTCATAGTAGGTTTGGTAGGCGCCGAAGGTGTTCAGGATACCCCAGGTGTTGAAGTAAAGCATGAAGCTGCCCAGCACATTGAGCCATGCTAGCGTACCACCGTTCGGAGGTGGAGAAGGTCCAACAGTGGGCTTTTCTTGAGGAATGGATTCTTGAGGGAGGGCAAACTCCTCGCTGGTCTTGTCAGCCATGTCGATTTTTCGTTATGAAATTGATCAGAGACGAATTGAAGAGACAGATGGAAGCTTATTTCCATATTGAAATCCCCTTTATACATATGAGCTTCACATGTCGGGATATTGCCCCCATTCGGCCGTCTCTCGGAGTCACTTCATCATTGAGCCTCCCGAGATGTTAACCCCATTAGGCAATTCCCGGAGATTAGCCCCATTAGGCTGTGTCTCGGGGTTATCACTTCAGCCCTAACGTCGATCATAAAGGTTACTCCGACCGTCCAATAAAATCCATCTTCGTCCCCGTCAGGAATGTTTAAGTCCACGGATGACTCCGCGACCCTTTGTCGTATACCAGCTACCTATTATGGTCGTATTTCCTCCATTATTAAGAGTTGCCTAGCTTGGCAAATCTAAATGTTTTCTGACGGCGTTTTGTTGTCTAATGACTTGTGCTGACACTGTGAACTAGACGTTGCTAGTAATGGCGCCAGTCGTAAGATCGTAGATAGCGAGATGGTTCGACTTCCATGGAGTTGCTACACCTTTCACCACCCACCTGTCCGCGACGAGGATATCGAAATCATCCGCCCTCCCAGCTTGTCTTCGTCGAGCGAGGTGGCTCCTGCATCACCTACAAACCATCAACATGGACACGTCGCTGGATCTGCCACGCATTCTTTGCCTCCACGGCGGTGGCACCAATGCTCGTATCTTTCGAATGCAATGTCGCGTACTGGAACGAATGCTTCGGTCGCATTTTCGCCTTGTCTACGCCGAGGCTCCACTTCCAGCACAGCCAGGATCCGACGTGACAGCCGCCTACAAAGACTACGGGCCCTTCAAAGCGTGGCTACGCGTGCATTCACAAGATCCCATTCTGAATGAATATCAAATCGTGGACGGCATAAAAGATTCCTTATCCACCGCTCAACTAGAAGACGATAACCGGGGAGCGACTGGAGAATGGGTTGGGATACTGGGATTTAGCCAGGGAGCTCATCTGGCTGCCAGTATCCTAGCAAACCAACAAGTACTGCACAGTGGAACAAATGCTATTTACCGGTTTGCTATTCTGCTAGCAGGACGAGGCCCATTGCGATGGTTGAACCCGGAGTTTCCTATGCCTGCGGGTTTCATCGACGCGACGCAGTGTACTACGGGCCAGGAACTCGTTGTGGACACTACTGAATCCCGAGTGCAAATCCCAACAGTACATGTCCATGGTATGGCGGACCCGAACCTGATGCTGCACCGCAGGCTGCTTTATCAGTATTGCGATTGGAAAAGTACAACGCTGGTCGAGTGGGATGGCGAGCATCGTGTGCCTATCAAGGCCAAAGACGTTATTCTGGTTGTACAAGAGATTTTCAATGTGGCACAAAGAACAGGTGTGATCGGGACAATATCAAGCTTCAGAATGTTCTGATATCCTCTTACCTTTCATTCTTTAGACTTTTCTTTCCACATTTTCCTTTTCTCTTTTCGTTTTTGAAAAGGGTCATATATTTTCCTCTAACATTACAGTTAGTACGCAGGCTGTGACCTGTAACTACATTGTAGAGATAAAAATTCCATTGCACATACATAGCTTGTCTAATTCCTGTGTTTTCCAAGGTTGATTTTCATGAGTGGCGTGCCCAATGAACGCTTCGATATGATAACAAGCTGTAAAACGAGCAGCCAGTATAAAAAATATATTTTATATAAGAGAATTGAATTTTTTTACATTTAGCATTACTTTTTCTCGGACTTTCTTTTCAGTACCTACTCGGGCATACCAATTGTTGCTAGTGCTGACTCGGCAAAATCAAATTCCACACAGCTGATCATGCCTTATATTCTACATTAGATTTGCAATGCAGTAAGCCAGGACATAAATCATGCATAGATAAAAAGTATATATACTGTTCATCACCCATCTTCAAACGCAAGGCCAAAGTATTAACCAGCCACGAGTCTATAGCCATAGCCACAATGACACGTTCAACAGAAACCCCAGAGATCGCCATTGTCGGTGGCGGCATCGTAGGCCTTGTCCTGGCCGCGGGTCTCACTCGTCGTGGGGTGCAGGTAAAGTTGTTTGAACAAGCACGCAACTTTCGCGAGATAGGCGCTGGGATAGGATTTACACGTAACACTGTCAACTGCATGGAAAAGATCAGCCCAGGTATAGTGCGCGCGCTGCGATCTGGAGGCTCCGTCAATGTGTCCTTGGACCAGACGGACCCGAAAGCGTACCTGCGGTATATCAATGGGTACGGGATACAGCGCGAAGACGACCCGATGTACCAAAAGCCGTTGCTCAGACTGGATGCGGGCGTCAAGGGGTGGGAGACTGTACGTCGAGACCAGTTTCTAGATGACTTGGTCAAAGAAATTCCAGAGGGAGTGATTCACCTCCAAAAGAAACTGAGCATGATTGTGGATGAGGAGGATCGGGATAAGGTTGTGCTGCAGTTCACCGATGGGACTAGTGTCCAGGCAGATGCTGGTTTGTCTTTTCCTGCATTGATCAAGCTCCAATTAAAGGCTAATTCAAACCAGTCATCGCTACCGACGGTATCAAATCTACTGCGCGAAGACTCCTCCTCGGAGAAGATAACCCGGCATCGTACCCGCAGTATAGCCACAAAGTCGCCTATCGAGCACTCATTCCCATGGACAAGGTCTCCGCTGCCATCGGCGAATACAAGACCCACAAACAGCACATGCACGTTGGACCAAACGCGCACTTGATCCACTACCCTGTCAACACAAACACCATCGGCGCAACCGTGATTATCTCCGACCCCAACGACTGGCCGCTCGACAAGCCCACCACCGCCCGTGGATCCCGCAAGGACGTGTTGGAAGCTCTCGCAAACTGGAGTCTCCCCGTACGCAATCTGGTAAATTTATTCCCCGAAGAGCTCGATCAATGGGCACTGTTTGATCTGGCCGAATACCCCGTGCCGAAATACAACAAAGGTCGTGTTTGTCTCGTGGGGGATGCAGCGCACGCATCCAGTCCACACCATGGGGCCGGAGCGTCCTTTGGAGTGGAAGATGTGTTGTGTCTGTGTACGATGATCCCGGAGCAGACAGGTCAGTTCAGTTGGGAGCGGAAGGTGTCGAAAGGCGATGCACTGCGTGCTGCCTTTGAGACATATGACAAGATGCGACGAACACGGACGCAGTGGCTTGTGAATAGCAGTCGGCGGGTATGCGATCTGTTCCAGCAGCCTGACTGGGCAGATCCTGCTAAGAGAGTGAAAGCAGAATCGTGCTTTGAGGAAGTTAAGGATCGATCCTTCCAGATCTGGCACTTTGATTCTGGGAAGATGGAGGAGGACACTATCCGAGATTATAAGGAGAGAGTCGGGATGTGGGGGAAGACAAAGGAGGCAAACGGAGTCAATGGCAAAGCTATCTTAGATACGTCTTTGGAGCCTGAGTGGCTTTTTTCGGCTTAAGATAGACAATCTTGGAGACTGTTGTGGTTTGGTTTGGGTTGACTTATGTGCTAGGACTTAAATACAACTCTCCCATCATCTTATTCTAAATAGTAGACAAATCCCAAACTCAACCAGAATACCGGAAGCCTTTATTTTGAAGATCCGTCTGATCTCCGAGCCCAGACAACATACTCAGCCCATCCGCACTGCTGACATACTCGGGGTTCTCTCGAGAAGGCTTAGACTGCAAGCTGGATTTGATTTTCTATATTTTTTGATTTGATCTGATATCGTGTTATGGGTCAAATTACAATACAAAACAGATAGCGGTGTCAGCGGTAACGTGTGACCAAATATGACAATACAATGTGGGGAGCCCCGAGTGTATTACCCCTCATCTGAGTTGACTTCAATTTGAGCCCACCCTGAGCCTACCCTACTCAGCCGACCAGGCGATCTAGACTACTCCACCCAAACTTTCGACTTTGCCGTGGAACGCATACCAAGTTCCGTTAGCCGGCTAGCCTGTGGCAAGTACAATTCAGAACATGACGTGTAGGTTTATACCCGTTCAGGGTATCTAACTAAATCCCGGCAAGGTTAAAAGCCCGCCGGGAACGTCTTTCAACCACAAATTCTTTGCTTTCGCGACTAGTACACTTCAGAAACCTGAAAATGTCCTCCACAATACCTAAGGTCGTCCAAGTTGGCGATACCTATCACGTTGAAGGGTAAGCAGCTTAGTATTCTGATGACTATAGTATGCCCACTTTATACACAGACGTCCACGAGAGGACTTCAAGATTCTGAATGTCTACCATCCATCCAATATTCCAGGGAAAGCTGTCGTCATCATCTCGATCGATATGGTTCCTAACGCAGCTACACCTCCGCATACCCACTCGGGTGCAGCAGCCATTGCGATCATGATTGATGGTGTTGCGTTGAATCAGATGAACTGCGATGATCCTATCGTCTCCCAGAAAGGAGATATGTGGTATGAGGCCCCCGGCTGTCATCACGCTCGATCGGAGAACAATGGATCGGAAAAAGCTAAGTTCTTGGCCGTTCTTATTATTGACGATGAAGTTATCAAGGATGGGTTTCACAATATCGTTGTTTTAGATGCTGAGCAAGAGGGTACTGCTGCCGCCTGAAAATCTTTTGCAACTTTGGATTGAAATAGTCTCGACTGTATTATTTTCTGTAACTAGCGTGGAATCTTACCAATTTGTGCTTCCGAACTTATCGCTGCTTATTGTTCTCTGGCTATACATCAACAGTGATGTTACCCGGCATATGATGACTGAAGTTATTATCTCCAAACTGCTCATACTGCCGTACATCGAGATCTGCGAACGGAGTTCCTAGAAGTCCGTTACATTGGTCAGCTGCCATTGTCGACACCACTTCTCGTTACATCGTAATGTGGCATGAAGACTCTACCTGAAATCTTTACGGGACAATAACTTAAGGATAGAAGAGAAGGATGTACAATATATTAGCGATAAGCGATCGTGCCGTTCGTCTAGCACAACATACAAGAGAGATCCAGCTAGGAAGAAACCATGCTGAGGGCTTCCAAGTTCATGGTTGCTCACCTAGGCAGTTGTACTCAGTAATCAAAAAGTGTCAAGTGGTGGGCACTAGAATGGAAAGGGAAAGTCGTGGAGCGCAGACTGAAATCCCCGATATACACCTGGGCATGTAAAACTCAAGGGCCACTTTCAACACGTGGATAGTCAGTCATACATTTACAATGGAACAAATATTATTCTTAAGGTATGAAAAATGGAAATTCCATTGTTCTCTCTCTCTGATGACCGTAGTAAACAAAAACGCCGAAAATCAAATTACATTGTAGAACACCCTCTAGGGTACACCTGCGCACTTGCCACCTTGATCCCAAAGAAAAGAAAGGGTCATTAATTTGCTTTCCATAGGCTCTTCACATCTTTCTTGACCGGCTTGAGAAGACCTTTAATCTCCGCTTTGAGAGCCTTCTTGTCTTCTTTAGACCACATCCCGCTCCGCTTCGCGGCTCTAAGATCCCGGACATGCCCCGTGAGTAGAGTCGAGATATTCTCCACCGTGCACTTGGTGCACTTCTTCTCATCGGCAATATCAATCAATGCTGCTGCCAGTGTGCGTATGATATCTTTTGCCTGCGGCTTCTGCAGTTCGCAATCGAGAAGCGGGACTTGACTGGGCCCGTGGGTTAAACAATCCACTTTGGGGCTTGTACTAATTGGGCTTGAGTTAGCATCTGCCACGTTCCAAGCCGAAATAGAGTTATGGAGTGTGAGTTCTCAAAGTCTTACTGTTTTTGCTCTTGTTTCTCGGCATTCTCCAACTCGACGGGGTCGATGGAGGTGTAGGACGGGGCCTTGGAGTCGTCGGTCTTCAATTCGCCCATTATTTTTGTACGTTGAAAGTGAGGATAATAGTCTTTATGAATGATCGTTTGTGAAGAAAGGGCTTTTGGTTTTGTTGGCTCTCAACGTTCTAAATGACTAGTATTTATATCTACACATCGCCTCACGGTACTGCGAGGTTATCGAAAGAGGAAAGTCCGATATATCCGGTTATTACCTGATTGGGTGGCTCGGCCGAGCCAAATGTCCGATCGGGCTCGGGGTTTCTTTTGCTGTTTTTGATTCATGGGGTTTCCGCTTTGGGGGAGATTATGAAGACCGATGCATAATCCTTTTTCAAAACTCCCCTGAACACTTTGTAATACGCCGCAGGTCTATGCGTAGCTGTACAATATAGGTTGGGCTGTATGTCCGAAATGAATATTGTAGTTGGGAATCTCAACAATGGCACGCTGGGCAGGATATTGCCTAAATGAAGGGAAGAGAGGTCATCTAATGTCTCCGCTGACCTTGAGCCTTGTACTCCTACCCGGTTCTTCATCAAATTGCAACATCTATTTATACTGCCACAAACGACGAATGTTCCCGTCTAACCTGGTCTAAAATCAACCGCAGTTTGTTATCTCGATTGATCTACTATCTCAGTGTCAACTTTGAACAGGGTACCTATATCATTGTCTAAGGTATCATATAATGATTTGCTCATACTGCGTAACCTTGGAATACTAGGTATATTAGCTGCCTACCTAGGGAGATAAGTACCACCAAGTGAGACCTGGCTTTTGAAAACACCGTGGACTAAAGCATATCTCCTCCACCACTCCCGCTCCCGTTCCCGCTCCCGCTCCGAAATCCCTTCAAGTCGCAGATCATCCGCAGCCAAAGCAAAAGCCTACAACCCACCCGTATCCACACCGTCCCACGCACTTTGCTGGAGCTCGAAATGCAGCATTCCCGCGAGGCTATTCGCAGACGCTAGATACCGCAGTGAGGAGGATATATCCTTGAACTGCTCTGCAGCGTTTACATTCACCGACTTGCACGAGCGAGTGAATCCTGCGCAGATGAATAGAGCAATGGGGGTGAACGGGTGCACCTGCCTTCGTTAGGACAACTGTATTTCTCACTCAATGGGCAAGCGGGTCTCACCTTAAAAAAACCCAGTTGAGACAATCTCTGTGACTGGCTGTGGATTCGCTCGGCTGCCTTGCAAGCCCGTTTCTCATATTCCCGGTACACATCTTGTGCGCCTTCCGGAACTGAGCTCAGCGCAGTGAAAAGCACCAAAATAGCCGCTTCTGCGAGCATTTCGATATACAGACGGGTAGGGTTACAAGGCTCAAGTTCAGTGCAGAGGTTGGATAATGTCGTCTCGATTTCCTGGGTTAATATCTTGTCCAACGCGCAGTGCCGTGCCAGGTATTCTTGCGACGTGGGATCCGTGATACGCTCAACGTTGCACTGATTTCGGTGTGCTAAGCATCGGGCAAGGATGGTGACGATGACCATTGATTTGGCGTATGGGGAGAGAACCTGGTTGGTCTTTTGGGACATGGCCGAGGCCAGAAACTCCGTCATGATCGCATCTTGTCGTCGGAATGCTGTCTCGGTAGCGGGTAGTCGTGTGAGAATCTGGAAGGCAGACATGTCAGGTGCGCTGAACCAAACTTTTCATCCAATCTTTCAGTCAAGCTTACCATCTGATCGTTCAACGCAAGGGGTAACTCGTGCACGAGATTAGCATACCGGTCGAGGGCGTATGCTGTCCAGAACGTCCGACGTCTCTCTTCAATTTCTACCTCCGACAGTCGGCATAATCGCCGCGTGTTTGGGCTGTCTATCTGATCTAACTTCGCCCGATGTACCAGGTGAAAGCAGCGACCCGCACTGCTCCACCCCTTTCGCGGGTCTTCCTTCAGAATCCTATATAAAGCGAGCAGTAGCTGCGCCTGAACTATCTCTATCGGGATTGCTTGGTTCGGCATGTTGCGGTCCCAAGCGTCCAGTGTACCGCTGGTATGTGCGTACAGCATGGGAAGGACAGCCTTGAACTGACTGCACATGGATGCTGCGAGCATGCGCATTGCGTGTTGCAAACACGAAAAAGGTTCGCTCGTCCGGGCCACTTTGGCTGATCGCGCGAAGTAGCGTTGTTGGTTGATTATTGGCGCGAAGAGGTAGGCTCGTTCGAAAAATAAGTCATCGCTGTCGCTGATCAGTACTTGAATCATAAGGATGGGGGGAAGAACATACAGATCTGCACACTCGAGTGGTGTTATATGGACGGGAGACTGAGTGGTAAGTGGCGGTATTGACAAGGGCTGAGAGCTCAAATCTGGGAATATAGCGCTATTCTCTAGCACCGGGTCCGACATGGGTTTTGGATTCGTCATTGGAGGCGCTGCGGATGATACGGCCGGGAGGTTGGTGAAATCGTCGATCTGCTTGTCCAATTCACTTTCAAAATCCAAAGTCAAGTTGCCAGGCCACTTTGAAAGTTCAATCGGTTGGGCGCTCATCAGATACTCCATATAATCTCTAGAGCCGTGAGAGGTTATTGCCTCGACATCTTCCATTGCTCCGTCGCTTATGTCCCCCTCCACCGACCTATCTACCTCCAAGGATCTGCATTGCCCGTTACCTCCTCCGTTTACAGGGGTGCCTTGATGGACCTCGGAGTCCCCGTACAGTTGACGCTCAAGGACCGCTGTACGCCAACACGTTAGCCATGACTTCCAGGTACTCTGCGCAAGGGTATCCTACCAATCCGAGATTTCAGAGTTTTGACGTGTCCTTTGCGCGGCCCTCGTGGTCGTCGCAATGGATTGGTGATGCACGTAACACCGAGATTATAACATGTTCCGCAATGGGGCTCGGCCATGTCACACCTGAGCTTCCGTGAACGACATTCCTCACACGCGAGGCCATTTTGTTGGCGACGACCCTTAGTCGGTACAATAACGTCGCTCATTACGTCAGTTATAGCCCGGTAATTAACAATATTTTGCTTCGTCGACGAAGTCGGTGCTTTGTCTCAAGTAGACTCAATGAGCCAGCCCCGAGTATATCTAGGTCAATCAACTAGGTTACACTGTATGCAGTTTATCACGACTTATACAGTCCCATGTGGAACTTTGGGCATGCGGGGATCTTTGGGGGCCAGGTAATTGGCTCTGCTGCGGTACACCATACAAGACAGCAGCCTCGTATAGAGTAAGACTGACTACTGCTCACTACATAGCACCATCTCCATCAAAAACTTTATCAATGTAAATCATGCCGATCATCTCACACTAGTAATTTACTGTTGGTTGAACGACTCGGTACTTTGAATTACATCGCTATGAAGACCTGATCTTGATGGTAATTGGTTAGTTCAACCGTAGCTAACCTCGAGAATACTGATTAAAACCACGCGACTATGACATTATTTTGGGGTTCCAGATGTGCCCAGCGGGTCTTTATACCTCCGCTTACTCCTTGCTCCACACACAAGTACCGGCTGATGTCGAATATCCCAAAGAAGTAAAAGGAACACAAAATGTCATTGACACATTGCCCTGATTTAACTGGTCACCACGTTCCCTTCGGTTAAGTTTCATCGTGATTGCCTCTAGGCTTTCTTGGGTGTCTTGGAAAGGGTCTTGGACCAGGCTGATTCTGAATAATAGATATATTGCCGCGACTACATACCGGGGCCACCGAATTACTGCGAACTGGCCAGAGAGCTCTTGGCGGATAATACTTACGCAGGCTTCAGTAGTCTCGATCTCGGGAAGTCCGCTCAAGGACGTTGCCAAGGCACGCTCCACCTGCTCCCCATATTCTTTCTGGTGCAAGGAATATAAATCTATATCTACTTTTTGACTGGGAAACAGATAGGAAGAAATTGGGAATTAATTGAGATGTTTTGTATTGATACAAAGATATGTTCGTAAAATATCGTGGCTGATGTTTCATGCTTCGAAAAAAAAGCTAAATGTATGGCCATCTTTTTCAGCCCCTTAAATTAACTTTCAAATTACGAATCAATTGATACTAATATATTAACTTTTGTAATAGAAGTTTATTCACGGTGATAATATAAATCGTTACACGGAGATCGACCTGAATTGTGATACCTCGTGTCCTGATGATTTTTCATGCAGGGTGTGTAGAGGAAAACTGCTTATCCAGCCGTAAGGATGCATGCAATTGATGTTCTCGCCTAGAAGGCTGTGCGATCTCATGACACTACAGCCGAGGGGCTCAGTTGAAGTGAGCTTTGAATACCCAATGAGTGGGAATTGCTGGCAACCGATGGTGATTTTCAAAGGAAACCCAATAGGACCGGCCAAGCCCTTGGAAACCTTTGGATCAAGCAATGGGATCAAGCAAAGCTTTGCCAAATCATAACTCATAATGTCTCAGCCGTGGTAAATCTCGATAGATAGGAGAAATATCAGAGCCCATATTTTGCTCGGTAGGAATTGACGAAGATGGCAGATATTGGGCTTTTATAGATGGGAATAAACAGCACCCAGCACTATTCTACAAAGATTATCTTGGTGTGAGAATCCAGGCTATTACGTTCACCTTGCTATAGAATAAACTAACGGAGGAACGTTTTGTTTTGTGTTTATGCATAATATGTACTTAATGTTGCTTATACCGTCCACGGGTTATCAAAAAGACTGCGTGAGCGAATTTTTGACCAAGAGGCTATTTATGGATATACAGTAGTATTTGAATATAAGATACGAGTTCCAATTCCAATTTTAGCTCTACTTATTCACATCTGTCATTTAAACAAAATCCCGAATGAAGACACGCTACCCGGTGGGGTTTTCAGCCCTGGAATTTTACGATGTACTTTTTTACACATTGACATATGGGAGCCTAATCCTGAAACCCCAATTAAGTCTAGATATTCACTGTCACATCATCTTGCAAAGGCTCAGCCTCGGAAATAGCATCGGAGAACATAAATGGCTCGGGAATTTCGGTATATTAACCAATTGGGGTTTAAATCCGAATAGCTCGAATATTAACTCCGACCCCCGTCATTGCCTGATTGAGACATCTCGAAATAATATGCAGAAACCTCAGACAACTATTGGTGCCTTGAGCTGAGAAATGGAAGGAGCCTTGCGATAGGTAGCTGGTATAATCTCCCTTCTCTCTCATCCTCATTCTCTTTTTTCCTTGCTCCCTTTCCCTCTCTTTAAAAGGAATGCAGCTATATTTCTCTTTGAACTCTGCCATATCCTCAAGATAATAGCTTGCTTCATTGACCCGCTTTGATGATTTTCAACTCATCGACTCTCCCAGCTTTATCAAGAAAGGCTTGATTACGCTTACCATGTTTCGCTCACTATTGGCGATCACTGGCAGGCGCCCGAAATACATATTTCCTGAAGTCGATCCGAAGGTCGACGGAGATGACTGCCGCACCGACTGCAATGACTGCACCGTGAAATGTCCCAAAAACGTCAAGATTGACACCACACTTCCGATGTACGGATTTATCAAAGAGTTCCACGCGCACATACTCGTTGCAACGGGGAAAACAGATTGGATCCGGAAGGTCGAACAAGAGGATGGAAGTTTAATGGAGGCATTCAAATCGGACGCAAAGTCCAAGCATGGTGTTTGTTTATTTGATCTGGGAGCAGTGCCTTGGAAATATGCTAATTGCGTGCGAAAAAGCGTCTCATGATCTCCGCGTCCAACCTCACTCCACCGGGTGGAGAGGTGCCTGATACCTCTAAGACAACAGTCCTCCTATTGCCATCGTTCACCTTTGTGGATAATGTTTCTTACTCGGATGCCCAGAACGTGGTCGAAACTTTCATTGACGTGCCACCGGGTAATCCAACCCAGTCCATAAGCAGTCCACGATTGACTTCCCGACCATGTCCACATGACTATGTAGTCCTGCTGTGCTCGCATAAGCGGCGTGATGCGCGCTGTGGAATTACCGCACCGTTGATCAAAAAGGAGATGGAGCGACATCTGCGCGGACATGATCTTTACCGAGATATGGATGATGAACGACCTGGCGGTGTGGGAATTTACTTCGTCTCCCACGTTGGGGGTCACAAATTCTCTGCAAACGTGCTGATCTATCGGAAGAAAGAACAGCAGATGATCTGGTTGGCTAGGGTCAAGCCGGAGCATTGCGAGGGGATTGTGAATTACACAATCCTGGAAGGGAAGGTTGTTCATCCGGATTCGCAGCTCAGAGGGGGATTTGACAGAGCTAAAGGGTTGACAAGCTGGTGATGTCTAAACCTCCGCGAATTTAAAGTGCTATGTACATTACAATCCGCCCAACTTTAAGAGCCCCTAGATAATACCCTGGTAAAATGTTCTATCTATCCTTTCAATACAGCTAAAATTGAACGACCCATGACAATCGTTAAACATTTAATAATCAATTTAGACCCGAGTGACCTAAGATCTAGCCAATGGAACTTTCAAGCATGACTCGAGTTCCATCGCTCCCGGCTTTACAAAAAATTCCCCTTCTCGGTTGCGATGTCCTGGATCTAATATATCAACCCTTTCCACCTACTTCACTTATGCATCAATCAGCGTTCCCTTGCATTTCAACACGTCCTACGCGAGCTAGTTAAGTTGGCATCTCCCCTACTGCTGTAGCTTTACCGATTATTCTATACCAGTTCGAATGAAACATTTTTTTCATTTTTACTCGTTTTCAACGCGTTCATCATTTCAATTACACTCCACAATGACTTTTGTTTATATACCTAAAACCATGAAAGGCGTTCAGATAGAGAACATTGGTGGACCCGAAGTTTTACAATATAAGACTGATTTACCAGTCCCTGTTCCGTGCGATGGCGAGGTCCTGGTCAATAATGACACGGCATCAACTACGTCGATGTGCCCGTTGCCTTTGTAATATAAAAGAACTCTATATACAAAGGTCCTAAGGCACTGAAGGTGCTGCCTTGGGTTATAAAGGATCCCAGCCTTTACATCTATATTAAGAGTTTTTCCGGAGTATCCTTATTAGTGGGGCATGTATTATTTGTTGTAAGGAGTAACTGGACATACATCGCAGTGTATCTACTTGTGATTTGATATAACTGACGCCTCGATACCCGCCTTGAAATTCATCGTCCCTTACGCGAAGATCTTGAAATATTAACTACTATATCGTGTGGCAAGTTCGAAACTAATCTTACTACTTGACTTAAATTATGGCACACTTCGCCAGATCTGTTCCTTGGCAGTATCCATAAAAGTTGAATCCACAAAATCTTAAGCAGCGTGTACAGCTGAAGTTGAAAACGGAATTCCCTACATACACTGAAGAGCATTTACTCCATCCTTGCTTTAACCGAACCAAACCACCTTATTTCCTTGTTCGAGCGCTTAGTTAGCTAGTCAGCGTTTACTCATTAATCGTTTTGGAGTGCTTGCTTACTGTCATCCGTCACAGTAACATCTTTATTAGCAACAAAGTCCACATCCTCGGAAAGCTGCCAGGACCTAGTAGCATAGGTGCAATAAGGTTCAATACTAACAACTTTTCCAGTAAAATTCTTTCTGGTCTCTCCGGGGCAAAGCAAAGTTAAAGGTTCATCAGGATTATTTTCATCGTAGAGTGTCAACTTCACATCAGACTCTTTCGAGACTGTGATGTTGTCGTTGATAAACTTTGCTGTGTGCATGATAGGATATAATCGCCGTGTTTGGTACAACGTTGTAAGGGCTCGATGAGGAACCCGATGGTGAAGCAGTGTCTTATGAAAGTTCATAGCGCTGCTAAATATGTTGCGGGCTTCATGGATTCAACTCTGTATATATTGTGGTTGATTCTACATGTATAACGTCATAATGGTCATCTGATACTCCATACAGTACAGCGATTTTCGAAAACACTCGCACTTTGTTTCTCGGCCTGTACCCGAGACAACGCTAGGCCACATCCAGCTAGGCCGTAAGATATACTGATCTATAAGTGGACAATATCTTACCACCTGTCCCAAAAGGGTTCAGCTTGTTTCGGGTACGATCCGATAAATAAAGTGTGAGTGTGTGAGGGGTAAACTCGAGGTACAGTGGTGTAACATAAGTATTTGACCTCTGGTACTTCGGGCTAGGACCCACTTTTTAATACTGCCAACTCCAGCTCATGTTTGATTTGTATGCATCACCGGTATAAGTGGGTTTGACTATCGAAATACTAAAATGCGAAGCATCGCAGAAGGGGTCCACGGGAATATTATGAACTAGAAGACCGTGAACTTGACATCCATGCTGAAACCACTGCCTACATCCGACTAAAAGACAGGGGTCTCCGTGAACGTGGAATCGTGCCCAATTTCCTAGGTTCTATGAGCAAATTTGATCCATCTTCATGCCTGCCCCACTTAAGGATGTTACTGGCCGACGAATACCCACCTAGCGCTATATTCTTGGAGTATATCATCGGTCTCGAAATGATCACCCTGGAGAATTACACACAGCAACGGATGGATAATATCGTCAGTGGTATCCAACAAATACATAAAGCGCTAGTGCGGCACAGGGATCCCAAACAGAGGAACATGATGGCCGTTACAGGTACCATCGAAAGAGTGGTGTGGATGGACTTTGATCGAGCAGAGACCTACGACGAAAATTAGATCACCAGTGAACAAGAGCAGCTTCTCAGAGACGAAGAAGAAATTGTTGTTGACATTAGTGCTTGCCTTGTGAGAACTTCTTCCCCTGAAGGCATGTGCCATGACGTCGTCTAACCCCCACCACCAGGCCTCCGACCACGCAAAGGGGAAACTCGAAGAAGCATATATTTTCTACTGCACTTAATGATCGAGCTCTTCCTTGGCCCCAATATCTAGGTTAAGTTGTAGTTGCTCTTATTTCTACTTTCGGGCGGGGAAAAGCAATATATGACTTCGATTAGCTTTGGAGGTGCAAATATGACGGCTGGTCCTAACGTTGCGTACCATCTGAGTGTGCTTTTGGCCGTTTTCCGCCGCGTTCACTATGGTGGAACTCACGTTTTGTGATACCTCTCTATTATGGCGTGTATTTCAAGCAATATTGCCCCGGCGAACCGAGGTATGGCGACGGAGTTATGGGATGAAAGCAGGGGTTGGTGGGAACAGATTTTTGACCGACATACAACATACATTACATGTAACTAATGAAACCAAAACTCATGCAAAAGAGCAAACGATCCACATCAACTATATTGTACTTCCAAAATAAGCTCAAGCATCAAGCGCCAGTTCTTAGAAATGCAAAAATCCCGACTCCTTCCACGCCTGTATATACCTCCTAACCAGCGACTCGTCAATCGGTCCCAAGCCCCTGAACGTTTCAGAATGCTCTTTGGTGTGAGCCGTGTCCAGTATCATTCCACCGCATGACATACGCAAGAAATCCGTCTCGAAAAAGTCCGCCAACCGAGCCGCTGGGTTCTCCGACATCAGGCTGGGTGGGAATTGGCGCACACGATGTAGCCATTCACCGTAGGGAACGATGTTGATCTGCGGAATATTGAGTGCATCGGAAAGAATGGGGATCATTTCGCGCCACGGTTGCCGCACTGGATTCTCAATGTGATAAATTGGGTATGCAGGCTGATCCCCGATCAGCAGTTCACACAGTGTGGCGGCTACGTCGTTGACGGGGCACCAGGATAGAACCTAGAAAGGCATTAGAGGGGCAATGAAGAGGAAGAGAGGTCACAAAAACATACCCCGTCCAAGTCTGGTAATACTCCGAGTGTCTGGGATGACTTAATCAAGTGCACGAGATGTTCCACCGGGTTCCATTTTCCATTGATTTTCGATCCAGAGATTTGGCCGACGCGCACAGAACTGGCGCGGAAAAACTCAGGATATCGGTGCAGAGTCTCGTCGAGCATATGCTCACAAACAAGCTTGGCGTCAGCGTAACCCATTGGCAAAGCGGATTCTGCGTTGACTCTTTCCTCCAGGACTCGTGCTTGTCCAGTCAGGAAAGGATGACTGCCTACCACGGATACGGAGGAGATGAACTGGAACCCGATTTTCCGCCCCTTCGAGGCGCAGTCGCGAGAAAGGTTGATCAGATTGCGCATGGATTTGAACTGTGGTTCGAATCCGCGCACAGGGCGCGTCATGCTCATAGCCCATGCGTTGTGCACGATATCTGTGACGTTCGTGACTAGATGTCGATAGTCTTCGGGGCAGAGACCGAGGTTGGGTGAAGATGAGTCCGTCTCTATAATATGCAATTTTGAAAGTTTTTCATGAAGTATAAGGTCTCTTGAGAACAGAGCGTCGTGCTGTCGAGTGGTTGGGTCTGAACTGCTCACCCTGTTCAGGCAGATGACTTTGCGAACACCCGGTTGTTCAACGAGGTGGCCCACAATGTGGGACCCCAGACAGCCCGTGGCGCCTGTTACAAGCACACACCGCGAGGAGCTCTGATCGATCAGGCGCGGGACTGGGGCTGCAAAGCCACTGGTGTGCTTTTGGACCAACGAGTCCGTTACTGTTTGGCGAGCAGATAAGTCAGCCGGGAGCTTCGAATGAGCAGGGGGGATGTAGATACCCGGCTGTGACTCTCGGGAGAAGCGAGGGCGATGATGATGCGCTGAATAGAGTTCTCTGGCAGGTTGCCATCAGTCCAATCGACGTGGCCGTATCCGTTGCGGTGCAGCGTCTTTTCCCAGACCTCTGGCTGGGCAAGGGCATGGTCACGACCGTCATCGAAGAGCCACCAGCCTTCAACCAATCCAAATACCGAATCCACCCAAGGTACCGCCTCGGTCATCTCCAGCATGATCAAGAAACCGTCGGGGCGAAGCATCTTGTGGATATTGTTGGTGGTATTTGCCAGACTGTGAGTTGCGTGGACACAATTCGTTGCAAGCACAATGTGCTGGCTTTCCAGAAGCTTAATAGGGGCTGACTTCTCAATGTCGATGACCTCAAACCGCATCCATGGGTACTCCCTGAATCGCTTCCGGAGTCCAGCAACCAGTGATGGTGAGATGTCACTAGCAATATACTCAACTGGGACACCGGAGCGCGCCAAAAGTGGCAACAATGCTGCCGTCGTACCACCTGTACCAGCACCCATCTCCAGAATGCGAATTGGTTCGCCGCGTTGCGTTGGGAGGTGGGCCATCAACTGCTCCCAGAAATACTCCAGTTGTCGCAGCCAGGCCACATTGATGGGAGACTTCCCATACATCCCCGCCGCGAGTTCTCGTCCCTCGGCAGAGCCAAAGAGCAGCTGGATACCTTCTGTCTTGCCCGTCAGGCAATCCGCCAGCTTGGACCCAGTCAGGCTGGTGAGCTTATGGTCGTAGTAGTGCTCAGGGTACTCATGTAGAAGCTCGTCTAGCAGCTTGGAGGCGGATTTGGATGGTACTGGAAGCGCTGTGCGAATCAATGCCGAGCCCTCGACGTCCACAAGGCGGGCCTTTTCTAGCAACCCTCGCAGAACAGCCATAACCTTGTCATGCTTGGGGAGATGAGGTATTTGAGCGATCGTCTCGCCGGGCTGAGCAGAACGAAGAGAGCATCCCATTTGGTCGAGGGCGTCCAGCGTGTAGACAATGACCAACTCAGTTAGCTTGGGCTGCACGTGATTAGAATAGCCAGAGAGTTGGTTTTCCTCAATGAATTGATCCGTCAGGAGTTTGGTTTCTGTGAAGATGTCGGCAATAGAACGGGTGGGGAGTTGCGCATCGCTCTTGTGGATTCCATCAATTTCGCCGCCTGGGGTCATAATAGAATCGCTGATAGAGGAGCTTGTAGCAATCTCGTCGCTGCTGTCTTCTTCTGTTCCGGAGGAGTCGGATGCCCCCATATTGGCTCGAATGCCGTTCACCAAGCTCCGCACGTCTGTCATATCCATGAGCTCCTCCAACTCAAACTTGATGTTGAACTTCTTCTCCACCTCGCGAGCAACCTCCATGGCCAGGAGCGAGTCAATACCCAATTCAACAAGGTCAGAATTGAGTTGTATCTCGTCCGCTTCAAGGCCCAACAAGTTGATGAACAAAGCCCGAACACCACTGAGAACGTCAGGCCCTTCGTCTTTCTTTGCACTCGGTTGCTTTTTGCTAATTGTAGGATTGCTAGCTGGCTTGGTGGTTTTGAATTCTCGAACCGGAATATCCTTCTTGGCAGATGACTTGATCGGGGCCACGTCGGTTACAGTCACCGAAGTGGGAGCTGCCTGTTGTGCAGGCTGGGTCCCAGTCAATTTCGACAAGAGTCGTGACATGCCGGCGATTGATACTTCGACAAAGTGGAGACCCAAAACGACCCACACCAGTTTGCCACTGTCAGCATCGAAGATGAACAAGTCGCTCACGTATGCCTTCGGTGATTGTTGATGGCGCGCATACACGTCCCACCGCTCTGGTCGTGCATCAACTGGGAAGCTAGGCGAACGAATCCACCGGTCAACTCGATTAGACAGATACATATTGCCTTCCGTGCTATCTGCCATGCAGTTCAAGAAGATCCCGGCGACTTGACAGAAGGTATCACCGAGACCAACGCTGAGGATGGTCTTCGTTGAATCTTGTTTGACGATGCGTCCTGCGGACTCGTTTCCGGCCGAGGCCAGCTTCTGCAGTCCCTTGTAACTGTCTTTGTTGTACTGTACCACGGGCGTGAATACCCTGTAGATGTTACGGCTGCCCTTGATGACTTGGTCGGACTCTTCTCCATCGAGGAGAGCCATAGCACGCTTGTGATCAACCAGTCGCTCATAAGTGTCAAAGATCTGAGCAGCATCTCCAGGCGAGCGGAACACCATGCGGCCTGAAACGTGTTGTGTGACCTCCTCCGTGTGGTCTGTGCTGGTGATATGGAATTTCCAGGTAAGCGGGCTGTCATCAACCACCTTGGCATCGAGCCAGACTTGCTTGGAACCGCCCAGACATAACGGGGACTCGCTCTCCATGCATTCAAGCCCAGCAGAGAGATTTGGGTCGTCAACCAAGGTCGCCAATGCATCACGAGCGATAACCTGCTGGACCATACTGGGGCAAATGGCTGCCGTTTGTGCGATGAAATGGGCTCCGACATAATCCTGGAATTCTTCAGACTTGGTGTGAACCTGGAACCGTGCGTTTGTATTTGTGGAGTCGTAGCCTATGAATGACCACATGCCTGTGCGCGCCTCGGGTACCTGCACGACGGACTCAATTTGTTTGAGCTCCTGCTTGCGGCGCTCCAGCCAATGTCGCGACTTGGTAAACTGGTACGGTGGTAGCAAGAGTAGGGGGCAGTTGATTGCAGGTTTAACATGCTCCCAGAAAGACACGTTGAGGCCTGCCTTCCACAGGTTTACTGTCGCATCGGTGATGTTATCGACGGCTCCCGAGCTAGTGATGTTAATGGATTGGAAAGTCATATTCTGGGATCCAGCAGCTCTGTTAGCAAGAGCTGTTACGCCCGACCCTGAACCCGCCTCCAGCCAGATGCTTGAAGGGTATCGATCTGCGAGACGTTGCACTGCTTTGTCAAAATAGACAGGGTCTCTCATATGAGAAGCAAAGACCGCAAAGGGGGGCGGGCTGCTAGTGCTGTCTTGAGCTGCTCGCTCGTGGTGAATAGCTGGCTTGCGGAAGATCACATCCTCTCCAAGCTTCTCAAGTGCGGGGACAAGATCATCCACCAATGCGGAGTGGAAAGCGTGGGTGGTATCCAGGGCCTTTGTCTTGATGTTAGACAAGGCGGGGTTAATGGATATTGTCTTCTTGACAAGTTCTATGTCGGAAGCTGTGCCGGCCAGGGTGAAGTTGCGAGGTCCGTTGAAGCAGGCAATATTGACGGGAGCAGAGGAATCGGCATTCACCAGTCGCAGCAGTTGTTGTACGTTATCTAACTCTCCGTCGACAGCCAACATACAACCCTTCTCCACACCCCACTTCTCTTCAATAATTTTGGCTCTTCTGGAGATCGATTTCAGAGCGTGCTCGACTGATAGCATACCCGATACACACATGGCCGTGAGCTCACCAATACTGTGACCGACAAGCGCTGAGACTTGCAGGCCACTCTCGATCCAGCTCTTGGCGCAGGAGTACTGCAGAGCAAACTGCATTGTCTGCAATTCGACAATACTTTCCCTCGGCGTACGCTCAAATATTGCTGGCACAATTCCTCCCAGCCCGAGCGACAGACAGACCTCGTGACAATGGTCGAGATGGGCACGTAGCAGTGGGAAATACTCATAAGCTTCTCGGTCTAAACCGACAAAGTTCGATCGTTGGCCACCGAAGCAAAGAATAACTGGTCTCGATGGCTGCTTTCCGGTTGTTGAGGCCAATTCGCCACGCCCGTTTGCAAAATTGGCAAGTTTCGCTTCGAGCTCGTCGATTGATGCACAACTGAAGATCAGTGACTCTCCAAGGGAGCGATTTGACTGATGAGCTAGTTGGAAAGATAGATTTGCGACTGAGAAATGGTGGTCATTCGTCTTTCTCGATCGGAGAAATTCGATCGTCTTGGCCGCGTATGATCGCAAAGATTGATTGTCCAAGCCAGAGAACCAGAAGGGACGCTTGTATCCGACGGAGGTTTCCAAAGGCTCGCCGTCGCGTGGCACTTGGCTTGCCTGGGTTACGATCAGCGAAGCGTTCGAGCCAGAAGCACCGTAATTGTTCAGGAGTGCTGCACGGAAGTCTGCTTTCCAGGGCTTGAGATTCTTGGATATGTCAATATTATCTGATGGCAAGGCCCTCAACTTTGGGTTTAGGGTGTTGAAGCCGGCCTGCGGAGGAATAGAGCCATGTTGAATCATCAGCAACACTTTGATCAACGCAGCGATGCCAGAGCCACACTCTAAGTGACCAATGAGACCCTTAACAGATCCCAAATTCAGAGGCTGCGCACGGCCTGGTCCACCTAGCGTTTTGCGAACACTGTCGTACTCTGCTTTATCGCCGACCTGCGTTCCTGTGCCGTGTGCCTCTACCACAGAGATCTGCTTGGGGTCAAGTCTGGCTTTCCTGAGCACGCTGTTGAATACATTGCCAAGAGACAAAACACTCGGGGCGGTAATTGCCGAGCAGTTCTCGTTTTGGTTCACACTAGATCCCTTGATAACACCGAGGATCTGATCACCGTCCTCGACCGCGGCGGATAATTTCTTCAGGAAAACGGCACCCGCGCCCTCTCCTCTGCAATAACCGTCCGCTGCCGCGTCAAATGGCTTGCATTGCCCACTAGGGCTGAGGAACGACGCCCCGGCGAGGTTCTGATACCATTCAGGGCTTGTCATAAGATTAACACCGCCAGCGAGGGAGGCATCACACTCGCCACTCAGAATTGCGCTGCACGCGTGGTGCACCGCCAGGGCGGAGGATGAACAGGCTGTATCGATCGTCACGCCAGGTCCACTCCAACCGAAGAAGTGGCTAATCTTTCCAGCGGCGAAGGACTTGAGGTTTCCCGTCGCCGTGTATGCTGTGGGCTCATAACATGCGACATTGTTCTCATAGTCTGTTACGCCAATGCCGACGTAGCAACCAACATGTCGGCTGGAACTTGGCTTATTGAAGTACCCGGACTGCTGCACCGCCTGATAGGCAACTTGCAACATTAGTCGGTGTTGAGGGTCAGTCGAAACAATTTCTCTCGGGCTCTTCTGGAAGAACTTGTGGTCGAAGACATCGTGATCTTTTACAAAATTTCCAAACCACTTTCGCTCTGCGTTGCTCTCACGCCAGGCCGCGTACTCAAAATTCACTCTGTCGGCTGAGACCTCGCGGGCCTGCGATTCTCCTGCGCAAATGGTGTTCCAAAACTCATCGATGTCTCTACCGCCAGGGAAATGGCAAGCCATACCAACCACGGCGATGGAGTGGTCTTGGGCAGAGTCGAATAGAGCATACATTGGGGCAGGGCATTTACCCACCTGAATATCGAGATCGGCTGCATACGACAACTTAGGTCCAAGCTTGCGGAGGAACCACTGTGGTACGAAACGCTGACTTCCGAATGTTACAGCCAGGGAGGTTGTTTCATGAAGTGTCGTAAACAGCTTGTGCCAATCAGCCCGCTCTGTTAGCATTGCGCGACCAGCCATCTGGTGAAGCTTTTCGTCGGTGGGGAGGTCAGAGCCATCGGCTGCCCGTGCTTTAAAGGCAAGCTGCGAGGTGGCCGGGAAATGGAAAGCGGACTCCGAGTCAAAGAGATGCAGAAGGGCTGTCGCCTGGTCCTCGCGCCGTTCACAATGAAAGGGTCCACGCAGTGTTGTCTTTGTGAAAATCAAGCCGCCGTCTTTCAACTGCTCTTCGATTTCACTTGAATCCACCTTGAGGACAGTGAGTGTGGCTAGGCGGGCTTCTGAAATAACAGATATGTATGCCTGATCTCATTAGATTACTGAATCTTTTTGAACATGGCAATTTACATACCTCGGGGAAATGCTCCAAGATGCTATACAGCTTCGCCTCCGCCGTCTGGGTTGTCCATCCAACCGCGAGAGACTGCCACTTATCACCGTCTTCAACTTCTGAGTCACCTGCATCAACCAGCGCGCCAATTGATATCGCCATTCGGATAGCTGCCGCGCCATATTTTTCAAGTTCTGCAAGACTCCCCGAGCTGGCAACAGCAGCGCTGCTCAACAGTCCAGTGCAGAGGCCAGTTGTATCGGTATCGATCTTCAATACCTCCTTTAGGGAATCCTCCCGTGTAATTTTTGGCTTTATCTGCTCCAGGAATTTGGTAAATTGTACCAACTGTGTTGTTACAACCAACGGTGTGACCAAGATATTAGGCAACGGAAACAGACCGTGCGGTAATACTCCCCTTCTCATCCATTCGCTGAGCAGCTGAAGGTATTTTCTACCCTGGAAGGCCTGGAGCTCGGGGTGCGCTGCAGAGATGGTCGCCCACTCTTGTGGTAGCTTCGTCAGAAGATCGACTATCCATTGAAGATGAGATGCTTCCAACAACTCTTTTCGAAGGCCGTCTAGGTGTCCGTTGTCGATGTCGGGATCTTGAGGCCCGAATATTAGGGTCAGGGTATTGGACTTCAGATCAACCATTTTCGATCCTTGTAAAGCTCGGGGATGAATGGAGCTTCGGGTGTAAATGGATCGGATTGAAGGAATCCGGCAATGTTGAATATTATACAGATGAATGTTGAATAAAGTATATTTTCTCCTCTGCTTGTACTGCTCGACCACTGGGTGGGAACGATGGACTAGATATATGCATTCCTAGTATGCCAAGTCTATTTCAAAGATCCCTGGAACAGTGCAGTGATTACCACACGTTTGTCTATTTGCCTCCCGTACATTGGATCTGGGGAAACTCCGATCTTGCTGACGCTCACATATTGCCATTTTTATGATAACGTTAGTTTTGGTTCGATGCCTAGAGAGCGCTGAATTCGCCCCATGGCGGCGAGCGCAAGGCTTATCACGCTGTAGACCAATGGTGTTCGAGACAAATCTGATCGTAAGAACATATTACCAAATTACCCTCGTGTTGCCGATGTTAGTTTACTCTGTTCGATATTGTGTTGCGACGTTCTTCAGCTTATCCCTGAAGGATTTGGCCCCCTTAACAGCGCGGACAATCAAAACTCCGACATTGGCTGATGCTAGGGGGAATTTTAACACATTTAATTGACCAATAAAGTGCGAGCATTTACGAACTGATGCCCTTTTAGCAGAACATTGAATCCTGCTTATAACTATAGCTTAGAGAAGCAACTATTTACGGAATAACTAGGGCATAAGCAAACATAAAAAGGCCGAAGGGGAAAGAAATTCAAGAAACTAGAAGGGAAAAGAACATGTCCTTTACATCTGTTGAGACTGTTCCATATCAGGTTATAAATAGAAAAGTCCATTGCACAAATGGAAGGGAAGATATCTATGAAAATAGACTACCATAAAAGACTACTAAAAAAATACTTGACCAGGCCGCATAAGCGGCCGACTATTCTTATATTGAATCCTTTAAAAAATAGTTACTCCGGTCATCTTTGTTGTCCTGGGAAAGAGAGTGTGCCATACGACATGCGTATGTAAACAAAAATCGCCACACCGCCATCTAGACAAGGTCATTGTAGCATACTTTTGTAACATATATGGAGAATTGAGGATTCCAAACTGTACAAACTATGTCAAAAATCCACCTATCTGACTTCAAGATGATTTTTACGAGTTTTTGAACGAAGCCTTCGATATTTGAGACACAGGTGCAAGCTTAAGGATTATATAGATGCAAGTCATAGGAGATACATATCAAATTCGTAGTAGCAGGCCTATTTCCTCTGCGGCATTTATAATACTGATATTTCGCTGAGCAAGCCACCAAATAAATACTAGTACCCAGCCTTTGTCGCAACAACATCTACCCATTCCTGCACGGTAATTGGCTCTCTCCCCAATAGCCACCTCAACACGTTCGGACTGCCCTTCAGCCCACGACGATTGTAAAACATAATCAGGTGTTCGACGGTATCTCTGACAAAGTCCCCACGCAGATCACCAGGACTCGAGCGACCGAGCCCAATCTCACCTTCGCCCTTCTCGGGTCCACCATATAAGGCGTTTATAAGTTTGTTTACACCCGTGTCAAAGCTGGGTGTCTTCAAATCAATACTCTTTCCAATCCGCTTCTCAATAAGCCCGATGATATCCGTCTCTGAGATTGGCAAAGTCGACACAAGAGGATACTCGGCCAGGTAGTGTGGCTCGCGCTCATTGAGGACCTTTGCTGATGCAGCAGCAAGGTCATCGAGGGCAATGACACTATTTGCATGTTCGGGCCTCCACCACTTTTCCAGTACGGGATGATCTTGGGAGGCGAGGGCTGCAACGGGATAGGCGTCGAGAAACTGCAATTTAGTTAGTACGAAGTAATGTAAGGATTCATCGTGGGAGATTCAAACATTTCCGGGTTTGAGAATTGTCCAGCAGTCCAGTGGACTTAGGAAAAGTCTCTCCTCGACGTAGCTCTTCAAGTCGTGTTGGAGTAAACTTCGATGCTGGGTACCCAGTACGCTTGACAGAACGAAGTGCTTGAAGACATTTCCTTCGCGATGTGACTCTGCGAGTGCTGCATCAACCAGATTGAAGCCAATTTCTTTCTCGTGGGAATGCAAGCTCGGCAGGACGGCGTTGATGGCCGTTGCACCACGGAGAAGGTCACGGCAGTCAGATAGCAATTGAAGATTGGCTTGGACGACTTCTGCGTCGGGGTAGAAGATTTGTAGACTCTTGGCTGAAGCAGTGGAGTGCGCAGCCAATCGGAGTCGGAATCGACCTTTATTGTATAGGAGAGGGATCAAGCGACTGCATTGTTTACCACTTGGGCAAGTAATCACGAGGATTTCACTCATGGCTATGGTCAAGGTGACTTAATTATAAATTACATAGTAAATGGGATGGCAAGTCCGACGGGTTATGTAGATTGTCCTGGTGCGATCAGTTGACCCTTGTCATCTCGGAGATACTTTTTGAGTTAGCGTCGGCCCCCGAGCATCAGCAATCATCAACTCCCAGTCATCTAGGTTGCTTTAACATCATCTTTTCCTTCCACACTCACCGGTCAAATAATAACAACAATGGACTCCAAGATCATCGTTATTACAGGTGATTAGAACTTACCCGATGTCATTCTCTTCGCTAAGTTCCTTTCAGGCGCAAACACAGGGATCGGGCTGGAAACCGTTAAGGCACTCTATCAATCCGATCAGCATTATCGTATCCTGCTCGGCGGTCGCAATCTCGAAAAAGCCCAGCTAGCATGTCAGAATGTTACAACCGAAGGGACACAGAACACCGTGGAGCCATTCTTGGTTGACGTTGAGAGCGATGAATCGATCGAAGCGGCCCTCGATCAAATTGCAGCCAAGTACGACCGAGTAGATTGCCTGATCAACAATGCTGGTTTGTCCCACGATATCTCCTGGAAGTGCAATCCCACCGACTAACTAATTGCAGGTGCTTGCTTTGATGCCTACATTGACCAAGGCATGACAGCCCGGCAGGCGTGGAACAAGTCCTGGGATGTGAATGTCACGGGTGCACATATCATGACGACCAAATTCCTTCCACTACTACTTAAGTCTCAAGACCCCAGGCTGTTGTTCATTACAAGTGGTCTCTCCTCTCTACAGGGGGCTTCCGACCCCGAAAATCCCAAAAATATCTTTGCACCAGCTGGGCTACCCAAGGTGCTACCATTTGTTGGATACCGATCATCAAAAGCTGGCCTCAACATGTTGATGGTGGAATGGTCTAAGGTTTTAAGGAACGATGGTGTGAAGGTTTGGGCGGTTGCTCCAGGCCTGCTGGCGACATCCCTGGGGGAGACACAGAGCTGTTGAAAAAGTTAGGAGCGCAGGATCCTAAGGTTGGGGGCGAGACTATTCGTCGAGTTGTGGAAGGCAAGCGGGATGAGGATGCTGGGAAAGTAGTTCGTGAGTATGTGTCGCCAATTCAGCCTTGGTAATTACCCAGTACAAAAGGCGAGGCCGTACATAGTAACGGAGAGCCGAACTTCTCTCTGGAGCAAAACGGTTGGCCAGTTGGCCGACTACCTGAGCGCGACCCGTGAAATTTGGGAGGTTGCAGGTTTTGTGTCTGTTACCTAACATATTTCCTAATTTTCTTATTCTCTTATTTGTTTGGAATACTGAACCTCGCAAACCACATGTGCAGTTTATTTCTTTGTAACAAAGTGTATCACAGTGCATAGTAGGGACCACTGGGGACTTTGCTCCTATTGACTTTTATTGGCAGCAGAAAATTGGTCTACGAATATTCTAACTTATTATAGTGTAATAATTGATTGAACAAGCACTTCTAGCCACACAAACATCATATATAAAAAACCCATTTTGTAGGAATTATGCCCTTGAGCTTATTCTATAAGTTGCCACTGATTATTCCAAAAAGGCAGGTGAAAAAGACATCTAAAAGACAACTAAATGAAAATCAAAAAAGATATAAAAAGCTTCCAAAAGAAAAAGAAAAAGACATGTCAAGAGACATCTCAAAAGATATTAAAGACATCGTAGTGGATCCCTTCGACAGCGTTTCCTCAATGGACGATGGGTGGTCGAATACTCCCCCGTGGTGTACGGCTCTTTCTCTAAGGACAGATCAATCAAGAATCTGGCGCAGGAGCAACTCGCACATTGATGGCACCGGTTACACTTTTGATATCATCGAAGATGTCGGGCATCAAAGTCATTGTCCCGGTTCCATGAGCTTCATCGCCACCTTTTAGCATCCCTGCAGGCTCACCACCGAGGGTGTATACCCAGGATCCCGAATCACCATATTTGGCAAAATCGGTGCCTCGACTGCCAGCAATCTTGTGCTCCTATGTGGGAACAACCGTAACCTGCCCATTGTCGGTTCTGGTCATAATTATATTAACGCATTTCATCTCAGTATAAGTTCCAGATGTAACTCCACTCCAATGACCAGACTTTTGGATGTCCTGGCCGTCATATGGTTCCGGCTTTAGGTTATAGCCGAATTATTGCCCCTAGAACTGCATCCTACGTCTATAACCGAAAGGCTGGAAACGTTTACCTGTTAGTTATGAAGCAAAGCCTGAAAATAGACGTCATAATTTACTTATTTACCCGTAATCCCAGCAGCTCGCAACCGCCCAGCGTTTATTTCAACCAGAGCCCAGACAGTAGAAATGGCACGGGGTTCCTCCTTGCGGTCCTTGTTTGCTCTCCTCGTCGTCCTTGCTTTGTAAAAACCAGTCCCGGCATACATATGGCCTAGGGGAAGGTAGAACACCCAAGAAGAGAACATTGATCAGTACATCCTCCTCCCTGAGAAGTAGCAAAAGCACAAATACAATTTCCAGGCAATTGACAACAAACCTTTCTGTCAGCAGCAGCACAAACAGAAACACACCCTTGATCAGGAGCAGAAAAACATTGCGTTTGACACACGCCAGATACACAAGTGTCGCCATCCGGGCATATATGACCACAGGCTCCACAGTTGTTAGTGTCCGATGCCGTCTCGACGCACTTTCCACTGCATAGATTTTCGGTCGCGGAGGTCTTAAACGGGCCACAGATATAACATGGCCCTTGTCCACGTAAAGCAGGGAGCACGCAGTTGATATTTGGATTTGGATAATTTTTTTCGCACCACAGAGTGCACTCAGCAAGTTTGATCGCGGCGCTTTGCGACCGAACAAGTGAGACTAGATAATAAGGTTATATTAGATTGCAACTGATAGACTACTTTAATAACAGTCTTACCTAGTGCAAGCACGAGGATTGTTATTTTGACCATTTTTTCGCCGTGCGGATATAGACTCGAACGAGGGCTTTCAACTCCTTTCTGAATACAAATTACTATTTTTTTTTAGGACTTATATAGATATTGTACGAAATAACTCTGACGTATACGACTCCCGACCTCGTGCTGTAACTACCATATTGTGACAAAGGCGGGGTTCGTTTTGTAGTCTAGCCTGGGCGATCATGAAGATCACCAAATCTTTATAACCCCCGGTCACTAGATCTCGTGTCTACAATTTAACCTTAAAGTTTAGTGAGATAGGACTAAGTATTTAGGTGGAATGTTTCCTGTCGTCTGACCTAGTTCTCCGCTGATCATCCCGCAATGAATTAGCTTTCCCGCTTCGAGGCGGTTAGATTGGCGCCACTTGAGTTGACCTCTTATGTTTGATTGTCCATGATCTTCGTACCAAGGGACGATAATTTGAAGGAAAAATGCAGATCTGGGGCAATTCTTGTAATTTACGCAGATTTCTGGAAAACACCTATACAGGTTCGAGTCTGGCGGAAAGATGTCGTAATATGGACTAGTTCATTTGGTATAAAGCCACAGGAAATAAAGATAGGGAGATTAAAAGTAAAGCTGATTTCGAATATCACTGTAATGAGGCACGGCAGACTGTTCTCAATCATTGGGATGCAATGGATATGCCCGCTTGCTCGAATATTTCCTTGGCGTTGCCTTCATACGTACCCAATACATCAAGGCCCCATTCCAAAAACGTTTCAAAATCTGCTGGTAAAGTATTTTTACTCGCGTACCAACTCCGTTTCAGGAACTCCCTGAGTTCGCCGATAAAAATATCGAATAGGATTCAGATCTGGTGAGTATTGGGGCAGATAGCTACTCTCGACTTCGTGGACGGACTACATGTAGTCATGTCATCGAACCGCCTGGACGATTTCCTTCATCAGTTTCTTGTCATAAAAATCACACTAGGTTTTCACCGCATCATCGAACTCGTATTGGTTCCAAGATGCGATCTGGGAAGTCCGCGGAGAATATCATTAATGTATCATGGTGCACTTATAATCATCGCCACCTTTTAGCATCCACGCAAGCTCGCCACCGAGGGTGTATACCCAGGATCCGGAATCACCCTATTCGGCGAAATCGGAGCCTCGACTGCCAGCAGTGACGAAGTAAGTTATAGCGTCTATTTTCAGGATTTACTTCATAACTAATAGATGAATGTTTTCAGCCTTTCAGCTATGGACGTATGATGCACTTTCAGGGCATGATGTAGATAATCAGCATGGCGGTCGAAAATCTCGGTATGTCGATGTGTAGATTGCCGTAATCTAGCGTCGACCTGGCAGTCTTCTTTAGACTTTCGGAGAAGGTCGATATTAGCAGAAAATTGTTTAATATGTGGAGCACGGGTTGGTTCGACTGATGACCATATGTGTGAGAAGATCGTGTCTCATTTGTCTGACGAAGAAAGATATCCCGTAATTTCTCCGCTCCGATACTAGATTAAAACCATCACAGGAAGGGCGATGTAATGATGGTACTCATTCGTGGAAAGCTACCTCGAGTTACAGCCAATATGGTTCCGCGACAGACCTGGCTCATTAAAAGTAGTGTGTAGGTGGCGTCTTCGCCGACATGAATGTATACCAAAAAACCAAATTCCATCCCCTACCCCCGTCGATCCAGTGTAGCCAGTTTGCACAAAATAATCGTTCCCGTTCAGAGTGATAAACAAGCGTACAGTGTGGGGATTCGTCAAGCAGGATATTCACATATTTTTGTTTCTTTGAGCACCTTTAAAGGCACACTCTTGTTAAATACCTGGGTCTCTCCAGCAATTGTGATCGAGATCTTCCAGTCTATAGCATGAGTGTGCTTGATGTTATATGTGACAAAGTCGGGATAGATGGGTGCCAGATAATGGAGACGCAAACCGGAAGAAGTCAGGCCGGTTGAGTGTAGAACAAGCCGGAACATGTTCCCGATATTGATCGATGCGTTTTGGTGTCCCAGAGGCAATATCAATGGAGATTCCAGACTATCAAACGCCTTTTCGAGATGGAGGTTAAGTGAGAACCGATGCCTATCCCTGTGAACAGTTCCAAAGGGAGGGCAATCTGTGACGATAATGTGCGTGTAGCTGACCAGGGACAATTTGATCCAGTTGATCTGAGCTTCCTGTACGGTATCCTTGAGTGAGTCACTAGTCTTATCCGCGAGAGGCGCGATGTGTAGCACGAGAGGAAGATTATGGGCGTCACCGAGTTTCAGAATGCGAGGGGATGTGAGGTCGACCTGGTAGTAAAACTTGGGGACTTTGGACGATCCGAAAAGCTTCTGTGCTTTTTGCTTTAGGGATAACTTTGCATCGCTCATGGCGAGTAGTAGCCGCTGGCTTTGAACTTTACCCTCGATGGATAAGTGAGTGACCTGCTCGAGCTGGCTCTTCTCGACTACCTCGACCGGATGCCTGATGTCCACCTTCCAAGTAGCAGAACAAACTTGAGACGATCCAAAGTTATACTTTAATTTGGCGCTCAGATAATACTCGATAAAACACTCGGACGCGAGGCTGGAGTCGCTGCCTAATGTGGTGAAAGTTCCTGGCAGTAGATGATGAGTGGTCTGGTCTCCATCGAGCGCGAGAAAACTACCAGCTTGTGCACGCTTTTTCCCCAGCATATCAACTGGCTTGGTAGGGATTTGCAGCGAGAAAGGCCAGCTGAGTGATTCGTTGCTTCCCTCCGGCAGATGCAAAGGTCCGCGGAATAACACTTCCTCCCGTGGATTAAGTAGGTACCAGTCATCCGACACCTGTTTCTCTTTATCCCGGGGTGTCAGTTGGCTGTGTATGCGACCCGACAGCGTAAGTGTCACTGTAGCTTCAGAGGTAACAATATGTGCGCGGCGCACGAGATTGCCGATGATGGTGTCGCCGGGGGTGAAAGACCACCCCGTCGGTGCAGCGACATCAAATTTGAGTTTCTCATCTCCACGGGTATCGCGTCGAGACATAATGTATTTGATGCGGTTTCTCAGTAGCCCGAGGCAGCGTATACAGACTGTTTTAAGTATATTCTGAAAGGCTCATCTGTATTCCCTTAGGGCCTGAAACGGTTGGCGAGTACAAGATTCGCATCTTGGGGACAAGGCGAGGTATGGCCCCCATCGGACCAACTGGCTGACCCAATAGCCATTCGCACATCGATCACACCCTCGACAGAACTTATATGCCTCAGGCACCAATCAGGCACTAAAGGCATCGGCCAGTAATCAGTCCATGGCCCCTGACCTCTCACTAGGGTTACCTGGTCAATGCTCAGGGGGGTACCCCATTTTAGCATACCAAGGCACTGTTTGGTTTTGAAATGAATCCAGGTAACTATTTTCTGCCCCCACCGCCAAGGCCTTGGCGCAGATCCATCATTGAACAGGCCGCATTAAATGGAAGGACACCGTAAAATGCGGCTTGTATGGTACGATACCTTGCTACGTAATATTACACGATGTGTACCAGAATTGAGTGTTGGAAACCTACAGCAATTTTCGAAATCAGTTATACCTCTACACTCTCACGAATTGATTCCCGAACCCTAATGTGAAACGCGCTAGCCTTGATATGATATAGCCGTCGATCCTCCGCTTCCCAGCATAGACACTGTATTTTACGCTTGATTAGTGTTACCTATCACTAGGCCCCTAAACGGAGTCAAATTCCAAGCAACGTTTGTTGATAGCAGATCCTCTCTCTACAAAGGCTGTAAGAAACGGGAGACCAGAGCGGAGATGCCCTTAGATAACGAGTTTCACGTAATAGCCCGTATCTGCTTATCCTCAACGCAGAGATCGGTGACGCAGATTGAAAACATATATCCCGATTTTAATGTTAATTGCCTGAAAGTCTCTGTTGTACCGTCATATTATCGAATAACACATATTAGGTGGTGTTCATAGGCCTGCAAAAATCACATTCTCATCCATGGGTGTAAACATCTCATCAGTCCGATGAAGTTATTTGGAGATGTTCTACCAAGATCAGATTGCTGACTTCCACGCGGCTCGTACTTATATCTATCACAAATAACTCAATGAATACAATTTGACATTGAATAGCATGAGCGCTACACCTGACAGTCAAATTTCATCAAGAAACGCATGAAAGAAGCATAGAGACTCATCCACTTGTCTCCATTTAGGTGTGAAACCACACAAAAACCCTGTCATCGGTCAGCCAGTTAACCATGATATAATAATCAAGACTGCACAACATGTTCCTTCGGAGCTGCCCGTGTCAGTTGGGTAGTAGTTTGAGTGATCCTGGAATTCTCTTCTACATATCGGAAAATCCCGGCGTAGCAGCGATCTCACAAACATACTTTACACCTTTGTTCTTCGCGGCCTTCAGAGCCTTAAGACCATCCGAAAGTCCCTCCAGTCCGTTCGGCAGTACTTCGTAAGGATGTCCACGAACCAGCTCATTTTCAAGAGCAAAGGTAAGATAGGCAAAAACCACAGTCGCGAAGGCTCTCGGGCCAATATTAGGACTGTTCTCTCCATCCGGACCATCCGGGTCGTTAGGCTCCCATAGACCCGGCGCGAAAGCAACTTGACAATCAATGTTCTGGGGTATTTTTGTCACCCCTTCCTCCAGATGAAGAGATCGACCTAGATAGGAGTTTTCGGGATAGAGCACCTGACATAGGAGTTCCGATGTTCCTGCTCCGCAGACTGCATCAAATGCGAAGTGGATGTCCCCCGGCGTGCTCTGTATTCTTTGGATGAGCTTCTCTGGACCCTGCCTATAATCCAGAAACATGTCGCCCTTCTTCGGGTCAAGAATCGACTTGACCACGTCACCACTCTGGCCCGCAATAGCGATGATGGGATGAAGATTGGCAAGCGAGGCCAACTTAACCGCGAAAGCGCCTACAGCGGACGAAGCGCCGTAAATGATAATCGGGTGCTTGGTGTCTCGCGGTGCTGGATTCCAGGGTGTTGGTAGGGGCCGATTTTTGAAGACGCCAAGTGCTGCCGTGATATACGCCAGTCCAAACGTCGACGCTTCTGAATGTGAACGGGCGCGGTCAGTATATTTAACACGAGAGAGGTTTGGAATCATGTGTGCTTATCTACTGGGCTTGGTTGCATACATACCTGCAAATGAGACGTGCGGTGGCAGCAACGCAGTGGTGCATGCCGGTCCGACTGAATACTCGGCGAAGCCACTACTATGGTTGACGGCCGTCACTCGATCTCCAACACGAAAACTGTGAACCTTTCGGCCTGAATTTCTGGCAGTTAGACTCACAGAGGACGTTATACAAGCCAACCGAAATAATGGTGAACTAACCAACAGCATGGACGTAGCCCGCAAAATCCTTTCCAGCCGCCCGATGGACTGGATTCTTCAGCTCTCCATGTAGAGCTACCGCATCCGCTTCCCGAGCACCTTTCCAGTCGATCGGATTTACTCCGGCGTACACCGCACGAATTATGACTTCATCCTCGTTAGGCTCGGGAATGGCAGCGTCGGTTTCGAAAGAGGTGCTCAAATCTTCTTTAATAATGGCTTGCCTCATGGTTATTTGCACACCCGATTCGGTTAGCGAAGTGATAGTGAAACTGCTCGCTCTGGATAATCTACAAGAAAGCTAGGTGAGGTTGGCAGGTTGATTTTCTATAACCATGCCGCCGCGTTTTAACTAGCATTTTCCGTAAGGAGGAAAACTGACTGACGCGTAGACATTTATCTTTCTCAACAGTGCGGCCTGACGAATAATCTAAGCTGCTTTTATCATGAATCGACTTGACTATATGTCACCACTCTGGCCCGTAATAGCAATGATAGGATGGCGATTGATTAACCAAGGTATTGGTCGGTGATTGACGTCGTCCCATACAGAGGATCCACAAAATTCAAATACGGTAGCAATACGGTAGTGAGAGGGTATTGACGCGTCAAAACGTATTCGAAACATCCTATATATACTACCGTTGATTTAGGTACTACGTATTAGCCTATACTACGTATTGAATTTATTAATCGGGTATTAGGTTTTCATAAAAGTATTTATAAGGTATTTATTTAGGAAGTATTGTAATAGGCTTTTCTAGACTACTCGACGAGATAGCACGAAAATAGTAAAGCTAGTAAGTAGTAGCGCGGTAGCTAACAGTACTTATACTTAAGTTAGGATATATATAACTAACTAGCTTATAGTCCTAGCGTACGTAAGAAGAGAATTTAGATTAAAACTATGATACTAACTACCATAAGTCTAGTGAGCTCTAGGTAAAACTTTGCTGGTAAATCATTTCAATACAGGAGATAAAAATGTCTGTTCTCATCTTAAACAATAAACATAATCGTGTTGTATGCAAAAGATAAATTTTATCAAACAGGATTCCGTAACAGATCCTTCGGACACACTTGGGTGGCAGGGCAGCACCAAAATGCAACTACCATTTGATGACCTTGGTGGGGAAGTACTCGTCAATGAGCTCCATGTAGTAAGGCTGTTCAGTACCACTCAAGTTAGCATATGTCGTAGTATAATCTAAATATTTAAGGGCCGAGCTTACCTTGAGCTTCTCAAAATCAGGGACTTCGTCACTCTTGCTATACAGATCGTAAGGGTTGAAAGCCCTCACAGCTTCCAGCATCTTATGATCATGTTCATCCATCAACTCATGGTATGCGCCCTCCCGGTGCCAAGGGTAGAACGAATGGTATCGAATCATCGCGAGGCCTTCCTCGGGAATTGTGGACTGATCTTTGACGATATGGTAGAGGTACTCATCGTGGCCCCAGCAAAGCATAACATTCTCCAATCCGCAACCAGGAGAATAGATTCCAAACTTAGTGCTGTAAATCTCGCTGTTGTAGTCCTCGTTGTCCTTGAAAGACTTGTTACCGAAGATAATTCTGTCGTCGAAAGCACAGCCAACTGCGAAGGTATCACCAACAACATCCCACTGACCCTTGGCCCCGAAGAAAAAGAGGAGTTTTCCAAGATCATGGATCAGTCCGACCAACTGCATCCAGCGAGGCTTTCCTTCTTTGCGGATTGCTTCGGCAGATTGCAAAAGATGGGTCATCTGAGACTCGGAGGTATCGGGGTCACATTCATCGATGAACGTGTTCAGCTTTTCCATCGCCTCCCAAACAGTCATGTGAGCACGAGTCTTATTTTTGAAATCGTTGCGTGCTTTCAGGTTGTATGCTACCGTCTGAAGGGTGTGTTGCTGGGCATAGAAGTTCTTGACTTGGTCACAAGCATCGTCAAACTGACGAAATCCAGCTTTGTCTTTGGACTTGTCGAATTCGGATTCATCGTGAAGTTCTGTCTTGTAGACATTGACGGCATCGATGTTGTCGGACATTGTCTCGAGGCTGATTGGGGCGGACTGGACTGCGGCGGCCATATTTGCGGGCTGGTGCTCTTCGAGTCTTGTAGTCTTGTAGTCTTGTTTCGTTTTCAAAGGTTATGATGAGATGGATAATGTAACAGAAAGTCTGGATCTATTGCTTCATGGGAGGGTCTGTGGCGGGAAACTTATAGCCTGAGCTCAAGGATATATTGAACAATTCCCGGATCGTATTTTCCGTGGTGAGAAAGCCATTTCAAACTGAGCACTGGTTATTGATCGGTTCTTTACTTCCGCTTCCTATGTCATTATCTCTGCCAATATATGATGATCACTTGGTGTGGAAAGCGACTTCCGCACTGCCTAAATTTGTACACCGGGGCATAGCCCCTTAATCTTTACATGTATAAAGAATGGGATGTACCAATTACTTTCAAACCTCAAACTGCTATGGGTTGGTATTATAATAATCATTTCCGACACATCTCTCGGTATGCTGCCTCCAGGAAAACTAGAGTTCATGAAAAGACATCATATAGGAGTGCATAGAACGTTAAAACATCTGTCTAATGAACATTTGGGGAAAATCTAATGTCGTAATCACACCGGAAATACAACGACTACAACGCCAGTTTCCGTCTCATCCCTTACCCTAGGATAGCCTTGGGCATTAAATACCATCAATTGCAGAAATTGCATCTCTCATCGCAGACTAGATAAGTGCAAACAAGCTTGTAATCCCGTGGGTGGGCTGGATCGAACCCACAAAATAGTGGTTTCCGGGGTGTCTAGACGTCTGATATGCGGGAGTCTACTAAGTAGATCAAGCCGGAATTCGGGGATTTCCAATGTTATGTTGCTGTTATGTATGTGTTTTCAATTCAGGGCTGATGTTAGGCGAACTAAACAGACCACAAAATGCGGGATGCCCCACACTAAAACAACCTTATCTCTCGGCCTTCATTTTCCGAAATATCCATGCATGTACGTATATAATGTAGTCAAGTCATCTTTCTCAGGCAAGTTCGGAATTATCGGGAAACTGGTTTGTTTGAGCATTCAACCCTGATCCCTCAGTGCTCAGCAGAATGACTCTTTCTTGCATGGTATCCTTTATTGTTCGGTGATCTCATGATTCTTACTCGGCTGCCACGGGCTTCACCTAGGCAGACCTAGAGGTTCAATTTTTTTACTAATTCGAGGTGTAGTGATCTCGAGATACCTAGCTACCTATCTAATGAAAAAAAGACAAAGAACAATCATTCCCCAGACAAAGTATTTTCCTTCCTTCTTTCTTAGACTTGCTTCTCTGCATCTACTATAGCTATATCACTTTCATACACTAATATAGCAACTAACAATTTTACCAGGTCAAAATATCAGATTCATGTATTAGATATTCCTCCTTTGGTCTTCTTTTTCTACCTTGGAAGAAGGGTGGATTCCTGAGACCACCTGTATAATTCAAGGCTCATACATATACTCTGCCATCCATCATCGTTGAAGGGTGAAATTGAACTCTCTGCCACAATTTTGGGGGTGCTTTTCATAGATCATAGATTCTTCGGTTTACTTGGCTGTAGCATAGAAATTTCATGCACTTTGGTCTGAGAAATAGGCCAATAATGCGCCTTATACCTGACGAACTTGTAGCCAATCGCTAGGCGCTGTGATAAGCGAGACACAGGCCACCAATTCAACCCCACCTAGCCAGTTAAAATGACTTCATCAATAAGAATTATCGTTCCAATTAATTCATGTACATATCAGGGGCATTGTGACTAAATTCGAATATTATCAACAATGACAGTCTCCAGCCATGCAGAAAACCAAACAACAACCATGGCCAACTACATTGAGATTCCTATTATCGATGCGTTTCTCACATTTGTTGAAAATAATACCAATTATCAAGACAACGTGAAAGTAATGCTATCTGGGATACTCACTTATTACTTCCCTGCTAACATGGGCTATTCTGTTGCTCCTAAACAAAACCGAAGGAACAATAAACTTTCACACTTTCTCATCTCTCGCCTCCAGCACCGCTTTTCAGGGGATCGGGACATCGTTGACCATGCATTGGTTCAAGCAAAGCGCCGCATGGATACCCCAGAAGAATCTTTGAAGCAGCTCACAGAGGCACTTGAGGATTCCAACACCGAGCATGGCCGATGCTGGGCAATATTAGCTGTTGACGTGCACCTTGAATTCTATGAATACTACAAAGATCTTCCTAAGAACAAGAATCTACTGCCCTGGTGTCCGCCCGGTCAATTTACCAACAGCTTTCACATCCGTGATGACTGCGAGGTAATTGATTGGATGTTTAATTATATGAGACAAAAAGACGAACCCCCGGCACGATGATGGAAATGTCAATATTGTCTAACATTTTGGGGCGTCGTGCGAAAAAACTGATATACAAAAAGCACTGCTCTATGTGCTTGAGGATTGGAGTTGTTTTGCTTTTCAAATTTAGTCTTCAGGCCATTCCAGAAGGATATACAGATTGCCCTGGGATACAAGCAGCCAGCTTGGAGCATCATCATGATCCAGAACCCCCTGATTGTCCTTGGTCGCACATCCTCAATATCTATGAAGTTCCGTTTCTTTCCATATCCCGAATATTCAAAATTTATCACTTTTTCATTTCTAGTCTACATGAACATGATGCTTGTCCAGATTGGATAATGTTGAGTCCTGATATCTAAGGCAGGAATATTAGAAATCCGGCTCATCGGGCCTCCCGAGGTCCGTAATGCCGAGCTGATCAATCTTATCGGCGTATCGGTTTCGTCATTCCTTTTCGCAGTGACCCTAGATTCGAACATTGAATATATAAAAGCCTCAAGTTCGGACAAAATTGCTGATCAAAATTCTTCAAAGCACTGACCCAAATCATAGAGACAATTTCGTTTCATATCCTCCCAAAATGTCTTCAACGAACAACATCGCCTTCACCGCCCCGATCAACCCACCAGGCGCAACACCCGTTGTTACCCTCGAACAAATCTGGAACGGCCTCCTCCTCAAAATCCGCTCTGCAGAGACATTTGTTCCAGGAGCGATCCAATCCACCAAGGTCGTCAGTGACTCCGTCGACCAATCGACCGGCAACCCCGTCACCGTTCGCGAAGTCCTCTTCCGCGAAACCCAGAAAACAGTTCAAGAGACCGTTACAGCTTTCAAGCCTACCCGGGTAGAATTTGAGCAGCCGAATGGAAGCAAGGTCAGCAATGTGATTAGTCAAGGAGCTGGTGGGGAGCTCTACATGACGTATATCTTCGAATGGAGACACCCCGGTGTCTCAGAGGTGGAGCTGGCGGCGCTGCTCGAGAAGGAGAAGAAGATGAGCCAAATGGCGGTTGAGGGGACAATCAAAGTGTTGAGGCAATTGGTTGAGGAGCAGAAGCTTTGAAGTTGATAAGTGGCGGAAAACGCCGTCCTTGACACACGCTATCATGAATTCCATCTTCGACCCTCGATCATCTTCTCAGTGAACTCGACCCCATAATCACCACATCTTTGATGTAGGGTATTCTTAGAGTAATGAGTTATCAGAGCTTTCCTTTTAATAGCTCTGTCGCCAGTCATGCTAGAAGCAAGCAAAGCAGTTGTGGGCGAGTCGAATCGTTTCCTCCGAGCATGCGACTCCCATACAAAGTTCGTTGGTTCTCCAGACATATATGCAATGTTCTCTGTGTCCAACTGGCAGAAGAACGCGACTCGCTTCTTGACACAAATTAGTCGAATAGCCTGAGCCCATTCCTTGCGCGTCAAAGACACCACATCAAGCTCCAGCTCTGTTAGTCCCTCGCACAGTCTCAGTAAATTCCAGCAGCTCTTAATATCATCCCATCCATTCCAAATCGGATCCCGCCACTGCGGAAATGTACTGGGGTGTTCATCATGGTGGTAAGCATGAATAGGGATGAACGATATCCGTCTTAGCCACGTTCTCACTTGGGGACGAATAGCAGTCAAGAATCCCGTTAGGAGAGAGGGATCCTCGAAGGCGAACCAGTTCTCCTTCCAGAAGACCGGTGCAGCCTCGTTCCAAAACCGCTTGCTGGCGAGCAGAATGGCTAGACTGTCACGCCTTCCGCATAGGCATGGTAGAGACCTCATGCACGGAATCCCCTCCACGGCTCCGTCCAGGTCCCAGTAGCAATTGTCACAGAGATAGGCGTTTTTATGCGGCTGCGCCCACTGGCTTCGTGCTGAGGATTGGAATATCGGGACTTGCGGCTGCCTCCAAACGTAGCTATGGCAGTTTGCACATTGGGGGCCTTCTCTGTTCCAGGGATGTGGATCTGGGCCTGGTCGTATACGACGCAGAGGCATTTTGCATGGGTTGGAGTGGTACATATCAAATTTGCATGGTTGGACGAGAAGTTTGCCGTAAATGTTATTTCTTATTTCCTGTGGAAGGGAGAAGAATCTGGGATTTCAATGTTAGGAGTAGAAGTTCCAATAGGGGGTAAGAGTTCATACCTCTTGAAAAGGGGAGACTCTTCGTGTTTCCCGGGCTCGATGAAATGTGTCTCTTGTACATGGTGTGCCTTTGATCTTGCCCGTTGCACACCTTTCGGTTTGGCATATAATTCTCGGCGTCGTGTATACCGATGGAGTTTGGGTTCCAGATCAGGCTCTGAAGATGATTTCGCCATTTAATTGTAAATTTAAGAATACAACACAGATAATTAAACTGTTCACACTCCCAACGTTGACTACCTATGTAGAATTATAAATACAGTCAAATCTGGTCTGCAGCCTAATATGACTCGCGAGCGCACGTCACAGTCAGCTTTCAGCCTCACGGGGACCCGAAAGAGAAATTATCACGAGGGTGTGGCGCAGCACATTCTAGATTTACAAATAGAAATATGAGGACCTGATTTATGTAGTTTTTTAGAAGTTATTTAGTAGAACATATTAGTATAATACATGCTATATATTTCAACCGATAAAAAAGAACATGCACTTTACATCTGTTCCTGGCTTCCTGAACGAAACCCCGGAAGTGTGAAAGTGTCACGATTGCATCTATACCTTACAAACTGTCCAATCTAAAACCTACTTTACAATAACTTATAACACCCCCCATGACTAGTAGATCAACGATCTCCATGAGTTCCTGAAGTTGTATTTCATCTTTGGCATATGATTGCGCCGACCTTATCAAACGAATGATCTCCATTATAGCAGCCTATACTAGAAGCCCATTCGGAAACCCCTCATTGTCTGAAATCTGCGAGCAAGTCGCCTGAGACTTCTTCTTTTTCAGTCAACCAAGGGTTGAACCTCTTCCCGATCTCGGCCATCTTCTTCTAGGCGCTCGCCTGGGAGAACAATGGCACGATCAAGCTTGTAAGGCAATCCACGGTGGCGGCCTCGAATCATCATCACGCACATGACGAGCTTGCTGAAAACGGTAAACTCTCCACAAAGAGATGTCGAAACGGTGGGATATCCAAGACTGAGCCCAACATTGCCACTTCATCGGAATTAGTCAATGAAAAAGTAAAAGTATGCATGAATAACTCACTATGCTGAAACAACTTCGAATAACACCGAGAATACAGAAAAGGCCTGGAATTGTTAATTTTATGGTTGCAAGATTGGATATCGATCACTTACCGGAATCGACGTATCTGCGATCTTATCACCCTCGGAGATGCAGATGCAAAAGCAGCCGAGGAAGATGTACCACAAGTCAAAGCTCAGTTGGTTCTGAATATGGCTGATAATATAAGACCGGCCATCATTCTCGTCTATGTCACTAACATTACCATATATACCCAAAGTCTTTTCTTCATAAACATTGGAAGCTCTTATGCTGATCGCGATTGGAAAAACTGCAATATACATCATGATGACCAAGCTGAATTGGACGGCGGGGCTCACTTCAGCCAAGTTGAATGTTGATGTACCCGTGTGACGCGCTGATGCTGCTTGGAAAGTAGCAGCAAGAATTCGTTGACCAGGAGCGAGATTATTAACGGTGGGATTGTCCAAGTCCAGCACAAGGATGAGAATGACATCGATTAAGTTCATGAGGAACAATATTCCGAAGAGAATCCAGGTTGGCCGGCTTGGGAAAAGCAGCGTATAGCACCGTCGCGGATGATCGAGCAGGAATCTGAGGGGGTCTTTGAGCGAGGATTTAGAATGGCAGACCTTGGACATGATCCAAATGACAAGTCGAAGAAGGCATGGATAACAAGTATTCCCGGCAAATGCAAGGAAACTCATAAAAATCATTGGGAATGTCGCATCTCGAAAGGAGATCATTGAATCTGGTGTCAGAGTAAAGCCAACATTGTCAACCATCGTCTGAGCGGAGTAAATGCCCCTATCGCCAAGGAAAAAGAATAAGTGACTATGTCGTTGATCTCAAATGACGAAGCCCACTTACCACCAAACATTGCCTTGCCCACATTCAGCAAGATAATCGCGATATTTTGGATGTGCATGACGAATCCATCCAACCAGACAGATTGCACCGAGGAGATGCAGACCAAAGAAAAATCCCACCACAATCTTCAACAGAAGCTTCAAGCTTCGATATTCAATACCGCCGAGTCTTTCTCGATCTTCAGCAGACAGGTTGTGGAACTGGGAGTTCCGGCCTATTGTAGCGTGTGAAGAAATATTCGGTAAATCGAGCTGCTTCATGCCATTGTGCGTTCTTTCTTGGCTCTTCTGGTCGTCGCTAGGAGAGTTTCCCAAAACGAACACAGAGGTTACAACGCGTTCAAGGGTTGCAGTACGTGAGTATATGCTTCTGGTAGTTTGTCGACGAAGAACCTTCTCGGGTCGTCCTTTCATAACCCAAGTTAATAACCAACTTGAATTTACTCATATGCGCCACTTTATCAGGACTTACCATCATCGTCATCATCAGCCTTTCCATCAATCTCAGAAAACGGGGTGCCTGCGAATTATTCGTGAGAATATGGACGGGAAATATGGATTTGCTTTTCATGCACCTCTATCACGTTTCCACGGAGGGGGGATATACAGAGCTTTGTCCTTGTTGGAAAATGACTGGTCGTCAGCAAAATGAATGACTTGCTTTCCCGAGTTGATATTCGAGTTGGCTGTATCATCGACTTTCGCATCCTTCAATTCCTGGGAAACCCTGATGCATTAAGTCAGTACCCAATATATCAGAGAGCATTTTATGTCGATCTATGGCGCTGAGACCAACCTTGGAGCTTTTTCTCGGGTCTCATCACGCCCCTTATCCTCATCCAAGTCATCTGTTTTGTGGTTTATAGATTGATCGCTTGGGGCTTCGTCAATAGTGCTGCTCAAATCGGTTTTGTACTTGACTTGCGCCTCTGCGTCTTGTCCAGAGAGCGTGTCAGGTCTCAAAAGATGCGGTGCTGTATTTAGGGAGGCAAGTTAGTTCATGATCATAGGACTGAGCAGGATGCGGAGGGGGAGCTGCTCACCAGTTGCTCTGAGATGTTTTTCAAAACATCGAACCCGAAAAACAACCACAATGATGTTGATGAATCCTAAGTTTCCCAAGATCGGAATGAGATATAGATACACCTGTTGGTAGGTCTTCAAAGCTTTGATGTCGACACTTGAGACTCATAAAAACTCCATGTTTAGCCGACTTGATGAGATCGAAAAGGAAGAGAAAAGCTTGGAAGCAAAGGGAACTACTTACGTATTCATACCTGACTCAGTCGACGCGCTGGCACCGAAGAAATAAGCATCGACGGCTTTCAAGTTACCATAAGGGTACACTATAACCAAGCTCAGAAGGCTGAGGGTGATAATCCATGCGTCTATCAAAACGAATTAGAGTTGAAATAAGGTATGCCGATGCACCCCTGGACGTACAATGCAGGGTGAGAAAGTTAATCGACTTCCACATGGCACAAAACTTGATTGTATACAGGGGAAATTCGACGGGGGCCTACAAGGTTCATTATATAGCTGGCTTTTTTTCTTTTTCTACAGCCATTTTACCACTAATCGTGAATTCAATAATTGCCTACTTGTTGCCTACTCCGTATAAAATAATGATCTACAATGATTTGCGTGAGGGATTTGCCTGGCAAATCACCGTTTGGCACTGCGCCACTGCTCGCAGCATAGCTTTCAGCTTCCCCTGCTATAGCCAATTCATATGCCCGCAACCATCTTCTGACCATATATCCTTGGTCAACGATTTGGAAGAAGAAGAGATAAGCTCTTCTAAGGCGGAGCTAACTAGTCAGTCAGTCAGTTAGTTATGTCGAAATGGCCTCCCGATGCCCTAAACAGGACACGAGGTTTTTGTTATGGTCTAGTGGTAAAATGGCTGTAGAAAAAGAAAAGATGGAATACGAGAAAATAAGAGAGACGCCTGCTCTCTCTTTGTAGCCCCAATCAAACGAACCAAATTATTTCCCACAAGTTAGTTATCCTAAGCTACTATCCTAAAAGGTCAGGCCGCCATCTCAACCTCACTAGTTACCTTACAGTATAACTCATCACAGTTCTAGGGCTGTGGTTTTATTCAGGCATGAGGAACCAGCACCTTGCCCTCAGACACGCTAACAGCAGTGCCCGTCAACACAACCTGTTCAATCCTCTTGTCGCCATCCAACGTAGCCCCAACACCAATATCACTGCGGCGTCCCATTTCAACACCTTGCACAACATGGTACTGATGATTCTGACCAGCCTTGCCCTCCGTCAGTGTCAAGTACGCCGCCAACCCACTAGCCGAGCTGCCAGTAGCCGGATCTTCCAGGGTTCCCAGCATCATCCTGGACCGAATAACCTTCTTCTTCGTGACACTATCCTCAACATCCCGAACAATGAAGTACACACAGACTAACCCAACCTTCCACCCCTCATCAAGATAATCAGCAGAAACCAGCTCACCACCGGTCGCAGGTGTAACAGCAGCCAGCGCCTCAAGCGAAGGAAGCTCAATAAACAACTGGCTCATCCCATTGACAATTGAAAAGAGCGGGAAAGTAACATCCGGCCGAGTAAAGAACGGCGCCAGCGTTGGGTGCAGCCTCACCACCTCCTTCAGGCTGAACCGCGCAGCATGAATACGTGTATTGTGCGCAATCTGCGCAGCGACGTATTTGGTCTCGCGATTCTGGACGGAGATGGGGATGTCGCCGGACTTGGTCGCCAGGGTGGTGACGCCATCGCCATCCGCGGGGTCGGGTGAGTGGCTCAAGAACCAAGAGGCTGCGCCAATGGTGGGATGGCCTGCGAAGGGGATTTCGCAGTCTGTGGTGAAGATGTCGATGGTGCGCTTTCCTTTCTCACGTACTGGGTGGACAAAGATACTCTCGGATAGATTGAATTCCCGTGCGATAGTTTGTTTCTGGCTCTGGGTTAGAGCGGTTGAGTCGTCTTCTGGAAGGAAGACTACCGCTAGCGGGTTGCCGGAGTAGGGTGTTGATGTAAAGACATCAAGGGTGACGAATTTGAGGTGAGTCATGTTGGGGTATTGGGATACTGGGATATTTTGGAATATGTCGACATCCACGGGGGACGTCGGATGGCTTTTATAGTTACATCGAAAGGTCCCACTTTTCGCTTTGACTCACCGTTAAAATTCACGCTACACTTAGAATGTGGTCCATGCCTCTAGAACAATTGGATTTTATTTAAACTGAATATCTACGGCATTTGCACGGTGGACAATAAACCGCTATACTCGCGGAAGAACAAAATCATCCGGCATATCCCTCCTACTCCCCCATACCTTCAATCCCTCAATCAACGCTCTACTAAAGTCAGGATCATACTTCAATCCATCATCCCCAGAACTAATTCTCCCCCTCCACAATGCCCAATTCCCAGCCATCACCCCCTCTGGCGAACGCAAAATGCCAACCGCGACATCAACCATCCCCGGCCGGTCGGTACAACTATAAAACACCGTCGCGCCACATGTCCCACAGAATTTCCGTAGTACCTCTTCACTAGACTTGTAACTTTTCAACGACCCGATAATCAAATCTCCTGGTGGAGAAGGGGATATATGATCAACTGGAACGAACATCCAAGCTATGACATTCGACCCATCGACCAGGCGACAGTCATCACAGAGATCAAGAAGCGCAAGCCACTTGCTCGTGTCTCTTGACAAAACCCACCCCTCGCTTGCAGGACTAGCAAGAAATTCCTTTCTAGGACGGGAGATAGAGAACGAAACGCCACCGCAGTGACATTCGGCGCGCAATTCCTCAGCCTCGGTTCTGACTGTGTCTACTCGGACACGGTTTTCAGCCTTGCTAGTATCCAATGACGTCTCCGGGTTAAAGACATCAAGCTGGCGACCATCAATATGCGAGAACATCGCCGAAAGCCCTCCATCAAGCGAGGAGTTCGTGAAAGCATGTGAATGCAGCTCCCATAGACCCTGGTTTGGCTCAGTGAAGATAGCCGTAGATATCACCCAGTTGCCGTCGTCGTGTGATTTATCCCCGATGTGGCAGCCGCAGGTACTGCAGAAATGCCGCGTTCCCTGGGACTCGGCGTGGTTGTAGGGTGTCAGTTTGTCTATGCTGGACGGAGCGATGAATTGCGGTGCTACGCCTGCTGGTAGCGGGGCATGGAAAATACATGGTGTGCCATGGGTGTAGCGACAGACGCTGCAGTGGCATATGTGGACTTTGAGGGGGAGGGCGTCTGCGGGAATCGTTATGGTGAAGTGGATGCCTTGGCAGTGGCACGCCGCTGTGAGAGTCTTGTTGTCGGGAGCCATTTTCGAAGTCAGTTGGAGCTGAAATGTCTTCGGAGATGGGTTCACTGCAGCGGAGAAGATGTCAAGTGTGGGGAAGCTCGTATTTTTTGTATGCTTCATCCAGCACGGACCTTGGCTTTGTGATGTCCTTGGCAGATAGGGAATATTAAGTCGTAAAATTGTTCTCATTGAGCTTAGGTATCCGATGCTTTACAATTCCTTTTCCATCTCAATGCCAAACGCCTCATCAAGTCATCACAATCGAAACATAGCACAAATATTGAAGTGAAACCACTATTCAGAGTCACTCTCAATCACAAATCCACCGCGCATACGTCTCCGGGCTGGAGCCACAGGCTCATCTTCCTCGTCATCGTCTACGGCCTCGGGCTCCTTAGCTTGGGGCTTGCTCGGGGGATCTCGAGTGAAGGCGAAATCATCATCAAAAGCAAGGTCATCCTCACTTAATGTGAGAGGGGTGTCTTCGTCCTCTCCGGCGCCGTGGCTAGTAGAGATCTCATGTTGGGAGTGAGACGACTGAGCGTCGAGTTCCGCCATGAGAATATCGCCGTCAGCATCACTCTCGGTCCCGCTAGCAGCAGAACCAGAACCACGACGTTGTCGCTTGGATTTTGCGGCTGCAGACGTGCCAGTATCGCTGCCTCGCTTGCGGGCGGCAGACTTATTCCCTTTGCCCTTGCTTGAGGGTTCGACGGTTCCAGTGAGCAAGGCCTTCTTGATTTCTTTTGCCTGTTTAATTCGACGCTCTTCTTCAAGGCGGAAGAACTCCTTGTCGGCTTCTTCGTCGCTTTCTTCGTCGCTGGCATGTATGAACAAATCACTCTTGATCTTTGCTTGGCGAGAAAGTGCGTTTGATAGACGCGCATCGCGCCGGGCTTCTAGGATTTCGTCGTCCAGCGGCTCCCTTTCGGTAGTGGCCTTCTGCTTCTTCTTACGCTTCTTCTTGAGGTCATCCAGCGCACTAGACTTTGACCGCAGATTCGCCGGGAATAAAGGACCATCTGGAATATCCTCGCCTTCAGACTCCGATCCGAAGTTGACATCAAGCGTGCCTTGAATAATGTTGCCGCGACCGCTTCCTCTGTTCTTTGGTTGGATCTGCTTGCGAGGATCGTCATTGCCATCTGCGGAGAATGGGGTTTGAAGGGCTTTCAAGATTTCAGAAATTGTTTCACGCAATTCGTCGGACTTGAAAGAGGCCGGAACGACCCAAGAGGCACCAAGCACATCTTCCACGCCGAGTCGCTCGAATCCGATGACAGTCATGAGCAGGCGTAGCTTTGCGTTCGAGAACATCGCATTCTGAACGAACTCGTTCTTGCCTTTGACAGCTGTTTTGTTGTTAGTATCAGTTGAGAAACAGGGTGCTGGGGGGAACATACGAATCATCGGGTTGGGAACGCTGGTGGTCTCGGAGTTCTCAGCGCGACGGACTTCTTCTTGGGTTTCCCAGTCCTCTCTTTCGGAGGCTGCGGAGCTCAAGACATCTTTGACCCATGTTACCAGATCTGCTCTACCGTCGAGAACAAGAGCGCCAATCACGATGTGGAGTTTCGCTTCCTTTGTCGTCGCCTCCGTTGATGTAATCACAAGGTCCGGCGGGGGACGCTTATAGGTGGAGATCGTTTGCTTTTCGTGTCCATATTCAAGGTAGTAGACAGTAGAGTTGATCTTGCTGAACAGCAGTTCAGTGACCAAGGCGGGGCGCTGCTCAAGCTTCTTAACCAGTCGTCGAATGATTTGCCGGACCAATTCCTCCCATTCCTTATATACAGACTTGTTTGAGTCCATGGGGCCTGGGCCTTTGATCATTCTGTAGAAAAGGCTGATAATATCCATACGAAACAGCAAGACAGTCATCTCCTGCTTGAATGCAATCCGGTAGAAATAGCGGTGGGCGCGTTTGAGCTGCTCAGAGGTAAGCTCTCGATAAAATCCTGTGAACGCAATGAAGGTATCCACGCAGTTTTGGTTGCAGAACTTGGCTGAGAATCGCTTAAAGTCAAAGCTGCGTTCCTTAGTGACCTGGGCTGCTTCCTCCATGTCTTCATCTTCAGAGTCACGCTCCTCATCGTCATCTCCTCCCTCTTGCTCGGGGGCTTGATCAGCTTTCTTTTGCCTTTTCTTGGCCTTTCGCCGCGAACGGATTTGCATGTCGGCATTATCTTTGGAATACCGTTCCAGCATTCGCAGGAACACATGTGCTAACTCCGTGCAGGCATCTAAATAACCAAAGCCTTGGTCTTTGTATCCGCGCAAAATAGTAAGGATCCGGTCATGGGTTGTTTCTTCGTAGAAAATTCGGTTTTGAATATTCTCCGCAATTTCCTGGTCTTCTTCGAGCGGTGACACTGCCATTTCCTGGACAGTCAACAGAATCTGGGTGAAGCAGCGCATCTGAGCATTGAGGTCTTCCCATTCCTTGTTGTCCAAGCTACTCTGCATAGCCCGGTTCAAAGAAATGAACATCTCTTGGTTCAGGACACCAGCAACCAGACCATAGCTATCGGGTTCAATATCTTTGGTTCTGCCTCCATTCTGAGCTGTGCGATGGCGGAGCTGTCGAGTCCGTCGTACGCGCTCTGCTTCCAGGAACCAACCGACTGTGTAGAAGAATTGGCGATGATTGATTGGTACCACACGCTCGGCTTCGCGCTCGATTGCTTTTCGCACATGGGTGAATAGAGGGTTGAATCCGGAATCCAGGAACTCCTCCACAAAAGTCCTCAGGTTCTTAGTTGCCTCGGAATTAAGATGAGCGGGCATGTTGAAGTTGCTGTTTTGGACCACATCTTCTTGTCTACGACGAGGCCGAGGCTTATTCCACTTTTTGCTCTCGTCCATCTTTTGGAGTGTGGTTTGGTCGTCGCGCAAGACACCCTGTCCAGAGACAGTTGATACCTTCGCATCGTCACGCTTGACCCAGATCATTGTACCGAATCTCCCATGGCGTGTAGGTGCATTCTTTGCGTATTCCCTCCGTACCAGTGATTCCTTTTTCAGTAAATCGCTGAGTTCGTCAGTTCGCTTGGCCGTTCTCTGCTCATCATCCATGAACAACTTCTCGACGTTGACACCCTTGACAATATGGAAAAGCGTCTCCATCAGAGGAATATCTTGAAGATTGAAGTCTTCGCCGACATTGGAGCACATAGTCAGGAGAAGTGCAAATGCATCTTGCTCATGGAAGGCGTTGATTGTGGCCGATCTGGATGTCTCCTCCTCGTCGCCTTCTGCCGCAAGTCGGGTGTTGGGGGATATGATCGCGATGTTCCGCAACAGGTACAACATCAACTTGAGGATTCCTTCGTCTCGGGTTCCACGTTCGGATCGAGGGGTCGCCATGCTTGGAAGAGAAATTCGAATGACTGCACGAAGGAGATTCAGCCCCCGGATCTGAGGATACCTCGCTTGTATTGCACTTGTGTCTGTTGGATGTAGGGGGTATGACGATGGTGGTTGACTGTCATCTGGCTGTGAAACTCCACGGGCCATGTTAGGGGAACAAGAAGCTCCAAGCACGCCAGTGATATCCTGGTCATATGCTTGCTGTTCTGTCCACTGGCCCACCAGAGCGAGAGGATCGGAAGCAGATCACCATTGATCAAGTTGGCCTCTCCAAGGCACCGCGCAACATCCATCCTGTTATTCTTTTCATCGTACAGTTTCAACCAGCGTTTAATGTCGCGTAAACATGCCAGCGCATCGTCTCCAAGCACATATTGGTCGGCATTTTCGCCATTGAACCCTCCGAGCTAGATAACCAAGCGTATCAGTGAATTGACCCAAAAGCCAGGCAAAAAAGAAAGTGGAAGTGAGCTCACTGCAGTAACCAGGCCGTAAACATAGTTACGCACGTCTGGGTCGACGACTTGCACGTCGTGTCCTAGAGGAACAACCTCTTCATCCATGGTGAGCTAGTTTGATACCCCATTAATTTGCTTCCCGATTCGAGTTGAATGGGAACGCGTCGACGCGTGTTCGGCTTCGGCGGTTCGGAGAAACTGGATGCCGCCAAAGTGCCGAGGATAACCGATGCTCTTACGCCACATATCAACGTCCACTGTGGCAGTATCTGGCAAAATGTCAGATGTATAGGTCTGTGTAGACATCGGAGTTACCTAGAGAACCCTTCGAACTTATTCTTTACAGATGCCATTACTGTACACCAACATTGGGAATAATGCATACTATTCCGATGGTTCGATCGAGTGCTCTATTACTTAACCGACAAGAAATCATAATCATTTTCGATATATCACCTGGACTGCCTTGGAACCTGGATTCTACCCCCAAGACATCAACTGTACTCTCAAGAATCTAGCCTAGATATTGCAAAATCTCTGGTTTCTCACTAGACATTCTCAAAAACACTTCTAATATTGTTGGGTTTCTGGGGTACTTAAGCTTCAGGCTTCAATATTCCCCTTTCGGCCCTTCTTCTGGATTATATGAGTAGCAGGGTACCCCATAATTTCTACTCAACACCTACTATCCTCGGATCTACTCTATAGCCGTAAATATAAAGTATCACGTCTGAGGTTGATGTAATTCGATACAAAAACGATTGCAAAATTTAGCATATGGTTGGCCGATACATAAGGCGGTGAGATATATGCTCAATGGCCACTGTCGAGCGCCATATAAGGACGTCCGAAAGCACGTGAAGTCATAGCAGTCAGTATACCGATTTGCTTCCTCGCACTTACATTCTTCACTTCTTCTGTTCATTTTCCCCCGAAGCTCCAGAGACCACTGCAGCCATGCTTACCTCTACTATTCGCTTTGTTTCCCTTCGCAGAGGCCCTGCGGTGGCCCGAAACTTCTGCTCAACCTCTGTATTCCGCGCAGCCGAGGTCAAGTCACTAGGCGTTATCGGTGCGGGCCAAATGGTGCGTAACACGAAATATACAACCACGCTGCAGGTCTAACACTTTTTCAGGGCCTGGGAATTGCCCTCGTCGCTGCACAGAAGGCAAAGGTCCCGGTAACTCTCGTCGACACCTCGCAGGCCTCTTTAGATAAGGGCCTCAAGTTTGCCGGTACGCGAGCTCCGGTTTAGGTTACTGCAGTCACCTGGAATTATCTGACATGGCATTGGATAATAGATAAGCTTCTCGAAAAGGATGTCGCAAAGCAGCGCCTCACCCGAGAGGAAGCTGATGAAGCTCGTGGGCTTATTTCCACAAGTTTGACGCTGGAGGGTCTCTCTGCAGTCGACTTCGTCATTGAGGCTGTGCCTGAGATCCCGGATCTGAAGTCAAAAATATTTGCCAGCTTGGCCCAGATCGCCCCAAAGCATGCTATCCTCGCAACAAACACCTCCTCCATCTCCATCACCAAGATTGCCGCTGCCACAAGCGCGGACCCCACCGACCTTCAGGCTTCCTCCCGGGTCATTTCGACCCACTTCATGAACCCTGTCCCCATCCAGAAGGGTGTGGAGATTATCCGTGGACTCCAAACATCCCAGGAGACCATGGATACTGCCATCGCCTTTGTCCAGCGGATGGGTAAGGTGGCCTCTGTGTCGGCCGATACACCTGGCTTCCTTGCCAACCGTATCTTGATGCCTTACATTAACGAGGCCGTGATTTGTCTGGAGACTGGGGTTGGTGGCCGTGAGGATATTGACAACATCATGAAGACTGGCACCAACGTGCCCATGGGCCCCCTTGTTTTGGCTGATTTCATTGGCCTCGACACATGCCTTGCAATCATGAACGTTCTCCACCAGGAGACTGGTGACAGCAAGTATAGACCCGCCGGTCTCCTACGTCGCATGGTGGATGCTGGCTGGCTTGGAAAGAAGAGCGGTAAGGGTTTCTACGACTACTAGTTGCTGTGCGTGTCCGGGATGGAGAAAAAGCATTTCGATCAAGATACCCTTCCTGCATCATATTAATCTAGATCGCGATTTGCTGGAAATAAAAATTGATTACCCGCCCTCATCCATTCTCTAAGCCTCATTCTTTAAGCCTCATCCTCCCACCAACAAGGTTCACCTGCCGATTCCGCTTGCTCCATTGCAGCGACCAGCGTATTAACATCAATATCCCCATCTGTATCCAGGTCTTCGTCTTCGAGACCACGTGGGGGACATCCGCATCTGCCGCGTTGACCACAAAGGTAACTTATTTTCCGATTAGCATTATCTTTCTACCTAGGGTGTGCATGCATGAACTTACCAAAATTGATGTCCACACCTACAAACGATGTGGTTACATCCATCCACCTTCTCAACCAAATACAGGCAATTGGAGCATCTCTGCCAATTATTCTCCTTTGCCAGTCGCAACGTCGCCTTCGTCTCAGAGTCATGGCTACATGACGAGCCGAGATGGAAAAAGTCACCACACTTGGAGCAAACCTTTGCCCGGCAATGAGGACAGACACGATATCCTAACCGTCCCCCGGGGCTCTTTGTGGGGATCCATCGGCCACACGTCGGCCGAGGACAGTACAATCGCTCTAGAGGAGGGATTTTATTCTCCTCCCATCGAACGATATAGCGCTTTTTGTTTCGAGAGCTCATGACGGCCACGAGTGCTTTTGCGGGGATCTCTTGGAAACAGCATTTTGCCGGGAACATGTCCGGGTTGTCCAGGGCTGTTGAGGACATTCGACGGAGGCATGAGGGGCAGTATTGGTGTTCACAAGGAGCAGTCAAGAGATTGGTCGTTGGGACCTTTTGGAAGCACCCTGTGCATCTGTGAAGAGTTAATATATTGCTTTCAACTGGCTTTCGATTGGCTTTGTGCTTTACTGACAGGCCTACTTCCTCGCCAACTTTCTTGATTGCGAATACTCGCTCCAAGTAGTCTAGGAGTTTTCGGATGGACGACCGGCTCTTAGGCATTTTGCTGTAAGTTCGCTATCAATGGGGGGATGGTACTGTGCCCTTCAAGGAGGGACAAAGTGCATGGTCAGATCTCAGAGTCTAAGCCAGAAAGACGTCCTCTTATGTAGAAGTGCAGGGTACGCCTCATCTTTCAGGCCATATAGGGATCGGACATTTAGCCATGGATGGGCAAACACTATTTTCTTTCTTGTTCCTGAAGAGCCCATGGTTAATGATGGGATGACGGTTACATTCTAGGAATTGCTGTCTTGTAGTCAGTGTATCAAGCGGGCTTCGGCCAGACCAACTCTTCTTGGAGGTCTCCTTTATTCCATTGACTCGCAAAAAAACAACAACGATGTCTTCGAAGTGCTCAAGCTAATAGTCTTAGCATAAAGGTGAACAGGAACCAGGCGTGGGATCCATGGATCTGGTAATTTCCGGAACAGGCAAGAACACAGCTTATTCCAACATTAGAGCGAATAATCACATCGTAATGTGAGGAGTACGGTGTTCTAGCCTTGAACTAAACTTTTATATATTCCAAACGACTTTGTACATTGACCACTGACACTGAAAAAATAGGGTATCACTAAATGCTATAAATGCTGTCGGTTTCAGCCACCGTTAAAAACTCCCGTACTTAATCCCACAGAGACTGTTCAGACGAGTGGGACCTCATACAAGGCCAGCAAATCGTCGAACAGCCCATCCTGACCCGTATTCTTGATATTCTTGGCGAGTGATGGATACTTTGCTGAGTTCCTCTCTGTTTGCTGCAAGGCGAGTGCCTCCTAGCCATGTTGAGTGAACAGGGCTGTTAAGGTTAGTACTTTCAAAGTCAGGATAACCAGATGGATGGCCACTCACTCCTTAGCCCGGCGTACTCTCACGACACATTCAGCAGAGGCAATCTGTCGCAATTCGGTTTCTCTGTAAAAAATAGTGTGTTAGTAGAAACTTTAACCAATTGACTTCCGAGAACCCACAGTCTTTCCATAAATCCCGGAATCAAAGCATTTCCTCCGACAACGAGAACGTTCGCCAAGAAGGCAGAGTGCAGGCCAGTAGGCAGAACCGACAAACTTTGAAGAATCATATCGGGTATGCCGGCTGACTTCATACCAATATCTCCGGGGGTGAATAGAAGCTCCGGGACAGCAAAGCGCTCATTACCAAGCACCAGTACATCCTCCGACAACACCTCCGCGCTGAGCCCAGAAACAGCCCCTTTCTTCTTTTTGGCGTGCAGAAGAGGATCATGCGGTCGAATGAAGCCCTTCTTGTTTGCATTGGGGTCTGGAAGCACATAGTCCAACACAATCCCCTCTTCGGGGCCACTCTGGCGCTTTCGGCCACTTTTCCATGCATGTTCCAAATCACCAGCAAAGTCATTGCTGACATAGCAGACCGCCTCTTTGACTTCATTCATAATATATGATTCGTCCACCATGTTGTATTGTCTCATTGACACAATCTCCTTCAGGTAGTTTGTAAGGTGCTTGCCTCCAAGATCGAGTCTTCGAATTCCGCGTTGAAGAGCTTGGCCTTTGTAAACCGGGGTCACTGTGGTGTGCGAGTAGCCAGAATCAACGACCAGTAAGCAATCTGCGGGCAAGATAGATGTGTCGGATGTATTGGAGAGAGGATCGCCGAAGAGTGAATGGATTTCGTTCCATGCGTTGAGGGTTGGACCTAAAGACTTCAAGTCAGTACAGGATCATATGCGACACCAAATAATCGGACCACCGTACCCAAACATCTCGCATATCCCCCAAACCCCCATTCCTCCATAACCATCTCATCCGCGTTCCGTTGTAAAATGGGCAAAGCATTCGGCGCCTCCGTAAGCACAAGGGTAGTGTCTTCTGGTTCCGCGATGTGATATTTCCGATTCCGAGCCGTCGGCTTCCCGTCAAAGAAAGACTGGTCCCAGATCTCTCTCTCGGCTTCCCAGTTCACAATATATCCCTTCTCCACCGGGCGCCGGAACATCGCCTCATTCCAGTCGTTGACTGTCGCTAGCTGTGCACCGATGACGATCTTGTTATCGCGGGTTTTGACGAGAGCATTGGGTATCGATGAGCAGGCGGAAACGCTTTCGTCGGAGGCCGGGGCATGAGAAGCGTAGCCGGCTTTGATCATGTACGCGCCATTGTCGATGACAAAGGTCTTGTCTGGAAGGTACCGCGACGTCTCCACGGGCTGTGTTGGTGTTGCGGGCGTCCTTGGAGGAGCGCGAGCCTTTGCTGTTCCCATTATGGCTGGCAATGATGAACAAAAAGCTTTGAGCTTCCGTCAAGCTGGGATGTAATGATGAAGATGTTTGTCTTGTTTGATATTGAAAATTCCCGCTTAGGTAATATAGTATTTGCCCCGGGTACAAAGTAGGAACATATGTAGTCATGTACAGCTCCGCCAAGGTCTACGGCGTGAGAAACATTTTGTCCATTGTTCACGCTCAGCAAGCAAGGGGTAAGCGGCTGCTCTATCAGATAAAACTCCTGTCTATGTGTACAACGTATGCACTCCACTGGTCTCGAAGCTAGGACCTGAGGTCTATCTATTGGCTCCCATCAGCGCTTAAGTAGATCAATCAAACGTATTTCCGAAGGGCTTGTAGTTGCACGACATTATTCACAACTTCAATTTCGTACGTAGGGTAGCTATACGTACCATATTTCCTCTGCCGGGTGGGGCTTTCCTATCTTAGCTGCCGCCGCTTTTATGAGGGCGCTCAGAGTCAGGCTCACAGAATAAATTTCAGTCCGGGCTCAGACTCTGAGCTGCTCAGTGCCGTCACGTAATTGGTCCTTGAGGTCCAATGAACGCTCACTGATCAGAGGCATCTATTGTGCCTCAGTCCACGATCGGTCCATACCCAAAGGAGCACTTTGCCCCACAATACTGTTTATTTTGCGATAATTTTTTGATGGCCCTCACTTCTCACTTTGCTCCTATTTCTTGAGGTGCACGATCTCCTAGTCTCGTTCCCCTTCCAAAAAAAGAACGCACTAGGGCGTGATGACACAAAATTGGAAGGCACAAAGTAAGATACTATCTTCTAAGGTAAGATTGTAAAGGTATACTGGTTTCAGGTGTATGGCCTGAGGGCCATAGAATGTCCATAGCGGCAGCACGGTCTCGCTTCTCGGAAGGGTCACCCAACGGGGTTTCCTAATTTGGACTCTTAGATTATATGAATGGAATGATTTCCGAACCCCACGGCAGCAATGTAATCTCCAATGTTCCTATAGAAGCGTTCTGCGAGGACCTTTAATCGTACAGAGTGAGACTTCTAAGGGAATGCATCTGAGGTATGAATTAAGCTAATCTCTTGGGCTCCCAGTACAATTCAATACTAATCAATCAAAGTATACATGATGTGGGTCGACATACGTACAGAACATCAACTTGCAGATCACCACCCCCTTGCATGCCTGAGGGTGATCATCCCGGCACAGGGGCAGTATGATTCTCAGATGATCATTCTTCAGATGACGCGACTGATTAGGGGCCTCTTCGAGACCATTTCACTTCGCCATATCGCAAGCATATTCCCAGCTAAAAGAAATCACCGACACAATGCCTGGCTCACCAGATACAGAAGAGGCCGATCCTTTGTTGCTTGAATCAGAAAGTGAATATCGCAGTAGTCTCGAGTACTCACGAGACACGGTGGACTTCGACCGAAATGGGGACCCAGAAAATCCACTTGAGTGGCCCGACTTCTATAAATGGGGGATCGTGGCCTTGTTGTCCCTTATGGGCTTCACAATGTACGTATCGATCCTAGCCCTGCCCAAAATACCAGCTTGTAGCTAATGATATCCAGCACATTCACCTGCATCTCGGTAACCCCCATAGCAGGCCATATCATTGATGATCTCAACGGTAGCAAAGGGGCTAAATCTGCCACTGTTATGCTTGTCACAATATGGGAGCTAGGCGAGGCAGTAGGGCCCTTTTTCATTGCCCCGCTATCTGAGATATTTGGACGCTATCACCTTTACTTGACTATGAACACGATGTTCATTGTGGCTACCTTGTTTGCGGCTTTATCGCCCAGCACAGAACTGCTTATCGTTTCACGCGCTCTGATGGGTATTTCAGTAGCGTCCAACGTACTGAGCCCTGCCATTATCGGTGATATGTTCATTCCAGAACAAAGGGGCACTGCTCTTACTCTGATAATGTTCACTCCCCTCATCGGTGGTACCGTGGGTCCGGTTATTAGCGGTGCTATTCTGCAGACTCTAGGCTGGCGCGCTATCATTTGGATTAGCGTTGTGATGGCGAGCATTTGTCAGATCTTGTTCTTAACCTTCTTCCAAGAAACATATAAGGTCCAAATCCTGCGCCGGAGGGCGGCTTGGCTGACTCTTGAAATTGGGGGGTTCGAGAAGAACAAGCGTCCTACGGTGGACTTGGCGAGCTTTCGAGACTCGATCATGCGCCCAGCGGTGGTTCTACTCAACTCGGGTGTTTTGGTGGCTCTCATACTGTTTGGATCTTTCATTTTCTCTCATTTCTACACTGTAACCACAACACTTCCAGAGATTTTGGAGGATATTTATGGACTATCGCCAACTGCAACAGGTCTTGTTTTCATTGCAAATGGTGAGATTGCTACAGCTGCCCCGTGATATCTTTCGAGTGTATGGACTAATGAGATATTTTCAAGCCATTGGAACCATCATCAGCTTTATAATCTCGAAATTCTTATTAGATAAAATATACGTCAAGCTTCGCGCGCGAAATAACGGAGATGGCTTGCCCGAATACCGCCTACCACTCAGTATCATCGGAGCCTTGACCCTCCCCCCCTGCTGTGATTCTGTATGGATGGTGCGCCGAATACAGGCTACCCTTGTGTGTGCTCATTATTTCAATGATATGGCTCCGTACTTCTATGATGCTGTCCTCGTCCCCTTTGACGGCGTACATTGTGGATGCTTGTGGGCTTTATTCGGCATCTGCAATGGCTGGTCTGATATCAATGAGATGCTTAGCTGGGGCGTTATTGCCGCTCTCAATATCGCATATAACTGAGAGATTCGGGTATGGCGGAGGCTTTTCTATGCTTGGAGGGCTCGGCCTGGTCTTTGCTCTCATTCCTATATTGGTTTTCCACTACGGTGCACAGTGGCGACAGCATTCTCGATATACTGCAAGTAATTCGTGATTATTTCCATCACTACGCTATGACAAAGCGCAGCAGAATTTGAGGGGCGCCGCTTTTTGGCAACGGATCTTTGGGCATTGAACACATCCTGGTCGACTCAGAATGCAATAATAATTTATGTCCCAGGAAGTGCCCACCACATTAGGTATTTGGTACATGAATATGGAATGCAACAAATAAAAAGTAGCGTGGGATTTTTAAAGAGACATTTGAGTGCGTTGTAAATATACGGGAGTGTAACCCAGCATAGGATTTAAATATATATAATATCTAGAGTGACATCACTTATCTAAGGGCTTAATAGATCGTTCGGGTTCCTAGGAACCTGGGTGATTATAAGCGAATCATTAGCGTAAATAATATAGCTTACACTCACTGGGAACTACTCCACTAGGCTCTTAGGAGCGTGGCAGGCTCCTATAAGTAAACCCAGAATCGCGAAATCAAAGACCTTGATAGGAAGGGGATGGCATTGCATACAGGTTGCACATCCAACTCCAATATCAACGGTCTTTCCTAGAACGTTAACAGGAAGTAGAATCTGGCAGCATTTTGGAATCTGGTTAATATTGGAGCATGTAGCGTAGTTCGCTTTGTCAGTGAGTGGGGAAGCGGTAACAATGCCTGCCGTTATGAGAAGAAAAGTTTCCAGTTTCATCCTGGTCGATAGAGATAAAAGTTTGAATAACTAATATTGCTGTTCAACGAAAGCCACCGTGCTAGTCTTCCCATACTAAATATTCTAGAGGGCTTCAATGGTTAGATCTAGACCCGAGACCGTAAATTAGAATCAGTTAAAACATGGGTTCAGCGACTTGTGTATTGTACTTAAAGGTCAGGCGTCAAGAAACACGAAGCAGATGACGTCAGCGAGTACTTCCGCCCACTTTGGGGTGTGTCCTAAGATAGAAGGGTCGATCGCGGGTTCATGCAGCCATGAACAACGCTATTATTATGTTCTTGGTTGACCCCAGGATCCCAACTCAGAGATCCAGACAGGGCTATTCAATATTCCAGGATATCAGAAAAGGATGCGGTGATTTTAATGCAATCTCTCCGATTGTTCACTGTCATACTGCCATATGCGAAAACAGATTTCCCCGCATATGTACACACTCTCAAATTATTTTCCAAGCCTTATCATAAAACACGCTAGCATATGTTTCACTGGGCTTAGATATCTCCAGATCCTTGGGGGGGATAGGGCGGCAGACCAATGAGGGGGTGAGAAATCTTGTGCCTAATTTTCTATGCAATGTAGCCTTACCTTCGGTGACAGCAGTTCATTCTACCATGACATCATTATATAGCTTAAAAATTGCCGTGACCCCCATCGATAGAAGATATAGAAGAGATATCCTATGTCATACAGGGTCATACTCGTGATATCGCTTAGCATAGTACAACGGATAAGAAGCCCCCGCAGGTCGATAGCGAGATGCCCATTCTCAGAGGTCTTCACTTGTATACTTACCAAACTCGTAGGACTCAGAGGTGGTCCTAACAAAAATGTATCTATCCTTACCGCCATCCTGAACAACAACTATTGCTTATAGCCTGTCGTGGCAAATTCCTGCTATCCCATCTAACTATTTATCTTAGTACTCCAAAATGCCATTTGGCTCGCTCTCAGTATCCAACGTGGCCATTCCACAGTATGCCCCTCCGTATCCTGTGGATGGCTGTGACTTTACAAGTGAAACTGTGCTCACAGTTACCTATCAAACATCGTTGCTATGCGTACGCCATCTTGTGCCGAATATGTTAGAGCTCGAGGACGAGCCACAGGTATCGGTAATGATTGTGCAGCACAATATGACCTCTTTCGGTCCATACAACGAATATGTCCACTCGGTCAAAGTCAAATATAACGGCAACACGTTTGACTACTTCCTTTCCCTTATCCTAGACAATGACTCACCAGTATTATGCGGCCGCGAGCAATTCGGATTTCCTAAGAAATTGGGGAACGTGACGTTAGCGTCGAAAACTGGATCGACAGTTGTTCGGGGCTACGTGGAGAGACCTATAGGTCAAAAGATTGTTGAAGTTGGTTTCGAGCCTAAACAGAAAGTGAAGGGCCCGGTTGAGACAACAATCCAGGGGTTAAATTTACGAGTCATCCCCTCTGCGGTTTCGGGTCAAAGTCCGTCCATCAAGGAACTAGTGCCAGTGGATATCAGTATGGAGGCAAGCGAGGTTTGGCAAGGCTCTGGTTCTATCTGCTTCCCAGAGCCATCGATGTTCGATCCGATGCATGAAGTCAAAGTCCTTCGATACGTATCAGCGACTCTATTGCGGAATGCATCCCTTGCAATCCCTCTGCCGACAAAAGTGTTCCAGTTATAGTCACACTTTTAGTTATTGTTCAAATGGATGCGTGCGAACCATTCAACTTTGAAGCATAATTAGGCCTAGTCTTTGTAGGTCATTGTGGCAGTGAAACCATTCGTAAGTGTATTGTTTTCGAATATAACAGTACTCCTGCGTCGGCACACATCTGTGCAAGATTCTCAGAATTGTGAAACGACGCGTTGTCCATGACCAGAACAGATTTAGGTACGGGCTGTCTTCCGCACTGCTGAAGAAGCTCAGCGATAAAGTCCTGAAATATGGTGGCATCTGTCGAATACTGAGTTGAATACAGATGTACAGGGTATTTTACCCGGAAAATCATATGACAACTGGTACCAAGCATACCATACAAAAGTGCATAATACAGTCATCGATATCCGCACAGATTGTTGAAAACGCGGGTTTTGTCGTTTTAGTTAGAGATTTCAATATATCTGATTTTGTCCATACATTGTCGTACTGCCAGATTTCTATCAGTATTCTATCTAGACACCTTAAATCAGATTCTGTGGAAACCTTTGCGAGTCCAGAAATTAATAAACTTCTTGATGAGGTCCGGTGTGAGTTGGACAAAACAAATATCGCTGCGGCCGGCAATTGCCTTCAAGGTATTCACACAGTCGTATACAGGCGAATACTTGCTTGTTTGAAGACGTGTAGCGTCACGCAGGACGGGCTCTGCAAGCAAGGGCATCAAAGATAGCAAGGGGCTCGATTCGAGCCCATCCCAGGCCTGTAGCTTTTCCAACCAGTCTGGGTATGAGATTTGTTGAAGTGGAAAGCCAGCCTGGTTGATCAACATGCATAACCTTTCCATGTTGGTACTTAGACCCGGGTTTGGCGCACTAAGGCTATAGGCACGGCCAATGTTGCGATTGTCTGAAGCGATATGCAGTATCGAATCGCAAACGTAGTCGGCGGTGACATATTCCATGTTCTGGGACGGCAGGTGCGGCCAGTATCCCAGTTGGACGCATCCGGCGATCATTCGACTAAAAAAATCGTCTGGATTTCCTGCCCCTGTTTTACTGTCACCAACAACAAATCCAGGACGGTAGATAGTCACCGGAAGGCCTTTGTCACGCACTCTTTGCACCATCTCATCTGCTACCCACTGGCTTTGGGCATAGCCGGTATCAAAAGGGAGTGAAGCGAGATGGACTTTGAGTGGGCCATCCTCAGACACAACCTCGGTTCCGAGTATAAGCCCAGTGACTGCCCAGACGTCAATGCTAGAGATGTAATGAAAGGTCTTTCGCCGCCCTTCTGCTGCGACCCGAAGAACATTCTTGGTTCCTAGGACGTTTGGCGCGAAATGGCCGCTGTATGGATCACACCAGTTGACCTTCGCGGCTGCATGAAAGACGGCTGGTGCCCAACCAGTGAGCCACTGATAGTCACTCTGCGAAAGGCCGAGGCGTTCCTGTGTTATATCACCATCCAGGACAATCACTCTCTTCATTTCCCTGGAAATTCCTTCGCTCCAGAGGTCGTATTTCTTGAGAGCATTCTTTATCCGATCCATAGGCGAGAAATGTTCATTGCCCCGAGCGAGGCACGCTATCGACTTCATAGATGACGTGGAGAGCCAACGATATAACAGATTGACCCCGATGAATCCGGTAGCACCTGTAAGGAACACGCAACCCTCGGAAGACCAATCCGGAATCAACTCAATTTCATCAGCAAGATGACTGTCAGCTTCAAATTGTAGGATTTCAGATGGTCCATAATTTACTTCATCAGCTCGATGTAGGTGGTTTGCCAAGAACCCAACGCTCGGATTGATGTATAGATCCTTGATTGATAGCGATGTTCCAACTTTCTGCTTTATCAAGCCAAGGAATCGAGCAACTTGCAAAGATGACAGGCCGAGAGAAAGAATGTTGTCATTGGGACCGAGATTAGAGTGCCCTAGGATTCCTTCCAAGATCTCCACAATCGTGCCGAGGGGGCCCTTGTCTTCTTCGTTTCCATGGTTGTGAGGGGACTTCAAGGGTCGAGGTACTTGGGTCTCCCTAGCTAAGGCGGCACGATCAATTTTACCGCGAGAAGTCAGCGGAATCTCAGAAACAATCCTGACTTGATCCGGGACCATGTAATATGGATGTCGGCTTTGCATCCATTTGATGATTTCTCTAGGGTCAACTGGTGTACCGTTTGCTGGAGTGACAAAAGCCGTAAGATGATCTGACCCAGAACCATCATCGGCTTTCTTGTGCAAGCAGGCCACTCCCTGAACACTATCGTTTGCTGCGATGGTCCGCTCAATTTCCTCCAGCTCAATACGGAAACCCTGACGTTTCACCTGGAGGTCTACACGCCCAATGTAGTGGAGGCGTTTCGGTAGCCCTTTCCACATCCCAAGATCACCCGTCCGGTACAACCGGGTCAACTCCATCCGACCGGAGTCCTGAGCTTTCGCAAGCTCAACCTCAATGAACTTTTCAGCATTTGCTTCGGGATGGTTCAGGTATCCAGTAGATAAGCCTGGCCCTCCAATGCATATTTCGCCTGAAATTCCGTCGTCAACAATTGGCTTCCGGTCTTCATCAAGGAGGTGGAGCACAGTGTCTCCAACTGGTATTCCAGCACTGATGGGCAACCCACACTGGGTCTCCTGCTGGGTCACCCGCTGCAGAGTCGAGAGGCATGTTGTTTCTGTAGGTCCATAGCCGTTCCATAAGTTTTGAGGAGGACCATCACTGCTGAGGACCCTTTGCATTGCCTGAGGACTGGGTGATTCGCCTGCACTCACAACATGGCGAAGGCATTGGAAAGCAGAAGCAGAGCTGGCGGATACCGCAGTGAAGAGGGTGGAGGGTAAAATGACTGCCGTAATGCTCGCGTCTTTCAAAAAGGCGGTAAAGGAGGCTGGGTCTTTAACGATGGACTTCGGGATGTGCACAACTGTACCACCGGAAAGCAGTGTAACCCAGACTTCGAACAAAGACAGATCAAATCCTGGGTTGTTTAGCTCCCCGACCCGATCACCTTGTCCAATGTCGAATGGGAGTGATGTGGCGAGGTGGAGCAAAGCTTTCGAAGAAATCTGAACAGCCTTGGGATTTCCTGTGGAGCCAGATGTATGGAGAAGATGACTTCTGTGGCATTCTGATCTCCCAGAAATCACATCAATTTCACCGTATTTCTCTGTCTGGCGTTCAGGATTCAAAACCGTTTCGATAAGCAGTACCTCGAATTGAGACACTCTTGCCCATAGATTGTCTGTTGTCATGACAAATTGGATGCTTAATTGGCCAAGCATGGCGTGGAGTTGAATATCAGGCACAGACGGATCAATAGGTGTAGAGGTTCCCCCTGCCCTCAGCACCGCGACTTGAGCAATAACTTGCTGCCAACCTGGCCCAGCCACAATACCCACGGGTTCTTCAGTGGCTAGTCCTTTGTGGAGTAGATCCGTGGCCAAAATGTCAGCCTTGGCCAAAAGATCACGGTAGGTGAAACGATGCTTTCCATCGATAACAGCCAGAGAGTCACCGGTTTCGTTGGCTCGGTTGCAAAGCAGCTGTTCCATCTTGTTTTGGTCACGAATGATTTCAGTTTGAGTTGGCAGATGAAAGAAAGATCGAAGGTAGTCTAATCCAGATATGAAGAACTGAGTTGTTTTATTTCATTTGATAGCGAAGGATAGCACGTCTAAGTGGCTTCCTTTATACGTTTGTACGGCTCGTTTCTCGACTTGCTCGGACATGACGACGCGTATCACAATATCCTTTATCAGATATGATTTTCTGAGATCTTTGATCATTTCCACAAGTAGCACGACCTCGAAGAAATACATAACTCAATATCGTTCCTTTTCGGGCCAGAAGCAGCTTTGGGCCTAGGGATTGATGGTTGTGTCTGTCGTATTCTCATCCGGTGCAACCCCAGATCCTATGTGCGGGCTCTTGCATCCACGGGTGTTGCTCTCAGATTTCAATGCAGCCAGCTCAGTGAAGAAAGACCATATTGTATTCGCTGCACGCTCAGCCAAATTAGGCCTATCAAATGACCCATCCCCTCCATCAGTCGCCCAAAATTGACGGCGTTGTTGTCTATCGAATAAGAGTGATTGAATTCTGTGTTGTTGCACACGGTGGACTGAGCTCCGATGCACCCATCCTCTAATTAAAGTTGCCCCTTCCGTTGCTCAGTGGCGGCCACGTGTAGGCAATCAACATTTGCAACGACACACTCCACCCAAAATCACGCGCATTTCCTTAATACCCAGGCCACCCCCAAAGTGTGCTGCAAATACTTTTTCACCCTGCCCAGAAATGCCCTCCTAGACAAGAGACAGCCTAGCAAAATGCGGATGTGTGAATATTTGTCCTCAATATATACAAGTCTTTCCCAGAACACGTGCCGTCGAGCATGTGTGTTTATATTAGGGATTTTGAAGGAGGGGACCAACCTTGAAGACATGCTCCTCGCAGAAGACATCTTCGAAACTCTTCAAATGACGCGGGCAAATCTGGTATGACGTATATACTATACTGTACTGTATCACCAATTTAGGTTTGGTGACACTCTGAACTACACTAAGAGAGAGGCTAGCCGGATCGCGCAAAGTCCGACTGGAGGGCGTTATGGGAAGTCGCCCATCCCAACCCCACTCGTATACTACAACTGGTGTTGGTAGGTAGTTATGCTACTTGAAACCGAATAGATTGTATCCTTGTAACTGCATCTAACGATATCCATTAGGCACAAATATTATGTCTACAACCATGCTGCTACAGTACAAATCCTGGGGTATCGAAAATCTGGAGATGCCTAAGGTACAAGATGGCTCCCGTCATGATTGTAGCTGAATGCGACATATAAACCTGATATTAAATCTAGCGGGGCATTGACATGGTGTATGTCACTCATTAGGCAAGGATTGCCTTGACATGTTCGAGCGATGTGGACCTGAAATTTCACAGTTTGGAGATGCGATGGTACGTTATTCCGGTTCCAATCTTGGTTTCTTCCGCTGCTCACAGCCAGGCTGTGCCAGTCCAACAAATTTGTTCAAACACCAACGTTATCTTGTATCTCAGTTTGTGAGTCCTTCAGTTGGCCATACGCATGTGGATCTGCTAGAACCTTTACTACGACAACACAACTCTAGGTTGGAAGAACTCAGTCATACCATCAGCACAGCCAGGCGCCAAAAGCATTAGTACCGAACAAGGTGTTTGGAACACGAAATCAGTATTATAGGAGAAGTAGTGTTATATTGCCCCCACTGATATGATTGCATATGGATAATTGTACATTTATGAATGGTTAGCGTTTCCGACTCGGAGTCTCCTGATATTGCTTTGCATTGATACCTCCCTCATATGGCCGTATGAAGAATTGCCTCCTCTTCTATCATCTTATCATCGCTTTCATTCCTAAAGATAATTGGCATGGGAAGGAAATCCAGCTAGATACTGCATAATGGTAGCTTACGATATATAGGGATAAACAGGCTACCTTGAGCAGCGACCAAAGGCGGAAGCGTGTGACTTAGCACAGGCAACAACGTAGGTGGTTCACTACAGTAGTTGTCCAATTCAATCGTGCAAAACTCCATGCGCTAGCACAGCTGGTATTACAAACACTCAAGCGCTCTACTTTGTTAAGATGTTCGGGAGGCGAGTCGCACATGTAAAATTGGACACATAAAACACCCTGATAAAAGGTCCTTTGCTACTAACTAGCTAGAGCAACAACCCCTCTGTGTTAATAACATCTGGAGGATCTGGCCTGAATGATCTGCACATAGAGGCCGTTAGTACCCTACAACATAAAACTTCACCCCCGTTTATCATATCATGAATAAGCTTAAGCATACATCGTAGAATTTAGCTAGCTTCGTTGCCATGGTTCATTGCGCCACAAAGATAACGCGTGCTATGGGAATGTTAAGACGTAGTTGTCCGGCTATCACTGGTAAGAAAACATTGGTTTTTGACAGACCGGATCCAGGCCACTCTTCCAGTGGGATGATCCTCCTGACCAGGCTAGTTGGTACGATCCGCAAGGGGTTATACGTGATCAGGAGGGTATTTCTCGATGAAGGATGGGATGGATCTGATAAAAGTGACGATGGGTTCAATCGGGTTCAACGATCACCTCGATGATGATAAAAGAAAGACTAACTACATATGTAGAAAGAGCTATTTCCATGAGGATGAATCCAGCCGGAAGCGGAATCCACTACACCGCCCTCATAAATCCGCCAGAACATCTCCCTCTGTACCCTCTGGCCTGAAGACGTTCACTGTCAGTTTTCATAATACTCCGGTATTTTACGGTACAATGCCAAGACACAGGTCACCAATCAGTTGTGGGGACCGCAACTTACTGATGGGCCACCGAGAGCCAACCGATCTATCTGTCATAAGATCACGTGCAACATTCCTAGGTACTGAAAAACCACAATCATGCTCTGAGCAAGAGCATGATCCGCCCTGAGCAGACCCACCTGGCAGAGGTTTGCCATCTGAAACCCCTAAATGTGGCGATATTGTCACAAATACCTCAATACATACGCGGATGAGGCACGGTTTTCTGGAAGGTGGATGTACCAGTAATATCTCAGAAAGCGTCCGGCCCCACCACCCGGCAGCTTTAGTACGGTGTATGTGGGCCTTGGAGCGGTTGTTAATTGTGCACAAGATGAGCAAATCCCGACAATCGGTCTGTCGGAATGACTCCACAAGACGGTAAATTGGAGATCAATCGCTGATTTAGGACGAAATACCGAGGGCGCTGCACAAGTCTCGGGATTTACATGCTCCATACGGAGTTTTTACAGACGTGTATGTGGTAGGAGAATATGGAGGGGCTAACTCGGCTAGTTGGCATATTGACTTCCTTTCCCCCCAAAGTATATTATTGTAGATAAATCACACATTCATCTCGAACACCACTGATTATTACGAAATGGCTGCGCTTCAAACTATCAAAGTTCCACACCTAGGTGGCATCAAGGCTGGATACGCCTTCTCGAAGGATCATTATGATCCTTCCAAACCGACATGCGTGCTCATGAATTCGATGTGTATGACCGTGTCTCTCTACCATGACCAATTCAACAACAAAGTTTTGACAGATGCCATGAATCTTCTGGCCATTGAGCCATTAGGTCATGGCTCGACCAGTTCTCCCTCGGAACACTTTACGTACTGGGATTCTGCCCACATGGCCTTACAGGTCATGGACCACTTTGGGATTCAGAAAGCGTTCGTCCTAGGGACAAGTCAGGGGGGGTGGATCGTGACTAGGATGGCCCTTCTAGCCCCAGAGAGGGTAGGTCCAAGCCCTGGAGTCAATGAACTGCTGATTAATTCCACAAGCCAAGCCAAACCAATGGTATTAACATATTGCTAGATTCTTGGTCTCATGCCTCTCGGAACATCCATGGATTATGAATCCTTGGATTCTCGGTCTAAGGGCTGTTGGGATCCTGCTGCCAATCTCACGGTGTTTTATGAGAAGTGGACCAGCCCCTCGGCTACACCCGACTTCGTTGTGGATGATGTCTGGTGTGGACTGGTGGGGGGAATCGGCTTTGGTGCCGCTGCCACAGAAACGAGATCTGCGTTCTGGACCCAGACCTTGAAGGAAGTGTATAAGGGCGATGAGGGCCGGAAAAAGGTCCGAATGGCGCTGAATTGCCTACTAGAGAGAGATGGGCTCCTGCTTCGGATCGGGGATATCAAATGTCCTGTTTATTGGCTACAGGTGAGTCCTATGTTTACTGATGTAGATGACTTATGCATTAACAAATCGATAAGGGAACTGAAGACACTCCTTTTGGGACGATCGTTCCTGCGGAACACATTAAACGTTTTACCTCGTCTGTGGAGGCTAAACTTGTGATGATTGAAGGGGGTGCGCATTACTTGAATGCCACTAACCCAAAGGAGGTGGATGAGGCCCTTCTGGAGATGGTAACGAAGTACAATTAGTGTTCCACTATTGCTATTGTATAGAATCGAGGATATGCTGGAATGCCACTAACAAATGCCACTAAGCCAGTCAATAGTTCTAAAAACCAATACTTTCTTTTTTTAGCCTAGTTTTGTGACATGTAACTTGTACCTAATTTTATTTTTCTTGTTTTATAGAGTGGGCCTTTTTTTCGTATTTTCTGCTAGCCAAAACCTTCCTAAAAATGACGGGAATTTGCAACCCCTGCATCCACGTGGGTAATTTTTACATTCGATCTGCAAGCTACCTATGTAATCATCTACTCAACGGTTCCTAAAGTTTACATTACATGTGGGTGATACATACTAACTAGTGATACATATTAATGATACATAATATGTATTAGTGATATTAGACCCCAGAGCAAATGCCTAACACGGTGTCGGCCAACTACCGAACTAACTAAGTTCAGACTCCAGACGCCAAGCTTGTCATCTAAACGTTCAAAAGTGGGATTCCTGGAATATTACGAGTCTTGTATTCTTCACACAAAGATGAGACTTTTCTCTGCAGAAACTCGGCCGTGTACTCCGTACTCCGTATATAAGATTTTATTGCCCCAACATTTGCCGAGCTGTTCTATGTTTACCTCCCTGGTCCAAACGTCATGGAAAGCAATGAGGACAGTCTGCAGGATTGGTCTGTAGCTACCACGGCCTCTGTCACGGTGCTGGCCTTCGTGACGGTTTGTCTTCGACTACTTGCCCGTTATGAGCGGATGCAAAAGCTGTGGTGGGATGACTATATGGTCATCTTTTCTATGGTTAGTTCCATCCTCTCACTTCATTGATTCCCAACCGCAGAGTTTCTGATCAAAAATAAGCTATGGAACCTGGTCGTTGTCGGATTCATCTTCGCCATGATTCATAAGGGAATGGGACTCCATGCAGACACTCTTCCGACAGAAAACGTGATTTTGATTGCAAAATATCTTGTTGTTGCCGAAGTTCTCTACGTGTTCAACCTGGTATGGACCAAACTGAGCATTCTGCTCATGTACTACCGGATTTTCCGCTTTCCTTACTTCAAGACATGGGCATACATCATTGGGGCCTTTATTATCCTTTGGGTTATTTGTATAACCTTTCTCTTCATCTTCATTTGCGTCCCCGTCCAGAAACTATGGTATACCGACCTCCCAGGGCGGTGCATCGACCAGGTTGCCACATGGGTCGCCAACGCCGTCTCAACGATCGCAACCGATGTTGCCATTCTACTCCTTCCAATTCCACAAGTATGGAAGCTCCAACTTCGAATTCCGGAGAAGATAGCCGTTTTAATTGCCTTCAGCTTGGGATTCTTGTAAGCCGTTAACATTCCACAAAAAGAACCCCCCACCCCACAAAAACCAATCTAACCTCAACAGCGTCGTCTTCGCCTCCGCGTACCGTTTCTCGGTCCTCTTCAGTTACAGTGCAACTGATTCCTCCTACACTCTCGCCCCAACAGTTGGCTGGACTGCGATCGAAATGTCCGCCGGCATCGTTTCGGCTAACCTCCCAACCATCCGCCCTGCTCTCCGTTTCATAGCACGCACGCTGGGTATCAGCGGTAGCGTTATGGCCCTCTTCAAAAGTACAAACAGAACAACTGCCAAAACCACGGACGCTGTCACTCAGCCTTCAGCAACTGGGGAGTCCACTTCCAATATCATTCAGCACACCAAACATCCGAAACGACATTCTTTCTATCACCTACCAGATGATCCTAGCTTAGTGGGAGAACAGTCACGAATGGATGCCTCGTTCAGGCCGGACTATGACCAAGGGAAAACGTACACCAATGTATTGGGTCCGAGGGTTGGTGAGCATTCTGATGGGGATGAGATTCCCCTGACTGATATTCGAGTCGACAAGGAGTTTACGCAGACTACGCGCTGAATGAGTTTATCCTTTGTATTATAATTAGAATGGAATTTCGGTTCATACCACAGGGTGTCATTCTTTGCTTGTCTACTGGCGAGCCGGGGAGATGTTTAGCTTAAAATATACATCGATGATGTGCATCATAGGGTAAAAAGTACTGTGGGCTTGTATAATCCAGATCAGAAATCAGGCCGCTAGCTATGTAGGTAGGCACATCTAATCAATTAGAGACGAGCATTTTACCGCTATATACATTATTTAATGTTGTTTGGACCGCCTGTCCCTGCAGCGCTATATACAATAGGGTGCACGTGATGGGACGAGATCGCTCACGGGCCCCGGGGGCCCTTTGGTTTTACTGAGCAAAAAATCGGCAAGGCAGCTTTACTGCATTGGAGTATTTGGGGTTTGCATCAAATACAAGCCATGAATGGCTATTAGGTACTGGAGCTCTTCGCGACGTAATTCAAGGTAAACGATGTTGATACATGCTAGCATCAAACTATCACCATCTTTGGACCAAGAGAAAAAATAAAGATAGAAATCAAGATCAGCATGATGCATCTGCAAATAGCAGACCAATCAAACCAGCCTCAAGCTAACAGCATTCCAAGGTTGACATAGAAATTCCAGGTGACCCCGCAGAGCCCTAATCAGCCCCGCGATAATTATCAGACCCAACCGCCCAAATTTTTTCTCTACTACACTTCCCTCCAACCCACCCCTAGCCAGCCCACGACCCTCACAATGTCCAAACAACTATCTGCGACCCTCGACACAACCCTAACCCTCATCGGCCAATTCCAAACAGCCCTCACCACGCTCCCAACAGCCGCAACCGAGGACGCAAAAGATGCCGAAGCCCTGCCCCTCCTAACGGCCTCCTCGAGCGCGCTCAAAGCACACGTCACGAAACTCTCCCTGCTGGCCATTACCTCGCCCTTCACACATTCTGCTGTCAGCACCGTGCTCCGCGAGCTCAATGAATCCGTGCTGCCGTCGCTCGTGACCGCTTCCCTTCTCGTTACACCGGCGCAATACACCAAGGCGTTTCACTCCGAGGTCTTGCTTCTTGTCAAGACGGCTTTGACGGAGCTTTCGGCGCTAGTTCGGGAGGTCAAGCTCGTTGGAGAGAAGAAAGATCAAGAGAAGAAGGATACAGGGAAGGAGAGCGGTGTGACGAAATCCGAGAAGGATGCTGTGATGCTTGCTACGGGCCGTGTCTGGGATGCGTGTGATGCTACAACCGATGTTGCGAATAAGGGGGTTGTCGGATTTGTCATGCGCCGCGTTGAGCAGTGGAGGGATCTGGTTCGCGACGCGGTTGAAGAAATCGAGGACTGGGATCCGGAAGAAGAAGACGATGGTTTCTTCGATGATGTTCTCAGTGATGATGGGAAGGGTGGAGATGATGATGAGGGCGAGGACGATGACGAAGATGACGGAGAGGAGACGGCTGCCCTCCAGAAACACAAGAAATCTACCCTTCGTTTCCTCAAGCCTATTGCTCAGGCCTACCCAGCTATCATCAACAACCGGCTGAAGAATGCCGGGAATGCGCCGTTGGCTTCTTCGTCTGGTGTTAAGAAGCTGGAGTCCTTGATGCTGAATCTACAAGCTATCCCGGACGATGTCGACGAGGCAGCTGGCGCGTTGTACGAGGCCAATTTTGAAACCTCTGCTCAGTATCTGCGGAAAACGAGGAAGTGTGCCACACAAGCGGTGGAGTTGGTCGCGTCACCCTGGGGCGCTGCAAATGTTAAGGATGATGCACCTGCCGACAAGTTCGCTACATGGTCGAAGACGTGGCTCAAGGTGATTGACGAGGTCAGCAAGTCAATCGAAGAAAACTGAATGTAATTATCTGTCACGAAGCTGCAAAGAAGCTGATAATGAGATGACAAAAGCCCGAGAAAAGTATGGGCAGCGATATTATGTATATGTACATAGAACAAATCATGGTGATATTATACAAGCGTTCTTCAATCATGACCTCCGACTAGATCTCATGTCCTAGAAGTCTTCCTCTGGAGCTTCGTGTTCTTGCTCCCATTCCGGCAGATCACCAATGGGAATCCGATCTCGCAAGAATTCCAAAATCGCATCCGTTCCTTTGGCAACTACTTGCCAGCGAGGTACTCGGAACCGATTTCCTGCCACCTCAAAACGTCTCAAGGCCGATCCACTGCCCCAGTTCTGAGGAGAGCGTCCAGCAGCCAGCAGGCCAATCTTCGGGGGAAGCGAATCAAGGTCATTGTTGCTTAGCTCCAACACCTGCAACCCTCTTACGGCTTCGAAGTCCAGACTAGCGATTTGGTTGTCAGAGGCCACAAGGGTCTTGAGCTCTGGGTAAATCTGTCTCAGATGGGGGAGTGGTCCCTTCAAACGATTATGCGATACATCCAAGAATGTCAAAGATGGGGCTATCAGGTTGGACAAGAGAGGCTCCCATGACGTCAAGCTAGCCGCATTCAAAGTCAGCGACTGAAGTTTTGGCAACTCAAGCGAGGAAGACAAGAAGTCAGCGCCATTCAAGGGGTTGTGTGAGAGATCAAGCTCAACCAGACACTGCGCGAGCATTCCAATTGCGGGGGCCGGGAAACATCTCAACTCATTGTGCTGCAGATAGAGACATCGAATGTCTAGCGATGGAATCATCTCCAGCTGTTCCACCTTAAGGTCGGTCATTTCGGCATAAGACTTGTCAAGAGTCCCACCGGATTTAATTTGCCAGCTCCCATCGAGCGCGGGACTCTCAGGCGCTAGAGTAAATTGCGTGGCCACTGAGCCCTCGTCATCTGTGTCCTGAGGATCAGGCTCACAGCGGCTCCGCAAGTCTCGTTTGATATCGTCGGTGTCCATTCTCAGCAGCCTGCGCTCACGAAGTGGGTTATTGGAAACCCGTAAAGAGGCAAGGTTTTCCATTAGTCCAATCTTCTCATCCAAGCGCGTGAGGGCATTTCCTGTGAAATCGGCCTTCTTGAGGCTCTTAAGCTCCTCAAACCCTTGTGGAAGCTCTGCAATTTTGTTTTCTTCGGCAGACAGCGTTAATAATGACTGCCAAGAAGTCATGCGTGGGAGATGCGCGATGCGATTCACACCGATCAGGAGAGTATGTAAATTAGGAAGTTCAAGCGCGTCATCGGCTGAGAAGACCACTACAGCATTATTGGCGATATTCAGGGACTGCAATTTCTCCAACTTGTTCACTGATGCCGGTATCAAAGTGCCTTCCAGCCTGTTCTTCTGCGCATTGAGCGTTCTCAGGGGAAGTTTGCTGAGGACCTCGAACGGCAAAGATGTGAACTTGTTCTCACTGACATCCAATGTTCTCAGAGAACTCAACCCAACGAGCTCATCTGGGAGCTTGGTGAGAGTATTTCCACGCAGATCCAAAAATTCCAAGTTAGGAAGACGACCAATGACCGCAGTGAGTTCCCCTTGCAGTTGATTATTCGCAAGTTTCAAATCTGTCAGAGACTTTATCTCTGAGATCATCTCGATGTTGGCCATGTCCAAAGAATTATTCGATAGATTGAGAGTGCGTAAGTTTTGCAGACGTCGAAGACCCATCGGGAGTGATTTGAGTATATTGCCATGGAGATCCAACGTTTCAAGACCCCCAAATTGAAGTCCACGATCATCGCTATCGGGATCAAACTCCTCGGGGTTGATATCGGGAAAGGTGGCATCTGAGATCTGTTCCAGCTCATTGTCCGCGGCATTAAATTTGACAAGATCAACATTTTCGAACCAGTTCGCAGAGTTCTCTGGGTCATAATCGTACATCGTCAGCACTTCTTTTGGAATCTCTTTTAAACAAAAGGCCGCGATGTTCAACTGGCCGGTCGCGCGTGCTGTCTGAACGCGCTTCCGCATCACCAAAGAGTTGGACCCCTTGGGCAGTTGGCTGAAAGGATCATCGTCGTCGCCGCCCGCCCACGAATCGGGAGGCGCATCAATGGGCGGGGCCTGATAGACTTGCTTTTGTGGGCTTTCCTTCTTCTCTCCGGCCGCTATCGCTTTGCGAGCAGCCTTTGCCTTTGCTATAGTTTCACGTAGCGTACTGGACGATTTGGAGACTTTTCGTGCTTCAATTTCGGCCTGTTGCTCTGGAGACAGGTCATCAGGCATGTTGGAAGAAGCAGACACATATCTTGAAGCCGTCGAGGGAGAGCCTAAGGTCGACACCTGCTCTGTTTGGGGTTTTCTTGTTTTCTTCACTTGAAGGGGTCTTTCTGGGGGGCCCATATTTGACTTAGCAGGCTTTGTGGAGGTCTTGATAGGTGATGGACGGATAAGCGATGGTTTTGGTGTATCCTTGTTGCCAATCGATCTTTCAGGTATATTTTTCTTGAGCGGCGAACTGACGTCCGTGTGGACACCGTCTCCTGGTGCAATACTTTGTCTGGGGGACGGCCGCTTCAATCTTGAGGGGCTCATGCTATCTTCCGAGCCGCGGATTGGAGAAAGTGATCCAGCAGTCGACATACGAGCCTTAGAGGGAAGACGCAGCTGCGAAACAGGCTGTATAGATAGCTCGTTGCTAGGCGGCGCGCAAGATGATGCCCTCGATGGCGATCTCGAGACATTGGACACATTGGATGGGGCGCGAGATGGAGATCGTACCGGGCTGCTGCCATTGAAAAAGCTGGACTGCCTTCTCACCGAAGCCGGTGATGGTGGAATTTGCGCTAGCGTCTCAAGTGTACGCTCAGACAAAGATGGGCGTACTCCACGGCGACCGCGTGCTTCTTGGGCCGATGCAATTGATACAGTGTCATCATCTCCAGCAGTCGAGCTCGCCTCCTCTGGAACATCTGTATCGTCTTCCCCGCCTTGTTTATGGTCTTGCTCGAGGGCCGGGATAGGATCATCCTGCGGCTTGGGTGGCGACAAATGGTGCGAGGATGGTTTTTTCACGAGCGTATTGTAAGATGGTCTTCGCAGCCTCCTTTCGTCCAGGCCAGGATCGGCTCGTAATCTGTCTCGGGAAGGTGAGGGTTTGATCGATTTTGATGCGGTGGTCGTGGGTAAAGGCAATCTTGAAGTAAGTCGTGGAATGCCGCTTGCAGGACGTGGTATACCACTTGCAGGGCGTGTCGATGTCTTAAGCTGTCCTTCCATATTGGCGTTCCAGTTATTGATGTTGGCCTTCGGTCAGGGAGAAAGTCGCACGTCAAGAAATTCGGATGCTCATGTCCGATAATAAGAACCGGGACAAAGAATGTGGAGGGCGGGGTAAATTTACAGTGGCGGTTTTAGCCCTGTCAAAATCGTGGTCTTTGACGCAAAAGAATGAAGAACCAGAGGTCCAGAAATCTTTCGGACGAAGCGGATTGTTTACATTTCTAAGGTCTCACAATCCCGCGATCGTCGCCTCAGGCATCAACTGATTTAGTCCCGATCCCTGAAATATTTTGTACCAAGCAGATATAAAACAAATCTAATATCATCCTATGTCATATTTTGCGATAAAGATATCTAAATCTGACTTAGATTATTGTTTTTAAGTATGAAAAGCCATGGATTCATTGCAATTTGATGGTTATTTGACCCATAGCTGGCCTAAAGTTGACCTATTCCGTCGGATATATACATCAAAGAGTAATGCCACATTACAAAACACATATCCAGCGCAACTTCATAGCAGCAATTTCAAAGCCCTGTTTTGGGTAGCCCTCAAACCAATCACTAGGAGCCAGAAAAGACACGTTTCATCACATCCACTATTCAGCATATAGGATAGGAGCATGTGCCGGTATACTGACCCGCGAGTCTACAGAAAATAGTACTAGGAGTAAACAGTTATATTTTGAGTTCAATATTCTTCCAATACTCAGTATCTACTTGATATAAGATATTTGAATGTTTTTATTACGTTGAAACCGAAAATATTGGTAAAAATTCCAAAACACTGATCCTTGCTTCAGCCGCTGAAGAGGGCTGGTACCAACTGCTTCAGGTAGTAAACAAGAGATGCCCTTACATATATATTTTTTATAGAAGCTCTACCAGATTGCTCTGACGTGCTAGATATATAGCTAATTCAATTGTTATCTACATATGTAGGTATATGTACAGGCAGGCAGTTTCAGTCAGGTTTCAGATTCAAAGACTTGTAATAGTTTTATTTCGTGTTATGCAAGAACCCTAGGTTCTCACAGAGCATCTAAAGACTCAAACAGACAAAGCATCAATATCAAAACATCTCCATGATATCATACATCATGTACAGATCTTGATGCTTATCGGTTGCCTGCCCAACCCCCAGCGCTTGCCCGGTCGCGGGTGTTTACTTGCCCTGAGCGTCCCGTGATCGCCAGACTAACTCAAGTAGGTTTAGTGTAGCCATATTATTGGCTATGATTGGTTAATATTCTTAGTTAATTGACCGGGGCTGGGACACAGACTAACCCAAAGCGGGTACCTTGAGACTCCCCCGTTCCCAGCCTCCCAGCCCCTCCCAATAACGCAAGCTGGAGTAACCTCTTCCTCTTAAGGTCTCGCTCAACTCCATTATTCTCCCTTCTTTCATCCTTCTCCAAGTTCTCCAAGTCATTGTCTTCTTAGCTCGTTGAAATTCCTACCCCCTTGCGCCGTCCCCGATCCTCCATCTTCTCATTTGGTTCCTGAGGCAACATACCTGGTCTGAGCATCTGTGCGATCGACCAAGCCCAAGGCCTGACTGATATCAGTCTCCGGTATGTACATAATTCCTTTATTCTTCAATCATCTGTTCTACGATAAAGATACTGATAAGAAATTAGTGCGAGGACCCGTTTCCCCACGGCTAAACTCTCGTGGTCTTCTTATCAAAGTGATATATTATATCAACACCACAATATAAATACATCCATCATGTCTCAAAACATCAACTCACAAAGCTCCCTGGGCGCACCTGCAGAGATCGTTCCTTCGACTCCAGTCCGCCGGGCCACTTTGTCCCCGTCGCCAGAGCTCAGCGCTATGGCTAAGGGCCCATCGTCCCAGTCGGATAAGAAGTTCCTCTCACCCCCACCATTGTCGTCATCAGATATGACCCCTCCACCCTCATCTCAGATCCCAGGGGCCCCGCTTCGTTCTCGCTCACACTCGCGCTCCTTAAGCCCTTCGTTGGTGCAACCCACCGATCTGCAGAAGTCGTTGTGCGATGCCTACGGCGCCTCTGAGAACCTGCCCACCGTGGAGGAAATCGACAACGCCAGTGAAACCCAACTGCGCACTATTGCCAAGGAACTTTTAACCGTAGCCCGAGAGTCGCGCATGTCTGCGCTGCACTTCAAATTGCAGAACAGCTTGGTCTCTTTCGCAAGCAATGAAGCCGTCAAGCGCGCCGAGGTAGAGCATCAGCTCGCCAAGCGCGAAGTTGAGATTATCCAGAGCGCCGAGTACCGCAGTCGCTCGCACCCTGCGGACCCCATCACGCCCAAGCAGTCCCAGTCTGCCTTGAACTCCGATTATCTCTCAGCTGTTCAGCGCTCGCAGGAACTAGAAGAACTCAATACCGTTCTAGACCGAAGACTTCGAAAGGCGAAGCGTGCCATCGATGAAGCTACCAGTCGGTCTATGGACCTTGAGGAGCAGAACCTCATGCTGAAGCACCGCATTGGTGACAACCGCAAGCACTTTTCCCAGATCTTCAACTACGGCAGCGTGTCGCCGGGCACTCAGAATGATATACACAATATCTGCCATGGTGAACACGCAGATGGTCTCGCCGCTCTTCTCTATGCCGATAAACTCACCAACCAGACGCACGCTTATGGAACCCACTCTGCAACCTCCGTCCCTGTCACCCCGAACCACTCGAAGAGCCAGTACCTCACTCCAATTGGGCCCCCAAGAGAGGATCACTATGATAGCGACAGCACCGTATCCCTTTCAGCCTCCGAGGCCGCGGAAGAGGCTCTGGGCTCCCCGCAACACATGCGTTCCACCGTCCCCAAGAGCAGCACACTGCTCCAGACAAAGCTGTTCGGCCAGGTGCAGAAACCTGGTGTGGAGCGATCTCGCCCTGGCAAGCGTAAGGCAGGCAGCGACGCGAACGTTGCTGCCGCGAAGAAGTCCAGGACTGCGAATGGTATTGGCCTGGGCATCAATGCTTGAGTCTATATCCCGTGGCTACAAGAAGAACTCGTGCCACCGACTTTGATATGATTCATGACCTAGCGCTGCTTTGCTTGTTACGATTATGGGAACCTCACGAATGATGAAGACATGCCAAATGTGGTGTTTTCAAACTAGCGACTGATTTTTTGGTATTTTTTGGGATCTTTTGTATGAAGAGGCCATGTGGCAGTGATCCATGGCCCTTCACATGTGGCGTTATTACATTGGCTTTTTCGGTATGGGAATTATGGCCGAGTGTTTGTTTCGCGCCAATTAGGGTGGAATGCTATCTTGCAGCTATAGATGGGAATTTGGGATATGAATTTGGGATGGTACAACCATGTACAATAGGTATAGAGTCTTAAGAGACCAATAACGATTACAATATTGAAAGCTATATATTAAATCTATACTCCGTAGGACCAATTGAATCCATCAAAATTTTCAAGCATGATCTCATTGAACAAGTCGATGCTTCCATGCTTGATATCATAGCAGACAAGCATAAAATAAAAGAATAAAAAATAAAAAATAACTCTGGCAGATTACCGAATCCGGCTTGGTTAGGGCTCGCTAAGCGAGGCGGTGTGCCAGTCAGCGGGCGGCCACACGAAAAATGGGAACTTCATTTTCTGCCGTGAAGGAGGATTTGACCAGCAACCCTCGACGACCACCACCCGGCTCGATCCCCATCCGTCACCATGGTGCGTTCCCTATCCCTGCCTGGAAGATGCAATGAAGGATTCGACTTGTGCGATTGAGAGAAATCGACGGATCGAAATACGCCTCGAAAAGAACGAAATGGTTGACTGACCGATTGTGTGGGATATATAGGCGATCAAGCACAACAACCAGATTCAGAAGAACCGTGAGTGACCCGTCGTTTTGCACCTCTATGTGATCGCCTCAAACCGCCAGAAACACTTGGGGAGATCAAACGTTGAAGGAATAGTGATTAACGATTTCTTGAATAGACTTCCACAAGGACTGGCAGCGTCGTGTCCGTGTGCACTTCGACCAGGTACGACTATCCAACATCCCCCCGACCAGAGATTTTTTTTTATTCCGAACGATATCGCAACCGACTTGGAATCGAGGAAAAATTTTCTTTGCAGGATATGAATTTGGCCGACTAACATGAATCGCACAGCCCGGCCGGAAGCACCGTCGTCGTGAGGCCCGCATCGCTAAGGCGGCTGCTGTTGCTCCCCGTCCGGTCGACAAGCTGCGTCCCGTTGTCCGATGCCCCACCATCAAGTACAACCGCCGTGTCCGTGCCGGTCGTGGTTTCACCCTCGCTGAGCTGAAGGTAAATTGAGCCGCATCGAAAGTGGAGGTAGTAGGGAGAAACAACTTGCTGACTCGAAATCTTTTTTGCGCTTTATAGGAAGCTGGTATCCCCAAGAAGCTTGCTCCCACCGTCGGTATCTCCGTTGACCACCGCCGCACCAACTACTCTAAGGAGTCCCTGGTTGCCAACGTCGCCCGTCTCCAGGACTACAAGGCTCGCCTGATCCTCTTCCCCCGCAAGAGCGGTCAGTTCAAGAAGCTCGACTCCTCCGCTGAGGAAGTCAAGGCCGTCAAGGCCACCGTCGCTGAGGGCAAGCGTGACGGCATCGCCACCCGTGTCGAGGCCACCTTCCCCATCACCAACCCCACCGCTGCTGAGGCCGTTACCGAGGTCAAGCGCGACTCGCTCCCCAAGGGTGAGGAGGCTGCTTACCGTCGTCTCCGTGACGCCCGCGCTGAGGCCCGCTACAAGGGTATGCGCGAGAAGCGTGCCAAGACCAAGGCTGATGATGAGGCCAATGCCAAGAAATAAATGTGTTAATTCCCTCCTCGTGCTGATGATGATGATCGGATCGGTTTTCGAATCGGGGATTAGTGTACTGTGGCATGGCGTTGCGCCTCTTCCTTGATTCCCTCTCTCCCTCCCCAACTTTTACTCCTTTGTCTCTAAAAGAAAGAACTCGGAAGATCTCTCGAAATTCAAAACCGCCCAATTTTCTCAATCTTGGCTTTGTGCCTGTCTAGCTGGTAGTCCTGGCCTTTTATCTTGGGCTTCTAGCGAGGACAACATTGAAAGCTTTTCGTAGTTCATTTTATTATACCTTGTAGCTTCGCTATGGATGTGAGTTTGTCTTCCAAGGCCTAGTCAGATGGGAATTACAGCATGTCTTTGCATTTATTCTCTATGAACATACTGCAATACAGTGACTATGACTGCATATCTATTATCCAGCTCGTTTATGAAGACAGAAATGTCGTTGTCTCGTGTCGTAAGTAACACTTTAGAGGAACACATTATGTAAAACTTCAATGTTGCAGTCTGAGCTCTGCTCGGGTATCTTCAAAGAACTACGCTAAATCATCACTCCAACGCCCAACGCTGACAATCGCACCGGAATATCAAAATATCAAAGACCACCGAACAAAGCACCAAGGGCACCTTCAGTCGCCCTTAGCACCGTATTAACATGGATACCACCTTCCATGCCTCGCGTGCTCAAAGCGCCATCCTCACGTAGCAACGCATGGAAAACCTTCTTCGTTTCCTGATCGATTTTCTTATCTACCCCAGGGATCGACACGCTGATCTCAGGCCGCAGCTGAGGCTCTCCGGTCCATTCATCCAACATCAGAGTGTTGGACAAAAGCACTCGGGGCCTGGAGTCAGAGGATTTAGGTTTGATGATCATGGCACTCCGATCTAAATGCGGGACCAATCGTCGCAGTTCAGAAAGTGTGATTACGCCGTTCTTGCTTTCCGAGGCAGTATATTTTCTGCCCTGCAAGGCCGGAGGGCCATACTTGTGGTCAATGTGTGCCCACAAACGAGCGCGAGTAATTGCAGATTCCCAGTACCGGTTGATTCCCCAGCATAGAGTTGCCACGTCGAGTTTCAAGAGAGGGTTCTCTAAGCGGGTATCAATCCATCGGCGGAGAGCTTCCGGGAGTTTTCTTTTCTTGCTGTCGCTGCCAGTGGGCACTGACAAGGAAGTCAAAGACTGGGTCTCGGGGTTCGTCTCGTAGACAACGGTCACATTGTATAGACTTGCTGGGAATGGAGATGGGGGAGAAAACGTCAGTGTGTGCGTTTCTAACAGCTCCTCCCTACGCGACGAACGAGTTGTGCGGGTTTTGAGGATCAAGGGTGCGAAGGCTGTTAGGTATGGCAGTGATTGAGAGGCTTCTTGCAGGGCAAATGGATTCGTTGGTAGCGATGATAATTCACGTTTTGGGCGAGGGATATTGGCGGAGAACGGGAGTAAAGTGGCGAGGAGGGATGATATTGATTTAGGGGCTGTTTTGGGCACTGGGAGACTTGTACGATTCGCCTCTTCCGATGTGAGTAAAGACCTAGAAATTGTCAGCCATGTTCAAGCCAAAGTTACTTGTGGAACTCACAAAAATTCATCGAGTCCTCTGGTGTCGCCATTCAGGTCAGGATTGGACTCGATTTTCTTTGCCCATATTTCCAGTTCTTCAACTTCGTTTCTTAGCCGTCGCAGATCTGCAGCGCTCTTCTCGCGCGAATTGCGTTTCTCGCGAACAGCCGCCGAAACTCCACCCAGGTCTGAAGCTATCTCCAAATCCTCCAAGGGAGGAGATTGGAAGTTTACTGCCTTAAGTGGGCTTTCGTGCAATGCATTGGCGGTTCGTCGTTTGGCTCGTTTCTCCTGTCGCCTACTAGGGCTGCTACTCAACATCCCTCTAGGTCGATCCGGGGCCTTTTCCAGACCTAGTTGTGTTGGCGTGGGGGGAGATCGGGTTCGAGTATATCTTCATCCATGAAACTAGAGTCCGGACCTATATCCACATCTGCCTCTCTTGTGGCGCTGCCCAATTCCAATGCCAATTGACGCTCGGGGGTATTCGATTCGGGATTTTCTGGTTGTGGCATTGGAGACCCAAACACCAAATCTCCTGGGAGAATCCTCCTTGAAATCCTACGCGGGGGCTTTGAGAACGCTTGGACGCCACTTGAGCGCCTGTTGGGGGAACTTTCGGGCGCTTCAGAGCCTTGGGGTCGAGTGAGGGGGCTTGCGGAGGCATTGAGCGAGGGTCGGAGCGCTTTGCGATCGCGTAATCCAAATTTTCGGGGATCTTGTTGCCCGCTGACTTTGCTTGCTGGTCGTCGGGCAGGAGATCTGCTGATTGCGCGCTCTAATAGTTCGGGATGCGATCGTGCGAGGCTGGCCCTCGTTGGAGACTGGAAGGAGGGTCGTCTCGACCGATGGGGGTCATTTTGAGGAAGCTCTGGCGCCACAGAAATGCCTGTAGTCTCGCTAGTTTTTCGTTTTTTCGCCGGGGAATCCATTGTCGCGTGGGGTGTTCGTCTTGCCCGGCGTGCAGCAGATGACCTCGGGAAGATAAACAACTGTCTACTGTTTGCAGTGTTTGCAGTATGACTTAATCTCCCCTCGTCAATGCACGAACATCTAGTCTTTCTCCCACTCACACGATGGAGTGTCTCTCAGCGAGTACAAGATACTCGTTGCGGAGGTCTGTATCTCAACTTCGGTCTTTTCCTGGCAAAACATTTCCTTCATTTGCTTCATATCGACAATATGTGCTGGTTCCGACCCCCCGGCGCATGAACGGACACGGCCAATCCGACCAACCCGATGCCTATAATACGCCAGCTTCCCTAGAGGAAATTGCGGACTCTCCTCAAGCCCACCCTCTATCGGGATACTATTCATTGATATTGAAATCGAACTCACCATACGGTGGTGGTGCATCGACATCACGACCGACACCCGCTCGGCCCGAGACCAAACCGACGCCGGCATCTACCATCACACCGCAATCGCCCCAAGAAAAAATGGCGATCGTATTTGGAACCCGCCTCGCCGGTCCAGGCCGATCCTCACGCTACAATCCTGGTGAAGCTCCTCCGGAGTCAATGTGGAAAACTATAAATGGTGTCCCCATTCCTCCCCAACCTGAGGAACCAGACAACTGCTGCATGAGTGGGTGTGTACACTGTGTCTGGGATGACTTCCGGGATGAGATGGAAGAATGGGCATCCAGGATTGCAACGGCCAAAGCTAAAGGTGGGCCTGAGAAGGGAACGAAGGACATGCGCTCGGCGCCACGAGCGGAGGTCCGCTCAGCCAGTGGAAGCATGGATGATGATGGCGGTGGTAGCGAAGCAAATTGGACCCTGCCGAGGGGAGATGATGACCTATTTGCCAATGTCCCTGTTGGTATCCGAGAGTTCATGAAAACAGAGAAAAGATTGCGGGTGAAACATCAAAAGGAGGGTACAGTGTGAGCTCTTTGGGCTGATGTTTTGTTGATTTTTATACCCTGTGTTATACTACATTGGAACAAATAGGGGAACCTGTGTCTAGAGCGCATCAGACATAGTATATGGTATAGAGATAGACTGTACATAAGACCTTCAAATGATGCCACGACGTTTTTTTAATACCCTATTCCAGAAAAGACCATTAGAATCTATTGTAATGTCTACATATATGTAACTATTGCAATCCTATATGACCCTTAAGCCCTTGAGGATCATTAGTATTTGATAGTTGTATGTAGGTCAGTTTTTAGCGTGCCAAGGTCGGAGCTAAGGGCGCGGTCTTTTTTTTAATCGATCATCCTCAGTCGAGGCTGCACCTAGATACAATATCACGCGGTAGTCGAGCCGTCAATTCTGCAACGCAGCTGATCTGCTGATCATATTCTGCTTCTGCTCTTTCCTTTCCCCCCTGAGCCCCAAGGCTACTCCGCTACTCCCTGCCATGCGCGCGCCTACCCCGGGCTTCCTTCGCTAGGGCCGTGAACCACCGATTTCCATAATGGCAACAGGCACAAGTGCCTGCATCCACCTCCGGAACATCCAAAATGTGCGAAATGAGGCCTGCTCTACTCCGCGCCGGGGACTTGTCCAGACGAGGTTGCCACGATTCTCAAGACGAAACATACATACAATCTGCTCAAATACCATGCCACTTCGATCCACTCGCAAGCTATGGCTACTAGATCCTATCATTGCTGGCAATCAGTCTGCACCCGAAGGACACCGGCCAACAACAGGTGCTCACTATTCCACAAACCGTCCACCACTGCTTGAGTCAGTTATCAACAAAATCGTTTCCAAAAAAAACCAGGCAGATGACCTCCCGCATGATTCACAGCGGGGCAAGCATTTATTGTCTAAAAAGGGACCCGTCATCGGCGGCGGACATGGTGAATTAAAGAAGAAATCCCAGGCTGTTAGTGTATGTGAAGCTTGCTAGGGTTTCCTCAATAAGTCGAACATGTGCACATCTAATTTAGTACGGCAGTTGGAAACCAGGGTTCTGGCACAGTTGTCTGAAGATCGATCAAGATCAGCTAACTGTGAGGGTGATGAACTGGCCCGGGAAGCCTTCGGGGAGCATGGCAGTCGCATGAGCCTCACATGGCTTGAAAATTCCCTAAAAGGCCTGCAAGAAGACCTCCAGAAGTCCCAGCGTGACCTGCTGAACCAGCCGCAACAATTTACCTCCGCTCAGATCGCCACTGTACAGCTACCCATTCAACGTGATGTATTGTCTACAATCGACAAAAATGCAAGAAAGGTGCTTGAGCATGCCAATCGAGACATGCTTTGGGCAGAAAGCTCTAGGAGGAAGGATCAGTTGCAACCACAACAAATCCCACTCGTCGATCCCGAGTATGTAGTGCAAAGAACAGCGGAGTTGCGGCGATTCAAGCACAACGCCGACACCTGCTACAGTCCACATCTTCAAGAAGAACTCAAAAGAAAAAAGCTTGAATTGCCCGTGAGACGTTTCACGAAGCAAATTTTGGAAGTCATTAACAGCAATACCTACACCATTATTGATGGAAAGTGTGACTCCGGAAAGACTACGCAGGTTCCTCAAATTATCTTGGATGATGCAATTGATAATTCTACCGGGGCATCTTGTAGGGTTCTCTGTGTTCAACTAAAGGAATTAGAGGCAGTCAAAAAGTCACTACAAGTGGCCCACGAAAGACTTGAAAAACTGGGTGATACTACTTTTTACGGGGTGGCGCCTGATCACAATGCATGTACTCCTTTTCCTGGGGGAAATATCAGGTATTGCTCGAGGGACGATTTGCTGAGAATGTTGAAAAATGGACCCTCCAGCTTGGAGCGATTCTCCCACATCATACTTGATGAGGTTCAATTACGTGATTTCAATATTGAGGCGGGCATGATGCTGTTGAAACGATTTGTTGAACAACGCAAGTCTATCGGTGCATCTGTGCCGAAAGTCATTCTGATGGGCTCAATTACTCATGTCGATAGTTTTTGTTCCTATTTTGGTACCGAGACTATAGATGGCACGCTTTTGCCTGCTCCTCATCTGACTATTCCTATGGGCTTCCCTGTGGAGAAGTATTATCTCGAAGAAGTAATTGGCAACATCGCCCATTCTTTGACACCAAACACCCTATGGCCTCTCCTTCTTAATGACAAGAATACAAAAGAGTTCCTGGACAACCATTTCAAATTGTTTGAAAAATCGGAAACCGTAGAAATCAACAGGCTTGGGAAAGTGGTCGTACCTTGCGGGTTGATTTCTGCGACTCTTCTCTCGCTCTTGTCTACAACAAAAACAGGGTCCATCCTTGTCTTCGTCCCAACGATTCCATACATGCAGAGAGTTATTAAGCAGGTCACAGCCTACGGCCCAGAGCAGGGATTCCATTTTGCAGATAAGAATCGGTTCAGAATCATTCAGTTGCATAAAAATACGACAAAGGAAGAAAAAGCTGAATTTAACCTTGAACTTCCTCCGGGTTGTCGAAGAATTGTCATTTCAACACAAGGGAAAGGCTTCACAATTCCAGACGTGAGGTACGTCATTGACTCTGGCAAGTCAATTGACAGGAAGGAGAATCACGAGAATCACGAGAATTCCAACAATTTGGCGAAAAATAACGGATGGGCTGTCAGGTGGATTAGTCAAACTGTCGCCTCGCAGCGGGCAGAGCATGCAGGCAGAGTCCAGGGTGGGGAGTACTACTTCCTTGGTGCCAAAAAGTGTTTTGATTCCCTTCCAGTTACCAAACCTCCAACGACTGGGGCTGCTCGCTCAGATCTCCAACGAGCCTGTTTGCATGTTAAGCGAGCAACCTCTGGAACGTCCCTCTCAATCGCAGAACTTTTCGCGCAAACCTATGAGCCACCTCAAGAATCCAGTGTCTGTGCTGCAGTGGATGATCTGAAGGAATTGCAAGCATTGGACGAGCAGGAAGAACTCACCACTCTTGGCCACCTTCTCGTCGATTTGGATATGGATCCTTGTTTTGGCAAGATGGTTGCTCTGGGCATTATTTTCCAATGTCTGGACCCAATGCTGATCCTTGCGGGTCTCGGGTGGAACCCAAGACTGCTTTTGCACATGCCTTCGCCAGATGCAGGCGCGGGTGGATCACGCATTCGTTCTGTACACGACTCTGTACACGACTCTGTACACGACTCTGTACACGACTCGGGCTATCATATAGCTACCATCAATGCCTTTGGGGCCATTCGAGAAATGCTGCACAAGGAGGGCAAACTTCCGGCTTTTGAGGATGCAGTCTCAAAAGACTATATGTCCAAGGTATATCAAACAGCGACTTCGGAAATTAAGCGAATTATCAAGAGATTGATCGCAGCCAAAATCATCCCTGCAGACAGGTTGTACGGTGAGGAAGGCTCTTGGTTTAGTTGCAGCAGCTTCAATGCCAATTCCAATAATGAGGCTCTTATCGAAGCACTCTTGCTGCAATGTCTTTCCTCCAACCTGGCCGTGAAACCCTTTGGCGATACGACCATCAAATTCAAATCCGGAGAGATTATCAACAGGATTTCAGATGATTTGAAACACAAAAGCTATATCATGGCCTACAACTTCAGATCGGTCAGCGCAAGCATGCCTCATAGTATGAAACAAAAGACCCAGGTCAACCCACTGGCCGCCTGCCTATTGGGGAACAAGATAGAACAGGAGGAAGATGGCATTATCTTGGATTCGTGGGTGAAAATCAAACTGCAAAGTGTGGAAAGCACAGAAAATGAAGTTGCCAGGAGCTTGGTTCAAACACACAGAGTCTTGAATGAGGTCAGTATATTCTTGTGGTTATTCAATTCGTGCGCTAACCTGGGAATTCCTGTAGACCCTTCGCACTGCCTTTCAGATACTTCCTTGCCAGAGAATGGCAAACTTCGACTCTACAACGGAATGGGTTTCCTATCTTAAGGAGCGCAGTTACCTCTTCAAAACGATTCAAAACACACTGCAAGATATTCTTCATGCAAACGATCCGCCCATGCCCACTAGAAAAGGTATATGAATCATCATAAGGATACAGAGGACACACATATAGATGGAGAAGACATGTACAACAATACATACTCACATATTTGTAATTATCATGACAGTAATAGAATCGTTGGTTTCTGTTTAGCCCAGCTTGCTCAAAGTAAACTTGAAGACCATTTGAGAAGATATCTGATTAACATACTCTATGAGGTAGAACGATTGTTCAATATGGCCATCGTAGGCTGTGGCTCTTGGGATCGCCCAGTAAGCACGGATTTTATGCTGCATTTCCTGTGCAGAATTCATATTCACTCTCCGCATAAAAAAGATACATACATGCCTAACTAGGTAACTAACTAGTTACCAAGTGCCCCACACAATCATAAATCTCCTTAAAAGAATAAAGCTGGGAATTATGTCTCTTTTGTATGCCATGCCCATACAGAGTATACAAATTTTATAACATCCATTTTCCTCCCCTACATAGCTAGGGAAAGTATAACGTATTTCACATGCGAGCTGCGCACACAAGCGAGCTGCGCAGCTGAAACACCATAATAAATGCGATATATGCTATACTCACATCTCAACAACCAACGTCTGTTTATTATTTTTTTAAATGCCGATAGCCATTGATAAGTGTTTTAAGTAGTATGTGTATCGGACTGCGCAGCTCGCATGTGAAATACTAGCTCTTGTGTACATTCATGTAAACGGACTTTGGTTATGTTGGTATTAATATTGTAGTATTGATAAGATGTATTAAGCATACTAAAAGTAATAGAACATTTTGAGTTCTATTGCAATCTTTATGTATGGCTTTTTTTAAGGTGCTTCTCACACTTCTGTACCAATTGCTTCCAAGGTAAATTAATCCTGGCAATAGAACGATCTAACTACAATTATATGATACATTAGCACTCTTATTTATTTTTTTAGCTAGTGAGGGCTGAGGGAAATGGATGCTCTGAATTTTGTACCCTATATACCCTTTGTATGGGCATGCCATACAAGAGAAACATCATTCCAATATTCATTCTTGGGCTGCATCAACAGGGAAGGTGTGTCGGGCGCTTGGTACGGTTACATTAGCTTGGAACGCTAGCCCCTCCAGTAGCGTATCTAGTACATGACACTTCGACTTTTCTTTCTTATTCAAAATGTCTGGACTATGTCTTATAAACATCTAGGGGGATACTGCGTCCCAATTTCCTTGAAAAGGGGAGTGGGGAAGACTTCTCGATCAAAGGAGAAGTCTCTCTCAGTATATATTTGGATTAAAACCAAGCTGCAAGACCATGCACAGATGCCCGGGCCCCTTGTTAAACCGGAGTCGTGCCATGCAGAGTGCGGGGCCTCGATTCATAGATCATCATAATGAACAGATTTTGAGCATTATTTTTTTTATGTCACACAAGTGAGAGTGACAGGGGGGAGGAGGGGTGGGTATAAGTACCCTCGAAAGGTCGTGGATGTTGTGAATATTCTCGGATCACATGCTTGATAGCCCTAATCATGGCGGTTATTCCTGATCTTTCGGCGCTTTTTAACATGCAAGATCTCCCAAATACAGCTCTTACTTTGCTGAAGCTGAGCTTGACGTTGGTAGGTGCATACTGGTCTGCCAGGTTGTTTCAATGGAATTCGATTAACCAAGGACTTACTTTTAAATAGATCCCATTTTACCTCACCAGTCTCCTGGTTTATAATGTCTACTTTCACCCTCTGGCCAAATATCCTGGACCGAAATCCATGGCAGCCACACGTATACCTTATATCCGCATGATCCTAAGTGGCCGGTTACCACAAAAGACAAAAGCATTGCATCAACGGTACGGTGATGTAGTTCGCATTGCCCCCGATGAACTTTCTTTTATAGACGGCGAGGCCTGGAAGCCAATCTATGGCACACGTGTCGGCCATGGCCAGAAGTCCAAAGATCATCGATTCTATTCACCAACCGCTGGAGGAGCTCCCAGCATCATCGTCTCCAATGACGCCGACCATTCCCGCTTTCGACGTTTGTTGTCGCACGCATTCTCCGATAGCTCGCTGCGCGGTCAGGAACCTATAATCAAGGGCTATGTTGATCTTTTGATGCAGCGCCTGCACGAGAATATCGAGGGTGGCACAAAGACCGTTGACATGGTGGCCTGGTACAACTTCACAACCTTTGATATTATTGGAGACCTAGCTTTCGGCGAGTCGTTCGACTGTCTCAAGAATTCGGATTACCACCAATGGGTATCCATTATCTTCGGCTCACTCAAGTATGGCGCCTACACAAATGTGTCTCGGCGCATCCCGGGATCGAAATACATTCTCCCATACATCATTCCTAAGCATGTTCTCTCGCAGCGGAGTACACACCTAGCCTTGACCAAGGAAAAGGTCAGCAGTCGGTTAACCAAGTCTAATGAAAGACCTGATTTCTTCGGCAACATCCTGAAGCATCAAAACACCGAGAAAGGATTCAGCATCCCAGAATTGATCACCAATGGTAGTACGTTGATCATCGCCGGCTCCGAGACCACTGCAACTGTACTCTCTGGGGTGACCTATCTGCTGTTGAGAAACCCACGCGTGCTGGAAAAGCTTCAAGATGAGATCAGATCCGCATTTACAAAGGAAGAAGAGATCACCTTGGAATCTTGCAATAAACTGGAGTATTGTCTGGCCGTCCTCACTGAGGCTCTTCGAGTGTATCCTCCCGTTGCAGTCGGATTACCTCGCATTGTTGATGCCCAAGGTGATATGATTGCTGGAAACTGGGTGCCAGGAGGGGTAAGTATAAAACTTGGTTGCAAAGCAACACTGGAATACAGCACTGCTTACACCTTTTATAGACAATCGTTTCCGTCTCCCATCTAGGTGCCAGTCACTCCCCTACCAACTTTATCGATGCAGAGCAGTTTATCCCAGAGCGTCATTTGGACGACCCTCGGTTTGCGAATGACAGTAAAACTGCAATGCAACCGTTCAGTTTCGGTCCTAGGAACTGCATTGGACGCAAGTAAGTTCGCAAACTGTCCTTTGTATTCGCTCTTTGCTCATATATATTTCTCTAGTCTGGCATACGTCGAAATGCGTATCATTCTCGCTCGCATGATCTTCAATTTCGATATGGAATTGGACCAACCTGGACAGGATTGGGTGGATCAAGATTGTTTTGTGTTGTGGGGCAAGCCAAAGCTGATGATTAAACTAAAGCCCAGATTCCATTCCCATTGAAGCCGATAGCACCGAGGCTACGGTTCTGTAGGGGTTGTGTGCATGAAGGACCCGCAGTGTTGAATCTTGATATCAGATTGGATTTCTGATGGAAACACACAGACAGAGGGGACATGCCTTATATAGGATTGAGCTTCTTGTCATAGTACTGAGGTTAAACAAGCAATCAAATTACGGAAGAGTGCCCGAGATATTTCGATCTGACAGATATAGCGATGCCTAAGATGTCTAATTTATTGCACAAGTAGGTTTCATGCTCATGGAGATTTGTCGCCGGTATAAGCTAGTTCTTGTCATATATTCTCATAATATAATGTTCTTTCCACTGATATCTTGCCCATCTAGCACTCATGTTGTCGTTATTCCTTCCTGCCCTTATCTCAGTCACTTACATCCACGTACTACATCCATAGTTCATCTAAACTTCGAACATTCAAGAAAGTGGATGTATAGATAACATAAATTTCTGTGACCACAAAGGCCTCTGTCTTAATCTATATTAGTTAGCACCGAAACATCTCAATTAGTCCAACTTACTCAACATGGCCACTGTGCATCTCATTCATCTCAATGTATAGATCGCTGCTTACCGCCTCCGCCATATCGGCAAAAAAAAGGGCACCGCAGATCCCAACCGCAAAGACCGACTCGAATCCGCCAATAACTCGACATTGAGCACAAAGAAACCAACATGTCGCTCTCTAAAAGCGAGTCCGACGTAATCCTCAACCGGGCCAACGTCGCCCTATCCCGCAGCCAACGGCTTGTAGCCTCATGGCTACCGCAACAATCAACAGAAGAGCTAGCAAACCCCAAGACCGACGAAGAGCTCCAACGAGAAGAAGATGAAATCTTCACCGCAGTGCCAGAGACGTAAGTGCTGCTCCAGCCTTCCGCCTATAATCCAGGCATATATCTTATCACTGTCTTCCGATTCCACAAAATAAGCACTACAAACACACAGACTAACCACATTCCCCAAATCACAGTCTCGGCGTCGGAGCCCCCCTCCCCCAGAAAGCAGCAGACGGAAGCTGGAACCGCACAGAGCTGGGCTTAAATGATAAACTGCGCAAACAACTCCTCGGCAAGAACTACGATCGCGTTATGAAGGCCGCCGCCGAGCAGAAGGCTGCGGCTGCTGCTTCTACGGCCGCGGCTGCGTCTGCGTCGGCTAGTGTGGCGAAAGCTGATGTCGAGGACGAGTATGATGAAGAGGATGGTCGCTCGGCTATGCTTGCTAAGCAGAAGAATAAGAGGAAGGGTGGGGCTGGGGCGGGTCGTGGTGTGCATCCTGCTGCTGCGGCTGCGGCTGCTGAGGCCGGAGATAAAGGTGGCGAGGAGGGTGAGGGCGAGAGTGCGCCGGCTCCTGCGCGCTCGAAGGGCAGGAAGAAGGCGACGAGTTATCTTGATGAGCTTTTGGCTGAGCGTGCGAAGAAGAGAAAGAAGAGGTGAAGATTCGCGGTTGATAGGTTCGATTTTATGTTCCCACGCACACGAGCGTTGTGCGAGCTTTCACTGGCTCTGGGTCCTCTTGGTTGGATTAGGCTTTGATCTTGGTCGCTCTGGATGCGCCAGACACGGCGATCGGGCCGTTGATTCAGGTGCGAGCCCATGCTGGCCAGAGCGGATTGCCTGCCGTGCTCCTCACTTTGCCAGCGACAGAGACTACAGCGCAGTGTCCCTTGGCTAGACATGACCAAGGAAGACTACATACATACCCCAATGGCAACTCGGCTGAGTGCCCTACTGTGCCACGAGCCACTCCAACAAGATACCAAGATCAAACAGTCTGCAGAGAAAAAAACATCACTCCAATTGATATAATCAAACTGCAAATATAAAATACAATTCAATTCCAGTCTCTTGCTCTACGTGCCACAAGATTCAATGTTTTTTTTGCTCCGCCCAACCCAAGGGTATATATGATATGCTGTGTGTGAACGAAGTATGGGGACCCGGAGAGCCGTGGGCCAGCCGCCGGGATTGGCGTGCCTTCGCCAGAATTAAATATCCAAAAAATAGGAAAGATGAGAGGTGAAGGAGAAGAAATGGGGGAAAGGGACATCTACAGGAGCAATTAAAGATTGAGATCAGAGGTGCGGTCATTCTTCTGATGTCTGGAGATGAGTGCCCTTTGCTTTGATCAATGGTACATATGCAGGCCAAAAGAGCAGGGGAAGAAGATGGGAGTATCATGGCTTGTCGGTGGTATAGGGAGTTGATGGGAGAAGGAGAACATAGTGCCACCATTAGTGGAAGGTGGATGCTGGGAATCTTCCAATATTTAGGATTTATTCCAACCGCTTCCGCTTACGGTCCTCTGCCATCGCCTGCTGGTCCTCGTCAGGTCTTTCAGCAGTATCGGCAGGGTTGAGCAACGAATGCACGTTGCTTGCCATGCTCGAGCGACGGGTTGCGGGCAACGAAGAGCCGTGAGGGAATCTTGAGCCGTTAAGTGTCCAGCCGTTGTCGACACCGAGCAAAGACGGTGAAGGTTCGGCAGTGGGTGGAGTTGCATGGCGAGATTGTTCTTGAAGGCGGCGGGGAGCACCCATTTCGTATTGGGCGAGGACATCACGGACTTGCTGGTCACTAGAGACCGGAGTTCGGTGCCCTGGTGATGAAGGCCAAGGGCCGTTTGGGGGGTTGCCAGGGGGATATGGAGAGCCGGTCGAGGGGGACCAGCCGTGCTGTCGGATATCCGCAGATGTGTGACGGCGGGCCAAGCTAGGCCCTGGGGATGTTGATACGGAGAGAGGATGGGGCATCGGTTGCTGTGGGGGCGGCGCAACGGGAGGTTGTGGGCGAGCGTACGCTGAGGCAGAATTGGCGCCGCCAATCGAGCCGTAGCGGCGAGGGGAAACTGAGAGATGGGGAGGAACAGGCGGCCGGATCATGCTGGTAGGTCTAGGTATATGGTCCATCATGGACTGTCGACGGGCATCGTCCTGAGGCATTTGGCGCGGAGACAAAGGTGGACCGGCTTCAGTCATGTTGGCGAAGTACTGTTGGCGTGGAGGCATAAGAGTCTCGTGGGGGGTTTCCATGGCGCGCGTAATTTCGATATGTTTCTCAACTTCTCTTTGCATGCTCGAGACTAGGAAGTGTCAGTGCGTGTCACCATGAGTGAAGCGGCAATATTGAACATACCATCGCGATGTAGAGGGCTTTCCCTATCGGGCACAACAGCTTGAAGAAACCGTGAAATAGAATGCGTCCACTGAGATCAGGTTAACACCAACACACCCCGCACTGATATAGACGGCGGACATACTTGGTAGCACTTTGTCAGGCTTTCGGCCATAGCATGACATCTCGAGTTCAGTGTCATATTGCCATCTTCCGCTCGAGCCATACGAGCATGTAGCTCGTAGAGAGTTTGGTCGATGGCTAGGAATTTAGCTTCGGTCGCATCATGTACGGTTTCAGCGGGTGTTCCAGGCTGCGAAACAGGAGCCTTGTGGCTAGGGAATGAATCGCGGTGGATCAAAGCGTGCCTCGAAGCACGGCGCTTGATCTCTCGTAGACCAGCTAGGTCGCCTCTTTTGAAGTTCCCATTGCCATGTTTAAATTCCCAGAGCGCAGAATCTGGGGACCCGGTGTGAAAGACGTCGCTCACTAGCAGAGAGAATGGTCAGAAATCCTCCGATCAAAGCTAGCATGCGAAACACCCACCTTTGTGAAATCCGTACATATTCAGCTGCCGAACGAACGAGGAGATATTGGTGTGTTTGAAGTACGATCTGCGAGGGTCAGGGACGAGTTTATTGGCAGAGAGGATAGGATCGCACGCACGCTAGGACTTTGGAGAATTCCGACGTTGGCGACATGACGAAGCTATCGTTTGTACCGGACCAAGAGATGAGATGTTGGATGCTGGGGTCTTCTAGCATACTGTTTCCAAAAAATGTCAGCCGATGGAGACAAAACACCAAGGAAGACCAAAAAACATACTTGTAGAGCTTGTGAATGAAAGCAGTCTGGACGACTTTTGGCTGCTGAGCTGCGGCCGCAGCGCCGACAGCTGGATTCGAAGCATTCAAAGGATTTCCAGCTTCAGCGCCATTGGTGATTCCGGTCATTCGGTCGTCAGTGCCATGCGCGCCCGTGGGCGGAGGGGTGATATCCATCGAATGCTGACCAGACGACGAAAGTACAGGAATGTTTCGCGTCCTGCCCGGGGCGTCTGGTACCCCGGCAAATGAGATCCTAGTAGAAGGAGAGTCGGCAAGACGACTCATGTCGGAGGGGTGGTATAGATAGCACAAAATCGATGGTGGATGCGACGGGATCGTGAGGGGTGGAATTCGGACGCGATGGACCGTTTATGCTCGTGCCGAAAGAACGTGGGAGATCAACCAATAATCAACACTTCTGTCATCGCGCAGAAATTGGGTTATTTTCAAGGGGGGAAAAAGTGATAGGAAAAAATTAAGAGAGAAGAAAAAAAAAAAAGAAAGTCTCGAAGTGTCTGGAAGGCTAAGAGAAAAGGACTCTGCGGGGAAGGGGGCCGGAAATGCGTTGACAGTCAGATCTACAGAAAATATGAAGAAGTCATAAGAGTTATACAGGGATGAAAGAAGAGAAGAGACCAATTGGATATATTATGAATATATTATTTGGATATTATCTGGGAAAAAAAAGGGGGAGCTATTACTTTAATTGTCTAAAACCTCTACTCCATATCTCTTATAGCCCTATTGGCTTGGATTCTGCTTTAATTATCAACACTAATATAACACTACGAAGTACTTAGGTATATATTAAAGAGAGGCTTGAGGAAATTTAATCTTAGATTCGGTAATTATAAAGGGTCCATCCATGTCTGACTGTAGTTAGACTGGCTAAATCAGCTAGACATAGTTCTACCTCCATAGTACTCTACACTACTTAGTACTATTTTTATATCTTAAATCACCCCCTAATAATATCAATAATAACTAACATGATATTAACCTAAAAATCACTAGCTCTGAGTCGGACAAAAGACAGTCCGAAATTTGTATTGACTCTCCTTAGTTACTCTTTTCTTTGATACAATTTGATTTTCTTTACTCTGTACTCATACATATATGGCCTTAGTTTAATCCTTGTCGGGGTATCTACACATTTATTCACACAGTATTGCTTGAAAAAGAGCTTGTATCGACTGCAATCGTCCGCTAGTGTCCAGGTGGGTTTGACAGGAGTTACATAGCTGACTAGTTGAGATAGTCATTTCTTCAACCGATTCCCACTTTTTACCCGTCAAATCACCAAGTTGCAATCCTCATATTAGGGATACCAGAGGGGAGCCATGCCTCGTTAAAACACCAGATCCAGATTTTGTCACCCGAAGGGAATAGAACGAAGTCTCCATCCCCTAAAACCAAGGTGCATGACCGGTTAGCTGGAAAAACTGCTGTGTGCATGGATTTGAATCGACACGCTTTAGCGTCGCGGACATGCGAGAGCTCTGAGAATTCGCAGCCAATGTGCAATTCCATTTCTGTTGAGAAGCGGGACTCCCCAAAACAATAAATCAAACCCGGGCCCCGGGCTGAATAGTCTAGATTGGCGTGAGGATACCTGAAGTCCAGCTCGTTGGGGTGGAAATGCACAGTAATCTGATCATCTGCCTCGAGTGAAAGAGAAAGTGAACCAAATTCAAACTTATTTCGCAGAGGAGGATCATCCGTAGGATAACGACTCCTATAAGTCTCCAACGTATGATATTCCAGCAAAGCAGAGCTCTGGCCAGGGCGCAAGCACTCCTTGTATGGTGATGTTGTGTCTTCTGGGTCGCATTGAAACCCCCATAATTCGTCATGTCTGAAAGGAAGCTCTCTATATTGCTCCCAGATGCAGATGAACTTATTATCATGGACAGAAAATTTCTGGGTCTGCAAATGATGCTCTTCCCAAAACAAGTCACCATCTTTCCATGGCTGAATATTGTTTCCATTTTTTCTGCGGACGCAAACGACGGAGAATCCATCTTCCTCTGCATGTACTGACAACAAAAGAATGAACGGCCCGATATTGATGGAACGGGCGACTCCAGAGTCAAAGCAGAAGTGGACTACGGAATCCGCGTAGCTTAGCATGACCTTGGATCCGATGGATATGTAATGAGCAAATTGCAGTGAAGGAATGCGAAAGGACTTGTACTGTTCTTTGGCCATGTTCCAGACATGACAGTACCTATGGTTCCAGTCAGAAGTGTATCCAACAAAGTGAGATTCCTTTTCTGGCTACGTACCCCCGAACAGAAATTGCTGAGACCAAGGTGTCCGAGACCTGGACATGAGTAAATTCCTCTCGATTCGCTGTCGTGAGGGTTCTGTTTTTGCCGGTTGGTAGGTGCACCATGAAGATAGTAGTTCGATCTGTGGATTCTTCAATCCACGCGCATACTCCATTGAGACAGCTTATCCCGTCTCTGTTCGGCTCGCTCTCAAAATCGAGAGACAAGCTATTAGGGATTGTAGCCACAACAGCAGGCATTCCCCTTTCCACTCGAATTCGTTTTTTAATCAGCGCATCAAAATCAGCAGGGGTAAAATCGGGCTTGATGGCGTTTTTTCCCATATGATACCTGACTGCAGTGGTGACGACGATGGTTGAAGAGAGCAATTCACGCCATCGTTTGGAGACCTTTGTAGTATAAACATGTCAACAGGCGTTACAAGTATCCAAACAGACGCTGACATACTCTTCGCAGAAAAATAAGATCAGCTAGGTTCAAGTACTCTGCTAACATAGCCACCAGTTCAATAGGCAGTTTGTCCAGCAAATCACATTGGAATGTCATCGTTTCGAATCGGCTCTTCACTTCTCGTATCTCATAAGAATTTAGGTTATCAAGTATCTCGCTCAACCTATTTGTATTAGCGGTCAGAGCCGACTCTGAACTTTGGACATGGGACATGGGACATGGGACATACACTGCTCGCCGGCTTGAGTTGTCGCGGAGAGCCATAAAGCCCGCGAGAAGGGGCTGGGTGGGTGCGTCCATATTGAATCGAGTCGGATGGAAGATTGAGATAAATGAAGAGACTTTCAAACATTGTTGAATGATGGGGGGAACTTTTGAGGGTCCTTCCAGGATTCCAATGGGGGTGAGGTTTAAGTAAGGTGGTAACCTTGGAAGTGACCCCTGGGGCCGTGGACTTCATTCAGTAAGCGAGGCTCAACTTTATACAAACCTCCCAACCTTCTTATTTGTTGTCTTCCTCGGTCATGGAAGTACTACAGGATTTTATTATTCCCCAAGTAGCTTCTGTCATGCCTTTAAAAAGAAGGTCAAAGATGGCGAAGCGGCCTCCATATTCCATGATCCTAGGATGCTGTCGATGCTCGGCCAAATCAATAGATCTACAACCGGGGCTTGACGTCTGACGCATGACCAGCTTCCACCGGGTTTGAGTTCGTAAGTCGCTTACTAGACATCCGAAAAGCTCGAGAATATACGGCTGAATGGAAGTCATTCTCACTCGGTGTAAGCAGCCATCTACGCTACATATATGAACTTTATAGGAAGGAATACTTCACACTAAACAATGGGAGATCAATATATCATCTCTCACACATCCCGATTAGGAACTGATCTAGGTCATAGAAACACTCAAGAATACAGTGACAAAAAGAGAAAATAAATGACACAGGAACAGGCGCAAAAGCATTACAAAGATCTCTCTAAGATGTCACTGCGGCGGTTCGGTTCGGTTCGCTAGCCCCAGGAAAAAGGCAAATGAAAATGCTCCCTACCCTCTCTATCATTATAACAAAGGAGTAAACACCCTTTAGATGCCGAGGGTGAACTCAACACCGACGTCGATCTCGCGGGCCATCTTGACGACCTTGGAGAACTGGACGGACTTCTCGGCGGCGTTCTGGAGGTCCTCGATGGAGAAGATCTTAAGGCCGGACTCGTTGATCTAGAAAGTAGGAGATTTGATTAGCTTACATCATAGCGAAGAACGGAAAATGGGGACTGTAATCATACCAGCTTGTGGGCCTGCTCCATGTTGGTACCCTGCAGACGGGCGATGATGGGGGTGCGCAGGTTCATCTCCTGTACGACGTTGATCAAACCCTGGGCAATGGCGTCACAGCGGACGATACCACCGAAGATGTTAACGAAGACGGCGGACACCTTGGGGTCGCTGGTGATCAGCTCGAAGGCGCTCTTGATGGCAGCGGGGGTGGCACCACCGCCGACATCGAGGAAGTTAGCGGGGGTACCGCCGTTAAGCTTGATGATATCCATGGTGGCCATGGCGAGACCGGCACCGTTGACTAAAAGCGAGTATTAGCATTGTGATCTTTTGAAGTATCAATAGGATCCTTACCGAGGCAGCCGATGTCACCATCGAGCTTGATGAAGTTAAGACCGTGCCTAGAAAAAGATAAAAGTCAGTCAATGTTGTTTTGGCCCTTTTTTTTATACCAAGGCAACCTACTCAGCGGCCTTGACCTCATCGGCATCCTCCTGGGTAACATCGCGCCACGAGAAAGCCTCCTTCTGGCGGAACTCGGCATTGTCGTCGAATCCAAGCTTGGCATCCATAGCCAAAACCTGGTGGTCGGAGGTCTCGGACAGGGGGTTGATCTCGAGCTGGGTAGCATCACGCTCCATGAAGCACTTGTAGAGGTTCTGGATGGTAGACTTGGCCTCCTCGATGCACTGCTCGGAGAAACCAAGATCGGTGGCGATGGTGCGGGCGATCTCGTCAGTCACACCGACGTGGATATCAATGGGGGTGGTCATGATGGCATCGGGGCTCTCCTTGGCGACAGCCTCGATATCCATACCACCCTGGGAGGATGAGACGATGACGGGGCCACGGGTGGTACGGTCAAGGAGGACAGCGAGGTAGAATTCACGGCGGGCGAACTTGCGCTCGCAAATGTAGACCGAGTTACAGATACGGCCGCCAGCGCCAGTCTGCTTGGTAACGAGCTTGTGACCGATCATCTGGCCAGCGAACATCTTGGCCTCGGTGGGACTGCAAAGATATCTATCAGCTTCATTGTTCCCGATCTGTTTTCGGATTCGTTCAACTCACGAGTAGATCACACGGACACCACCCTTGAGACCATTGTCGAATTGACCCTTACCACGGCCACCGGCGAGAACCTGGGCCTTGATAACAAGATCACCACCACCTGGAATGTAATGTTCAGCGAGCGCGTTCAAAGGGGGGAAATCAGAAGGTTGTTCTTACCGATGGACTTGGCAATAGCCTCGGCCTCTTCAGCAGTGTTGGCGACCTCACCCCTGGGGACACCGACACCGTACTAAATTGTTGATCAGCGATCCCGAGTTCCTATTTTTTTCGGGCGACCGAAGAGTGAAACGCGGGTGCACGTACCGACTTCAGGAGTCTTGCGGAAAGGTACTCGTGGATGGAAAGGTTGCGCTTCTGCTGCAAAGCGAGTCTGCTCTGGATGGAGGGTTGCTATTGTTCATAGCCAAAATCAGCTCAATCAACACATAAAACCAACGCGGCCCGATTTCAGATAGAACTCACTGTCGCAGCCTTGAAGGCCGCCGCAACGGGTCTACCGCGAGCAAGCTTGAACATGATGAATTAGGATGAGAGAGGAGAGGGGGAATTTGTAGAAGGGCGGAGGTATAAAGCCCGTTTAGATAGTTGGTAAGGGACCGGGAGAACAGCTTTCTTTTTCACTTGCCTTCGGGATGACCTTGCATTGCGGTAAAATCGGGTGCCGTAGCCAACCAGCGGTCGCTCCTGGCCTGACTCAGCATAGGTTCGGGGACAACGCGAATATAACGGAACATGGCTATTAAAGTCGGTACTTCTCTATGGATACATGTATGAATGCTGCATAGGTTTTTGTTTCTTTTTATATATACAAGAATAGTCGGCCACCTATGCGGCCTTGTCAAGTATTTATTATTAGTCTTTTTAGTAGATATTTTCGCCCTTATTGGTGTTGTAGCTAGAGTATAGGCGGGAAAAACGGCTTAAAATGTGTAAACCGACTTTTCCATGTATAATTCCTTGATGTATAATCTTTGATATTTATCCTTAAAATGTTTGGTTTTGCCCAAGTCCAGTTCTATATTTCTATATTATATTGACTAAAACTTACACCTCAAACCCACCAAGATATCATCCCCCCCTTTATTTGCCCGAGGCAGTTTTGATCCTCCATAGTTTGAACATTTTAGTCATGACCCGACCAAAAAGTCCCGACCAAGCCCAGCCACCCGACAACATCCAGATCAACCAGCTAGCACGGCCCTCCCAGATCCAGGCCTTGCGACCACGAGCCCACGGCCACAACCAGCGCCACGGAGCTGAGCCATACAACACTTGAGAAACGACACTGCGAGCATAGGCCTCATTCGGCATAGCATTGTGCTGGCTATGCTTCACACGGGTAAGATACTCGGTCTCGATGGGGGCATATAAAGAACCCGGCTGCAGAGCACGGTCGGTACGCGCAATACGCGATTGAACACCGCCGGTAACGATGGTTGTGACATGGACACTGTTGATTCTGGTTAGAAAGAAAAGAAAAAAAATCTCGGATTTTGGGGGCCGTATCTAACGAACCCGAATGGTGCTAGCTCCACGCGAAGCGTGTCACTGAACGAGTGCAGTGCTGCTTTAGAGGCGTTGTAGACAGAGCCGAATACATATGGGATGATCTAGTCATTGTCAGTAAGATAAAATCTGCGAAGATGGATATATCTTAAACTTGCCCCGGCAACGGATCCAATCTGCACAATAGTACCCTTTGCCTCGATAAGCAACGGCAGGAAAGTCTGGCACATAGTAATGACCGCGAAAAGGTTGGTCTCAAATGTTTGGCGAACCTCGGCGAGCTCTACTTCCATCGCGGGAACGGTATAATCTGCAGCAATCAGTACCTATTTCCAATTATTGACGCCAGAAGCCGCGAGACTGAAGTCACATACTGCGACCACTGTTGGATATTAGCCAGGTGTACCGTCCACAGATAAAATGTCAAAGGATACTCACGCATTGTTAACGAGATAATCAAGACCCTTGTCTCCGAGCCTCTTTTTGACATCCGCAAAACACAATTTCACGTTCTCCGGGTCATCAACTGTAAGGCTCAATGTTTCAATACCGATGTCTGCCAGGTCAGAGATGGTCGCCGCATCGCGAGCGGTGGCCAACACGCGCAATCCATTTCGGTTGAACTCGCGCGCAAGGGAGTTGCCAATTCCACCTGGGGAGCATCTACGGTATATATCAGAAGCTGTTGTTGGTATCTGTCCAAAGTCGCTTGTTACTTACCCCGTGATGAGCACCGATCTGCGGGTGTCTGTCGTTTCCGACATGTTTGGGGCGGAGTATATAAACTGAACCAAATTTATAGATTTGAAAGATAGGTAAACGACGTAGTAGAACAGCTCGCTACGGCATGTACATCTGGCAGGCGCGTGGAGATGAAAGAGATGCCTCGGCTCTCCGCGTTTCATAGCACTGAGCCCTAAGCCCTATTGCCTGTTTTATCTTTATATAGTATACATGTAGATAGTGGCTAGGAGATATGAAAGAACTAAATATCTGGATTGCATGTGAACAAATCGGAAAATAGGTCCAAGTAGACTGCTCCACCTGCAACACAAAGCTTACCACTTTACACCGTCTCGAAAATATTCCCGAGAATCCACATGCATGGTTGTCTACACTGCTTATCTCTCAAAGCAACCCCTAGAGATGATCGAAATCAAAATCATTGTTTCAAACCTGGTCAGTTAGTCCCCTTTTTTGGCAGTTTTAAAGTAAGCCGTCCAGTGGCGCCGGATGCGTGCCGATTTCTAAGGGTGAACTCAACGAATGACACCGTCCCGTCTGCACCGGAGAATTAGGACATGTATGTGATACTCGAGGGGCGACGATGGGATCTAACGACATCGATGCCATCGATGCCATCGATGTACCAAAACCCTTACCTGCAACGTTGTATGGAATGGAATATCAAAAGTCTGTTCGCCGTTGCCACTGGTAGATTATTGCCATCGGTCTCCACATTAATCCACGTCGATCCCAACGACCCGTCTATTCTTTTCTACAGAGATCTTCAATCGCTATTAATTAAAGGGCTTCGAAAGAAACCCAAAATCGTACATTTTTTTTTCCAATGCTAGCATCTTAGCTCTTTGTTGCGATATCACCTCTACTACCGCCCATGCCATCATCCGCAAGTAAGCGGCACAATATAACCCCCGAACGAGAGGGGGGAAGTTCAAGCTATCCACGCTTGTATTCAGCCCTGTGTGCACTCGTTGAGTCAAATCGCAGTAAACAGTGATGGCCACCGAGGCCGATCTACCCCGGCACATGCGAAGTCCCGGCGAAGACGGGTACCGAACGCCAACGATAGAAGATGCCGAGCGGGCGCTCTCAATCCTGGGATCCGTTGAGGAAAGCCCCGGTGGCGGAGTCCGCAAGGCTCATTCATCTGCTTTAGAGGCTGCATTGCAGCGAGCCTCATCGCGGGCTACTGTGAAAACAAACCCGGATAAGGAAGCCGGTGCGTGCCAAAATTATAACGGGCTGGGCCTGTTTGGGCTCAAGCGCACGGTTTCTGGCGAGCTGAGCTGGAAGAAGCGCATTCGCCATGTTACGTGGGCTTATTTTACGTTGACTATGGCTACGGGCGGGCTGGCTAATGTCTTGTATCAAGGTGTGCATGGTCGATTTCATTCTGTTCGGTTGAACATGGCTAACAAGGACCAGTTCCATTTCGGTTCAAGGGCTTGGATACGATTGGCATTGTTGTCTTCCTGGTCAATATCGCTTTGTATCTCATTATCTGGGGTCTTCTGCTTGTTCGGTTCTATCATTATCCTTATACATTCAAGGCGTCGTTCATGCACCCGACAGAGTCACTCTTCGTGCCCGCATCGATAGTATCCTTCGGCACGATCCTAATCAACATATCGCAGTACGGGCCCGAAAACACCGGTCCCTGGTTGATGCGCGCAGTCTGTATTCTATTCTGGATCGATGCCACTCTCGCCGTAATGTTCACGGCGGGCATCTACCTCCTCCTTTGGTCGACACAGACATTCACCATCGCACAGATGACTCCTATCTGGATTTTCCCTGCTTACCCGATGCTCATTATTGGTCCGCATGCTGGGATCCTCAGTGCAAAGCTGGAACCGTCGCAGTCTCTGCCGGTTATTATTGGCGGCACGACTATCCAGGGAGTTGGCTTTTTGGTTTCGTTGATGGTATACTCGGCCTTCATCTACCGGTTGATGACGCAGAAGCTACCAAGGGAAAATCTCCGTCCTGGTATGTTTGTTTCTGTGGGACCGAGCGGGTTTACGGTTGCTGGGCTGGTGAACATGGCGGCTGGGGCGAAGAGGTCGTTTCCAGCCGATTTTATGGGTAATGGGGCGCTGGCTGCCGATGTGTTGAAGATTGTTGCTAATTTTGCGTGTCTTTGGCTTTGGGGGTATGTTCGGTCCTTGGTTCTTACTCTCTACTCGACTAACTTTTCTCTAGGTTGGCCATATTTTTCTTCATTATTGCAAGCGCAGCCCATTGGTCAGCGATTGGACATGGACGCATGGTCTTCTCAATGACCTGGTTCTCATTTATCTTCCCTAATACTGCCTTAATCACTGCTACATTTGCTATTGGCAAGGCATTCTCCTGCGAGCCTATTGAAATTGTTGGGTGTGCGGCGATACTACCATTGCTGTTGATGTACTTTTTTGTGTGCTACATGATGGTTCGGGCCATTTTGACGGGACAAATTCTGTGGCCCCAAAAGGGCGAGGATAGAGACGAGGGTGGGTTTGAGATTATTCGAGTTAAACCAGTGGCAGCGGGAGGGGTTTTAGGGCATACATAGGAGCGCAATATATATATCGATGTATGTTTTGCATACAAACCAGGAGACCCCAACACCAAGGAAGAAAACACAAATATCTTGCTATACTTTACTGAACGGACTCAATCCCAACCATATCTATCATAAAAAGAACCTAAACACCCAAAAGATCCTCTTAAAAAAAATAAAATACCACACACACACCAAGCAAAAAAAAAAAGAAACAAAAAAGAATGGACCCGCCGGGAATTGAACCCGGGACCCCCCGCAATGTCACTTGTAGTGCGAAGCGGGTATTATACCCCTAAACCACAGGCCCATTTGATGAAAGATGGGGCTTTTCTTTGTTATTCGACGGGATCAGATATAAGCTGCATGCACCATTGTACGATAAAGAAGGTATAAAAAGTGATTTCAGAAACATCCGTACCTACACTTTAATTCATACACATTTTGGAAACATTGCTACTTATCACGTGGGGACAACAGCCTTCCCCCTTGACAACTCAATATACACCGGATTGACAGCAAAGACACCACACCCTCACCTTCACAAGAAAGCCCCCTACGATAGCATCAAATCCCCACTGTCACGTCAATGTACGAATCATGGATACCGTCTTTTTTGAGACCGGATTTCACTTGGCCTCGACCGATGCAGTCAACAATATGCAAAACAACACCTGAAATCCCAGCTCTCCCATGCAAGACAAGTCGCAGAGCCTACGGTCTGTTCCATGAAATATTGTATCGATTTTCGGGCTGGTACTGTTCATGGTTCAATATCCCCTTCAACACAAATATTGCACAATTGCCGCTTGGTTTGGTCTTAAAGTGGACAGATCGAACAAGCTTAGAGGAGGCCGCCGCAATGCAAAGGGCGCGAGCTGCCGGGATGCCTGTTCCCAAAGTTTTATCTTGCGGGGAACACCCTCATGCGCCCTTTAATCGCGTTTTCTCGATATTAATGACGAGATTGCCTGGCACGCCACTTGAGAACTCAGTCGACCCTTTATAGGCTGAACTAGAAGAACAGTAGCTTTTCGAACTGAAAGAATGCTGTTGGACTATGTCGGTCATCCCATTGATGCCTCCATTTGTTTGCAGATTGAGCCTGTCTTTTCTTTGTTTGGCAGGGTATAAATCCCCTGCTTCAGATAGATTGAATAGATCATGATTCTTCTTCTTCTCTCTCTCCCCATAGTTAGTAGCCCAACAAATGCGTCACTTCCATGCGTGCTTGGCCCTCGCCCTATACCCAAAGCATTTGCTCGGTTTTGGGCACCTCGTTACGAAGCTCAAGAGTGCCTAACCATATAATGGGTCCGTTTACAGATAAAGATGAGCTCCACGATTATCTCTTAAGTCCTGCCTCTGGACACAGCTTCGATTCAACTGCAGATTATGTTCAAGGTTTGGCACAAGCAAATGACATTCGTAATTACTCCCACCGGGTTACTTTCACTCATGGTGACTTTAAGGCTCATAATATTCTTGTCGGAGATGATGGTCATTTGTCGGCTTTTCTTGATTGGGAGTCTGCTGGCTGGTATCCCGAACACTGGGATTTCACGACTGCAATGAGATATGGAAAGGGCAGCTGGTGGTATCAGGTGGCTTCGTGGATGGGTAGGGACCAGTACGATGGGGAGTTAGCTTGTGATATTGCGCTCAACTCATTGACGGTTGACTCGTATATAGCTTTCTGAGGAGTAATTATATACGATCTTCTGTCGTCCGAGATGATTCTTTAACTGGACGGGAAAATCGACCTTGCGTGATGTTTCTCCCCATATTACGGTCATTCCTACACCCATCACCCGCCCCGTTGCACTTCAGACTGGCCGCGCAAATCGCAAAAGCGATTATATTTGAGCAGCTGGTAGCTGGGCACCGATGGTATAAAAATCTCCATCACATCGAAATAGCCGTTTTCGTTGATATCGGGAGAGCCCAATCTCCCCTTTAAATTAGAGGTGTTGTTGACCCCAGGCACCATAGTCCTGTCAATGCAGCCTGATATTCTTTTTTGTATCCATGGCCTGAAGAAGAGAGAGAGAGGAAGGAAGAGAGAGTTGTGTACCTTCAAATCATCATCTACCGTTACAGTCTACCAAGTCTACATAAATGACCACAGAAGTTTCGAGAAATCGAACAATGAATTCCACGTAAGTCAGTTAGGGTATCAAATTAATATATATAAAAAAGAAAAAGATCATGCCTGCCGCCCTAAGCATCCTCCATCACGGCATCCTTGGCCGTGATCAGGGGAGAACTGCCGGCGGAAGCAGCCGAGCTTCCGCCGGAGTTGCTCCCACGCTTCTTCTTCCCCTTCTTGGGGGACTTTGAGCTTCCACCACGGTGGTGGTGGTCAACCGCGCCGCCGGACAACTTGCGGCCATGGCCGGGCTCCCGCACCGGCATGTTAAGAATTATTCGGGGGCCGCTCCTGACTCCCCCCACAGAAGTTGGAATCTGTGGAACTGGGGGGAGGTTCAGGGGGCTGACACCCCGGTGCGGAGTTCCCGCACGCGTCATACTGGTGCTCTTCCGACGGGAGGCACCCACAGACGGGGAGGCCTCGCGGGAGGCAGCAGGGAGGGTCGTGGCGGCAGTGGTGGTCTTTGGGGTTTTCAGGCCCTTGCGGGCCTGGCGTCGTGGGGTGGCAGGGCGGGGGGTAGTGGGCACGGGGGTCGACTCCTTGGGCTTGCGCGAGCGCAGCTGGCGCCCCTTCTCAACGGGGATGATGAGGTCAAGACCCCCATCATGGGCGCTCTGCTCTCGCCGCTGGCGGTTCAGCTCCGCCGGGCGGCAGCTCAGGGTCTGGCGGCCATCGGGGATGATGAGCTTTGAGAGCTCCCCCGTGGCCACCGCCCAGCTCACTTCTGGCAAAGGGGCGGCGGGGATGTTGGCATCGAGGTCCCCGGTGGACTTCCGGTCTCTCCCGGGGGCGACAACCTTTGCGGCAAAGGACTTTGTGGCTGTCAGGTAGGTGGCGCCGCTCTTCTTGCGCCCTTTGCTGGGGGGTGGAGCCATGATGGCATCCAATTCTTTCAGATTACTCTGAGACCACCACTCACTTCTGAACTCCGAGTTCTCACTCAGACCTGACAGATGACTGAGCACACCGGAGGACAACGCGCGGTCACTGTAGCCGCCCTCGAGGACGCTGATAACGCGCCCCTCCACACCGAGGCCTTCCTCTTGAGACATGCGGATGACATCCGCGGTGAATTTGGCGTAGAATTCAGTCGGCACCTTCACGCTGTGGCGTTGCATGCCGTTGCCTTCCCACTCGCTGGCATCAAACCCGGCAGAGATAAAGATTGCCGCCTTGGGCAGTGGAGAATTCGGATTCTTTTGTCGTTCTTGGTTGAGTTCAGCTGTACGTTCGCGAAGAAACAAGCGGGCTTTGGTGATCAATGCATTGTATTTCGTTTGATACAATCTCCAGAACCCATCGAGATCGGTCCACTTTTCGAGATGAACGTTCCAGATGGACTGATTGTGTGCTTCGAGACAGAGACTGGCACCCATGACTTTTTCGCGCTCACCATTCTCGCAAGGGAAAGAGTTCACATCATGCAAGCTATAGTAGCCAATTGCTGCTTTACCGTATGGAGGAGCGTTTTCATATTCCTTGAATTTTGTGGCATCAGTTTTGGCCAAATCGGCCTTTTGTGTTTTGTTGAGTAATTTGGAGTTGTGGTCGTAAGCAATATCCTGAGACCCATCGCCATGGTGAAGATCGAAGTCAAGGATCGCAGCGTGGGTTAGACCGTGGGTTGTTGCTGCGTGGGAAATTCCGACATGAACGTTGTTGATCCAGCAAAAGCCGGAAGGGAAGTTAGCTGAACAATGGTGACCGGGAGGTCGAATGCAGACGAATGCGCGCTGGATCGGACCAGACTTGAAAACAAGATCTACCCCCTCGCAGACACCCCCCAGGGCCCCTTGGAAGGCGTTCACAGACTCTGAGCATAAGTAGAGGTCATTGGCATTTAGAGCGGGACCACTTGTCCCAAGTCCATCGTCCTCTTCCGTCCGTTGTCTGGCAAGTTCATTTCCATCCATGAGGAGACGTGATTCTGCAAGGTCCCCCATCCATTTCAATTCTGACATCCATTGGGTTCCATGAACATCTGTAACGGCAGTATTAGACAGATGCACCTTGCGATCAGTCTTGATAATTTGAAAAGGAGCATCAATCTTGTTTAGGCTTGAACTTGGGTTTGGCGCGAGATGCTCCGCATATCGAGAGCCGAGGAGGACGTAGGCTGCAGAGATACCCACAGCGCAGGCGCGGATGCGCTCTGGTCTTTCGACAATTATCTCGATAGTTCGTTTTGACGCTTCAAGCTGGGAGTAACGATGGCCATAGCAGTCGTCATGAACAATAACAGCAGTTTTAGTATTGACACCACCAGATCGGTGTAATTCGAGCTCTTTTGAGAAGTGCTCCGCGGCGACGGACGAAGCAGTCGGAATTGGAGCTTCTGGAGCCGGGCTGAAGACAAGGCGTGCGGGGGGCATCGCGGGGGACGTTGCGGTGGTTGGAGACCCCACAGAGGTGAATGATGTGCGGCGTGAAAGGGCAGGAGTTGGAGATGAAGATTTGAGTGGCTGTGAGACCGAACGAAGAGATGCAGTGGACTTGCGCTTTTGTAGCGGTGCAATTGACTTGCGTCGTTCGTCTCGAACAGAAACAGAACCAGCTGTTTGTGAGACAGATTGCACGGGTTGGTTTGATTGTAAGGAGGCAGCTTCTGCAGATTGATTTGACTGTAAAGAGACAGCTCGAACAGATTGGTTGGGCTGTAGAGGAATAGCAGGTACAGGTCGAGTGGTTTGAACAGATCTAGAGGGGGGAAGATAGGATGGAACAGGAGAAAGACTAGGTGATGAAGGCAGTGGGGTCGCTGTCGCCAGAGTCAGGCGATCCAGAGAATCTATCAATTCATAATGCGCCTCATCGATATTGTTGTTCTTGACGCCATTGTCCCCTAATGGCGGGTCCTCCTGAGTGGAGGGGAGCTTGTGTTCCATCTTGCAGATGTCGACTCTGCTACAAAGGGTCAATACACGATGTTTCTTCTCATTCAATACGAAATGAAAGGCGAGAGATGATAGGTCGAGGTTCGATGAATAGGGAAGGGGAAACAAAAGAGACAAAGAGACAAAGAAAGGGTGGAGATTCACATGTTTGGGTTAGGCTACATGGGGTAAGGGTTCCGTCGATCACTAGACCATAGAATAACGACATACAACATATACATCTATACATTCTTATACATTCTTACATACATGTGTATATATTTCTATTGTTTATGATTTGATTGTTGATCTTCTTTGATCTTATTTGACTTGATTCTTATTGTCTAATCAGAGCCACAATCAAGTTGTATTCTCTTTATCGATAGCTTTTGTAACAATACACAACCATGCTTCATGGTCTCTCTCTCTATATTAGAACTCATCTCTAATATAAAATAGACAAAAAAAGAAACTTAATAAAGACAAGAATCGAATCTCATGCAGATCATCTAGACCATTGCATCCACGTGATGGAACACCGTAAACCCGCATAATTCCATTTTCCCAAGATCCCAACCGAGACCCCAAATCCCCTAACACCGAAGCTGTATAATGATAGACAGAGAATAGAGAGAAAAAGAAATCAAATGTAAATGTCGTCACTAACGCGACCGCAGACTCCGCCATTGATACCACTGGTACCAACGGCGCCCGAAAGAATCCTTTTCACCAACGGAATCCTGAGATCGGCGGCGCACCTTATTCTCCTTCTTGCGGGTCTCCTTCTCGGACATGAAGCCACGCGTGGCGTGCGAGTTGCAGAAGCAGTGCATGTGCACGGTCTCGATGCTGATGCCCGGGCAGCCATTCCGGCGATGGGCGGCGCAGACGTTGTTGCCAGCATCTTCTTCGCATTGGCACCATTCGTAGAGTGTGAAGTATTGGCGACACATTGCTGCTTTTTTTGGGTGCTTTTCTTCAAAGTTGCAGTTGACTGTTGGCTGTTGCGGGGCGTCCCGCAGGTACTCGCAGTGCGCTTTTGATAGTCGATAGTTGATGGAAGATAAATGATGATACGGGGTTTGTAGTAGTTTCAGAATGTGTCGAGCAGACCGAATGTAAGATGGATATTGATGATGTTATATTGGCAAGGAAATGAGGAAGCCAAATGCCTAATGGTGTGCAAATGGGTTTCGGCGTCGGGGCTGTATAGCTACTAAGCTTAATCGGAAAGCCCCGGAAAGTATGCTTTGGTATGCTTTGTAGCCGGTGATGTCGAGATCCTCAGAGATTTGAAAGGCTTGTTCAGACCAGCTGAAATGAGACGTGATGATATTGATGGAGAGTTGAAGATTTTAGGGATCTGTAGGGAAAAAAGGATCGGATATAACGGGGGGGCAGACAATTAGCTCTTTAAGTTCTTTAGGCTGCCTAATGTAATGATGAGTAAATAGTCATTGACAGTGTATATGAATGGAACCACGGCTATTGATTGGAGCTGACGTCAAAGAAACCCTTTCCTTTGATTATTATCCACAGGTATTATAATTATCTTATTACCTAGGTAGTGGGCTTATATATTATTAGTGGGCTTATACCATGCCTAGACCTTACCCCATCCGTCGGCTGAGAGCTGCATGTTACATCTGACAGCAGGTCGTATTCTCGCCGAGGGCGCGATGGGACTTGGTACCACTATTTTTGCTCTTTGATAGGTAGACTAGACTTATATTGACTAACTCTTAATTGAGAATTTTTGCAGCAAACTTGGCGCTCTGATGGGGACAGGGGGTTACTTGGTGAGGTAATGGAAATGGGATTGGTCTTAGAAAGTGTAGAAAATGAAAAAAACAGGCGGCTATTGTTCTGTTTCAACAGGTTCAACAAAGGCAGTGCCTAAAATAAATCATGCAGAACCATTAAAAATAGAGATCAAGGTCCTGCATCAAAGGAGATACTAGTTTGAAACTCAACGGCGACAATCTGATCGACAAGACCAGTCGAGAGCCAGTCAGCCCTGACAGGTTGAGACGAACTGGGGGGATCCGCCCATACCCGGCGCTCCGCAGGGGTCTCTTTTCCGATCCTGCCGAGCCGTGATTGGAGCAGAGGTCTGTCTGGCTTGCCGCCAGGATCTCGCATCGGGATATCCTGCCGGGTGACTGTATCGTCTAGCGCCGAAGAAAAAAAAAAAAAAATAGAGTTTGCATGCCAGTTGACATTCTTGAGTATATCGAGATGGATGATCTCACGGTCGATTCAAAGATGCAAACGGAAAAAGTGAAATAAACTGTGAGGCGTAGGGATGTGGCGGTGCATACAAGTCACGTGTTACGGAATGTTCTCCGAGGAAAGTGGTGCCTAAGGTTCTCATGGAAAGTCCACCTTCTATCCATAGTTAGCTCGGATTTAATTTACCTCAACTCAATTGACTGAACACATTATTGCAGTCCCTATCTGAACTTATACCAAAACCCAAAACTCCTAATAACAAATCCTCGAAAAGAGCACACCACCACAACCAACCGATCAACATCAACAATCACAATCAACACAACACCAACACCAACAACCACCCCACCCAACCTGCAATGACAACAAACACACCACCGCAACCCCTAACAATGAGCCCAGCGACACCAGCGCGCGCCAGCGCACTCCTCTCAAACTTAACAGCCGTGCGCGCGCGAGTGAGCACAGCCGCCCTCCAATCCCCAATCCCCAGCAAACCAATCCGACTCGTCGCAGTCTCCAAGCTCAAGCCCGCGTCCGACGCATTGGCACTGCACCAAGCCCCGGGGTCACAACTCCACTTCGGCGAGAACTACCTTCAAGAACTACTCGAGAAATCACGGCTGCTACCCGCAAGCATCAAATGGCACTTCATCGGCGGGCTGCAGAGCAACAAGTGCGTGACGCTCGCGCGGGATGTGCGCGGGCTGTGGGCTGTCGAGAGCGTCGACTCGGAGAAGAAGGCGAAGTTGCTGGATAAGGGGTGGGGTGAGAGGGGTTCTGAGATGGCTGCTACGAACCACGACGAAGATGGGAGGCTGCGTATCTATGTTCAGGTTAATACGTCTGGCGAGCAGAATAAGGCTGGTGTTGAGCCTGCTGGGGCGGCGGCGCTTTCTCGATATGTTCGTGAGCAGTGTCCGCGGCTTAAGTTGCAGGGTTTCATGACTATTGGGGCTATTGCGAGATCGCAGGCGACGACGGTGGAGAATGAGAATGAGGATTTTGTTTGTTTGAGGGAGACGAGGGATCGGGTTGTTAGGGAGCTTGGGTTGGTTGGGGATGAGGCTGGGTTGGAGCTTAGTATGGGGATGAGCTCGGATTTTGAGGGGGCGATTGCTCTTGGTAGTGATCAGGTTAGGGTTGGGACTACGATCTTTGGGGATCGGCCGCCTAAGGCGGAGGCGAGTGTTGTTTAAGTTTGTGGGTTGTGGGATGAGGTGGTTATGAGTTACGATTTCGTGAAGATTAGATTTTAAAAAGTGTTAGGCTTCTGGTGGCTATCACCACTGAGAATGCTGATCATTAGACGTACTGTATGTATAGCACTTCTATTTGTTACTTTACCGGCAAAGATTTGTACATGAAGAAATGTGGTGTTCCTGGTGGAACACTTACTAATATTTTACTTGTAATCCAATTAGAGATATACATGAATGCTTCCATATCACCCGCAGACGTGCTAATCGAAGGCTTCGTCTGCTCTCATGCCCTGCGCCAGCTTCAGCTCCATCTGTCTGACCAGTGCCTGCGGGACCTCTTCTTGGGTGGCACGGACAGTGACACGATACATCTGAGCGAAAGAGTTAGCATGACAGCACCAAAAGAATTGAAAGAGTTCTAATACATACCTTCTTCTCGTAGTTGGGCTCCAGCCGCAGCAGACAGCCCGTCTTACCTCCCTCGAATTGGTACACAGCGCAACCAACAATGTTTTGAGAGTTTGGATCGACACCATCCAAAATCTTGAATGCGAATCCCTCGACAATCCTCCGAGTGAATCTCTCGTTGACGGTCTTGTTCTTACCTAGCAAGCCAAAGGTCTTCTGGGATTCTAGCGGTCCACCGCCAATCTGGCGCCATCGCTTGAAGAATTCCTCGGCTGACAGAGACGAGGATTCCATGTAGCGGTGCATCAGGACAGGCAGCTGAAGTGTGTAGGCCTGGAGAGCACCAGCCAAGTATGAGATACGGATGGTGGGCGCATCCGTGAAGGGACCGTGGGTAGTGCAGAACAGAGTCTGCTGTGTCTGTCCGGCAGCCGGGATTGTTGGTTCGGGCAGGCTCTTCGTGTCAATCTTCAATTGAGGAGAGGCCGGGTTGTCGACAGTGGTGGTAAGAGACCCGATGGGGTACGTGGACTTGTTCGAGATGTAGAGTTTCACGACACCCATAGGACCGCGGTACTCCGAGCGCAGTCCGACCTGGATCTGTGCATCTTCGAAGAGTACACCCTCGCGCGAGAAGAACAGTCGGTTGTAACCGATGTCCCATTCTGGGGTCAGATGAGCGGCACTGGCCATGTTGGGAGCTGGGGCTGATGGACCGCTGAGATCCAGGCCCGCTAAGTCGCCCGACGCACTGGCTGCATTGGACGCGCTTGCCGGGCTGGCTGGAGTATTGCCGGACCCAGTGCGCGTGCCGTGAACGATTGTCGTGAAGGTGCGCTTGAGACCGGTGTTCTGTGCCAAGAGCATTTCCTGCTTGTCCGCATTCGCGTCCTTGCCACCGATAACCCAGGTCTTCTTCTCGCTCGCGCCGGCTGTCTTCTGGTGTAGCCGAGAAAGGAGAATGGAGGTTCGCTCCGAGAATGGCGGCATCTCATCGCAGACCGTTCGCAGCAGATCGTCGGTCGGGAGAGTCGCCAGCGACAGGTACTCAAATGCTCGCTGCTGCAGTTCGGAATCGGGGGAATGGCTGTACAGGCGGAAGATTTGCAAGAGCTGAGGTTTGATTTCGGGGAACAAATTCACAAACTTGACAAACGACGAGAGAATCATGGCCCGCGCGTTGTCGGAACTGGAGAACATCTTGGCCTGCAGGGCCAGGAATTGCTCAATAGGGCTCGAGCCTGCGTTTTCGGCGACGAGGTGGCCGTACTCGCCCAAGACGTAGCAGCCGATTTTTACCAAGCTTTCGTGACAATCGGACTTCATGTAGCCCAGCAGGGTGTGTGCTGCATAAGCTTGTAGTTCTTCGTTGTTGGTCACGATCTGAATCACTCGTTGCCATACTTCGTCGTTGACATGTTCACCTGCCAGTGAGAGCAGTTTCAATGTCATGTCGATGTACCACTGTGCATCGGCGGCGTATTTCTCGGTAAGAATTGCGACCTTGAGTACCATTTCCTCTCGAATGGCATAATCGGCAGTCTGCAGGTATCGCAGAAGCTCGTTAACAATGGGGCCGGCATTACTGGTATCGCACATGCTGTACAACAAGTCCAATCCTTTGCGACGAACACTGATGTCGCGGTCTCGAAGCGAGCCCAGGATGATGTTTTGGTGCTTTTTAATCGGGTCAAGGGTTTCAGCCCGAGCGGCGAAATGGGTCAGCGCATCCAGACCAAGGTATCGAACGTTAGTCTCCCGAGACTGAATGTATTTGCCTAGGCGGGTGGAGATTTGCATCATGAGATTGTGCTCAGAGTCGAGGTGGATAAGGAGATTGATGGCTTCGAAAAGGATGGCGTTTTGGGCATTGTTCTGCTGGACATTCTTGGGTGTTTCCATTGCAGCTTGCATCATCTGGGAGAGGGATTCTCGAATAATCTCGCGAACATGGCTGTCCTCTGTAATTATATGTGAGAAACTGAGTTAAAAGTTGCCACGGCACTAAACATACCTGATGGGGGATAGTATTGCAACAGGCGCAAGAACTTAACCTGAATCCATGGACATGGTACGCGGTAGTAGAGGTAGTCCGGAGCGATATCGTTGTCAACCACAATCCGCTTCAATCGCTGCGCAGCCTTGACATAACAGCCTTTGTATTCCTCTGGCAAGTCCTGAGCTAGCGCCATGACCAAAGAGGTGACAGAGAGCGTAACTCCCATATCAGGGTCATCCATGATCGATATGATTCTTTCGGCCCATTCGTTTCGCACGATACCGGGGTATTTGCGGTACAACCGAAGCAGCGTTAAAGCGGCCTTCTTTTTGACGAAAGCTTTAGAGGTACTGAAAAATGTCAGAATAATCGTAAACAAAAACAAAGAACGTCCCAAACTCACGGTGAGATGAGCAGCCTGTGAACCTCCGAGCCAAGCGCTTCTCCAAGCTCTTTACCACCGACATTAGCCACAGCATGCAGGGCCAAGCAGTTATTCAATTCATTATGATCGAGCAGATCCTTCCGAATACTGTTGACAACCAAATGAAGCAGCTCGTGCTCTTCATGCAAGAACAACGTGACAGCCAAGTATCCGATCTGCTTCTCAGAGTACTTAGGCGAAGAGATCAAGTTAACAGCCTCGAGATGGCCGAAGTCCACATCATAACCCTGAATGTAGACATAGAGCAATTTGCAAACGTATTTCTTCTTCTGGTAACCATTAAGATTGCCAGACTTAAACTTCTGCCGAATATTGGCGAGCTCCTTATTGACACGCTTCTCCTCGAGTTCTCTAGCGCGTGCATTTCGCAAATCAGCAATGAACTGCACAAGCCCTCGCATAGACGACATAGCGACGGTAGCAGTGTAGTGTGTTTATCAGCCCACGGACCGAAAAAAAAAATTGACGACTATGGTATGGCGGGGGTTTCGATCGAGGTGCGCCCTCGCATGCCACGCGGGATTATCACCTCAGGGGGTTCGCGATCGGACGCACAACGTCACACAAACATGTCCCGGTTATGCTGGTGTGTCGATTATGGGGCATTGGCCATGCAGCGTGTCGGGTGATAGATTTCCGGATTCGTGGAAGCTCCTTAGAAAACAGGGGGTTGGGTGTGGTGTGAGGGAGTTGAATTCTGGGAGCTTGTCAGCAGTGGTTGGTTGGTGTGGGCCGGAGGTATCCGATTGAACCGCGACAACATACAGAATAGCGCCCAGTTTAGAGATCCCAGGATAAATAGGCCGAGAAGCACGCGAAGTCGAGATGAGTCCATCCCCGTAACTTGTCCGCTCCGTATTTCCTTTGGGTCACTTCCGCTGTCGATCAGCACGGGTTCCGCTGTGGCGGTATGTGGCGGCGGAGGAATACTGATCCGATGTGGCGGTGCAAGTGTAAGTAGTTGTTGTCTTATTTTTGTTAGTCTACAAAACTATTATCTCAACATACTGATTCCATGTGCAAAATACATAGTAAAAACACTCGGCAAAGGACTTGGCTTATAATTGTTTTAATATTGCCCAGATCTGCATCTTCTCATTGCAAACAAGCTTTTGAGGCTCGACACGTTGTACCAAGTCTATTTTAAGAAGTATGTATATTCCCGTTTCAAAGTCACCCAAGTCCATTTCGATAGCTTTTAGCGCGTTGAACAAACACAATTGTTCGTTTTCTTTTGGTATTTATATATATTGCAGTGAAAATTAGATATTATTAAAGTTCTCAATTTCATATCTCATTCAGTAGTTATTGATAACCCTAAGCAACCTCAACCAGTAAAAATGCCCAAGCCCAAGACGCCGCCACCCCATCAAGGCGGGGATGAAAAAATGCAATTATCAATGACAGAGAAACCCATCAACGCAAAAGATACAAGTGAATCGAGTCACTTAAGCACTGCCAGTGAAGTCAACCTCAAGGGCGGAATCAACAGCAGCAGCCTTCTCACAGGTACAAGAAGCTAAAGTCATAGTTAGCAGGGCATTCAAAACCACAAATCACATCTGTAGAAAGGAAACTAAAACTTACCCTGAGGACGGCTGCCACAGGCACAGGTCTCACCAGCGATAGTCTGGTTCTCAGTGACGGAGCGCTCACAGGTGCATTGACCAGCTGGGCGAGAGCCTATTTGGAATATGTTAGTATATATGTATCTTCCAAATTATCAAGAAGAGTGGAATCACATACGGCATGAGCAGCGAGGACCCGAAACGGCGTTCTCGGAGGAAGCCTTGTTGCAGCTGCAGTGGAGGGCGCTCTGCTGGCCGCAGGAGCACTTGGCCTGGGCGGCACAGACGCAGGAGCCGTCTTGAGTGGTCTTGCAGCAGGTGGTAGTGGGGAGGACCATTTTGGCGGGTTGATGTGATATGACGTCGGTTTTTGAAGATTGAGAAATGATGTTGATAAAGGCGAGGGATTTGTGAGTGTGCAAGATTGAAGGATGAAAGATGTAGAAATGAGATTGTTTTTGAATCAAGATGAGAGTGTCTGAGAGAAAGAAAATAATATACTGCTTCTACGAGTTCCTTTATACTGTTCTGCATGAGTCGAGGGCGAGTGGTGATTATCAATAGATGGGCTTTGATTGGCTGGGAGAGGTGGTGTCACGTGGTACGGTGTTCTGTTTCGGTGGACGTTGATTGGCCCATAGCGGAGACAAGCAAATACATGCCTCTTGAGTGGCTGGATGATCTGGGCTCACAGTGGATGTGTTGATAGAAAAATTTGATTACCTTTGTCTTGCTTCTGATTCGATGGATTGGATTTGGATGACCTATGTTGGTGGGTTGTACTTGCAAGGTTTGTGTTGGGAGGTTTTATAGGGTTTATAGGGTATGCAAGCAAGGGAACTATTGGTTAGTCGCAGCGGGCCCCGGGGAGCTATGACCTTATATAATGAGTCGAAGTACGGAGTATGGAATATAGAATCTGTTATTGGATGTTTATGGTGGCATAAAAGTATGAAAGTAGATGAAAGTAGAGAAATGTCAAGGACAACTTGGTTTATTTGGTTCAAGTGAATTGTAGATGTGATGGTCTGTCTACTTCTAAACACAGTAGCATCTCTATACCATTTCGACCTTTCATCCCGAGGCTTGAGATCAGAAACAATTAAACTTAGACAAACTGCTTCCCAAACAATGGTCGCCAGTTTCCAGACCAGACCAGACCAAAAGAAACACGACAAAAATGGGAACAATGCGGTGTAATCAAACGAAACATGTAGATGCAGGCAAGGAAAAGGGTTCAAAAAGATAGTTGATAACACAGGATACAGAAAAAAACCCAGAAAGAAAAACCAGAAACCTGAAATCAGAAATGATGAACGCTATGAGAATGATTAATGATTAATACTCGCTGATGTAGATCGCGGATCCTTGGTTAACCCAGCTAACCAGTTAACCAGAAGGCGGAGGGAGATGAGATGGAGAAGATGGAGAAGATGTGGAAAGCAAAACGAGGATGTCGTATAGCAGACAAGTGGCAGCCGGTTATTTTTTAAAGCCCACTGTCTTGATCCCCTCACTGCTGAATATAGTTGGGGTAGTTGTAAGATGGCTCCGAAGTTGGGAGACTCAGAGTCGATGTATTTGCTTGTGTGTAGGGAATTGGTGTGCCCATCGGGCCTGCGGTGGCGTCGTAGGAATAAGGCCGATAATCTTGTGCTGCCGAGACTGGCAGGTTCTGCATCGTGGCCATGGGTCGGCCTTGGGTTGGTAGTTGAGAGCCCATTCCAAGATTGTAGCTTTGTTGTTGGGGCCCTGTATGAAAACAAATTTGTTAGAAACTCGGTTGGAGAACGTCGATCAAAGGATCGAAGACTAACCTAGAGTGTTCATGTCATAGGTAATATGTGAACCTTGAGTGTCTGTCGGCGACACCGAGCCCTCGAACGATTGATGTTGATCATAGGGTCCCATACCTGGATGACGAGGCATAGCGTATTCCATGGGTCGTCTCATATACGGGAGACCTGGCTGATTTGGCTGCGGTCCTGCGAAGCGATTTTGCATAGGATACCCCGCATATGGTGACGGATGGGCCGATGCATCGGACAAGCTGCTTGATCTGGTGACTGGGTAATCGTTGCGGATGGTTCTATGTAAATCGGACATGGAGGAAGACGCAGCAGGACGGAACATCATATTTGACTGAGACAGGCTGTCATTTCGTCCAGTCGAGGACATGTAGGTTCCTGCTGTGGATGCAGAGCTGAGAGGGGAGACGAGATACTCGTCTTCATTTGGTCGGGTGTAGCAATCGGTACGCAGTGTTCTCAAAGCCCCGAAATCTGGATTTGGAACGCCGTAGCCTTGTGGAGATGCCACTGGCGTGACACCTGACTGTTTGCCCTCGAAGGGCGTGCGGAGAACTTTTGTGGTATCGAAATCGTCAGGAAGGGCCCGAGATTTGAGCATTCTCTCCCGATCATTCGTAGTGAGACGCTTGAGCTTCGCTCGCCTAACAGTACATCCCGCGTTAGCCAAGGACAGACGATTCAACAAGTTGAACACCCTACCTATTTTGGAACCAGACTTGCACTTGACGCGGGGTCAACCCAGGGATTTCCCTCGACAGACGTTCTCGATGAGCCGCATCGGGATGTGCCTGGCGAGTGAACTCACTCATCAGAAAGCGGGTTTGGTTATGTGTTAAACTATACTTCTGTCAGCAACAATGCGACGTACTTCGATGACAAAATCCCGTACCGAAAACGCTTCATCTTCTTCTTTTCCATCGAAGGCGATCTATTGTCATCGCTACCCATCATGTCCTTATCGTCATCAGGACTGATTGTCGATTCTCTCTCGTGGTCGTCTCTCGGGTCATGCGGGCCAGAAAACGATGAAGCACCCGTTTCTTCAGGATGACCACCATGCCCGACCAGGGGTTGAACGGTCGAGAAGCCCCGCTGATTCAGACTCGGGATCTCCAACTTAACACGCGGAAGCATATCTTGTTTCGCCGCCTCCAACCGGTGGTTGACCGTATCCCGTGAAACATCTCTCTCCAAGTACGGCGCTGAACCCATGCTGACGGGTTGTGCCACCGGGTTATTTAAGGCGTTCTCAGCCTTGTAACCAGTCGGCTGCATCTCAACAGGACGAACTGGAGCGTGCACAGGAACAGGAACGCCGGGCTCCTCTTTCTTCTGCACAGATAACCGCGGTGAGATAGTCCTGGGCCCGAAAGAGTGTCTCTCGCTGTTTCGAGCTGATAGATGAGATGTAACTGCAGATAGGGGCGAAGGAACAGGCGAAGATAATGAAGGCAACCAAAGGCAAGGCCCGCCGACTGACATGGTAAGGTTCTAGTTTGCGTATGTGTGTGTATATATGTTTGTGTGTTGCCCTTACCCACGATAGTTCAAAGACAAACTCAAGTTCTCTTTTGAAAAGGGAAAAGAAGTAGAACCAGGACTTTCGTCAACAGAAGCAATAGGAGAAATTCTAGCCCAAAAAGGAAACGGTAGTCTCCCCCCGATATGAGACGTTGGTGGGTCTGATCGAAGTGCCGTTAAAAAAAAAGGGTCAGGGTTTCTTCTGCAATTAAAGTAAAGGGTGAAGCTGCTTTGTTCCAAACTTTAGAGAAAATAAGAAAGGGGATTAAAGGCGCCAAAAAGCATGCGTGTCAGGTGAAGAGGAACCGGTGTGTTTTCCAGAAGAGGAGAAAAGAGGAAAAAACAAGGCCCAAACGAGAGTAAGACGTCAAGCGGGACAACTGTTTCCAGCCTTTATTATTCTCTTTTTTTTGTCTCTGGATCTGAGATCGGTTCCGATTGATTCTGATGATCGTTACGCAGCTGGGCAGTAGCTATAAGGTGTTGAGAGAGAAGCATCCACCAAAGTGAAAATGTGGTACCTGGGACACACACAGCGCCGCTAAGCTAGGATCGACCGGAGATAACCTGTGAGGCAAATATGTCTTAATAGCCAAGCGAGGTAACGGTGGGCATACAGGGATATTAAACGGAATGGCCCCAGGATCCACCATTTTAGCCACCCAAACAATCCCATGTATAACATATACAACTTAGAATATAATAACTAGTATAATCAGCTTAGTTCTAACCTACGTAGATGAAAATATTTGAGTCCAAAAGGAAGAAAAACCAAGTCCCAATACAGGCTGTTCAGCTAAATCAATTCTCAGAGGGTGGGCCTGAGGGGTATGAGACTATGATGTTGTACATGTACAGTGTAGAAAGTCCAACAGAACATAGACTCAGCGAGTCCACACTCGAGTCCACAGATCAACACTCGATCTATTTACCTGGGTGAAGATCCTATACTAAACGGTCCATAGCGGCAGCCGTTAACCTCGTTGGTAAAACATCAGGTTACAGATGGTATATATGGTATGGAACGATACAGATAGCTAGTATTAGTATCAGAAACTAAAAGGATCGTCTCGGAGAATAAAATCGTAGCCTCCGATCCAATGCCCGTATCCGGCCTAAAGCTCTTTTACCCATAAGGCGTCCCTGGATACGAAGTGACAGGTACAGAAGTTTCTAACAGAATACGGGGTAAGAGAAAAGATAGGATCTGTACACAGAACAAGTCTCTATTATCATCATGGTCACGGCCGAATGTTCAGGGTGTATGAATGGGAATGTGGGAATCGTATGGTGTGTCTAAGCTGAAAGGCTGGGAACCACCACGTCAATTCAGCTGAAGCTTAGACGGTAAAGGGGACAAATGGGTCCTGCGGGACCCGAGGCCCGGAGGGAAAATAAAGGAAGAAAAAGGAGAGAGACAATGCTCTACTTTTATGTCTTTTATTTTTTTATGTTGTATATACTGAATAACGTGGAAATCGACCGTGGATTGTACCTCGGTTCTGTATGTTGTAGACAGATGAGAGGAAGAGAAAAATGAAAGAAAAAGAAAAAAAGAAAAAGAAAATCCTGATTCCCGGGACGCCAACGGTTACAGATGTAAGACCCAGGCCATGTGGAAAGGACCAGTCGACTGTGCTAGTGGCGTGCTAAGGATCCATAAGCGGACACACTGAGCCGCCGGACCCTCGGGGCTATCGATCAAAGGAATAGCCACTCAGCGGGCTGCCCGCCACATCTCCATCGTGAATGGATGCTTCGGAAAGAAGCGAAGCAGGTGTCGAGACCGGGTGGAGATATTACCCACTGAAATGACTTGGAAAAATAAGAAAGGGAAATAATATATAAAAGGGACAAAACGTATATTAAATAAAAGTACATATATATATGCCGAACCAAACGAACCAATATAGAGGGCTACATTAGCAATATTTGAAACTTGAGAAAGGGCTCCAATTTATCGGAGCTAAATAGCGTTTGTAGAGCCTCGTCCGAGGGAAATTCCGATAGTTCCATCGATTTAGAGAGGCGTTAACTTCTTCAGGAAAGACCACCAAGCGGACCTTGCGCAATGAAAATCGGGAACTAATTAGATACCTAGCAAAGGGGTTGTTTAGCGAGGAATATACCCATGGCTCGGTAGTTGTAAGGGGAGAGACAGCTCCCCTGGAAATCTCCACAATCGATATGAAACAATTCGAGTCGCAGGTGAAATGAGGCGTTAACGGTACGGAGTACGGAGTACTAGAAATAATAATATTTTCATTAAAGATCCATGTGGGTCAGAAAGTACTCTGACGAAGAGCATCGGGTATTTCGGATATGGATGGGATTAATAGGACTTGGTTATAGTTATAGGTTGTCTGTTTTCTTACATATGTAGATAGAATCCCATACATGTATACAAAGTATACAACATACACAAATTATACAAAACGGCTTATGGTTTCCACCCAGGTGGATCTCGGAGGAGAAAACTCGGAGCCGTTGGATTTCGATCCCGCACACCACGGCCGAAATGACGATCTCTAGGCCTTGTTTTTCTGTTTTACTGTTTCGTGGACCCTGAAGATGAAATAAAAAATTAAAACTAAATCAGGATCACACCGTTGCAACGTATGATGTACGTTGTCCTTGTAATCTCCCTGGAACGTGCTGTGCGGGGAAACCAGATCGAGAGTATCATTTTACTTTATCTCTCTATACTGTATGTACTACTTTGTATGTGTCTATACACCACATGGCAGTATATTGTAGTATCAAGCCACGTACAGGGTACACATGTATGTATACATATACTTTGTATACTGTATACTGTACTATACCCTACAGGTAATAAGTATTCCTATTTATCCATCGGACTTTAGAATATTAAGTGGGTGACGCAAGCCGATCTCTTGGCGGAATGGAGGCCCTCTCCCCTTGCGAGGATTTAATCTAGATAGTAATTTCTGGCTTAAGTCGTAATATAAAGTACGGAGTACATACGGAGTAGAGAAGAGAAAGTAGAGAATAGAGAACGTAGTAGACAGGTGTCTCTTCAGAAGACGTATACATTGTAGATGTAGATGTATACATGTACATTCCCCGATCTAGAAAGTTGAATGTCAAGTTTTTGCCTAAAAAGGAAAAGGGTGTGGGTCACAGTAATCCGAGTAGTTAAAAAAAAAAAAAAGAACTCGCTTCCACGGATTTTATCTGACATCTCAAAAGGATATCGGTACATCCATACTCCGTCCTCCGTAGAATATCAATAATACCTACCTAGCTACTCCACACATGGCCAGTGCATCAGATCGGACCACATGGCTACCGTTATACCTCCTTCCATCTCTTGTATAGCGGGTGTCCACTAATGGGGACAAAACTCGGCGCTTGTGTCGATAGTGGCCCAGACTGTTGAACTTCCCATGTGGTTTTTTATTCTTTTTGTTTACTTAGTGTGGTGGACACTGTTTGTATAGTCTTACCTGGTGCATCGATCCCCAGACGATCAGTGCGCGATTTTCTGGCTTCGCTTGCTCTTCTCGAACCCTATTTTGCTATATTGTACTATATCATCACGAACTACTCCATCGAAAGGATTCTTCTCTGAGCTTACGAAAAAAGGGGGCCAAACCAAGTGGACAGGGAAAAAAAAAAGTGCCCACTTCTGCAACTAATGGTTCAATGGGAATTCTTGTCATCTCGTGTACTCCGTACTCCTAGAGACTCCATATTCTCTCCTTTTTTTTGATTGATTTCGTCGTTTCCAATGAAGTCGCTTAATCTTACTGCCTAATCAAAAACCACATGTGCACTTAATCTTACCCCCTAGTTTCTCAGAGAAGAAAAAATTTAAAAAAATCGAAGTGAAACATGGCTGTGACGCCAACCGCGCCACTTACGAGAAATTAGTTCTGGCGAACACGGACAGAACGTGATTATTATTCTTTTTCCACTTTAACCACGGAGTACTTCATGCAGGAACCCTTTCAAGTCATTTGTATTAGAGTTGGCGATCAGCTAAAGAATTGTGGTCTCCACGTTAGCTAATTCATTGTCTTTAGTCTCCATTGCCAGGTATGAACTCTCATTCTGTCAGTGACCCGCTTCCCGTAAAATGCTGGATTTGGTTCAGTCGTGCCCGCAATCGGCCAATGGGCTTAACTGGTTTGTTTGTTTTTGGTTTCGGTTTAACATCATTGTCCGATTCTGCTCCGAAAAAGCTGGACCGATGGCGACCCTGAAGAGAAGCGGGTTCTTGAAAAAGAAAAAAAAAGAAGAAAAAAAGAAGAAAAAAAGAAGCTCGTGAAATGACCCCAAATTAGGGCAGATAAATGTTTAACTCTGCCTGCAGGGATGACCCAGGACGCACTCTGGTATTCGTATTCGAAAAAAAACCCGAGTGCTGAACCATACCAGCAGATGTGTGGCAGATAATGCAGGTGCACGGATGTGGTAATCTCGCTCCCAGATCACAGCACCAACGGCGTCGTGATATTGATACAGGAAATACTGCAAGTTGCCTGGATAATCTGGATGTGGTTGGTCGCGGCGTGCCTGCGCCAGACGGTGCCCATTGGAGGATTTTCTCCGGACAAAAGGGGGTCAAAGCCATTGAGTATCCAACAGAATATCCTCAAGCCACAATCTGGCTTTACGTGGCAGAGTCCTCTTTCGAGGCGCTATCGGCGGCAAGGGCCTCTTCGTTGTTGTCATCGGTGTTTGGGTCCTGTTCTTCGCTGATGACATCTTTGTTTTCGATTTGCATTTCCTTATCATCTGTGTCCTTGGGCAGATCCTGGAGGTCATGAGTACTCTCAGATCGGCCAGGAGCTGTCTCGACTTTGCCCTCAACAGGCTCTTCGGATTCAGCAGCCTCACTCGCTCCAGCGGGCTCTTTGGTTTCGACAGTCAGGTCCTGGGGTCCATCGAGGGACTGGGAGATATCCTTGGTATCACCAGAGGAACTGAGCTCATTGTTATCCTCAGTCGCCGTAGCACTCTCGAACAAGACCTGTAGGTTGTTGCCCTCTCCTATTTTGTCGAATGCAGCGAGCTTTCCTTTCGCAGCAAGACGTAAGATTCGCCAGGACTTGCTGGCTTTAGCGCCCTCGGCAATCGCCTTGTCCTCGTCGGTCATCGCCATATCGATGTCCATTTCATCATCCATGATGCCCTTCAAGAACGAGTCCGCGGAAGGAACGCTGTATCGGTCAGATTCCTTGAGACGCTCAATATTGGCCAGCGCCTCGGTGTCGGCAAGGAACTTCAAATCGAGAGAGCCCATCGGGGACGGACGAAGGCGTTTGTTGGCATACGCTTTGGTAGCATGGTCGCGGGAAGTCGTATACTCCGCTGCCGAGATGGCCGGTCGTTCAATCAATGGACAGCCCTCGGCTTTCCACCGCACCCAGTTCTTGTCTCGAGACAAGACCGTGTCCACCATGCGATAGTAGAACTTGCCCCCGGGCCCTTGTTGCAGATACCCCTCGATGCCTTTTCGCATGCTGGTCGCCCACTTGGTATCCTCCTCGTTCAAAGTGAAACCGTAGAGAACGGATTTATTCGTCGTATTGGTCAGACGTGATTTGGACTTTGATGTGAGAGAAAGCACAAAGTCGAGCAGGATAAGAGCCTGGACAAGAACATGTCGTCGGAAGGCAGTATCGCTGATTTCGAGGTCAAACAAATCCCGGCTGGTTAAGTACTTCGGGTTGAAGCTAGTGGCGACTTCAGTACCGTCCGCGATGCGTTTGCGCTTGTTCGACTTGCGGGCATCTTCTGAGGCTCGGGCAGAGCTCTCGTTTTCCATCTCAGTATTGATGTTCTTGAACGCAGCCAGCGTAGCTTCCATTCCAGTCTTGAATGATGTAAACCGTTCAGCGTCGAACATCTTGCTCGGTGCGGAGAAATAGGCCTGAAGGCTCCAGAAGAGCGGATAGAGCGCATTCAAGTCGACATTATCTGGTTTCTTCTCATCACCAGTAGAAACAACAACCTTGGGCACTTTCGAGGTCTCAGCCTGGCCCGCCGCTGCCTCTCCGGCTGCCGTGGGTTCAACCCCTTCAGTCATTGTTGTGTCCTGCTCCTGCTTCTCGGTAGACTCTTTCGCAATTTCGTCAAAAGTCGTAACATTCTCAGAGTGGAACTCGCCGCGAAGGTTAACCGAACTCTTGTCTCCAAGTGGGAAACTCTGGAAGAGATAGATAAACACCCGGCCGCAAAACACTGTATCTTCTGCGCGCGAGAGCCGACGAAGAAGCTCGTTGCATGATCGTAGAATAACTAAGCTTTTCTGTTTGAAATGTTTCTTTTGCGGGGTTAGCTTTACGACAGATCCAACAGATGGGGGGCCATGCTGACCTTGGTATTCCTTTCCCTTCGGGACTCTAAGTAGTCGAACACGTTGCGGCAACCATCAATGGTTTGACTATCCAATAGCTCTTCAATGAGCCAGAAAATCAGACCGGGTTCGCATTGTTCTGGTGGTTGTTAGAGCGGTATGGAGTGCGGAGGAAGCGCGGAGACTGACCATTATCAGAAAAGATCGAGACGATGTCAAGGAGGTTCCAGATTTGAATGAAAGCAGGGTCATCGATGGAAGTCGAGGCCTATGACAAACTGTTAACAATGTCCTGGGGACTAGAGCTTTGTACGGGCCGTACCAAAACGCGATAGAACTTCTCGCGAAACGCGATTTCCACTGCCGCAAGCTTGGTCTGTGGGCTCAAGTGCTTTGTAGCCTTGTCATCCTCAGACGGCACTTGCCATATCGATTCGCCCAGGTGTGTTTCGGTCAAAGGGGGTTCGATCTGCTTGTCGGGCTTGACCTGCGTGGCGCGATCCAGGAGACTGTCCACTAGCCTTTTGTAGACCTGGACACCGGCAACGTCCTCGTTCGCCATTTTTCCGAGGCGTCTACCCAGGAACCTTTGTAAGGGACCCTTGAGGGGTTGTCTCAAAGTGTCGTCTCGGAGTATCGTCTCAAGCGTGTTCGTAAGCGCCTTGGACTTTTTTTTTTTATTGCGCTCTTCAGCTTCTTCTCAAGGGTCTCCTCAATCGCCCTTATAAGACTGGTGACAAGAGGAAGAAGAAAGTTTAGATGGGTGTGGGAAGGAGGGAAACAAAGTGGTCGGATTGATTGAGGACTGCGGCTCGGCGGAACTCAAAGCCAAGACTTTTTGAAAAGCTCCCCCAGCTTCACCGATGCAGATGTTTCCGACTGCGCCAATCCACCCCTCCTTGACCAACCCCAATTTATTAGGTTAAGGAAACTATTGACTCCTGCGATGGCGCAGAGTCTCGAATCCAGGCCTACAGTGGTGGACTTTCGTGAAGAAAGCCCGTGGGTGCAGCTAGCCAAGGCCCACTGGCTGAACACGAAGGTCCGTAAGGCCAAACCAGATGTCATCAAGAAGCAATTGTGGGATCCTTTGGAAGCAGAGGCTTTCAACAGTCGCTCGCTATTGATCCTCGAGAACTTGAACATTCTTGAGAAGTACGTTTTCTCTAGTCATGCCTACAGGGCTAACGCTAACTGTTCTTCAGGTTCCTTTGGCCGACTTACACAGAGGATGCATCGAATCATCATGTACTGTTGATTGCATTGATCGTCAGCGTGAAGCATCGCGAACACTTACCGATATGGGGTGAGTCAATGCGACGGGATTATAACGCGACGAAGCTGACATTCGCAGATATCTTCTCCGACCGTGCCGATGACTTCTCCAATCTCTTCCACCGTATTCTCTCCATGAGCATTGATCATTCAATTCCGACTCACTCTCGACTCTCTATCATATCGTTTATTATTAGCGCCTTCCAGTCGCTCGAGAACGTCCTGATCCGCAAAGAATGCGCGCCCCTCGTTTCTATCTCAGTCTGGCACAATCTGGCCAGTGAGGAGACTAGAGATCGTATTATTGCAAAGGCCCCGACACTGAAAAAGGCATGGAGAGCCTCTGCGAAGCGATACGAGGCCGGAGATGAAGCGGCGAAAGCAAAGATGCGTTTCGAACGTTCATGGCTATACACAATGCTCTTGGATTTCCTTCATAGGTTGAACGGACCCGAAAAGGACCAGGTTGAGAACTTGCTATACTGTGAACGTTTCCTTGAGCTCTTGGTTGATCTCGAAAGTCAGCTTCCTACTAGGCGCTACGTGAATACGTTGTTGAAGGACCTCAACCTTCTGTCGGTTATTCGCCTTTCACAGCTCTACCGTGTGCCTGATAACGCCCTTCTCCGCGACTTCCACAGCCTTCTCAAGCATTTTGTTGAATTTGCAATTGATGATTACTCTGGCGAGGCTCTTTCTCCGCAGGGAGTTTACGACCTCCATTGCCAGGAATTGGCCCAGCTGCAAAGAACCTCAATGAAGTTCTTCAAAGACAAGCTCACGATTCTCGCTCTATCCAATATGGGGTCAATTGCGCAGCGAGCGGATCTAGAGGGACAACTATCTTCTCTAGACGAGTCAGAACTCCAGAGCCTTTGCTCTCACCTAGGATTCCGCACAAGCTACCCAAAATCCTCGCACGTCACTCCAGACCGTCAGTTCTACCTGGAAGTTTTGGCATCTTCTTATGAACGCAAGGTGCCCTTCCAAGAAGCTGTCGAGAATTTGAGTCCACTTCCGACGGAAGAAACCCTCTACGACCCGGCCTTGTTGAGGAATGAGACATACGACGGATCCAGGCCTCTGGCAATCCCAAAGTTGAATCTCCAGTATCTGAGTCTCGGAGATTTCCTTTGGCGCTCCTTCCTTCTCTACCGATCAGAAGCATTCTTCCAAATCCGCAAGGACATGGAATCCCTCGTTAAACGCATGCAGCCAAAGGTAACACGTGATGGAGGCTTAAACTTTGAGGGATTCTCTCGAATGGCTATTCCAATTTCAAAGCCTGCTATCATTGATGTCGCGCCACCAAAGGTCGGGGCAACAAACCCGGCTTTTGTTCGAGCCGAGATCGCGATAGAGGTGGGAAGGCTTGCAGATAATGTTAGGAGAGAATGGGACTCACTCCGTCCCGATGATGTTGTCTATCTTTTGGCAGTCCAGTCCAGCTCGTCACAGTCGGAACAAGGTGCATCTGAGGCCCCTCGGATGACCCATCTTCGAACGGCCGAGATCGTACAAGTACTTGACGAGCAAGGCCGCGCACTGCGACAATATCCTGGCCAGACAAATGGCTCTCAGTCCAGGGCACGATCGAGGAGATTGATCGTCAACTTGGATGCGGCTGCATTCAAAGCCGACAAGGACCAGCAGGCCCACGGCAAACCGGACATTTACCCCCTCATCAACGTGGTTGCACGGAGAAAGGGCAGGGAGAATAACTTCAAGTCAATTCTGCAGACGATGCAAAAGCTCATTGTCTCTGATATGACTCTTCCTTCCTGGCTCCAGGACATCTTCCTAGGCTATGGAGATCCCGCTAGTGCTCGATACACACAACTGCCAAATCGACTTAACACTGTCGACTTCCGAGACACCCTTTTGGACTGGGCTCATTTGGTGGAAAGCTTCCCGGGCATTGAACCTTCGGGGGCTGAGAATGCCAGCTTTGGCCCGCCCTACGTTCTCGAATATCTTAAACAAGAGCCTGCAGCAAAGCCTCACGCACCGAAGAAGCGACGCCGGGAACAAACTGCAGAGACAGAGTTGGCGGCTAGCAGTATGCGTGTTTCCACATACAAGCCACCAAACCCTGGCCCCTACCCCGTCGACACTCCCAAATTGAACAAAATCCGGTTCACACCCGCCCAAGTGGAAGCCATCGCATCTGGAACACAGCCTGGACTCACCGTCATCGTGGGACCGCCTGGTACTGGAAAGACTGATGTCACCACCCAAATCATTAACAACATTTACCACAACTTCCCCAATGAACGGACGCTACTCATCGCACACAGCAACCAAGCCCTCAATCAATTATTCCAAAAAATCATTGCCCTTGATATTGATGAACGGCACTTGTTGCGACTGGGTCACGGCGAGGAAGAATTGGACACTGATTCCAACTACAGCAAGTATGGACGAGTCGAATCTTTCCTTGACAACCGCAATCACTATTTGTCAGAAGTGATGCGCTTGGCAGCATCAATTGGGGTCGAGGGTGCGCATGGAAATTCGTGCGAGACTGCAGGCTACTTCAATACAGTTTACGTGCAGCCAACATGGGCCAAATTCTGGGATCGAGCCAATTCTGAAGGAACCTCAAATGAAGAGATTGTCGCATCCTTCCCGTTCCAGTCATACTTTGCAGATGCTCCCCAGCCACTATTCGAAGTTGAAGCCGCGAAGGAGGCTATCATCGATACTGCTGCAGGTTGCGAACGCCACATTGCTCGAATCTTCTCTGAGTTGGAAGACATCCGGCCTTTCGAGATCTTGAGACAACCTCGCGATAAAGCGAACTATCTCCTCATAAAGGAGGCCCGAATTATCGCGATGACCTCGACTCACGCAGCTATGCGCCGGCAAGAAATTGCCGATCTAGGCTTCCACTACGACAACGTGGTCATGGAAGAAGCCGCGCAAATTACTGAAGTTGAGAGTTTCATTCCCAACGCCCTGCAAAACATGAAGAACGGCGAACTTCCTCTCAAGCGTGTTGTTCTCTGTGGCGATCACCACCAGAACTCACCCATCATTCAGAACATGGCTTTCCGTCAATATGCCCATTTCGAACAAAGTCTCTTCTTGCGACTGGCGAGGTTGGGTGTCCCAGTGATCAATTTGGATAAGCAGGGACGCGCACGACCTAGCATTGCAGAGCTCTTCCGCTGGCGGTACAAGGAACTCGGAGATCTTCCAGTGGTTGAAACTGCTCCCGAATACCAGCAGGCCAATGCCGGTTTCCAGTTCGACTACCAGTTCATCAATGTCCCCGACTACCAGGGTTCTGGAGAGCGAGAGCCGACACCTCACTTTATCCAGAACTTGGGCGAAGCGGAGTACGCAGTGGCCATGTATCAGTACATGCGACTCTTGGGCTACCCTGCTGCTACAATCTCGATCTTAGCCACATATGCTGGGCAAACAGCTTTGATCCGGGATGTATTGAGTCACCGTTGTGGAAAGAACCCCATGTTTGGAATGCCCAAGATCGTGACGACGGTGGATCGCTACCAGGGAGAGCAGAATGATTGTGAGTAGTTGACTTCCTCCCAAGGCGTATTTTCATCACTCAGAATATCGGAATTGCTAACATTTTTCTAGACGTGATCCTTTCTCTCACCCGAACCCGCAGCGTCGGATACCTGCGCGACGTCCGCCGTCTGACTGTAGCTCTCTCCCGCGCACGACTTGGCCTGTATATCCTCGGCCGACGGGAAGTCTTCGAATCGTGCTACGAACTCAAGCCCGCATTCGACCTTCTTCTGCAACGACCGGATAAGCTCATGCTCGCGCCTGGCGAGATGTTCCCGTCGTCGCGGGAAGCTAATGCCGCTATTGAGGGCACGCCGATGGAGAGTGTTGAGCACCTTGGACAGTATGTGTTTGAGATGACGCAGGCCAAGGTTAAGGCTATGGGTGATGGAGATATCACCATTGAGGATGCGGCGCCGGCTGGCGAAGATGACTATGTGGATGAGGATGAGGCTATGGGGGCTGATGATGGGGATGAAGATATTGTATGAACTATTTCGCGAGTTAAACGGTTACAGCAGCACTCAATACAGGAATTTGTTGGGGCCACTCCACGTTTTCTGCTTCTTCGTACTCGGGGACTCTTGAATGAGTAGTTCATTTTACAGATTAAATTGGTTATCTACTACATAGTAGAAATGAACTCGCGTCAAATGTCTGGTCTCAGGCAGAGTTTGGTATCATTTGGGGATATGAACAAACTCGTTAGGTTCTATAATCGGTCTTCTCTGACGACTCTGGTTTGCTGCTGCAATGTCGACTGGTCTCTTCTTCGGGCGTCTTTCTCAATGACTTGAAGTAGATGTGAGACTTGTTCGACCAAAACGCTCCGGTTTCATCGATCGTAATACCCAATTTCGTTCTCATTGGTCCTTGTGCTTGTTCATTTCCTCCACAATGTTATTGGGGTCCTTCCAAGCCTGGGTCACGTACCTAAGCGACATTAGCAGTTTACTTTCGGAAATAGGATGGTGTACACACTTCGTGTGGCTCCCACGGGCGACGACATGTCCGTTGGGGTTTGTGAACTTGATGTTCGTGAAAGCAAGGGTCTTGCCAACTAAGCCCGGCTAGTTAGTGGATGGCCAATATATTAAGCAAAAGAGATGTGATGAAGAAGTCCGGTAGCGTACATTTATCACAAGTCACCTCCTAACATCAAAAGTTAGTACCCGTTTGGTAAAATTGAGAGACCGAGAGGGAAAGATGGAGAAAGACATACGGCCATGATTCGATCACCAACTTTGCCACCTGAGTTCAAGTATGTAACTTGAGAGGATTTTATTAGAAACAAAGAAGTCAGGTGGAATAGCTATTTCATAAACTTACCATTCAGGTCCGTTGACACACCCGTCGAGAACAAGCCGTGAGATGCCACAGCCAACGAGCCTCCTAGGTCAACTAGAGCAGATTTTAGCCAAGTATGACAACTTCCGTGCCACATACAAGGATCTCTTACCCATGCTCGCAATGGTGCCTCCATGGAGGATATTCAGGCGGTTCTAAATAATATAGATGTCAGAGACGACGTTGCGTGTGAGAAGTTGGGTCTTTAAGAAGATTCCTAGAGATGTTTGCCAAAGAGAGTGTAACACAAAGAGACATACTGTATGCTCCTTTTGAATATCCAGCTCAAAGTTGACCACACCGGGCCTGGCAGCTGTAACACGGAGCTATAGTAGAGGTCAGTGATAAGCTCTATGTAACCGTTAGGAAACTGGCTCAGACTCACATTATTCAATAGTCTTTAGTCGAATTGAAGTGAGATGTTAGTTCTTCTCTAATATCTCAAAGGTAGAGGCAAGTTGGGACGAATTCCATACCGAGGCTCCAGACCCGAGGTAGCTCGGAAGGACTCCCACACCTATAGATAGCGATATGCGTTAGTAAGAAGTGAATGATAGGTAGTGGAGGCCTTGATAATTACCGAGCGGACAAATTTAAGAGAAGCCATTTCTTGGAAGTGATATAAATGTCCTGGAGATTGGAATGATATAGGGAGGGTTACCGAGCCCAACATTGTACTTGACCCGGCGACTCGGGAGCACCCCGGAGTTGCACTTTATGGCCGCTTCGGCCACCGTACCAGCGTCATTTCATTCAACCACTTCACGTAGGCACCTTACTCTTCAGTTGATTGAGAACTTGGTTTCTCACAGCTCACTATGGCGAGTGCAACATCCCGTCCTCTGGAGTACCTGGAGGGGCTCCCCGGGACGACTTTTTTATAAGCTATACCAGCAGCCATCCACAGCCCTTGCGATCTTCCGGCGCATGCTGCCCGATCTGGGTACATTGAGCTCACTCATACAGAACAGAATGTTGTGCTAACAATGGATATAGCAAAATGTTTTGTGATGGCTCTACTATACCTCAAAGATCCTCTTCCAACAGCTGATCTGGAAGTTTGGGTCAACTCAGAGAGCAAAAAGTGAGTGGCTTATCTGACGGATCTGGCTCTAGTCATTACTGACAGTGTTCACACAAGGGAACGAGACAATGCGCTTTCAATATTGGGTCGACTTCACATTCTTTCTACAACCCTCACAGGCGAAAATGTCCGCGCGTACATGATCACCAACCCATTCGCTGCTTCGCTTCGACAAGCTCTGACGGGCGCCGAGAACTCTCATTCTTTCGGTGTATTCTCCCAAGCTCCAGAACACACCCTGACCTCGATCGCAGATTTGGACGAATATGCTAGACGACAGTGGGAAGGTGTTATGGGGTACATGGTTGGAACGAGTGCCTTTAGTGGACAGCGCGACGCGGTCAATTTGAGTAAGGGTGTCAAACAACTCCTCCAAGCGGGACACCTAGTTGAGATCCGAGGCAACCGTGTCGACATCACCAAAGACGGGTTCGGATTTGTGCTCCAGGACGTGAACACCCAGGTCTGGCATATCTTGATTCTTTATGTGGAGAGCGCCGAGGCCATCGGCATGGATAGCGTCGAGGTTCTCTCGTTCCTGTTCCTCCTGAGCAGCCTGGAACTCGGATCATCTTATAACAAGAGCCACATGACACCCAACCAACTTCGCACTCTCATGGACCTCGCCGATTTTGGTATTGTCTACCAGGAAGACGCCGACGCGACGCGCTTTTACCCCACCCGTCTCGCAACTACACTTACATCAGACTCGAGCGCTCTGAGCAACCCTGTCACAGGCTCTCTCACTGGGCCAGTGGGGCCGTCTGGTGGCTCTGGCTCCGGGTTCATCATCATCGAAACCAACTACCGACTCTACGCCTACACCTCATCACCCCTACAAATATCCCTCATCTCCCTCTTCACGAACCTCAAATATCGCTTCCCTAATCTGGTCACCGGCAAAATTACCAGACAGTCTGTCCGTCGAGCCATCGAGATGGGAATCACTGCCGATCAAATCATCTCATATCTATTATCGCACGCGCACCCACAGCTGCGGAAACATAGCGCCGCCCAATCCAGCGGCAAGGGTGTTCCGGCATCTGTGCTCCCGCCTACTGTGACAGATCAGATCAGACTGTGGCAGCTGGAGCGGGACCGTCTCCGGGCCACGGCGGGCTTTTTGTTCAAGGATTTCACCAGCTTGACCGAATATCAGGCCCCTTGCCAGTATGCCGCGGAGATTGGTGTGCTGGTTTGGAAGTCAGATCGGAAGCGCATGTTCTTTGTCACAAGGCATGAGCAGGTTGCTGCATTTTTGCGAAGTCAAAAGGTAGGTGGGAAGTAACATAGTTATGCAAGGCATAAGACTTCATTCATTATGAATTTGGAAAAGCAGAAGACAAGATCTTTGGGGTGTTATGGATACTGGAAAGCATGTTACGAAATCACGACCCATGGCCGCTTACACGGCTGTGATATAAAAATTGTACAATAAACAATGAAAGATTACAAGAATAGTCGGCCGCTTATGCGGCCTTGTCAAGTCTTTTTTAGTAGTCTTCTCAGGCAGTCTTTTTAAATGTCTGTTTTTATAGATATTTCCTCCCCCTTCTCAGTTTACTAGCTAGCCGGCAGAAAAAGGCGAGAAAAGACTTGATTTGTGAAATGGACTTTTCTATATATAATCCTTAACTATGATCAAAATAGAGACTACCGCACGCCATATACATCGGATTTTAGGCCGCACGACATAGGAGAAGTAAGTTAGTTCTGGAATTTATATTCAATTACAGACGGACGCCTTCAGGCGAGGGCGGGAAAACCAAAAAAAAAAAAAAAAAAAGAAAGGCCCAGCCGTGATTTGAACACGGGAATCTCCGCATTACACTATGGGGAATGTTAGGATATGGGTCATGTATTTCTTCAAAACAACAACTTACAGTGCGACGCGTTAACCACTGCGCTACTAGGCCGGTTTTGTAGTTCATGGGGCAAGCCAGGGGTTACAGAAATGTATTCTACATAGCTATGCTAAAAAATAAAATAAAAATTGGCAACTAGATGTGACTTGTTCCAATTACAGATGGACGGACGCCTTCACGGGCGGGAAAACCAAAAAGAAAAAAAAAAAAAAGGCCCAGCCGTGATTTGAACACGGGAATCTCCGCATTATATTCTCCACATAACGTAGAACCTACAAGTGCGACGCGTTAACCACTGCGCTACTAGGCCCGTTTTCGTATGACTGAAGTCGAGAATATTAACTACCTTTGGACTACCCGATCCAAACTTTATCTTTTAGTTACTGAGGAAATTGAAAAACTCCAACTCATCTCTTACTGTCCAAGCCATTTCTGCCATGTTCACCAAGGTCCCCCTCATTTTCTAGACAGGGTATTATCAACCTGATATCCGCGGGAAAAAAAATCCTATTCAAATCACCCACATACTTTGCACAATGGCAACAACATCTACAGTGCCACCAGCCACGGATGCCGCCTCTTACATCGACCTCGCTATTACCCTCACCCTTAACAACTGGTCAGCCCTCTCATTAGCTGTGTAATCAAACTGGCGTGGCCCAACCTCTAGCGATAAGCGGGGCTGGCTCTGCGGCGCAATTTCCGATATGCTACGTGATCGACCCGAGACCGACGCTAAAGACCTGGAGGAAGTGCTTGTTACGTGCCAGGTCAATCAACAAGAAAGAGTGCATTCAAACTAGAAAAGCAAAGATGGGGAAGGAGAGAGAGAGCAAGTGGTGAATCCCAGGGATCTTATAGCAGAGCTATCCCACAGTACAAACAACCCCCTTTCCCAATTAGGAATAGTAGCACTTCGAGGAACAAAGGAAATAAAGCAAACAAATGATCTCTGGCATGTGATAACACACAGATCGTGACAGTGCTTATCTAAGTGATAAACGACAAGTTTGACGTCGTAGTAGACGACGAGGGCGCCGCGGACATGATAATAGAGCTTAAGGCCTAGACAGATTACGGCGAGTTCAGCATTATCTAAGAGATGTTAGAAATACACTAGAAGAAGAGCTAGAATTGTTCTGCTACTAGGCAGTTCCAACGGGTTAAGGCTGTGTATATAGATTAGTAGACGGACGTTAAGGAGGATGATAAAGAGATGGGCGAGGCACCTACTTTGGTCCGCGCGTCGCGAGTAAGAGAGAACCAGGGCGTAATGATTTTATAGGATGCGAATAGTATTAGAAAGCGCTTTACGGACGTACCGACTAGCCAAAGGAGGGCAGGGGAAGATCTACACAACAAAAGCAGCGACCAACCCTAGGAGAATCGTAGCTAATCGTTTATAAAAAGGCTTTATTTCTGCGTCCTAGAAGGCTGTATCAGTAGGTATATATATCGTCGTAGCTAAGCCCAACCACTAACATAAAAGTTGCGCCACTCATTATCGCAAACAGTAACAGCGGTAGTGGTAGGAATAGTCGCCACCACACCAGCTCCAAAGTCATCGCGGCAGTAATAGCAGCTATTCCCTAATACGTTGCTAGGAATATACCATGCCACTATACCCATCACGCCGCCGATTATGGTCCCCATAGTTCGACCTACGACCGAGGAAGTGAAGTCCGCCATATAGGTGACCACCGCGGCCTAAAATCCGGTACATACTGCTACCTACGTACCAATCTTCTGCTTAAAGGTCACCCACTCACCACCCCCAACCCTTCTCCGATAACTAACATAAGTATGCCCCCTAACATCATCCGGTAGAAAAACCCTAATATCGGAAACCCTCGCCTCGGCCGGCACTTTTGGCACAAGCAAATCCTCATCCCCAGGCAGAATATGCCCAACAGATGAATTGACACAGACATCACCAGCATAAAAATCCCCCTCTTCAACCCTGATAATCTCCTCCAAAACATCAGCCAAAATCGAACCATTCCACACTCCCTCTCGGTGCGGCGCAGCCCTCAGCGCCCTCACAGCTTGCCGCCGGATCCGCGGAACACGGCACTTAAGAGCTGTGTAGTATACAGGCGGGATGTACCCCATCTCAACCGTGAACCCGTTCCTACCACAGTCCGGTGCCTGCAGGTAGTGATTGATTATGGGGGCTTTTTCGAGGAGTTCTAGTAGAGAAGCTTCCAGGAGCACGTTGATGTCGGACATCGTCTTGAAGTTCTGGAAGATGGCTTTCAGGTCGTCCGGTGCGGTGGCTAGCTTAGAGAGATCTTCTTCGCTGAAGGTTGATGCTGCCCAGCATTTCCATAAATCGAGGAAGCCAGACATTATACTGACGAAGTTCTCGGTATAGGTGTCAAAGATCAGCTCGGATTCGATTTCTTCTGGTGAGAGGCAGACTGAGGCCATTATTGTGGCCATTTCGTGGTGCACCCGTAAGAGAAGGTAGCCGGTTTGGTCCTTTCCCGATATCTTGTTGGTTTCGAGGCGTGCGAGTGAGAGGGTGTATGTTTTACGCCAGAGGGATAGATCTGCAAGGATTACGCTTTGTGTATTGAGCATCTTTTCCTTGATGGTTGGTGTCTGGGATGCGTGGTGGTCGTGGTAATGGCCATTTAGGCAGTGGACTCTGTTCAGGAGGTCGTCTAGGCTGCGTCTTGCTTCTAGGAGGGAGGTGAATGTATAAGGAAGACTGGTGGTCTGCGGGTCTTTTGTTACAAGATACACATGTGAAGGCATGTGGCCGAACATGGCTGATTGAATGCCGAGTCGGACATAGGCGTCGACTAGGGCGTTGTAGGCGAAGTCTTCTTCGGGAGACAGAATTGTCGGCACCATAGATGAGGGAGAACGTGGTGCGGGTATATCGGAGAGGAGCTTCATGCCATATTGGAGATGTGCACTTCCCATCTGATACTGCCCGCGCATATATTCTAGGGTGATAAAGAGCATACACGTAATCAGCGCTACTCGGAGAGAGTAGCTATTGTTGGTTGTATTGGTGCGTAGGTGTTGAATTGCCTTGTTATATTGCTGAAGAGTGAAACACTCTTCGTCGTATTTATTCGGCGCGGTGGCATATCGCTGCTGGAAACGATGCGCAGACGACAAGGCAATGACAGCGTGACGCACAGCGGGTTCCTGTGCGCTAGATTGAAAAATCAAGGTCTCCCAGAAGTCAGATGGAAATAATCCGGCGAACTTCTTTGCGGTTCGTTTGATCATCCAGTCAAAACATAGCTGTTCCTCGTGGCTGAGATTGCCGGCTGGGACCGGTGTGCAGTAGGTTGATAGAGCCCGGTTGCTCTGTGGCTGCCCGTAGGGACTTCCACCTCCTCCCCAGATGCCATACCCGTCGCAGACTCGGCTGGTTGATACACAGCGTCGGCAAGCTGGTCGGCCTTCGTCACATTTGACTCGGCGGATTCTTGATCCAGTTAGGGTGTGATAGAATGAAGATGGGTAAATACTTACTTGCAGGTCTTGCAGCCTGTTTTGGCCTTTTTGCGGGCTAATGGGACGTCCCCGTGCATGTCAGCAGTTGGGAATAAGGGTAGATAATCTTAAGGCTGGCCGGGAATACCTAGGTACCTTCTAACCTGGAAGGTTCCAAGGTCGGTGCAGCTTATCGGAGTTTATCCTTAACTACGCCAATATATGATTGGTGGGCTCGCTTTTGGAGTGTTCTTATTGGCTGAAGACTATTTAAAGACCCACATGTATCTATTTATTATGTAGATGCTGTGAATGACGCCCTTTCTAGTGGATTCTGACTGCGGATAGATTCAATGATATTCGGGGTTAGGATTGAAGAGACTAGCCGTGTGCCAATATAAAAGCCCTGTTGGCACCTACCTGGATATATTTTTCTTTCACTACAATACTCATAATTCTACTTCTACTGTTCACATCTTCTCACTCGGATTCTCTTCGATATCATTCTAGCCATGTCTCTTCCAACTCGATCCCTTGGCCGCAACGGTCCCCAAGTTCCCGCAGTTGGTCTTGGGCTCATGAGTCTCGGCAGTATCTATGGATCTGCCGGTTCCCTCGAAGACAAGGTAGCTTTCCTTGAACATGCCCATTCGATCGGTGCGCGATTCTGGGATACAGCCGACCTATACTTCGACAGTGAAGACGCAGTTGGGGAGTGGGTGAAGAATTCAGGAAATCGCAATGACATTTTCCTGGCCACCAAGTTTGCGATCCAATACGACGTCGCCACGGGTACCCAGACAGTCCGCTCTGACCCTGAGTATGTCAAGGCTTCCTGTGAGAAGAGTCTGAAGAGACTCGGGGTTGAGACCATTGACCTTTACTACTGTCATCGGGTTGATGGCGTGACACCTATTGAGAAGACCATCGAGGCTATGATCGAGTTGAAGAAGTAAGTCACAACCTTTCGGATCAAGAGGCTCTGTCACTGATACACTATTAGCCAAGGCAAGATCAAGCATCTTGGATTATCTGAATGTTCAGCTGCAACTCTGCGCCGTGCCCACGCTGTCCACCCCATTGCAGCATACCAAGTGGAATACAGTCCGTTCGCTTTGGACATTGAATCGTCGACCACCGATATTTTGACTACCTGCCGTGAACTTGGTATCGCTGTCATTGCCTACAGTCCCGTTGGCCGAGGCATCTTGACTGGACAGATCCAATCGTTCTCCGATATTCCTGAAAATGATTTCCGCCGCATCCTCCCCAAGTACGCACAGGAACACTTCCCAAAGATCCTCGAATTGGTTCAGGGGCTGAAAGATGTTGCCAATAACCACGCGAGCACTCCTGCCCAAGTTGCTATTGCATGGCTTCTTGCTCAGGGCTCTGACGTTATTCCTATTCCCGGAACAAAGTCGATCAAGAATCTCGATGAGAACACCAACTCCGTCTTTCTTAATTTGACAGATACGGAGCTGCAAGATATTCGGGCGTTGATTGCGCGGACTGAGATATCTGGATCGCGGTATCCTGCTATGTGAGTTTTTCTTATAATCCATGTTGACGTGTTGCTAATAATATTTTAGGATGATGGACAGCGTGCTGGGTGATACTCCGCCACTCTAGGTCTGGCAGAGCTTCTTATAATTCTACGATGTAGTATTTTCGTTTGGTTTACAGTGATGTCATATCGTTACAATAAACCAATAATACGGAGTACACAAGAACTAAATGTTTTAGGATAAGACAATGATTTGTCATTTTGATTGGGCATTTCTAGTACATCCATGAATTGTTAGAGATATGGCTGCCTGAGACCTGTCATCCTGTCTGTCAGGTCCTTTCTTTAGGCTGATTTTGTATGGCTGGCTATGAACAAAGAATGTCGATCCACACCATCTACTGTATACTATAGGACGTTCGTAGATTAATATGTGCTTGTATATCCACGGATTTACAAAACCTAGGTATCCACTCTCGCGTGGCTTACTGATATTACCGATGATTGGTTATCTCGAGGACCTAGCATAACCCGCACTTAGCTTTGATTGGTCAATTTGAAACACTTTGGGGCGATTCGGAAGCGGATAGATGTGTTGTACATAGTATAACCAACCAGCTAGGTACCTACTATATGTAGTTACCATGTGGTCAACCACTTGGTCAAAGGAAGCACAAAGACTGATTCTTCGAGAACCCAAGTACCTAAAAATCCCAGAGGCTTCACTGCGCTGTGTATTTACCATGAAGTGGTGTTTGTGTCGCATAAAATCGCCTTTAGAATTAACCAGATCTCGCTGTTTTCAGAGAGATTCAGCTTTGTACCTAGCCCGAGACAGACTAATCTTGGAATAATTGGCTATTTAGAGTACATCTTCAGCATTTCGCGCTGATTGGTCACTATGTGTTCAGTTTTATCTTCTACTGCTGATTGGACACATCCAGGACATACTGGCAGGGTATATTATGCTTTGCTTGTTTCTTTGCACCCTCCCCGTTCAATTTAATTTTTGCTCACTGCTTCTCTTGTTATATTTCATGGAAATCTTAGAAAAGAAGGTCACCTATAAAGCTTCAAAAACCTCGCAATTTACTGGTATCAAACAATTCCCTTCTCATTTTCATATCTACAGATGATTCCAAGACTTGAAACATGAACCACTCAAAGACGATAGTGCCAAGGTCCGAACACAATTCACCCCCGATGGATGCTTCGGACGCCTTGTATAAAAAAGAAATGCTCATTGGCAACGAGTACTCTTCTCCTTCCGACGTCGAAAAATCATCGCCGTATCTCCCCAAAGCAGCCGACCTAGCTCCTCTCAACATCGAGATCACTTATCCCGAGGGTGGCCGCGATGCCTGGTTGGTGGTATTAGGTGCGTGGTGTGGATTGACCTCATCACTGGGTATCTACAACACATCTGGTGTGTTCGAGGTCGTTATATCCAAAGTGATATTACCGGAGGCCTCTTCGTCTACTCTTGGCTGGATATTCTCAGTCTACGCCTTCGTGAACTGGGTCTGTGGAGTACAAATCGGACCGACGTTTGATGCAATGGGCCCGCGTGCACTGATGGTAGCGGGGACTATTTGCACGCTGATTGGCATTTTCACACTCAGTGTCTCTACAGGTAAGATCAATTCTCATTTGATACCACATGCAACTGTTCATGCCTGTACATTCTGCCGATATCGACGTGCTGATGATAATATAGAATACTACCAGATCTTCTTGTCATTCTCCATTATGACTGGCATCGGCTCATCCCTTCTCCTAACTCCATCAATGGGTTGCGTCGCTCATTGGTTCATGGAGCGTCGTGGTCTTGCTAGTGGTATAGCTTTCATAGGAGGCGGTTTTGGTGGAGTTCTATTTCCTCTGATGATACAATCACTCCTCCCCAAAGTTGGCTGGGGATGGTCGATCCGGATCCTCGGATTTGTGCTGGTTGTACTCTGCGCTATCAGCGTGGCATTCTGCCGAAGCAGAATCCCTCCCCGCAAAGGAGCCAAAACAACTTGGCGAGATACGTTGCCGGATTATAAAATCTTCATGGATGGAACAGGAGCCATGGCGCTAACAACTGCCGGAGTCCTCTTGACGGATTTGGCGTACTTCATCCCGATTACGTACATGCCACGTTACTATATCGATCGGCAGCATCTGTCCAATGATGAGGCCCTGACGGGGTCCTCGGCGTTTGCATATCAGCTTCTCGCAATTCTCAATGCTGCTTCATGCGTTGGCCGGTACGTGGCGGGCGACATGGCAGATCGATTTGGCAGATACAATACCATGATTGTCTCGTTGTTCTTCTGCACAGTATCAGTTTTAGCTTTCTGGTTACCAGATATCCTCGCACCAGACCTCGATTCCTATGCACTCCTGATAGTCTTTATACTACTATTCGGTTTCTGCAGCGGTTCAAATGTTAGCTTGACACCAATATGCCTGGGTCAACTTTGCGAAACCCAAGAATATGGACGATATTATGCGAGCTGCTTTACAGTAGTATCTTTTGGGGTACTGGCAAGTATCCCAATTGCCGGGGGTCTTCTCGATGCGGTGGAGGGTACAGGAAAAGAAAAATATTGGGGAGTCGCTCTTTTTGCTGGACTCAGCTATGTTGGCGCTTTTTTGTCTTTTCTATGGGTCAGGATTAAAGTTAAGGGAAGGGATTGGAGGGTAAAGTGGTAGCACACCAGGCTTTCGGCGCATTGAAGGTCATACAAGGCTCACAACAATGTATTAGATTAGTTCTGACACTTATATACTAGGATTTGGAATGTTTTGGCGCAATACTTTTCCGGAACTGCCTTACTTGAGCATACTGATGTACTGATGAGATTTCTGACCATAAAACATACATGGCTTATCATCGGGTCTAGCCCAAGACCTGCTTGGGCTGGGATCCCTAATCCCTGCCATAGGCATCTATACCCCTGTCACGCTAAGCCTTCTTAGAGGGTGCCATAGCTACCCTGCGCAGTACCTGCGTAGGATTTACTGTTATTATGCAAGGTACCCGTGGACTATAGCACCAAAGTCAGATTATGTATAGCGCTTGGTTGAGAGTCTCTATAATAGGATGCGTTAAATTTTGTTGTTGGTGTTCTTGTAGATAGCAACCCACCAGCAGGTCAATCTGGAGATCAAGAAGATTGGCTTCCCCTTGGTGCTTTTATACAACTCAGAGGTTGAAACCAAAAAAGTAAAATAAACCAATAAGATTGTTTCCTCCTTTCTGGTACTAATAGTTGGACGGCTGGTCGAGCTCTAAGAACGTTATGCTGCAACCAGACCGTCTCTTGCACGAATAGGGATCATATTACATTATATCCACGCAAGTTGAATGCGGAAGATTGAATGTGTCTCCGCAATTATATATCTGATCATGTTGAAATCGGAGTTTCATCCATTTCTATACATCGATATAGTTGATCAACATGCTCAATTGGTTCGCTCAATACTAGTCCATACTCCCATACGCATACACCCGGGCCCAATTGAATAAACAGAATCAAATCGCCTAACGTACAGTAATAAAATGTGGTCAGCTGTACTATAGGGTCACACATACATCATTTTGGCCCGGGGGTAATTCGATGACCTCAGGGGACTTCTCCCGGGCGGTGAGTCTCCATTCCAAATGCGGTTCGCCACCTCCGCATTCTCCGCTTCCCAGGTCCCCGGAGAAATAAAAATATTCCAAAGGAGAACCTTGGAAAACTGCCCACTAACGTCATCCTATATCCCTACATTCCAATGCAAAATAGTCCCTCTCAACATGCAAATACAACCTTCGAGGTCGATCAGTCCCAATCAGTTCCAAAGTTGCCATGCTCGTTGGCGCGCACTCACTCACCGCACTCCTTCCTCCCACTCCTCCTTTCTCTACGGCGTCAAATCTACCAAGATCTACTGCCGCCCGACCTGTCCCGCACGCCTTGCTCGAAGAGCCAATGTTGTCTTTTACGACACAGTAGACCAAGCGCGACGCGATGGCCACCGGCCGTGCAAGAGATGTCAACCGGATAACGCGAGCTTCGCTGGAGAGAGGGAGGAGCTTGTCACAAGGGTTCTAGCGCTTCTGCGGACCAAGCGGGATGATCATGATCGGACAGTGAAGCGAGGCTTGAAGGAAGTAGCACAAGAGGTCGGTGTAACGCCGAGTTATCTTTGCCGCGTGTTTAAGAGGACGATGGGGCTTACGCTAGGAGCATACATGGTAGAATTTGAGAGGGAGGTAAGCGAGGGTAAGACAGAGAGGGAGGTTCAATCTCCGAGCACAGTTGGATTTGGTATGGGTGAGGCAGCGACGGGACTCTGGATGCCAGCAACAACGGCAGGGAGTCCCATGGCACCCGTCGAGGGTCCGAAGGAAGATTTGGCGGAGCCGCAAATGGGAAATGTTGCAGAGGCTCTAGACTTGAACTTCGATTTCGACGAGTGGTTCTGGACTGGAGGTTTCGTCCAAGAAGACTTCTGCAATGAAGGCGCCTTAAATGATGGCTTGAACGCAGACGTTTTGAATGATGATGTCTACAGATGGGATATTTAAGATGGTTGATATTATCTGGGTACGTACATGCTTGCAGCAAGTGTGCATAATTGGTACATACTTGATCTCTATTATTCCTGTGCTTTCTTGGGTACTTTTTTTTGGTAGATAATTAGTGACCTCGGGAACGGCTAATTCCTGCATATGACAAGCATCTAATAAGCAGCCAGGCATGTAATAAGCACTCACCAAGCATTTCATACTCTACACGTGACCAACTATGTATGTCTCTGGATATGAACCTATAAATATGTACTTAACAGCTATGAATCCAACATTGTACTCCGTACAGATCTGGAAATCAACAACATAGCCCCAGCCTCGGCCTATAAAAAATAGATAAAGAGGAAACAGTATTATACAATATTATTGAGACCCCTCGCATCACCAAAGAAACACGGCAAGTGGGTCACATTATAGTACCTGTGGACGAATTGCTGACCTTATTAAAATAACTCCGTCCAACTATTACACTCGGCCCACTTGGCACCCCTTGGGGCCAGCATGGGGCGAAAAGCCAGCCTCCAATAAATTAGGGGAACCCCGCGCCACTAAAAAAAATTAAAACACGTCACGGTCCGTGTGTTCTTTTCCTTCCTATATCAGATCTTCCCAATGAGGACATGTCCTCACTCAGTAACTCCAGCCCAGGGAACTGGATTACCGGCAGCTATACAGGCGACAGTATTGGTGTCCGTATCACCATCGCAACATTCATTGGCGTCGCATGGTACAACGTGATCGAGCTAATCGTGCTCATCTTCCTAACCTTCAAACGCTATGAAGGCCCCTATTTCTGGAGCCTGCTGATAGCCAGCGTTGGAATCCTGCCGTATTCGGTCGGCTACCTGCTCAAATTCTTCGGTCTGACGTCCGCAACTTGGCTGCCCGTCACGCTGTTAACAATCGGCTGGTGGACCATGGTAACCGGCCAATCCTTCGTGCTGTATTCGCGCCTCCACCTGGTGATTCAGAATATGCGCGTGCTGCGCATGGTGAGAGCCATGATCATCACGAACATTTTCCTGCTGCACGTGCCCACAACCGTGCTCACGTACGCGGCCAACTTCTCCAGTTCTGCAGCCTCGATTCGGGGGTACGATGTCATGGAGAAGCTGCAGCTGACGGGCTTCTGTGTGCAGGAGATTATCATCTCTGGGTTGTACATGTGGGAGACGAATCGCATGCTGCGCTTGAATCAGGACCATGTTAGTCGCAAGACTATCTTGCAGCTGCTCGCCGTCAACGTCTCTTGTATCCTGATGGATATCGCGTTGATGATTATCGAGTTTAAGGACTTCTATATCTACCAAACAACCCTCAAGGCCACGCTGTACAGCATCAAGCTGAAACTCGAAATTGCCGTCCTCGGCAAGCTGGTCAATATCGCCCACCAGCATATGTGGAGATCATCGTCTTTCAATACTGCCGGCGGGCAGTACCCGTCTTTCATTGACCCGAGCCATGCCTTGCACGATTTCAGCCATGCAGACTCTTTGGCTACCAGCACGGCATCCAAGGGCCGCGCGTCTGGAACTGAGGCCATTGATATCGACGTTCGATGAGCTTGGCTGTATTTCTACTTCTATCAAACTCCTCTACCAAACTAGATGGTCGACTTGATCCATCCTACAGCATTGCGATATCATCTGCTGTGCATGAGGTGATCACCACCCGAAGTGATTCCACCCATCCGTCTCCAACAACGACGCACCCGCCAGCATTCGCTTCGCGCCTGCCGCTCAAGCTTTGACTTCCTCGTTGAGGCTTACTTAGATCGGCAATCAGCGATATAATATCCTGCGCTGCCCCCGCCTGCATTGAGTCGTTCCTCAGAATGACCGAGAGCGAACAAATAGGCCGCATGGAACGCGAATGTGCTTTTGAGCATGCTAGTGCTCCCAAGCAAGCCCGGGGAGAAACTAGTCTTTATCTTCATCCAGTAGAGATAGACATATCGGAATACCATAGTCTCATCGCTCTGAGGTTACTTTTGGAACATGCCGAGTTTTCTGATAAATGCTAATTTGTTCGACTCGAAAAAGCCACCACTGAGTGTAGATTTATGGGGAGATACATTCTGACATGTATGAAACCAGTTGTCTTTCTGTAAGAGGGCAGGTAAGTTGTGTACCGCGTAAATTCAGAATAGGTTGACCTAGAAACATGCCGCCACGGAGCATAGCGTAAGACAGGAAAGCACGGCAAACGTGCTAATGAACTTGGAATATATTTGATTATTCTGCAGCCAATAAATTAGCCGTCTTTGCCTTTGTCTTACTCTCGTTAGGCGAATATAAACAACTATAGCCAATGTAAAGAAAGGCGATTATATAGGTGAGTGCCGAAGTCTAATCATTCAGGGACATATACATAACTAACTTCCTCCAAGGTCGATCGATTGGCGGCCTTGTCGTCTCAATCCGATTTCCAAGCCCTTTTTTAGAACGTGTTATTTTAGGTCATGCAGTCAAATCAGCCGTATACGTTCAACCGGCATCGCCATCCGTCTTCGAGGCGGGCGATACGAACTAACATTTCTCGTCCAATATTAATAAACCGAGCCCCAATAACGTCATTGTCAAGTTCCAACCGAAAAAATTCCAGGAAAAAATGGAACGAAAAAAGTCCAAAATTGATGTTTGTGTCCTTTGCCGATCCGAGGCGCCTACAACCGGGCCGGTGATGTCGGGGGTGGGGGAGACCGATGGCGGATAACACACAACACCGTTGAACATTTGAAAGTAAAAGTGAAAAGAAAAAAAAAAGAAAGGGTATATTTGTCTATGAATTCGTATCTGTATCTGTATCTTTATATTTATAATTTATAATTTGTAAGAAACCTCAAGATCCCTTCCGACCACCAACTTGGTCATGCAAGTAAAGGCGGCCCTCTGTATTAACGAACCCGCCAATTCCGAAAGCGGGGATAATGCGACACATGCGCAGTAGGGACGCGCCAATCCAGTCGCGACTGACACGGTTGATCCGGTCTTTAGTCGGCATCACCTGTGGCCGGTTGTATAGATCCAGGCCGAGCAGGTGGATTGGCGTGCTGATGAGTTGGATGGAGGCTGGGATAGCGAGCTGCGCTATCAGGATCTTGAGGTATTCTTGGGAGGCGATGGAGTCTGGGATCGATGTTGAGACCATGGCGGGGAGGCTGAAGGAGCCAAAGATTGTGAGGGCGTCCCGGACGAGGAAGGCTGAGTATGTTGCTACGGGGATTCGGGTGCGGCCAATTGAGCGGGCCGTTTTAGGGGGTGAGGTTGTGTTGGAAGTTGTGTTGGAAGTTGTGTTGGAGGTGGATGTGGGAGTTGGAGTTGGAGCTGGGCTTGGTGGGGTTGTGTTGTTTTTCGTTGGCACGGAGGTGTTGCTGTGGCCGAATAATTGGGCGAATTTCACGTCCTTCCAGATGCCCACAGAGGAGTTGACTATGAATGTTGAAGCGAAGGTGGTCATTCCTGCGATGGCATGGTCGATCTTCGGGTACCACTTGCTCAGGATGGTCTCTGAGGCATTGGCTGTGGCGAAGGTTGCAGTGTAAAGTGACCAGACGAGGAGACTGGGCCGTGAGGTTAAGAAAGTTGCAGGTTGTGTGAGGGAGAACCAGAGGTGTCTGCGAAATGCCGGGAAGAGAGGTTGGTTATAGAATGATTTCTCGACGACGAGTCTGGGTGATATTGGTCAGTATATGTTGATAAGATGGAGTCTGATTTGACTTACCTGTCAAAGATCATCACCGCTGGTGTTATCAATGTTGCTGAACCTGCAGCAACGACTACATCGGCCGCCAATAGTTCCGCCATCCGGCTTTTGGTGTGCTGGATACCGAATGGCATAGCCTGCTCTTGGATTTGCTGTGTCATGGCTTATGATGTATGGTTTAAGCGGACAATGCTATCACCATTTGTTCGTGACCGTCTAGCAGTCTTGTTGGTCTGTGATGTAGAGATAGGACTGGGCGAGATTTGGTAAAGCTTCAATCTAACCGGACTGGCACTGTTAGATCAAATAAAACCCAACGCGGGGCATTCCATGAGACAACTTACTGTGGATCAATGCTGATCAATGGAACGAGTTAGGGCTGCGCGACTTGGGGTACACTGGAAATGAAAGGAGGGGGGGAGAGGAAAGGAGTGAATAGAAGAAGAAACCCCTCCGTAGATATATCCCCAGCGCGCTTTCTATAATGTAATGCCAACATCTTATCGAGAAATCAAGCACCATCGACATTTATAGATCGCCGGCTCAAAAAGACAACCCTTCGGCCAAGCGAACCAATGACAGTGCCAACCGGGCCGGCGGCCGGTGCTGGATACGGGCCGGTGATTGGTGCGGTCGCCGCGCCGCGATCGACCTCAGGGACGAGATTCTAGAAGTTTTGAGTTGTACTCCGTACTCCCCGTACTCCCCAAGGCATAGGATGTCCAGGACAACGCGTATGCTTGCCCTAAATGGACTGATGTATGGTTCCTCCCCGCATTCCCCCGATCTCAACATTTACTTACTCTATGATATTTGATGAGTTTTTCTCTTACTTTCACCGACTTCTGCAGAGTGGGGTTCCTATTTGTCTTCAAAATCAGGCAGCAAAGAGATAACGTATTAGGTAAGCGAGCCGCCACCCCTAGTTACCTAGAAACGTGTCCATGAATTAGCACTTAGTCAATTCAACCACCCACTATGCCACTAATACGCTCTCGATCTTCTCAAAATTCTATAGAGTAAGAGGGTAGGCTTTTGTTAGCTATATAGGCTTTTAAAAATCAAGAAATCAGTAATATTACTACCGCTGCCCGCACTTTCAATATACCGCGTTTAACATTACGCGATCGCCTCTCCGGCTACACCTAACGAAGCACTACCCGCGTAAATTTATATAAATTGACTATAATTAAAGAGGAATTACTTTAAAAATAGATACTCTCTATAGATTCTTATAGATTAGCCTCCCGGCCTTCTACCGTACGAGAAATAGCTAATCTTCTTCTTTAAGAACGTAGAACCACCCCCGGTTATTTCGGTCGGCGATAAATAGGGTTATAAATCCTAACTTCAGACTCAGTGCAGTTCCAACTGATGCAGTCACTACATCAAATACAGACTGCGGCCAATGGTATAGCATCAAGGATGATGATACCTGCCAGACTGTGGCGTCCAAGTTCGGCATCGATATAGAGGGCTTTTACTTTTTGAATCCTCAGCTTGGCCAGAACTGCAGTTCCCTCTGGCTAGGAAATAGCTATGTATGCCCCCCCCCCCCCCTTAATGATTTGCACGATTTCGTTTGAAATTAACATCCATCTAGTGCGTTCAGGCGGTGGGAAGCATACAAACATACTCGGGATACAACACTTCATCTGCGTACACCACCCTCGATTCAACAATCAACCCTAGTTCCACGCTCACCGTGAACCGTACCACGATGCAAGCGTATACTCTTTCAACTATTGTCAAGTATTTTCTGTCTGATGCTACAGGTCAAGCCATTTCTTCTATTCTTTCCCTGATCCAACCACCACTACGATGATATACAACACGAGTATTTATGAACTTGCACGAAGCTACACGCTGTGTAGTGAGGCCATGGCATATTACAACATCACAGGTGACACCCAATTTACTGATCAAATGTATGACGACGCAGAGTGGTATTCGGAGTACCAACGTGTTTGTCTGGTCGATCCGACAGCACTTCCTACATCTCCGTTCAATACCAGTTTTGTGGTGTCGACAACAGAGGGTTTAGCCGTCACTAGTTCAACCCCAGCGATCACCAAAGCATCTGCCACACTTACCTCATCCGCTACTTCAACTTCAACGGCGACAAGCGCAACGGCGACGCCAACCCCAACGGTAACCATTTCTCCTAATGGTTTGTGCGGTACTGCAAACTACGGATACACTTGTGAAGGGTCATCTTTCGGTGAATGTTGCAGCACTTATGGATACTGGTAAGTCTTTATATGGAATGTCGGAAGCTCGCGTTACAAGAACTAATGATGTTAAAAGTGGATCCACAGACGACTATTGCTTGTCGGCAAATTGTGACGCGAACTTTGGCATCTGTCCGGGAAGCGTATCTCCTAATGGCTTGTGTGGTAGTGCCAATTATGATTACACATGCCAAGGATCGACATTTGGCGATTGTTGCAAGTGTGTCAAGCTAACAAGTTCGTAGTGGATCAAGTGATGACTACTGTACATCGGCGAATTGCGACGCAGCCTACGGTACCATTCGTTCCTGAGGAGTGCGACGAAACAATATACTTTGAATCCCTGTAACTACCGATCCTACGGACGGATGGACTTGGAAATTCATCTGAATCGAATTCCGACCTTAAATTCAAATATACTCAACTTTTAATGCCCAGTGTCACCAAAGAATTAATTGCAGCGTTGCTCTTGAAATTAATGGCAATGGCAACGGACCCCCGCAGCACCTTTTTCCCTCATACCTGTAACTTAGTTAAGCTCCAAAAATGCAACTGCCGCTCTGGCATATAATAAGCTTCCCAGTGGGCTTCGCATTGGTATCCCACGCGAAGACCGCTTCCTTCATGTCTTGCATCTTCCGCTGCCCAAGTGCTTCCAAAAACCCTTTTGCCTCTGTTTAACAGCTCTCTTCTTTCCTTCTGTGCTGTCTCAGAATTTCGAAATACCTCAAGAGAGAGCAATCAAGCTTTTCCCGGTGAATAGCCTCGAAAACAACATTATTTCGTATTGCGTAACCGAACAGGCAACCTCCGCTCCGCCAACCCTCCCACATTGGCCCCAGACAACATTTGCTCTTCTTTCAACCGACCAGAAAGTAGAGTGTCTTCACGCTCAGTACCAAATAAAATTTCCTTATTTAATCGTACCAAAAACCCAATCCATTAAACCAGTCACTCCAAAATTGTGACGTCCGTCACGATGATGCACTTCGTGCTCCATCACACTAAACCAAGCTTGTGCATCACTTCGAGAATGTGAATACATCGCAAAAATCTTCGCCACACTGCTTAGGAAGCAAAGCTCCGGAAGAGTTGCTCCAACCATCCATCCAGACATCAACTCAGTTGACATCTGGGCAAAAACATATTCCAACGGGTGAACATCCAGAGCCGTTAGTAGTCCATTTTGCTCAGCTTCATGGTGAACGCGATGAATTCGTCGATATAATGATCTCCAATGAAGAACACGATGTATGCTGTAATACATCACGTCCGCAAAAATGTACCCAAATACCATTTTCAGCAACAATAGTCGAAAGGAAACCTCCCTCTCACTAACATCAGATACTGGCTGATGTTTGAACAACAAATATAGAAAATGAACAGTTGCTCCAGAAGTAATGTTTATCATGACTCGAACAAATGTCCTTAATCTTAACGTTCGAAAATATAGCAGCTGTAAAAGTGCCGCAGATAAAACAATAACCCAAAGAGAAAAGTGTAACGCAAACACTTCAGTGACCTTTTGTTTTAAGAACGGGCACGAAAAGTGAAAAAACGATTGAGGATCGATCGATTGAGACATAATGAATGATACTAAGCAAAAAGAAAGCGATATCAATCACGTGTACGGCGTGGAATATGCTGTAAGTGCTTCGTGTGCGATTTGACTGCTTTTCGCCAGTGTTCCAGTAGAGCTCAACGGAGGGTTTGCAAGTTCTGGCACTTATTGGATAGAATAGAAGATGAATTTGATGAATTCAAGTTCAAAAACGAAAGAAGTGGTCCTTATATACGTAGCATGTAGAATACGCTAAATTATCGCTGCCTATCTAGAAAAAGCGAACATAAGCATGCTGTGGGTTGCTTTGGGCTTCTCGCACTAAGCGTCTGTTTAGGAAATTCTCATATAGATCCTAGGACTGTATACCGGAGACACCCTTGTCCGTTCCCTGGGCTAGGCGGAACCTCGTACCGCAAGCCTATCAGCGTGGAGTGCCCAACGTACGATTAAGGAAATTCATCTACAGAGCTGTCATCTCTGCCATTCTCAATCCTACTTGCGCCCCCGATTAGGCGTCTTACGGCATATCCTCTGAAACATACCCAAGTAAACATGTACCTTATCACCGGTCCGAGAAGTAAACATGTACCTTATCACCGGCCCGAGGCTAATCATAGGGGCCGAATCGTGCATGAACGTCCATGCCTTCCGCCTAAACAACCTGGAGCCGCCTGTGGATGGGATGATCAAGGCTCCTACTTTGCAAAAAAGAAATTTACCTACGAAGGCAACGTATTCAGCCTCACAAGCCAACAGCCAATATCCTTCGTTGTTTCACTTTCCTTTCTAGGACATCGATTTTCAGTGGATTTCAGTGGACTTTATGGGAGGCACTGCCTTGTCACTTTTTCTTATATATAAACCCAAGCTACTCGCCTGAAAGCCACCATCTTCATCCCTGCCACCAACATCCTGAGATTCTCTTCTTCAACTTTAAAGTGCACCGGCAACTTGAGAACAAGCCAACCAAGTCCGTCATTTTAAGCTCGATATCGGATCAACAGTACCAACAGCCCTCTTAAATTGAAACCTATTGATTGGAAAGCCAAATTCCTGCGATCTCTGGTCCCTGACAGCGCTTCCTGCGACCTGTTGAAGTCGCCGCATTTAGTCGACTCGACGGAAACTCTTCTAAGCACTTCCGAAACACATCTACAAACCCCATGGATCCCGGAATATACTTTGCACAGGTTCTCCAAGACACACCGATGTCTTGCCCCACATCAGATAGCTATATACCCGATCGAAGGGAATCATCCATCAGTGATGCCTTTAGCTGCTTTTCTGGTGGGATGAAAGCGCCTAGTGCTCAAAGTCCTTGGTCTAATCTCTCGGTCAATGATACTATTCCTTCAAAAGACATGACCTCTATGCAGCTATATCAGACCTCCCTGTCTTGCGAGCCCTTCATGAACCAACATCTCCAAGACATGTCGGGTTGCTGTAACACACAACAAATGAACGACTGGTTTCTGGGAAGTGAATCCGCTGGCAGCCTCTACCAATCCATCACCCCCAACCCCACCGGGCCCACGCTTGGCCTTGTACCGGCAGACGTAGGAGAAGAAATAGAGCTTGCTTTTGAAGGGAATACAGCCACCAACATGCAACAATGCTTATCTCCACTTCCTACGTGCTTCGCATACAACAGCTCCGTCACTCCGCCCTCCCCAGCAGCAGCCTCCCTTGACACATCCACGAGCAGTATATCACCACCCACAGCCCTCTCTAATGTCGAAGTCTCCTTGGCCTACCAGCACAACTTTTCGTCCCCCGTCTCCGCCTTCAACCAAGCCCGCCTCGCGCAATATGGTATTCCTGTCAGTGACGGGCTCTGGCGTTGCGCTCACCTGGGTTGCACCTCGCAGGCTCGCTTCCGGAGAGGCTGTGACCTGCGGAAACATTTCAATAGACACCGCAAGCAATTTCTGTGCCGGTATAATGGTTGTTCGAAATCCAAACAGAGCGGTTTTTCGAGCAAAAAGGACCGGAATCGCCATGAGGCCATGCACAATCCTAGCATCATTTGCGAGTGTGAGGGATGTGAGCGGGTATTTAGCCGTGTCGATAACATGAAAGATCATGCGCGGCGGGTCCATCGGCGCATTGGGAAGAACCGATGGGGTTAGGTATGGTTACTATGTATAAGCTATGTGTGACGTGATTCTTTTCGGTTTTCATTTTTGCTTTAATCTAGTGTTTCAAAAATGTAATTTAATACGCCGATAAATGGTTTTATCTCCCTAAAGGAAATGGGTCATCAGTCAGCGCATGCAATGGAGCCCAACACAGCACAGGGAGTCTGTGTCCCACTCGGCTCGAGTGCATTCCCACACCCGAAGAACGAGGAAGAGAAAACGCAAAGACAATCGATAAATATGGAATCGCTAACAAGAAACTAGACCCACGAATACTTCTGATGATATATACTTTATGACAATGGATATACAAACACAGATCATCGGAGTAATCCAAAATCAAGACTAAACTGTACACTCTAGTACTATAGCTGCAATGAGGCATGTGCAGTACGAATTTATAGCGTCCCGCGAAAAGAATGCACTGCCATTGCACGTGAGTTTCCGCCCCTAATTCTTCCACCGACGCTTTATCAGCCCCAATAGAACCCGTCTTCACGTAGCAACATTAAAGTCCCTGCAAACGAAAATTGCGCCGTGATGGTCTACGAGTATCAGGGGGCTTCTATCTCGCACCTTAGGCGCATACGTGCTAGTAAGCCGAAAGTGCGTACCGGTTGTATTACCTGCAAGTCAGTTTCACCAAGCAGCCGAGATTGATTAGAAAGTTGACGATACGCAGGGCTCGACGAGTCAAATGCGACGAGGAGAAGCCAGCGTGCGCTCGGTAAGTTAATTCTTGCTCCTCGCTTCTCGTTTCCAAGAGTCTCGGGGGGCGTTTCCGAGCTAATCCCCTCTAAGATGTACGCAGTCTGGGCGACCGTGCGAGGGCTACAGGATGCCTCAGTCAACGGTGCTGGTACCCAGGGTCTTAGCTCCCGCACCAGCTGTCGACCATCCCCTGGAAATCCAATCTCTGGAATTTTTCTTCCGCAAAACCTCACCACAGTTGGCAGGTTTCTTTGGCGGTCCCTTCTTCCAGGGCAGTGTGCTACAGCTGTGTCTTGCAGAGCCTGCCATCCGCCAGGCGACTTCGGCCATAGGTTTCCTGCATGAACAAATAGCCACGGGGAAGTTCTCTCTTGGCGGAGAAAAGCTTCAGAATGTCCACCTCCAACTATATAATCGATCAATCCGATCGGTCATTGACAAGGCGGCAACTGGGCTAACTGCATTTCCTCTGGTTGCCACGGCCAATGTCCTATTCACCTGCTTGGAAATCTTTCGTGGAGATGTTCCTGCCGCAAAGAAACATATTAAAAATGGCATCAACCTCTTGCGCGCATGGCGCGAAAGGAATGGCGCACCTAGGAGGACTTGGGGCAAGAGATACCCGACATTCGAAGCATGCTTCATGGAAACTGAAATCGCACCCGTCCTTAGCTTATTCAATACCAACGTGGTCGAATGTGGAAATGGAGGGCGTACCGATCTTATGCTAAACCCGGTCGACGAATGTGGAAGACTTCTCTTAGCAAATCAATTTGAGAACCTCAATGAGGCCAGAGTTGGGCTAATAGATATAATCACTCATGCAACGTTGCATTGTGGTCAAGTTGAAAGTGGTCTCTTGCATAGACGCTATTCCGACGTTGAGGCCTTCGTGGTGTCTAACAGCGTGCAACAAAATCTAGAGCGATGGGTTGCTAATGTCGACGACCTCATCCACCGCAAATGGCAATCATGGAGCACGAAAGAGAAGCAAGTGGCAGATGTCATTAGTATTATCAGCCTAAGCACACGATTTGGCACCAGGTCCTGCCTAGTCGAGAATGAGAGTGCATGGGATTCATATCGCCACGAGTACGAGGAGCTGATTCGACTTACCGAGTCCATCGTCTCGGATCATAAACGATTTCCCGACAGTCTATCAAGGACCGTAAGCCTGGATCTTGGCATGATCTTTCCGCTCCACGCCGTGGCGTGGAAATGCCGGTGGCCGAAACTGCGCCGAAAGGGCCTTGACTTGCTTCTCCGGATTCCTAGGCGCGAGTGGCTGTTTGAGGCGAAGCACTACCATCAGATCTTCTCCCGCATCATGAATATCGAAGAAGAACACCTAGGCCTAGAGTTCGGATCTGAGCCGGACGAGTACTGGCTTCCTCCGGAGAACGTCCGGATTCACGACTTTATGGTGACCCCTCAGCCTACATCTTCGATAGGCCCCCCGGGTCATGCTGTGACATTTTGGAGTAAGCCCGAGGGTTCGGATGGCCCATGGAGCCGCCGCATCGAAATGATACATCTGGAATCTTCCCAGCCAGTTGAAGCTGCTATACCAACGAATATGATAGGCCGCAAACTAAAAGCGGACACCTAGGTGTGCTTTACTTCCTTGTCATTCATGTCATTAGATACAAGCCCTGGCCCATGATAGACTTTCACTGTTGACTATTCCTGGTTTCATGAACTACACCTAGAAGTTTGAAGACTTGGCTGGTCTCCCTGTCAACTTATCTTGTATGTCAACATAGGAGCTTACCGAGCCATACGAAACTACTGTCGAGGAATATCTCACAGACCCCGTAATAAACTTGTCACCTTTGATCAAGTAGGCATGAGTTGGATTAAGGCGTTGACAATGGCAGTCGACTAGTTAAAATGAGACACATGCAAAGTCATAGATATTATAATTATGTATCCGCCTACGGTGAGTGTTTGGTCTTCTCGGCAAAAACTGGTTCATTTCCCAGCTGCCGTCAAGCTCCAGTGGGAGTAATCCGTTGTTACTCGCCATCTAGCAGTATCCTTGATTATCAAGAGAGGCTACGCGAGATCTCATATGTGGGACCAGTGCTAGATGGTACTGTCACGTCCAGTGCAACGATTGAGCGTGGGAAGTTTGAAAGAGATTCATATCAATTGATAACCGACGTACGGATTGTCTCAAGACCGTACACGAATTTAGACATATCTAATATGGCTATTCTCTTCAGATCACTTAATTACATTTAATATTTCAACCAGTTCCATCTGTACTGTACACGGAACTTCGGAGCCCCGAGCCACCGGCGGAACCTGGAAGAGCGGGTTGTGGGAAACTTGGGAGGCCTAAAGTGCGGCGGGCTATGGCATAAGTTTCATGACGTGGACTATCCCCTTCGCCATAATTGGTCGAATATACGAGCATAGCCACTATTTGAAACGCAGGTACTCTTTTGAGCTTCAAAGCGATACTCAGACAATAATATCGCTCTCCCACGACATGCGAAGAAATTATGAGTCTGTAGTTGTTCAATCGGCGTCAGACCCGGGCCCTGGTAGTCTTCGCATACCCGACACAGCCGTGAGATCAGGCGCCCCATTAGGCCAAGCAATTCTTCGTCCTCATAGGCTGGCATTCACGGATTCACGTTATGCTGTTTTTATTGCTTGAATATTAGGCCTGGAGTCTCAAAAATGCCTTATCACACTTACGACTGTAACATTGACACAGCTGTCGATCTACACTAAGTAGGGACGATTTGGGAAGCCTAAGATACTGGAATTTCTAAACAAGGAGTCTCCTAGTGTTGATAAATAGTCGCGGAAAGATCGAAAGAATGAAGGTTTAGCATCCAATTCTTCTTCACAGACCGGCCTTACTCACTATGGCCAAATTGAGTAGCTTCACAGCACGCGTCCTCTTTCTACTAGCTGTACTGTTTGCGAAATCCACCCTTGCAGTTTACGATTCGCTCTGGCAACCTGCGCAAAACGATGAAGCAGTTGGATATTCACGCGTAATCAAGCTCCAACATGCAGGTGGCACAAATGGCAAACTCCTCGCTACTTTTGAACACTGGTACACCAATAATGCGCCGAGTAATTATATTATTCGGGAGAGCACCAATAACGGCACAACATGGGACACATTGACAACTGTGGCCGCCCCTGGTGACCTTCCAACTCAATTTTACTACCAGCCTTTCCTATTCGAGTTCCCCCAGCAGCTTGGGAAGTATGCCGAAGGTACCATCCTCTTGGTTGGAAATTTGCAGGGCAAGAATGCCACCGACTTCTATTCCTGGCGATCTACAGATCATGGCAAGACATGGGATCCGGTGGGTGTTTGGCAGAAGGGGTGGGCTCCCGGCCAAGTCAACGGTTCCCACGGTATTTGGGAGCCATTTTTGTTCTTGGATAGCCAGAGCAACCTCGTTGCTGTTTTTTCGGATGAACGCGAAAACGAAGTCCATTCTCAAAAGCTAGTCGAAGTTGTCTCTAAAGATGGTGGTGACACCTGGAGCAATGTCACGGATATCGTCGTTGGCTCTGAACAGACCTTCCGACCTGGAATGGCGACCGTCGCCAAGATGGACAATGGAGAGTATTTCATGAGTTATGAGTGGTGTGATACCCGAGGCTATCCAAAGCCTTGCTCCGTTCATGGGAAAACATCCAAAGACGGTGTAACGTGGGATGCAAGTGACGAGGGCGTGTTTGTTTCTTCGCCTGACGGCGTCCAAGCGTCCGGGAGCCCGTATAGTATCTGGGATCCTGTGGGGAAGCAGTTGATCGTATCTAGCCAGGCAAAACGGCAGTTCTCCAATGCTTCCTACTTGGACAATCCTCCTTTCCTCGTTGAAGATCGACATGCCGTCCACATTAATCTGGATCACGGCAGTGGCGATTGGCACTGGGCATCAGCACCTTGGCATGTTCCGATTGCAAATAACTGCAATGTTAATTACAGTCCTAACTTGTTGCCATTGCCAAATGGAACAATTTTGTATTCGGCAAAGACACCGGCTCCCCAAGGTGAACAATGCGAACAGAGCACTGGCGCAGCGGCCATCGGAATTCTACCATACAACTCTGACTTTCCAGTCACTGGTGACGCTGGGTGGATTGACTTCGACGGGATCTGGTCCGTTTCAGGTGATCAGTACAAGTTTCCACCCGTTACTGATCCAGCCACGGTTGTTCTCACCGGTTCGTCGGGATGGACAGACTACGAGATTAGCGCAGATGCTATCGTGACGAGTTCATCCGGGGTAGTGGGTCTCCTGGCGCGGGCTTCTCATCTATACACTGCTCCCAACAACATCACAAGATACACAGCTGCAATTGATAGCAGTCGTGGCGACTTCACCTTGTATCGCGTGGGCGATAAAGGAGCAACTACTTTGAGCTCAAAGCCTGTTCCTGGTGGCATCAAGGCAAATCAAAAATATCATCTATCCCTTTCAGTGAAGTCTGCCACCCTTGTTGCCACCGTGACCGGAAGCGGAGGTGCAAAGACTAGCTTCTCCGTCGTCGATGATGGCTTGGGACGAGGTATGGCGGGATTGTTTGGCAGCTACGGCAGTGGTGGTTTCAGCAATGTTCAAATTAAACGTGTGATATGAACTATGTGGCTGGGTATGTGAGCATATGCAGTTATCATAAACCTCTGGTGAGCGACTTAAGGCTGCTTAATGTGAATGGCTAGAGCTTAGAGTGTCAATCAATACACCTAATTCTATATTAGGTTACCAACGTATTGTACAAAGTATTTGTGTGAAGCTAACTTCTTTCTACCACAATCTACACTTTAGCAAAAACAATTCTAGCCAAACTCACGTGCACTGCTAACCGTAAGCTTCTAATGTATGGTTTCGGAGCGATATATGACAGAAATCTGGTAGTATGACAACGTATGGACAAAATCAGATATATTGACATCTCTAACTAACTAAAAATGACAAAACCCGCATTTTCAACAATCTAACTAATAGGTACCTATGTACCTAGGTATCTATGTAGGTACGTAGTCCCGCGTAGAGCCATGGATCCGTCCATGGATATTCCATAGATGGACTAACTCCGAACGCTAACTCCGCATTTAGATAAACCCAGAACCTTCTCCACATTAGTCACTCAGCGATTGGGCCAGCGCGTTCTATCAGATCACATACTCGAATCTCTAGTTTATCCCACGCATTCTCGTTTGGTAACTGTGTCATATTCCGAAGTCCAAAGACCGAGCGCAATCATGTCCCCTATAACCGTATCCAAAGGGCGCAGCCCCTCCAGCGACCCAAACGAAACCTTTACGCAAATGGCCGACACAGACTTGGAAGCCCTGGGCCGGCACTGCCAATACGAGTACTGCGGCCAACTAGACTTCCTCCCCTTCCGCTGCGAATCCTGCCACAGCACATACTGTCTAGATCACCGGACCGAAACCGCGCACCAGTGTCCGCGCGAAGGCGAATGGGCCCGCCGTCGCAACGGGATAAACAACACCAGCCTCGAAAACCGCACCGCCCCCGAAAAGCCATCCATCTACAACACCGAACAATGCGCCCACACCCAGTGCAAAACCCTCATCAACACTCTCAAAGACCCCGCCGTGCGCTGCCCCCAGTGTAACCACCAGTACTGCCTGAAACACCGCCTCCGCGAAGAACACGAATGCGCCAAGATTACCCCGCTGGGCGCGCGCCAGCGCAATGCCGCTGCGCCAAACGATACAATCAAGTCTATGTTCGCGCGCGTGCGCACCTGGGGCCGCGATAAGCACCAGGCTGTTGCCAAGGGGACCCTACTGCCGGCTCTGCCCAAGTTGAAGCCCAAGCCGAATAGCCCGGCTGCGCGTGCGGTTGCTGTTAATGGGCTGAAGCGATCGGCAAAGGGGGATGCTTCTGTTCCTGTGGATAAGAGGCTGTATTTGCATACTGTTGGTACGGTGGAGACGGAGGCTGCGGAGCCGCCGGCTGGGGATTTCTTTTTCGATTCGAGGTGGAAGGTTGGGCGTGTACTTGATGATGCAGCGAAGAAGTTGCGAGTTCAGAATTTAAATAATCGGGTTGATGGGGAGGATTCGAGGCTGCGGATCTTCCATGTTGAGTCTGGGGATTTCCTCGAGTTCTCAGAGGCTATTGGTGGTGGTAAGGTAAAGCAAGGCGACACGATTGTGTTGCTTCGCGGCGCTGGAGCTGTTCTTGGGAGCGCATGATGCATTTATTTGCTCTCTATGTTTGATCTTTTATTGTTGCTTTTTGCTTTTCGAAGCATATACACAGCCTGGTACACCTGGAAGCATGTTTTGCTTTAACAATGCATGAGTTGATTTGCTGTACAAGTAGACTCGGAGTTGAATGCATTACTATTTTTTATTTCAAAATGTAGTCCTGTGGCATATATCACAGAATAATTGGTATCATATAAAATAGTAACTCGGACGGTGCCCGCAAACCAGAAACTAGAAATCTATATAAATCAAACGCTCATCTTCATTTTAATGATCTTGTGAGGCTTGTATCCAATGACCTCAAACTCATCCTCCTTCCAACCATCAACGACCGCGCTGCCCCGGTCATCACGCTTAATGCGCAGCTCGGGGAACTCCGTTGGTTCCCGAGCAAGCTGCTCATTAAGCGCATCGATGTGGTCAAGATAGACATGGGCATCACCCATAGTATGAATGAGAGTTCCGGGATGAAGATCCGCGGCGTGTGCAAGGATATGAGTGAGAAGAGCGTAGGACGCGATATTGAAGGGCACACCAAGACCCATATCACAAGAGCGCTGGTAGAGCATGCAGGACAAGGTGCCCTTCTCCGATGGACGGCCAGTCTTTTCATCGAGCTTCATGCCAGGCGGGAACGAGACGTAAAACTGGGCGAACATATGGCACGGGGGCAGAGCCATCTTTTTCAGATCAGCCGGGTTCCACGCGCTCATGATGATGCGACGATCGAAGGGGTTATGGATGAGCTTGTGCACAACATCTTTGAGCTGGTCGACACCCTGGCCGGTGTAATCCGTTTTGGCGTCGACATACTCGGCGCCAAAGTGCCGCCACTGGAATCCATACACGGGTCCTAGATCGCCTTCTTCGCGGTGGCCGAGGCCGGATTTATCCAGAAACTCGCGGCTTCCATTTCCGTCCCAAATCTTAATCCCGGCTTCGGAGAGTGGAAGGGAGGAGGTGCAGCCAGAGATGAACCAGAGTAGTTCGGCGAGCACGGCGCGTAGAAAGACTCGCTTCGTGGTGAGGAGGGGCAAGAGGGGTAGTGGCTCGCCGCCTTCTGGGTTCGGCTTCGAGAGAGAGAACCGTAATTGCGGTGGTGCAAAAATTGATTGCGTGCCGGTGCCGGTGCGGTCAGGTCTATGCTCGCCTTCGGAAAGGATTGTGCGTATCAAGTTGAGGTATTGGTGCTCTTCATGCGAGGGGTCGTGTGGCGGCGAGGATGCCGCGGGGGCTGCGGCGACTTGGTCTTGAGTCATGATGTAGAATGAATTAGTAAGAGATGGGCTACCAGACGATATCTTGATGTTTGTTGGTAGACAAGTGGACAATGGAGGAGGGGATCTTGGAGATCGGTGGATCGCGTCGACGCGACACGTAGTCACGTGTCGACCTCGTGTTTTATAGTGCATAATGCACCAACCAACTTATTCAGGGAAATTATCCAATCAACTTTTAGTTCGCTGTTATGGATCAACATGCGTTGCCTTACTTGTACACGATATTTACGCAAAATACTGGTATTCTTCCCTAAAGTATCAACATGAATACTGACATACGAACCCCATTTGAAGCCCATGACGAATTTCAACAAACCACTACACATTTTCCCGCCAATTAGGAGATATGTCATAACAACAATAATAATAGTTCTAGACTAGGGTACTCATGTGTTATTTTCAGTAAATATTTGATAAGATGCACTCTATGTTCAGTCAACTTAACACCGCTGGAATGGATGCACGCGCTTTTCTATGGTATGAAGTGAATCTCTCGTCATTTCTTTCTTCAAGACACTTCGCATTTGATCAGAATTAGCGATCATGCGGTCATGAATCTGCCAACAAGTCCACTCCAACTCCCCGCAGAGCACCTACAGCCCACTCGGGGAAGTTTGATTTATCGCCTCTATAGATATCGGAGAAGAACTTGCGAAGGAAAGCCGGGTATTGGTCATCAATGATGGCCTGTCGGATTTTGCCCATCATGGTCAACATGTAATGGACATTATGGATAGTCAAACTGTAGAAGTATTAGAACCGAAAGAAGATATTGCGGCCAGTCCACACTTACAGATGAGCGCCGACGGTCTCTTTGGCTGTGATGTGATGCATGTATGCTCGCGTGAGCCCAAGGCCACCTTGGTTAGTTGGACGACAGCAAGTGCAGGTACAGCCCTCCTCAACTGGACCATAGTCATCAGCGAACGATTTATGGCTTAGTTTCAGGGTCCCAGAGGAGACGATAGCATCGCCGAAGCGCTAGTTGATGTCAGTGCAAGAACCAAACCGGAGGGTTCGTTGAGTCTTACCGCTGTCCGTGTCGGCCAAACACAGTCAAACATATCTGCACCGAGAGCCACTGCTACAACAATATCCTCGGGGTATCCCTGGTTTTTGTGATTAGCCAAGGCAGAAGAACCGATCCAGTAAGACATACCACGCCCATGACGTATCTGGGTTTATGTTCCGGGAGAATATCAGTGCATGTATCCACTCTTTGGTTGGTCAGTTCATTCGTCTTTCTTTTTGGTGAAAGTAGAGGCACATACACTTTGCAGAACTCCTCCTTCGCCTCACCACCAGATAGACCTCCAATGGCGATTCCTGGAGTATCTCGCGCTACCATCTCTTCACAGCACTGCTTTCGCAATTCGAGATCCAGACCACCCTGGATGATACAAAAGAGGTTTTGTCGCTCGGGATATTTATGCTCCTCAATGCACCGATCTAGCCATCGCACAGAGCGGTCTGTAGCCTCCTTGATGCGAGCATGATCTGGCGAAGTGGTCGCAATCACATCGTCTAATTGCATGATAATATCAGATCCGATAGAATTTTGGAGAGAAATGGAGTGTTCGGGAGTCAGTAACCTGGTAAAAAGTCAGCATTTCGGATGTTCAGCTACACGGTTTACAGCGAAGCCACCTACATTGGCGAGCCATCGTGCGGGCTAAGGAATCGCACTCCTTCCTCTGTAACAGTCGCCAACTGCAGAAGCGACACCATCTGGAAACTGAGTAACAGCATACCCGGTTAGTAACATACTATAAATGTGTGAGGGGAGGGTAGTATATCTCACCCCCCACTATCGGTCAAGAGATTCCGATCCCAGCCTTGTAACTTATGCGCTCCGCCCACTGCATCCAGTACCGCCTGACCGGGCTTCAGACCTAAGTGATATGTATTATTCAAACACAGCATGCATCCCGTCTCTCGCAGCTGGTCGTATGTTAGGCCCTTGAGAGATGCCTGTGTCGCGACGGGCATGAAGATCGGCAGAGGCACTGAACCATGGGGCAGGTGAAGGGTACTCGCGCGGGCCTTAGTTGTCTATTTGCACCATAACACGCATCAGATATATGGTACGTAGGTTTTAAATGGCGTGCCACAAGGACGTACCGAGCATTTGGCGTGACGATCAAAGGTTAATGCGGAGGGCATCGATTTGCGGGTGGGAGCGGTGGTAGTCGACATAGTTGCGATTGATATGGATAGAGTCGAATATGATATTTTAGCGAGGCGCTTGGCTAGCACACGGTGGCATAGCATGGGGGAGGGGTGGTTTAAGTGTTTGCGATGCGATCAGGAACACTTTTATCTGATAAGCTGTTTGTCTGGTTTGCATCATGAGGCTCAGTTTTGCTTTTATACAACACGCGCTCTACGCAAATATATAATTTGGATATTTTTGAACTTGTTGGTATGAGAAGCCCTTCGATGCTCTATGATCTCGACGTTGGAGATATTTTCATTTCGCCTTAGTTGAGTCTCTCAATATTGCCAGCGAATCATGTTGCTCTCCGACAAAATTAACCCATAGCCTGCAGAATACTTACAAAAAGATTATTCAATACTTGAAATGTTAACGATAGCCTTGCTTGTCGCTATCAATGCTCCTTGTCTTAACTATTTTTGACGTCGATCCCAGACGTCCTTGAGATCTTGATGTGGAGATCCGGGGAAGCCCCCATTCAGGGGAAACAAGAGACGGTAATCAATTTCCCCCTAGATGTGTATGAAGCGTCGTTTTAAACCCGGAAAATCAACTCTTCAAACTCCAGGTGTAGTCCCGAAATCGGATACCACCAATACCCCAATGCCGGTGAGGCATCGGAGGAATGCCGAGTCCCTCTAGTGCGGGGGACAAAATCCCGGGGAAGCTAACTCACACAGGGGGGAAAAGAAAGCGAAAAAAAGACTGTCTTTTCTAATTTTCTTGTTCCTGACACAACTCTTGTGTGCTTGCTTGGCAAAGTCTTGTAAATATGGCAACCGAAAAATACATGCCAGATGTTGAACAAGCTTCAGAGGTATCTTTTTCCCTTCCCCCTTGTGATAGAACCTACTGGTGTTGTGGTGAGCCTAAAAGGACTGACAGTAGTGCAGATTGCCAGCCCCGATGTTGTCGACGATGCTCTCAAAGCACGCGAAAAGGCCTTGGTCTGGAAACAAGATCTACGTATCGTTCCCTTGTGCGCTGCAATTTACTTGCTTTGCTATCTCGATCGCTCTAACATCGGTATGTCTCCGGCCCCCCATGTTGGATGGACTTGAAGCTAAATATCTAGGCAATGCCAAAATTTTGAATTCGAATACTCACAATGATCTTCTCTCGGAGACTCATATGACGTCGTATCAGTACACGTGAGTCGCACTCATTGATTAACCACGACAATCCAAAGCGCTGACATACAAAAGAATTGCACTCATGGTATTTCTGATCGCCTATGCACTGTTCGAAGTCCCATCAAACTACTTCTTGAAGAAGCTCCGCCCAAGTGTGCGTCTAAACCAATCCAAACACATTATCTATTCCCAATTATTACAATTCCACTAACAAACACCAGCGCTGGATCGCCTTCCTCATGCTCTCGTGGGGCGCAACAACAATGGGTCTCGGCGGCGTCCACAACTACGCCCAAGTCACAGGACTCCGATTCCTCCTCGGCGTGATGGAGGCTGGCCTCTTCCCTGGCTTCGTATATTACCTTACATTCTGGTACCGCAACTCCGAGCGATCGATCCGCGTAGCCCTGATTCTCGCTTCGGCAACACTAGCTGGAGCATTTGGTGGTGCTATCGCCTTTGGTGTGGGCCATATGAATGGCGCTCATGGCCTTTCTGCTTGGAGGTGGCTGTTTATCATTGAGGGTGCTCCATCGTGCGCGTCTGCCGTTTTGGTCTGGTTCGTGTTGCCGGATTACCCAGAGACTGCTAATTGGCTTACTGCCGAGGAGAAGGAGCTTGCTGCGCAGAGGTTGATTTTGGAAGGATCTAAGGGTTCTGCCCATGCTATGTCTTGGGAGGATGCTAAGGCTACGCTGACGGATTGGAGATTGTATGCTCATTATGCGGTATGTTTTCTGTGCCTTTTTCTCTTGCCAATTTCTGGAAGATTAATGAGATAAAAGGTATACTTCGGCATCTCAACGCCATTTTCGAGTCTTTCTCTTTTTACGCCTGCCATCACCGCTGGCCTGGGATACTCTAATCTCCGTGCTCAGCTGATGACCGTGCCTCCGTACGCGGTAGCCTATGTCGTGACTATAGCCGTGGCCTGGTCTGCAGACTACTTCAACAGGTAAATTGTCTTTTATCTTGAAGTATACCAAGTCACTAACCTGATATCATTCATTTACAGCCGTGGTCTCCATTCAGCCATATTCTCTTTCATCGGGGCAATTGGCTTCCTCGCCTCCGCAGTTCTCCCCGCCAGTGCATATCTAGTAAGTCATCCAATCATCCCAAGCGCGCACCAAGTTAATGAGCGTCATCAATTAACTCAAAACCCCAGAGCCGCTACGGATGCCTCATAGTGGCGGCCAGTGGCGCCTTCGCCTGCATCCCACCTCTACTAGGCTGGCTATCCTCCAATATCAGCTCAACAGCCGGTGCGGGACTCGCAATTGCACTCAACGTATCGTTCGGTGCCCCAGGCCAGATCGTCGGCGTCTGGATCTATAAAAGCGACGAAGCCAAGATCGGATATCCAACCGGCCATTGGACAAATGCAGCATTGCTTTTCTTTGTGACAGCCGGCTGTATTTTATTGAGGCTCTACTATGGGTGGCGCAATCGCCGTGGAGACGGGGCAAGAGATGGAAAGAGTTTCGCGTATTAGATTGGTAGGGCTGGAAGATTGTGGTGAAAATCGATAGGATTCGGTTTACGAGCTGCCGGGTGTACATGTCGTATATGTTTGGAACTGCATGCATCTGAGTCATAAAATAGATGGATATCTGAAGTAATTAATTTTAATGACAAATTATGAATTCTCGATAATTTGTATAGAGTACAAACAGCAAATGGATAACTTCGGCTCCACTATCTACATAATGCACGGAGTGAAGTACAAGGTTAAGATCTGTATTGTACATGTCGGCTGAGTCTCTAACTAATGCCCCCTTGCCTAGATTTTCAAATTAAAATCATAGTCCAGATCCGCATGAACCCTATATATAATGCAGTAAATAATAGTCGCAGCTATTCAATCAATAAAAATGGCCCATCCCAACCATCTGGATCTAGCAACACCCGCCGCCACCATCTCCTCCTCCACCACCTCCACCATCTCCACCTCCGCCATCTCCACCTCCAGCAATAGTAGCAGCGTTTCGACGTGCGCGACGCTGCTTTTTATTTTTAGATGCTTTGTAGTCCTTGTTGTATGTGTACTGGCTGTAGGCGTCATGGCCGTAGTAAGCGCGCCGCGGGGGTGGAGAGTCATATGCCTCTCTGCGCGATAAGCCAAAACACATATTCGTGTTGAAGGGGCCTGTTTGAAATGGGGCAGATAGCAGTTTGATGCTTTGGATTTCTCGTATATTTTAGAAAGTGCTTGGTTTGAGGTAGATTTGTCGTTGGGTTGGCTACGGCGAGGGAATAATTAATTATATAGTGTTCCAACACCAAATCTTTGGTTTCTGCCTGGCATTGAAAAGCTTTAGCGTCTTAAGTAACTTGATTTTTACCTGCTCTCTCGTATAAGTCGATCGACATAGCCACCGCCCGAGAAGGGCTGAGTACTTCGTACAAATATGGCGAATCGACCATATAAAGCAAGAGTCTTGGCTATCACTCTTCAGAGGGTTTGTATAATGTACAATCCTAGGTGGCAATACACTGAACATAATGTTAGCCCTAATTAATTGGAAGATCTATCTTTAGATGATTTTCTAGCACCTCGAGTTCATCCGAGGCCTACAATGAGTTGGTCAAAATAGACAATAAGATATTATTTATTAGAGTTCAGCGTTCCATGGTTCAGTCCAAAGTAACTGACCAACATCCAACGTCGAGTCTACAACGTACTTTTGTAGAAATATATCCTTCTCAACGCCAGGTGGCTAAAACTAATAATCTGTTTTTAATACAACGTATTTGATTCATTTACATCGTCGGTCATTTGGAATGCTGCCCAACTCGACCGCTGTGCATCGGGAATTAATGTTTGGCTTGACACATGGCCAACGCTGTGCTACCCGCAGATGTGTAAGTTCGGGCGGGAGGCCAATGCGGGAAGAACCCGCGATGATCAACAGTACCTCAAACGAGGGTAAACATGTACAACACCATTTTCTAGAAAGGGGTGAGTCTGTTCCAGCCGGTGGTGGTCATGGACCATGGATCCGTCAGTATACCCGTCATTAGTTAAAAAACAAGGGAAAGAGAGAATTCACCCATAAAAGTCCTGTCGATAGATATTCTGTAATCGTGTAATAAGAAACAAAAGAGAACAATCTGATAGAAACCAAACCCCGACCATTACAGTCCCAAGTCCAATACCATCCATATATGATACCAACGTAATAGATAACCTGGTCCGGTTCCATGTCCGAACTTCCAAAACCAAAGACAAACTAACAAGAGACAACAGATATCAAAGAAACTCCCTCTGTCAGGCGCAGACACCCGTTCTGAACCAGGAAAGACAAAATAAAGCAAAACGTATCGAATAATCAGGTGGATCGTAAAACAAAATCCAAATCCAAATTCTAGACAAGTAGATGGCCGGAAAATGAAAAATTCTGTCCCGTCTTAATCCTGTAACTCCTCCTTGTGACCTTTTGTTCCAAATTGCTTCCATCGCCACATTTGCGATGTCGCATCGGGCTTGAGATTAGGACAAGTCGCCTTGCATCCGCGGTGGCACAGACACACGCATTCGTCCGTAGCTCCAGGGGGGACGAAGCAGCAGGGGGTAGCATCTATTACAAATGCCACCTTGCACTTATCGACAATGCCGCAAATATAATTGCCATCTGAACCGCGTAGCAGGGAGTAGCCATTGGGAATTGTCCCAGATATGACATCAAACCCGCTCGAGCATGACAAGTCATATGTTCTCGAAGGGACAAGCAGCAGTCACTTGAGACAATACATGAGACCCGAGCCCCTCGCCTCATCAAGTGGTAGTAAGCATCTGGCCCGATTTGCAGTCGGGTTTGCCCTTAGGCAGACAGCGCAGCAAGAGCAGAGACAAATCAAATGCAAAAGGCGACCCGTACGAACCCAAATTGGGAGAGATAGAAACAATAATTGGACACCAAAAAAAACGTATGTGGGATCTTCTCCAAAGACATACGTATATGCACTCCCAGAAGACACGTATGTGGGGGGCGCGCTGAAAAGAGCCAAAAGGGAGTCTGATTCACGATGCATCACACGAGGCCTGACAACATCCAGACACAGTATCATGTACCTGGGCGGTCCGTATCCCGGGTGTGGTGTGTCACGACCGGTGCTGATGTTTCACGAAGGCGAAACAAGGTAGTGACCTGCATTTGGAAGTGGTCATCCGGGGCAGGGATGGTGCATGGTGCATGGTGCATGGTGCATTTTTCTTTTTTTAAATTATTTGTCCATCTTTCTGGTGCCAAAAATCATCCCACCAGAGCCCATGACATGGAATCCGCATTGTAGTGAGCCATTGTGGGCAGGACTTGCAGAAACCGGCAAGATGTGGTTGTCGAGAAGGGATAGTGCATGCATCAGCGAGACTCGGGGAGAAAAAGGTGTCGACACGAGAAAGAGGTGGGAGGGGAGTGCGGTGAAGGGGATATGTTTTTTTTTTCCTGCAGTCAAAAACGCAAGTGAGAGAGCAACGCGACAACAAAGGTATGGGGTTTTTGTATCGGGTAGGACTTGTGGATCCCCGAGGGCCTTTCACAACAGGTGGAAAACAAACCAGAACAAGCATCCACCACACCAAGAAATGAAAAACAACAGAGTTCAGGATCAACGTCAGAATCAAGAACCAAAAAATTTGATAAAAACACAAGAAGTGAAGAGAATGCCACCCAAGACTACTAGGAAATATTTGAAATAAAGAAGATGATCAGAACCCGCCAGCTCCGCGACCATAGCCGGCCGACGTTGCCTGCGGGAACAGCTGACCCTGATAGACAGTAGCAGCCCGGGGCTGCTGGTTCAGGGTCTTGAGGGCAACCTCGGCGGCGTCCTCTTTGGCATTGTTGATAAACTGACCGTCATACCAGTAACGAGCGGCGATATTCTGGCCTTGGCCCTGGACGGTGACGGTGACGGTACTGGACCAAGCAGTACGACCTCCTGCAATTCCGAGATAAAAGTGATTAGCTTTCTGCTGCCAAAAGCTCGGAAACTAAAAGTCGGTGTACAAGTGAAGGGGGGGGGTTTTTCTCTGTCATTTTCTGCAAGACTCCACTCCTTTCTGCAATGCCCACACACGAGACACATAGCGGTGGATAAAGGCACGCCGTGTGCATGTGTATTGGACCAGGGAATGAGAGGGAAATAAATAATCTTGTTCTGCAGCATGGGAAGACGGTGGATGGAGACTGAGGGGGAGGAGGAGGAGGAGGATTGGAAATCGGGTAAGTACCTCGCCGATCGGAGACAATGTTGAAGACGGGAAGAGACAGCTTGTTGCCTTTGCAATAATCTGGAGATGGTTAGTCGAATATCCTTGTCATCTGGGAGAGAATCTAGGACCGCTGAGGCTTGACCACGCATTCCAATGGCTTACCCTCGAGCTGGACCTGCCAGCTGGGCCTACTGCCAACACTATTCCCTTGGGGGCTGGTAGTGTACGACATTGTTGCTTCGTAGAGAAATGGAATAGCGGGGGAGCTGTCAAGCTTTGCAATTGAGGTGGTATGAAGTGGGATTGAAGGTGGGGAGGATATGAGTCCACGATAGTGTCTGTTAATAACCCAATTGAAGATGAAGATCAAAAGTTAAAAAAGAAGGCAAACTTCGAGGGGAAACCACAAGAAGATATAAAAGAAAGAACAGAACCAGATGAGCTCAATTGGACCCGGTTGGAATCTCTAGAGATCTTCTTAAATGTATTTTTCAATGACCTTAAAACGAGGACAACATGGGGAGCGGGGAGTCATATAAACAGTGGGCCATATCTTCAAGGCCAGGAAAGAAAACCCCGTGGTTTTTTTCTCTGTTTTTTTATTTTATTTTAGTATTTCTTTTTTTCCTCTACATTTTTTAAAAATATTTTATTTTCCCCCCTAGGAACAAACAGGAGCCTAACTGTCAAACCTAACATAGGAGGGGGCTTATGCATGTCGATGTGGACATGGCACAGCGTCAGCCAAATCCCCCCTCCCTTATCCACCAGTCAAGGAACGTAGGCGAAGAGTATGCGGATCATTTTGAGGCTGCAACCTGGAACGGCCCGGCGCACGCCGACTAAGCAAAAAACAGCCCTTGAAGAAACGCTAGACAGCACGTAAGGGCTATGGAAGGAAGAGGGGCAAACCGGATGTTCCCAAGTTAGTTCCCGCTCTATGATAGATAGGGAGATATTGGCTAATGCTCCTAGGATCCAGAATAAATGACACCTTTTTCGGAAGAAGGTTGGACGCGGATTGGATGGAAAAAGTGAACAACTCAGAGAACCCCACGTTGGTTTTTTTTTCCTTTTGGATTTGCATGCGATTTTCATTCTGGATTTTTCATTTTTTTTCTTTCTTTTTTACTCTCTCGCCTCACTTGAGCACAAGTACCTTAGGGCAAGGAAAAAGAAACCAAAAACATTATAATCTCCCGAGATTAGTTTGCGCATGGACTTGAACCGTATCGGCGGAACGGCGGGCTTCTGGAACAACCATGAGGGACTGCATGAGGGGTAGAGAGAGCTGTGGGTGACTCTGCCCAAAAAGCGGAGCCCGTGGCCACAGCGTCAGTGTCATAGCTTTGATTGTTTAATTGTTTTTCGGGTCTTAGAGGATGTGGAAGATGCCCGAAATGTAGATTCAACCCCCAAGTTGGGCCGCATTGGAAAGCGTTGCCAGCTCATCATGATGGATGATATCATGATTACTTCGGAGAAGTCGACCTTCACACATTGTTGACTGGGAAGGAGGTGCTGGGCACCCCTAAAGCCACAGACCGGGCCGCCCTGCATGAACAGTTGCTGTCGGGCCCAGGATCAACATGAAGAGAGGTAAAAAGGACAAAGCGATGGAATGAGGCGAGATGGGAGGCATTTCCGTCGGAGAAACGTCAGAAAGGCTTCAAGAGGCCGTGTGTTGCAGAGATCTCGAACAAAGATACGGCCAAGAACCCCCTGGTTCATTTTCATGTTGTCGGCTAGTCCCGTCAGGTTAACCGCCTGATGTGCAGAGACCCCCATACAAGGAAATTCATCGACAGTTCATTTGTTATTGTTCAGAGACAACTTGAATATCCTAGTTGGAGCGAATGGGTGTTCGCTTTGGCAGAGAAGTGTTGGGCATTCATGCAGAGTCGACAATATCCTCAACCATGGTTCTCAGTAATGCGGCTAACATCGAGTATGCACGAAACACGTAGAGAAACAGCCGATGGTCGACAGGGGACTAGGCCAGCACATTATAACATTATGGGGCGTCTAAAATATTGGAAAAAGAAAATGAATGAGGGGCTTGCCCCGCACCCAATCTTGATCTGTTGAAGTACATCTATACATGTATGCTGCGCAGTAGACTACATAAGTACCACGTACAAAGTTGGTACCTACAGTAGTAGATGTAGTAGACCAGTATACTAGCATACTAAGAATACATACTGGGTATCATATTGGCTATTTCTTGAATTTCCATAAGGCAGCAAGGCCAGGGGTGTTCTTTGGGCTGTTACTCGCGCTAAAAACCAAAAGATTCATCCAGAACCAATCGATCATGAGCCCCAAACAATAGTACTGACATTTCTTCATATGGTACGCTAGTCTATTCATTTTTCACCCTGCATTCTGAGGAAAGTCATAGATGAGTGTGTAGGGTGTACATGCATTTTTGGTCAAAGATCAATAGGTCAAGAGAGAACGACGCATCTAGCTCGAGTCTCGAACCATGGTTCGTACAGTAAGACTAGCTCTAGCTCAAAAATAGAACCATGGTTCAGCATTGGGCGGTCAGACCCGTGGACTCTACGTGGTATGCAACGCCAGCATAGCAATAAACCTTTGGAAAGGATGTGAGATGAAATTGTAAGCTATCATGCTCGGCTCCAATTCATCAAAATGGAAAACGCCCAAATCTGCAAGCCTGCTTGGTTCCCTGTCAGATCCGTATTAGAGGATCGCCCGGAATTAGGCTGCTCGAGTCCCCGGGGTCCCGTTAAACCCAGATGACTCGTGTCGATGAACAACAAAGATGAGGCAAAAAGGATGAAGGATGAAAAGGCAAAAAAATTAAAAAAAATTGGAGGCATGGCAGGAATCATCCACAAGAAGAAGAAGAAGCTAAACCAGAACAATAACAAAACATTCATATCCCGCGTCATTCACATCATTAATTCATTAAAGGCAGCGTCAAGCCCCTGTGCGCCATAAATATCGCGACTAATGCAGGACCAACTCATCCATCTAGTTGATCTCATCATAAACCATCATTGTCTGGTCTTGGAGCCGAGGGCAACTGTGTCGCTTAGGCGGATCCTCTCCGCTGCAATACTTGGCCGATCAGGCGCCGAGGGCCCATGCGCTCTAGGCTCTTTACTAGCGAGTGCTGAGCGGGCAGGATCCAAGACGGACGCCGCTCATGATGCCAGCGACGACGAATGCAGTCGTCAACTAGCGCAACTATCCCTGTTGCGACAATCACACTGAAAAAAAAAGCGAACCGATTCATCAGCCTCATGCCTCATCATCACTTTGTGCAGGAGTAGTATTGTGCATTGCACATGGTGCATGCGTTGGTGCATTGTACACGAACCACGCACCCCCTTATACGAACCACAGAAAAAGAAAAGAGAGACAAAAAGAGGGGAAAGACACAACAAAACAAAAAGCAAATAGGGTCAAGGCCAGAGCCAGAGCCAGAGCTAGCACCAGAAAGCAAAACTAGCCAGGTGGTTGAGGGGTAGGGCAGGGATTCAGGATAACTTACTCGGCAACATCAGGCATCGTTTTGTAAACTTCAGGGTCACTGATCCACAATGAAGAAGGCGGCACCCAACCACCCTTACTCTCCTCCTCAACAACCTCCAGCGGCGCCAGCGTATCCGGCACCAAATGAGCAATAGTCTTAGAAGTGCGCGTGTCAACCAAGAAATAAGACACTTCATGCAGATCACCCTCTTTGCGGACCTCCCTCCGCCACTGGTACTTCGTGGACCAATACTCAAACTCATATTTCTTAGTCGAGCCAGGGCCTTTGCGGCGCAGCTCGACATGCGCATAATTCGAGAATTCGAGCAAAATCGACTCACCCAGTATCGGCAAAGCGCCCTGTCCTTCCTTCTCCAACTCATCCTTCTCAGTTGTTCTCTTATCTACCTCTTCTCCTGCAACATGTCCATGTCCACTGTCAGCCCCAAGCCCTGAATCTTGCCTCTTAAGCTCCCCGTTCGGCGGGCAATGACCACCGGCTGAACCAGGCCTAAGCCCAGCAAAAACATTACTCCACGAGGAGCGCAGCACAGGCCTTCGCTCATGAGCAGGTACGACCTCTCGCCTTGCAGAATGGCACACCTCGCGCCCCGAGTCCCGGCAGTACCGCCGGAGCGAGAACTTCCGCGAGAAGAGGTCGTACATGCGCAGGTGGAAGAGAATGACGTCGCGCTGCGAGCCGTCACGGAGGTGGACGGACGTATCGACGCGCAAGTTCATGTTTCCGTCGATGGTTGCATCGTCGTGACGGATGAGCAGTCGCCGCGAGGAGGGGAATAGTGGCGCAAAGGAGGAAGGTGTTGAGGGGATTGCGTCTAGTGGGTAGAATTCTTGCCGTTCATTTACGCAGTAGCGGCCTTCGTGGGGGCTTGTGGGCTCGATTGGTTCGGGCTCTGGGTCGAACTCGGCTGTGGAGTATGTTGTTGAGGCGTATGTTGAGGTTGAGGCGTGAGGATGTGGGTCGCGGCACTCGTACTTAACTTCGGCTTTGGATTCGGATCTGTAGGTGTGTTTTTGGTTGGCTGGATTGGTGACCCAGTCGCTTTTGTGTGGTTTGGGGGCTATTCGTTCGCTGTGGATTGTTGCTGCCGTGCTTTTTGACGATGAGCTGTCTGTTGAGCTGTAGCTGCCGGCTTGGCAGGATTTATAGGAGCCCATGGTGGTTGTGAGGTTGTTTGAGTTATAGGTGTGTATATGTATGTGTTCCACTGATCTACAGTGAAATAGGCGAAGAAGGGTAGAAGAAGTGGATAAAAGCCAGAAGTAACATCAAGATCAGCCGTAAGTAAGCCGCAGGTGGTGTGGTTGACCAAATAAGGTATATCAGAGCAAAAGCGATCACACCCGGCGTTTGGGCCTGTAGATAGTCCGGTTGATTCCGCGAGCCAAGGAGGGGTCAGATTCTCATAACATGGGGCACCGAGGAATAATAACAGTGACAAGGGACATTAGAGTGATATCTCCAGGGTTATTATCAGGGTTATTACAAGTGAAAGCGAGAAAGAGGATCATATGATTGAGAGAGCGAAAAGAGGGAAAAGGGCAGGGGTGGGGGATTTCCTGTTTGAGAAGAAAAAAATATATAGAATAAAATATCGGGGGAGGAATTGGGGAGAATGTGAAAGAGAGGGGAAAAAGCAAATAGAAAAGGAGTTTGAACATAAGAAGTCAAAAATCAAGTCAGTGAGAATGTGGAAAACTGGACTGTCACAATGTGGGAAGTATTTAGAACATTTTGGGGGGGGGAGGGATGGAGAGAATGTTCAACTCGTCATTTTTGGGTACCCGACTCTTTGTTCTACACACAATCAACAGATTTACGAGAGCCACACTGCCGCACCTAATTATCACAGACCGTACCACAAATGGAAATACAAGAAAAAGAAAAAGAGAAAGAGAAAAAATGAAACAGAAAATCAGCCACACATCCTGGGCTATGAGGGACTCTACCTATAAGGGGTGATAGAAGTCCTCTCTTGCGCATTATGTGCTGTGTGGTGGTCCCTGTGTCTCGTCTTCATTCGTGGCTTCGCCCTTCCTTTTGCTTTTTGTTTCCCGACAGAGAACCAGTGAGATTGCGGGGGCCTGCATCGAATTGGTCTGGACACGAGATTCCCTGAACTCCGTACTCCGTACCTAGAGAGATAGGTACTTAGATGGTTGCTTTTTGTTATGTCAGGGCTCGGGCCCTCTAGGGTCCAAGCACTTAGGAATTCTTATACGCTATACATTATACGGAGTAGGGAGTAATATGTACAGAACATCAAGTTTCGAAGAGGCATCCCTTTATACATGTGCATATCTCAGGCGTCATGAGAACCTTGGAAACCGTGGGCCCCACGGTCCGTTCCGATCCATTGTTGTGTGGTGGAGACGTAATAGCCGACTTATACATGTATCTATGGATACTTGATAGGACTACGTATATATTATTGTACGTAAGATTATATATAACTGTACTAGTATTCTACTAGTATCATGCCATATTGAAGAAGGTTCCGACCTGTTCCTAGGCAGTTCGCCCTGGACCACCAATTAAAGAGGCGACGCCAAAATTCTTCCGATCGTACGATCTATCTAATTTTCTTAACGGTCATGTCTTAGGCCCTGGCATGACGACATAGGATCGGCTAGTCTTAGCGCACAGACTTAGACCTATCGACAATCGCGAGAACGAAGGGGGTTCTACGATTTTCGAAGTCTTCACTCCGATCTGATTGAACAAACACCAACACGATGAACTCATAGTCCTCACTAACCATAGTTCGATCGACAATTGATCAACACTGCATCAGTGCTACGAGAAAATATCCCTTGGCCTGGATTACGACCGAGAAAATATGTCCAATAAAATCTATATATGACCACCCGTAGCCGAGAGACCGCGTCCGGGTTCATGTTGAGATGATTACGATATCCGTGAACGTGACCCCGGACGGCAACCGAAACATATGTCCAATCTGGAAGACAGAAGCGAAGAAACAAGAATGCAGCAGTCTACACCTGCGCATAGAGAGGCCGAGGAAGCTCCTCACCGGGCTTGATCAAGGTCTCTGAATGACAAGCTGGGTGGGAAACGAGCCCAGTACGGCTTCCTTGGACCGGGGGTCGGAAGCCCACATAGGCTTCTCGTCGGTCTTCTACTGTGACAGACCAAGTGTGCAATCCATAGTAGGATGCGATGGAGTGGACCAACCAGCGACTGAGAAGTGTCAGCGGACTGGATAATTTCGCTATCATGGCGGGAGAAAAGGCTTTAAAACATACCCGAATCCAGCGGCACGATCATCAGACAGAGTCTCAAGCACCATCTTCTCACCATCCCGCTCGCTGTGGGAGCTGATCTCCTCTCTAAGCAGGCGGAGTCTCTCCTTCCGCTCGGGAGAGTCGTGCATCTGCCCATTACGACCGACAAAGACGATCTCATCTTCCGAGTCACTAGCCGAGTTCTCGGGAGCATCCCGCAACCCCTCTTTCTCAAGCAGAACCTCCCTCTCATTCCATTTCTGAATAAACGTACGGATTTCATCTTCCAGATCTCGGAGCATGCCATGCGCAGCACGCGCGTGCTTCAGCTTAGACCTCAGTTCCTTCGGAATGTGACGCTTCTCATTAGCTCTCTCGGCAGCCTTCACAGCCGACTGGTGATCCGCCACATGGGAATAGTGAACGTCCCACAGGGGCGCAAGATAATAAGGCATCGGGTCATGCCGAGGATAGGTAGGTTGGACATCCCAGTCCTTTGAAGACGGCGGTTCCGCCCAGGGGTTGTGCAACAGACGATCTTGGTGCCTGGTCAGCATTTGCCTGCCAAACCTGCGCCAAAGGCAAAAAGGTACAAGTCGGCATTCACCGCGATCTATCTAGTGCATATACAACGTACCGTTCTCCCAGCGCTGTCTCCGACGGCTGCCATCTTTGCCTTTGAGCAGAGCCTCCCGAGTCTTGAGGCCATCCCGGCGCAGAGGCTCCCGACGTCGGAAGCTGACTGTTGGGGGGCGGGACTCGACCTTGACTCGTTGGGATGGGATCGTTTCGTCGTCAAGAGGTATCGACAGCGAAACGGTGGCTCCGCGCATACCCGAGCGCGTCGGGGTCGGTGTGGATGGTGTCCTCACTGCAGGGGCTGAGTCCGATAGGGTCATGTCCTGCAGGGACGCTGCTGCATGTTGCTCTGTCCATGCGGAGATGGCTAGGGCTTGTTGCGGCGACAGGTGCCCTTGCGAACCTTCTGGGCGCAGGCGTGGATGGATAGCCATAATGTATTCAATGCGGTCTAATGAAGGCAACAGTTCTAGGGACGAAGAGGGATAAGGATGGGATAGGAATGGGCAAGATAAGGACCTGGGAGGGATGATACGCAAGGTTGTCTGCACGGGACAACTCGCTGGACGCTGATTGGTGGGAGGTGGGTACCTGATAGCCCTAGCCCTATTTTCCTATTTTGGGATAATATTGGGAATTGGCCCTCGGGGCCAGAGTGTGGAGATATCGAGGCTGTACTTCGTATAATGTACACTAGCTCAAGGCTGTATAAGGAGTAGCTAGGCAGTCAATCCTTATATTCTTCACCAGCTCTATACGAGCCTTATCTCCGCAGGGCTGTGAGTCATGGCGCAGTCATAGTGGAGTTTTCTTTTCCTCCATTCTCCACCTTCAATCCCCAGACTCGCCGAGTCATGTCTATGCCTTTGGTGCTTTGAGGTGCTGATGCCTTTTGAATTTGAGTATCTCGAACATGATCTTGCGAGCCGATATATTCCATGTCAGAGATTTCAACGCTAAACCGGATATACCGGAAGTCCGTTCTAAGAATAATATGATACAGAGCCTCGGTATTTTAGCGCGCGGGGTCCAAAAATGGCTTGGCGCAGGGCGCGTGCCCAATACCTCCTCAGAGCTTTTAAAAGAAACCTTACTCCCTCTCTAGACCCTTATTCTTCTTATCCTTATTTTTCATCATGAAGTTCCTCACTCTTGCGCTGAGCGCAACGGCAACTGCCATGGTCATAGTCAACCCAGAGCAACAACCTCTTGCACCCTCAATTGTTCAAACCTCTCAGTCCAAGTCTCTAATCGAACTGGCCCCATACCGAACTCGATGGGTAACCGAAGAAGAAAAATGGTCGCTCAAGCTGGTAAGCCAAGTTCTGACTCGAAATCTAATCATGACATACTAACGCGCCCCACCAGGACGGAGTGAACTTCATCGATGTCACCGATGAATACCAATCAGGCTCCTACGGAACCCTCCACACCGCACGGGTCGTCCACTACCCAGAGGCCATGGAGCACTCACACGAGATTCTGCCCTTGACCGAAACCCTCGACAAGAGTAACATGAGAAGCAACCTGGAACACTTCACGTCCTTTTACACGCGCTACTACAAGTCACAAACGGGAATTGAGTCAGCAACCTGGCTATTCGACCAAGTGACTGCTGCAGTGCGCGAGTCTGGCGCCAGCGACCACGGTGCAACCGTCGAGCGCTTCGCCCATCCCTGGGGCCAGTTTAGCATTATCGCCCGCATTCCCGGCCAGACGAACAACACCGTCGTCCTCGGTTCCCATCAGGATAGCATCAACCTGTTCCTGCCATCTATCCTGGCTGCTCCAGGCGCGGATGACGACGGAAGTGGAACAGTTACTATCCTCGAAGCTCTTCGCGCCCTGCTGCGGTCGGAGACTATCGCCCACGGAAAGGCCCGCAACACCATCGAGTTCCACTGGTACTCTGCTGAGGAAGGTGGTTTACTCGGATCGCAGGCTGTTTATGCTAGTTATAAGAAGAACCAGCGGAACGTCAAGGCCATGCTTCAGCAAGACATGACTGGGTATGTTCAGGGTACTCTGGACGCTGGCGAGAAGGAGTCTGTCGGTGTTATTATCGACTACGTCGATCTGGGCCTTACTGCGTTCATTAAGGAGGTTATCACTACCTATTGTGATGTGCCTTACGTCGAGACAAAGTGTGGCTATGCATGCTCAGATCATGCTTCTGCTAGTCGGTACGGATACCCCTCGGCATTTGTCATCGAGTCTAAGTTTGAGAACTCCGATAAGAAGATTCACACTACCGAGGACAAGATCGAGTATTTGAGCTTCGATCATATGTTGCAGCATGCGAAGATGAGCTTGGCTTTTGCTTACGAGCTGGCTTTTGCTCCCTTCTGATTTTGTCTGGCTGGTTTACATGATGGTTCGGCGTTTTTTGGGATATACCTCGGAGCTGGGTTCCCTCGTTAAGAGTACATTGAGGTTCAACCCGATGTTGTTTTTATTTTTTTCAGTCTTAGGGGCTTATACCCTACATATTCTCAATTGAATGATTATGACTTGTTCAACTTTCTATTCTAATAGTCTAGAATCATTATTTTTACCTCGTTAACTCAAGCACAAGAGGGTCGTAGCGGCTCATACTACACTCCAACACGAGCACTCAGGCTATGTGATTAGGGGACATATGGATTCAATGTTGTAGTCGAAATACAGGGTACCCACCAGAACTACAACCCTGGAGGAAACTTAGGTTCTCTTTTTCCTTAGCTGCTTCTTCTTTTCTTGGCCTTACCCTCCTCACAAAGTGGCAAATAGCCCGCGATTCTGATCAATTTTGAGATTGTCTTAGTGGATAACGGCTCTCCATCCGACGTTTCTCCACATCCGGGCAATATACCCGAGTGTTCCCCTCATGAGGGCAGAGCAACACCGGCAATTTTCCCCTCATCAGGATAAAGCACCCAGGATCCTCGCCATATCCCGGGAGATGCGTCCGAGTTATATCGTAGTACAATGATTGTGTACACTATTTAGCAGACACCTCGCTGAATATTTCCCAATTCCATCTCTATTTATCAAGGAAGTATAGCAACAGTGAGTTATTCCCTATAAATTCCAGAGCAAGTCATTCAGAGTCGCTAATACTGGAATTCACCATGGAAAGTGTCCAGCAACATCGTTCCTCTTACCGTCATCAAAGGCGCCGGCCACGAGTTCATCCCCCTCCCTCAGGGCGAGAACGCAACCACTGCCGACTTCCACTCCATCCGCACCAAGACTGAATCCCCTGCACACTTCACTTCGGGGTTCTATAAGATCGAGGCTGGACCTGAAAGACCCGCGAGTTACAATTTTGAGGAAACGAAGTATGTTCTCAATGGTCAGATCGATGTTTTGGTATGTCCCCTCTATATATATTGAGTTGGTTCTTCAAGCTTTTGTTTATATTAACCGGTTTCAAATAGGACGAGGCTACGGGGGTCACCCACCACCTAGTCCAGGGAGATTTTGCCTTTTTCCATGTTGGATCCAAGGTCAAGGTTTGTCATGACCCTCTCGTATCTCGTACGCGATATATTGGCTGAAGTAGTTCTAATTTCTTCCCGGTCTAGTTCTCGACTAAGTCACAAGGGCTTGCCTTCTACGCCGTTACTCGACCCATTCGATCCCCCCCCCCCCTAACCTTAAAGGTCGGGAGGAAGACAAGGCTAAGTTGTAAGGAGTTGGTCTAGATAAAAGCTCTTAAGGACTCATCGAATTTGGGATACAGATCGTGATACTTGTGATCTCAACATTTGATCATATTTTCTTGTCATATATTGTAGAGAGTTAGCAGGAATGCTGGTCTAACAGATATTTACCCACTTTTCATATAGAATACATACCTTTGGAATAAACAAGATTTTATGATTCCATAATTCTCAGATTCCTTTACTTATAGCCTGTGCTAGAATAAGATCTATTAACCCAATGTATTCATGATATTTATATGTAGTATCTCCCAAACAAAGCCCCATGCTTTATATTTAAATCCGGCATGGTAAAGAGAGATTAGTAGGAAAAGAAAGTGATAATCAAGCCATCCATATAATTTTGTGCCTTGTAGATCCAATATAGGGCTAGATACAGATATGACGTAGGGATACAAACTCACCGGTGTTTCGCACGTGATGCCCCTCTATCCCAAAAAATAAACTTAACCGTTTTCATACTCCTCGTTTCCAATTGTCGTTTCTACATCCGGTCAAGCAAATCTCCCTTCTCGAGATCAGTCATCCCAAACCTTCCACACAAACCACCTCTCAAACCGCCCACCATGACCTCCTCAACCCCCTACGCAAAAGAGCTCCATCTCGCCAGCCTAGCCGTACAACGAGCAGCCATCCTAACAAAAGAGCTCCTCTCTGCCGTCGACAAAGGCGCCCTTGACAAGAGCGACTCATCACCCGTAACAATCGCCGACTTTGCCGCCCAAGCCTCAATAATTGCAGCCATCCACAACGTCTTCCCAGACGATGACATCGTCGGCGAAGAAGACGCTACAGCCCTCCGCTCAAACCCAGACCTCCTCGCAAGAACCTGGGACCTAGCAACCAGCATCCACCTCAATGACCCAGAAAGCGAAGCTCTTCTCCACACCCCACGTACCACCTCCGAGCTCCTCGACCTAATCGATCTCGGCGCAAAAGGCACCTGCACCCCCACCAGCAGGACCTGGACTCTAGATCCCGTAGACGGAACGGCAACCTTCATCCGCGGCGAGCAGTACGCAGTCTGCCTCTCGCTTGTCGAAAACGGGGTCCAGAAAATCGGTGTCCTCGGCTGCCCCAACCTCCTGGAGTCGGGACCCGTCGCTGAACAACGTGTCGACCGCGACGGGTTTGGCCAGATGATCTCAGCCGTTGCCGGGCAGGGTGCCACCATCAGACCTATGGGTCCCGGTGCTTTGCTGCCGGCGCGCCCGCTTGAACAAGTCCCGCAGGTTGGGGCTTCCAGTGTGCAGTTCATTGATACGCGTGCGGCGAAGACGCAGGATCTCGAGGCTCATGCCCGTGTGGCGGCAGATCTTGGCTGTCCGTGGCCGAATCCAGTGGATTTGTGGTCGGCGCAGATGCGCTATGTTGCTATTGCCGTGCAGGGAGGGTGTAACGCTTTCGTTAAGGTGCCGCTGAGTCCGGATTATCGCTCGAAGATCTGGGATCATGCGGGTGGCATGCTCATTGTGCAGGAATTGGGTTGTCTTGTTACGGATCTTGAGGGGAGACCGGTTGATTGTTCGCTGGGTCGTACTTTGGCTGGGTGTCATGGTATGGTTGTTGGGCCGGCTTCGGTTCATGGGAGGATTTTGGAGGCTGTAAAGGTAGCGCGCGGGTTGTGATTTTTTCCCTCCTTCTTTTATATATGGTGTGGGGTTTTTTTTTTAGTTGTCTTTTGCATTTTGGTTTTGATACCCTAGATAATCATATCATTGGCATGTTACTATTGATACTAGTACTATGCACATCGTGTGTATACTGTAAACTCTCAATTTCTACCGGCATGAGGCGTGAGCACTGGCCCCTTTCCCCGCGTTATCCAGATTCTCAGTAACATCTTTTGCTACATACATTTAGTACAAACGATGTACTTTGTGCCTTGAGTGTTTCATAAATACTATTTCCAAGGTTATTTTTAGGCTCAAATTGTCTTACGGCGCCAAACTAGGCTCAATTGCGGGTCTCATTTTCCTTGATTCCCATCTTTCAAGGTCCTTCGCTCAGCATAATGACTCGAGATTTGAGTTTTCAGCTTGCCCACTGCTACCTTGTGCATTTCCATATACATCGATTTCAGGTTGATCTTTGTATCGAAAAGGACTGTGCACGATGATCTACGCTTGGCAGAAATTGCGCCAGGTTATAGTTCGTTCTTACTGGAGTAGACTGGGATCTCAGTCCATGTTTCACGAAAAACACAAAAAACACAAGTATTTCGAGTAAAACTGAAAGATTTGAATAAAAATTGACTAGAATATATCATGATTTCACCTTTCGAGAGAATCAGGGACATATATATAGTTGGAAGTAACCTTATAATCCTACATGTAAATATCGGCGATAAGATAAAAAAGCGTTGATGTCATCACCATGGAATTGACCTCATTTGCCATTTCCAGTTCCCTGTTCTTCCTGAAATGGCCTGATTCGATTGGATAGTGGTCTGATGACCTTATGCGGGGAATCCCTTCTTAATCCTTGATTATAAGACCCCCTCTTCTAGACTTTCGGTTCCTTTTTTTTATTATACTCAGCTTCATCAGCCTGGGTATTAAATCCATCATGGCATCATTCAACCCGTTCGCTAGACGCGAAACTCACAGCGCCAACTCGCTGAATACATACCGGGTCCTTGTTACCCTCACCTGGGCTGTGGTCGTGGTGGTCGGCATTTACTACTCCATCCACTCGCCCGACGATATTAAGAAGGGCAAGAAGATCTGGAAGCAGGCTAATAAGCATAATACTCCATTCAGCCAGAACACTACTCTGACTGGCATTTTCTGGTTAGTCCAACTATGTTTATACTGGACATGATTCTGCTTTTGAATATCCACAAACTAACTCCCCATCCAGGATCGTCCTCCTCCTCTCTCAGCTCAGCTATATCTGGCACCTCTTTTCCAAGAACAATGTCCTCGTCACGGCAGCTGCCAATGTAGCTACCCACTTCATCCTGAATAACCTCTTCCTTACCGCTTGGATCCTCCTCTGGACCCGCAACCACTTCTGGGGCGCAGAGGTCATCCTCATCGCCCACTTAATCAACCAGACAGTCACCTACTGGCGCCACCGCGGCCTGCCGGCATTCGTACACCTACCCGCCGTCGCTGGTCCCTATGCCTGGACATTGACGGCGCTGTTCTGGAACGGCGCGGTCGCTGTTCACAGCCATAACCTGCCTGGCCGTATTGTTGCTAATATCTTTATCTGGGTTATTCTCGTGATTGGACTGTTTGATATTGTCCTCTGGGAGGATTATATTCTTGGGTATTGTTTGAGTTGGTTGACGCTGTGTAAGTTCTTCCTTTTATTATCACTTTTCCGAGTCTTTTGCTGATATACATAAACTCTAGCACTCGCCGTCAGACAAATCGCTATCAAGATAATTGCCCTGCAGTGGATCTTTGCCTTTACAGTCTTTGCCGTGTTCTTGGTCGTCTCTCTTTACATCTCCACGACCAAGTACACTGGCCGCGACAGCCTATTCCGTCGCGTTGCCCACCCCGAGTCGGTGGACCGGGAGAGAGAGCCGCTGCTCAACGAGGGGGTGTGAGCTTGTCGTCCTGCCATTGTTACGGACCCACTGCCATGATAAGCCTAACCTAACCAGTCGGTCGTTCGGGCATACTTTTAGGATTGGACTGAGCGAAGGCCCGAGAACTAGAACTAACGAGAATGAAAGTATGGAGCTTGGGGAGATCTGCGAGGCCAGTCTTGTTTTGGCTGAATTATGCACTCTTTTATGATACCACCTGGAATAATGTAGTCTTTGTTCAAGTGGCGCAATGTGAAAATGCATCGACCACCCTCTTGGGACTGGGGATATTGAAGACACGATGTTGAATACTTTGACAATTTGATATTGGCAAAAGGAATAAATTGGAACAGAAAATTACATGTACTATTCTATTTTAATAATTGATTAATTATTCCAAAGTTCCCAAAACTTTCCCCCGGTGCTGACTCGGATCCAAGTCCCGCGTTGCCCTGACAACGACCTGCACCTCCACCTTGTTGATGCAAAGCGACGGATGTGAACGGGCTGGACTTGTTTGCCTAGTCGATCCCTTTTACTCTTTTATTGTCTCATCTTTCTCTTCATCTTGCTTGTGTGTCGAGCTTTAATATTGAGATTGTACTCACATTCCTCCATTCCTCAAACCTCAACTGCCTAGGTATTCACTTGTCGAATCAGACAGGTCCACGCCCATTCTGTCTTATCTTTGAGAGGCGAGGATTGATTCTCATCGTTATCTCATCGATACCCACCCCAGGTGCCATACTATGAGGCAGTGAGTTTTAAAAAAAGACATCACATTCCACGTTCTATCATGAACCGCCATCCGCCATCCAATTACGGCGACGCGCCGCCCGCATACCTCAACCACGACACGGGTTCCTACCTGTCCGATCCTGAGTCTCCGACCAATGCATCGCGTCTCAATGGAGGAACGATGCGCTTGCTACCAAGCGGTGACGGCGCCGATGATTTAGCTAGTAGTCATAGGGCCCCTTCGCCTTCCCATTATGACCCCGATTATGATCACACTCCGTATGTACTTCCCATCTGCCTCTGATACAACCTTGTCTGCTTTCACATTCCAGTGGTTTCCCTCGCGACGAAACCACGTGCACCACCAAACTCCTTCATTGACGTGATGGAGAGGCTGGGAGGAAGCTTGTACCTTGGGCAATTGCCCATCAATGGGCATTGCTACTGGGCTCGAGCCAAACCCCCTCCTGCTGTTTGGTCGATCATCCTCCCCATAAACATTGTACACTTTGTACTCCAGTACATTGTTTACCGTTTCATCCATCCCCCCCCCTTCACCTCCACATTGGCCCTCTTCCTGCCAGCTTTGAGGCAAAATGGAACGTCTTCCAAAGCCAAGGTCTAATATCAGAACGCGCAATTCTAGGACCGGACAAGATCGAAGCTATGATCAATATTATGAGATGCCCAGCGTCTCTTCACCTTCGCGTCCCCCATCTAGCTTGGCGAGTGGACCGAGTATCCCGCCTCCCACAGCAAGTCTCGCAGACACTTCTGTCTACCCATCTATTCCCCCACGCACAGGATCGCCAATTCGCCCATGGAGCCCATCACATATCCGACCACCGTCCGTGTCAAGTGTTGGATATGAACGCGCCGATATAAACGGTAGCCCGCGGCCCGGTACACCCAGCTCAAGATATGGGGGCAGTCCCCGTCGGCCATTGCCTCCTGCGCCTTTGTTCTCCGGACCGAAATCAACAGTAGATACGAGCATCGATATTGGTGACGCCCATGGTGAAGATCCATTCGGCGGTGATGGTCGCACAATTCACCACACTTCGCGCGGTAGCGTCCGGTCATTCATGAGCGAATCGACAATGTTGGGAGACGAGAAAGATGGCATGTCAAAAGTCGACCTCGATGATGAAGACGACGACGAATCGCACGTTCTGGATCCCAACCTCCATTATGGGCCAGCACCCGACAAGCAGGGCCGTCGTGGTGTCCGCTCGAAGCAGGTCGCCAAAAAAGAAGTTCAGCTGGTCAACGGCGAGCTTATTTTGGAGTGCAAAATTCCCACCATTCTTCACAGCTTCCTGCCTCGCCGTGACGAGCGCGAGTTCACGCACATGCGATATACCGCTGTTACATCCGATCCGGACGACTACGGCGAACGGGGATACAAGCTTCGCCAGCAGATTGGTACCACGACTCGCGAGACAGAGCTGTTTATTTGTATTACCATGTACAACGAAGACGAGATCGGTTTTACCCGTACCATGCATGGTGTTATGCGGAATATTAGCCACTTCTGCTCGCGGACCAAGTCGCGTACTTGGGGCCGTGATGGATGGAAGAAGATCGTTGTTTGCATTGTTGCTGATGGACGTAAGAAGGTTCACCCGCGTACGCTCAATGCATTGGCCGCCCTCGGTGTTTACCAGGAGGGTATTGCGAAGAACATTGTCAACCAAAAGGAAGTTCAGGCACACGTGTACGAGTACACCACACAGGTTTCGCTTGACGACGATCTCAAGTTCAAGGGTGCCGAGAAGGGAATTGTCCCGTGCCAGGTTATCTTCTGTTTGAAGGAACACAACAAGAAGAAGCTGAACTCCCACCGATGGTTCTTCAATGCCTTCGGTCGTGCCCTTCAGCCTAACATCTGTATTTTGCTCGATGTTGGAACTCGACCAGAGCCAATGGCGCTCTATCACTTGTGGAAGGCATTCGATCAGGACTCCAATGTTGCCGGCGCTGCTGGTGAGATTAAGGCTGCTAAGGGTAAGAACATGCTCGGTCTACTCAACCCTCTCGTGGCAAGTCAGAACTTCGAATACAAAATGTCGAACATTCTCGACAAGCCGCTGGAATCGGTCTTTGGTTACATTACTGTGTTGCCCGGTGCGCTCAGTGCTTATCGTTTCTTTGCCCTGCAAAACGACGCAGATGGCCATGGCCCCCTCAACCAATATTTCAAGGGTGAAACACTCCACGGTCAAGATGCAGACGTTTTCACTGCCAACATGTACCTGGCCGAAGATCGTATTCTTTGCTGGGAGTTGGTTGCCAAGCGAGAAGAGAGATGGGTGTTGAAGTTCGTTAAGAACGCTGTTGGAGAAACTGATGTGCCAGACACGGTTCCTGAGTTCATCTCCCAGCGCCGAAGATGGCTAAATGGTGCTTTCTTCGCGGCTGTGTACTCGATTTTCAATGCGAGGCAGATCTGGAAGACGGATCATACTCTTGCTCGGAAGATCTTGCTTCACATCGAGTTCTTTTATCAATTCCTTAATCTGCTGTTCACTTACTTTGGTCTTGTGAGTTTGATCCTCTCCTTTCTTTGGAGGCGTCCACTGACTTTCTTAGGCCAATTTCTACCTCGCTTTCTACTTCATTGCTGGTTCTTTGACTGATGAGAAGCTTGATCCGTTTGGTCACCACATGGGCAAATACATCTTCATTGTTTTGCGCTATGCTTGTATTCTGGTTATGTGTTTGCAGTTCATTATCTCGTTGGGTAACCGACCGCAAGGGTGAGTCCACAGTACTTCATCATACATTGCCACTTGGACTGACATTGCTTTTTAGTGCCAAAAATCTCTATCTCTCTGGTATCATTATCTATGCCGTTATCATGTTCTACACGGTCTTCTGTGCCCTATACTTGGTTGTCAAAGAGTTACTCGCACGTGCTGGCGTTGGAAACGATGACATGGCCGTCGGGGACGGCCTAATGATGAACATTGTGATTTCCATGTTGTCAACCGTCGGCCTCTACTTCTACACCTCATTCCTCTACCTGGACCCGTGGCACATGTTCACCTCGTCGATTCAATACTTCCTCCTCATGCCTAGCTACATCTGCATTCTCCAAGTCTACGCCTTCTGCAACACCCACGACGTAACCTGGGGAACCAAAGGTGATAATGTGATCAACACCGATCTTGGCGCAGCAAAGACCATCAACGGCTCAACTGTCGTCATCGAAATGCCCTCTGAGCAACTCGACATTGACTCCGGCTACGACGCGGCTCTTCGCAACCTCCGCGATCGCCTCGAGGTCCCAGAGCCCCCGCCATCAGACTCCCAGCTGCAGGAGGACTACTACCGCGCCGTCCGTACTTACATGGTCTCCATCTGGATGGTCGCGAACGTAGTCCTCGGCATGGCTGTGTCCGAAATCTACGGTGTTGACGCAGGTGGTACAAACATCTACCTCGCTATCATCTTGTGGTCTGTCGCTGTCCTCGCCGCTATTCGTGCTATCGGTTCTACTACATACGCCATCCTGAACGTCGTTCAGAAAATCGTTGAAGGAAAGACGAAGTTTGATGCAGGTAATATGACAAACTTCGCGCCTAGCTCTTTCGGTGGTTCGAGTGCGGCTGCTACCTCTGAGTCTGGGGCGGCCTCCGCCCGTCCTGTGCGCTATGGCGGCGGTGCGTCCTTTAAGGATAAAATTGCCGAGGTTCGCTGGACTGCTGGTAGGGCGGTTGGAAAGGCTATGTTCTGGCGCAAGTAGATGATTGAGATGATTTATTTTGCGCTTTCTACTGATTTGTTTGCGTTTCCTTTTTTTTTGATTGGGATTGTCGTTCTATCTTGGCTTTCCTGGGTCTCGTGGAGTTCTTCTGATTTGGGCTTTCTTTTGAGATATCAGGTGTTGAGTCTTCTTTTTCTCTTATGATGGAAATATTGTCATGATAATGCTCTTTTTTGCTTTTTATGCTCGTTGCTCTCGCCTTCCAGATACCTGGACATGTGTATTGATGTATCTACTTATCTGCTCTCTTTGGGGGTTGGAATTAATGCCTTGCATAATGATTCCAAAAAAAAAAACTGCACTCCATTTAATAGCTCATGATCTTTTCCAGGTCTTTTTTACCTTTGGGCTATTCTACATCGACACTCGCACACAACTTTCAGTTCCAACACCAGACACCGCTAAAATTGAATATCTATGCGCAAAGTTCGTATAACACGTCAATATCCCAATAACAAAATGCCACACAGATCCCGCCGTGAAATCCCATCTGCTCACATACAGAATATTATTTCTCATTAAGCCGATTCCCCTCAACCTCATGAATACGCGTATCCCGCGGCCCCAACTCTGCCGGAAACATCATCTTCTCCCTCTCCGCGTAAACAGGATAAACCAAATGCTGCGCCGAGCTCGTAGCAGCAATCTCATCAATCATCGCCTCCTTCTGTCGCAAACTTTTCTTGTAGATTCGTCGCTGCACGAGCATCGTCACAACAGCGATCAGAAGACACCCGCCCAATCCAGCGCCGAGTCCCGCGCTGATCACTGTTGTTTTTGAGGCTGGGCATGTGGCGCTGGCGCTTGAGCCGGAATTGCATGTTGTGTCTTTGGTGTTGGTGTTGTTATTGGTTTTGGCATCGGTGGTGCTGGCATTCGTCGACGAAGGCGATGATGATGGTGATGATGCTTTTGATGATGACGAGGCGGGGGATACCGAGGACGAGAGGGAGGACTCAGATGAGCCTGATGAAGATGAGACCTCGGATGTGAGTGATGTTACGGACACGTTGATCATCTGGCCCATGTCTAGGCGCACGGCGTCGTCGCAACAGTTTGTGCCGTTTACACTGCAGCACCAGAAGCCGCGGCCTTGGGCGGGGCAGGGGATTACGTAGAGGGTTGCGTCGGAGGCTATTTAGATAATTTATTAGAGTTGATTGGTGAGGAGGTGAGGATCGGTATGCATGTCACTGCGGGTGTTTATCATTGAGCGAAAAGAAAGATAATATCATCTTACCCGTATTACAGAGCTCGGGGCACTGTCCGCTCTTCCAGGTCTTGTCGGTACAAGCACCCTGTCGCAAGAGACCTCGGAAATTTGGATCTTGGATATAGCATACTCCGCCAGAGAGGCAGATGTCGTTGGGGGGTTGTGTTGCTTTTCGCCAGGGAGCAGCAGGGGCTGTCATCTTGGTCTGGGAAACAGGGCTGGAAGGTTGAGTCTGCTTCTTTGCCGTTTGTGAGGTAGCATTGCCGGGCTTGAACTATAGTGGGGAATACTGCTTGGAAGATGAGGATGTGGATGATTGCTTTGAGGTGAATCATTTCTTGTTCTTAATGGAGTAAAACGGAGGAGGGTTAGGAGAGGGAGATAATAATTTGGTTTTAGACAGGGTCTGCTAGTTTTAAAATCAGGACTTGTTACTGCTGAGGCTCGGACAAGTAATAATAGCTTTGACTTCTATTGGGCTCGTAGATTTAAGGCGGTTAGTTGATCGTTCGGATTGGTGGGGAGCCCGCAGATCACTTTGCCCTAACTCCAATCTGTTAAGCGCTGGGGTTTCACAGGTTTATTTTTGGCGCCTCGCAAATAAATTAAATGGGGTAAAAAGGAATAGAAGTAAACTATGAGTTCAGTGCCTTAGGCAGGATTTTTAGAATGCAAGTAGACCTGATTGTGGTTCGCGGGTAATTACGCGAAAGACAGAGACTGAGTGAGAAGGGTGAGAAGATAAGAGATGGGAAAGAAAGAGAGAAGAAAGAACAGGGAATAGGTAGGCCCTATCAACCGGATCAGCCTTAGCTTGGTATATAACTAAGGCAGGTCTCTAAGGTTACATGTAGATACATATCATAGGGAATAAGTGATGTACATAATGCACATCGCGTGTTTGTCCACGTTAATTGCTTGCATATATTCTGTGTTTCTCAGACCTCCTCCGACTATAGTCAACTTTTCCCATAGGAATCTCCCTTTCTCTCCCTTTGCGTAGTATATGTACAGGCTTGTTTGCTAGCAGACTGAGTATTTTGCTAGTATTAGGGTATGAATACCTTGCTCTTCATAGATTGAATAGATCATGATTCTTCCTTCTCTCTCTCCCCGCCAGAAGAGCTACTCAGAGCCATGCCAGAGGCCTGGGTGTTTGCTCGTCTTCTGCCGTTTTCAAGGTTCTCTCTTTTCCTATTTATTCATACCATTTTCTCCTTATGAATTTGCTGTCACAGCCCACAACCTCTCCCTTCTTCGACTACCAATACATTTTCCTTGCATAAGAGGCACCCGTCTCTTCGCTTGGGCAATATTAATTTCGCCAACAATGCCATTATCACATCTTCCATATGACCTACTTTATGAAATCACTCAGTATCTCGATCTTGATCCAGTCCACGATTTTGCTGCCCTTGCCCGCACAAATCAGAGTTTCTATGATTTCTTCAGCCCTCTACTCTACGAGCATAACATAACATTCAACACGGAAGGAGCTCTGCTTTGTCGTTTGCTGCAAAATAAATGGACATCTACAAACAGTGTACTGCATGCTCGAAAATTGCGCCGACCTAGAAACGACTCCTCTCTACTACGCCGCGCTACATGGTTATGAGAACTTGGTTTAAATATTTTATATATATATAAATATATATACATACATCGAAAGGGGCTGATCCGGAAGTATTAATCGACCTCCCAAATGAAGTTGTTCGTTGGATCTGCTGCCACTGCAGGGAAAACCTGCCGGTAATCCAACGTGAACATCACCATCAACAATGTTCCTTCCGAAAATGTCGTGGATGTAGAGCACGCAAGCCAAAGAAAGATTTGGAGTTCTGTTCATGATTTGAAATTTGGGCTTTCCATAGGGCACAGCGGTGAAATTTGACATAATAGGCAACGAATGCTTCCTTTGGTTTTATGCATAAGTGACTTTGAATGTTCTGAGAGCTTAGAGGCTTTCTTATTGGTAGATGTCTTGTATTAATTCAATCGATAGGTCCAATTCTTCGGAAATGGTTCCGTTGCCCACGAGGCTATCTATTTCCAGCAGATTGCTATTTTTTATTGGTTGTTATAATGTACTTGAATGTCCGAAGCGTTCAAGGTCTACACCAATCAACATGCTCTTCAAAATATAATTCTAGCGAGCCTACGATATGATTTGACCATTGCCCATCCTATTACGAAGTACCGGTTGATAGATTCTAGCCGAGGTAAACTCTCGCACCTTTCCGCTATTGTCTAGTCAATTTAACCCCAATGGCGCAACTCAATCTTGATAAACGTGGTATTTTCGTAGTGATCACAGCTATTACTAACCTGAACCTTACAAATCTAATCTGGGATCGACTCCAAATAGTGATACTTCAAAATGCGTGATAGGTTGTTACCCCGAAGATACTCACCCCGCATCACCGGTAAACACGGCAGTGTCGCATACAGGGCTAATATATTGACTGACTAATACCTTTGAGGGGTCTCAATCTTTTGCTAATTCCTTCGAACCCTGGCTACAGTCTTGATAATATTTTCTTGGGCTTATTCGAGGCTGTTAAATATGTTCTCGGAGAAAGGCAAGACGGCACCCGTGGATCCTGAGGCCGCAGACCTAGCACATATCACGGAAGATGAAGAGTCATCCGAAATACCTTCTACCTTTTGTATAAAGAGTAAAGTAGACGGCTGTCTCCAAGTTCTCGGTGCTTTCTTTATATTCTTCAATGTCTGGTATGTCAAGTACCTTCCGAGTAACAATTGAATATCAAAACTAACATCCTTCCAGGGGCCTAAACCTCGCATTTGGAACATTCCAAAGCTACTATGCACTCACCTACATCTCATCATCAACATCATCCGACATTGCCTGGATTGGAACAATCCAATCCTGGCTCCTAATCGTCGGCGGCCTAATATCCGGCCCACTCTTCGACCTCGGCTACAACCAGACCATGATTATTGTCGGAAGTGTCCTAGGTGTAATTGGTATGATGATGCTCAGTCTTGCACATGCGTACTACGCCATATTCCTAAGCCAGGGAGTCTGCGTGGGCCTCGGATTCGGACTGCTTTATGTCCCCGCCATGGCATTGGTCAGCCGTTCTTTCACAACAAGAAGGGCTGTTGCACTAGGTGTTTCGAGTAGCGGTGCGCCTGTCGGGGGCATTATCTACACTACCATGTTCAACCAGCTTATACCAAAGGTGGGGTTCCCCTGGACCGTTCGTCTTGTGGCGTTCGTGATGCTGGCGCTGTTCATCGCGGCTGCTATTATGCTTTTGTGGCCAGAGAGACATACAGTGAAGGTTAAAACCACCCAGCGCAGAAGCTTGATTGATTTGCGCGCTTTCAAGGATTTGCCTTTTTGGAGCTTTGCTATTGGGAACTTTTTCCTTTACCTTGGTTATATCACGCCTTTCTATTACATTCCTACTTACGCGGAGACGAAACTAGGCACATCGCGCTCAATGGCCTCTAATATCTTGATGATTTCCCAGGCTTCTTCGGTTATTGGCCGTGTTGTCTTGACTTTGTTCGCTCATTACTATGGGTCAATGATTGCTTGGATCATTTGCGGTGTACTCTCGGGTGTTCTGTGTATTTGTTGGATTAGTGCAGATAGTCTGGTACGGTTTATTCTTTTTGCGGCTTTCTATGGTAAGTGAAGTTCCTTTGCCTGCATCATCGGTGCTTTATTTTGACCTAAAACACAGGTGGTATCTCCGGGGCTTTGATTCCTCTCCCGCCGAGTGTTTTCACTCACGTCTGTCCCGACCCCAAGAGTCTTGGGACTTGGCTTGGAATGGCGCAGAGCTTGAGTAGCTTTGCGACTCTTGTGGGGCCACCAATAGCAGGTGCGCTTGCTACAATTGGCTCCGATGGTAGTGCGGATTTGAACTACCTAGGCATTCAATTGTTTAGCGGGATAGTCATGTGTTTTGGTGCGTTCCAGCTGATATTTTTATGGTATTTGCTATACAAAAAGAGGGGCAAAACTGGTTTATTTTAAAACTAGGGGGAAAAAGCTGTTTATAGTCCACATCATCCACAACAATGTAATTAATTGATTGCAAACGTTCCACATGCGAGCTGGACACACAAGCGAGCTGGACACCCCAAAACACATAGTAAATGCGATAAATTACAACTTGATATCTCAACAACGGTAGTCTATATGGAGCTTTTCTAGTAGCTTAATACTTTTTATGTGATATCTAGCTTCCCTACGGAGTTTAGAAAATATTCATAGCTTTGGAATTGCGATATATATATTCCTAGCATTGAGCAACGTAATTTTCAATACCATGATAATGCAGCTTTTCAATTTTCTTAAAATTGATAGATAGTGTTTAAAGGTCTTATCAACAGCTATCGACCAGCAATGAAATAAAATAAAAATGTGGTTATCGAGATATTGTGTTCTTGAAAATCGCATTTAGTATGGTGTTTTGGGGGTGTCCAGCTCACTTGTGAAATACGTTAATCTTCCGGGCTTTCTTGCGAAATTGACCCCCCTATTGAGACAATATGTACTTTCTTTTGCTCACATCACTCTCAAATAATCCCTGTTATCTTTCGAGAATTGAATCATATAGTTCGGAGAACCAACCTATCACGTTCTCTAATGTCACGGGATCTCGGCATTGACAACAAATCACACTGGCGTGACTCATACATAGATGGATTAGCTGGTACCATTCAGAGAATCAATAAAATCCAAAAAATACCATATAATCTCGCCTCGCTCTCAATTCCCAACCAGTAACTCAAACAATAAGTCCCGAACATGGCATCACTACGCCCAAAAGGCCCACTAGTCCCCTTCACTCCAGCTCTACTGCCAACGAGCCAAACAATCCGAGGGCGAACAATTCTCCTCGAGAAACTCTCCCCAAAAGCACGCCGATGATCTGTTCACTCTAACCGGTGGACTCGAGCCATCCAAAGAAGCCCTCTGGGACTACATGTTCGACGGACCGTACTCAGACGCTGAAGCCTTCAAAGCCAGCATCGCATCGAAATCCGCTTCAAAAGATCCATTCTTCTACGCAATCATCGACAAGCGCAACTCTCTCCCCACTTTCGAAAAGGCAATTGGCTATATCTCTCTGATGCGCATGACTCCCGACCACCTGGGCATTGAAATCGGGAATGTGATGTACTCCGCTGCGCTCCAGCGCACAACTGCCGCCACAGAGGCGATCTATCTCCTCGCCCAGCATGCTTTCCATAATCTTGGGTATAGGAGATTGGAGTGGAAATGCAATTCGCTGAATGAGCCTTCGCAGCGTGCTGCTTTGCGCTTGGGGTTCTCGTTTGAGGGAATCTTTCGACAGCATCTGATTGTTAAGGGAAGGAATAGGGATACAGCTTGGTTTTCTATTCTGAGGGATGAGTGGGATGATTCGCTGAAGGCTGCCATGGAGAAATGGCTGGATGCTGGGAATTTTGGGGAAGATGGTGGTCAGATTAAGTCACTGCAGGGTTTGAGAGCTGAGTTGAGTTGAAATGTTGGGATTGGAAAAAGTGATTGTCCATATTTGGATGGATGTAGTTAGCCCCGCTTATCTGTAGAAAGTATATAGAAGAAGAAGAAACTACTATGCCTATTGATTGTCCGTATTTGGATAGTTGTAGTTAGCCCCGCTTATCTGTAGAAAGTATATAGAAGAAGAAACTACTATGTCTATTGATTTCGTGCATTTTGATGTTCATAAAAGGCCTTTATTCTTTATATAGGAAATCATTAGCGGCACTATTGTCTATCACCGACAGGGGTAACTCCACGACTCCACCAGCCCCACAGTTTAGCAGAGCTCGAGGGAGTTGAAGTTAGAAGAACTCGAGCGAAGCTGCATTCTATGCAAGATAAAAGTAGTACTGTGGATTCCAAGGAGAAAAATCGTACAGAGTATGTCAAATAACTATGTGATGGATCTGCATAAAAGAGAAACCCGAGATCCGAGATCGACTTGACCGATGTTCTCCGAGATCTCCAAAGGATCTTATCGAAGCTCTCCATCAGGACCTCTATGATTGGAAGATGTTCATATTTCCAAAGTTCAACGAATAGACGCAGTCCGTTTCATGAATCCCGATCCTTTAGGGGGTCTCCTTTTTCGGCTGGAAGACAACACATTCTCTACTTCCTGTACTTCTGTTCAGCCTTGCAAATGACAAATGACAAAATGATATCTGTTCGCAAAGACAAGACAACCTATAAATACTCCCCATTACCCCCAGAACATAAACTAAATCATCATCATCACCTCTAACTATTCTACCATTTCCCAAATGTCCACATCAACAATGCCATCCGAAACCGGGCCCACGGTAGAATACGGCTTCAACGCAAACCAAGGCGTAAACTGGTCCGACTACCTCACCTTCCGACCAATCTACCCACCCTCCTTCTTCAAAAAAGCCTTCACCTACCACTCCCAAAAACCCCAGTCCACCTGGTCACTCGCCCAAGACATTGGCGCCGGCTGCGGAATCGTCTCGTCAAGCCTAGCCCCTCGCTTCAACAAAGTGATCGTCTCAGACCCGAACGACGGGTACACCGCGCTCGCTCGGAGAGTCCTAGTCGAGGAATCCCGTCTGCCTGAATCCAGGTTCCGTTTCCTGCAGGAAAGTGCCGAAATGAGCTCTGTGCAGTCTGGCTCAGTCGACTTGATCATGGCGTGTGAGTGTATCCACTGGACGAGGCCGGAGATTGCGATTGCGGAGTTTGCGCGGGAGTTACGCGCAGGTGGATCGCTTGTTATTACGCATTATAATTATCCGCGCATTGTTGGGAATGAGAGAGCTCAGCAGGCTTGGGGGGCTGTTTGTTCGTTTTATGCGGGTGAGGTTCATGATCCGATGCTTGATCATGCGCTGAGGATTTTAAATTCTGGGACTGAGGCTCTAGGATTCCCTGTGGAGGATTGGGAGGGGGTGAAGAGGTTGTATGTTAATGCTCGGGGGAGTATCGAGGCTTTCAAGATTAATGATCGAATTGGTGAGAGCCAGGTTAGGGATGGGGAGGAGATTGTTTGGGAGGAGGATGATGCAGATTGGATGGATGAGCAGGACTGTGACTGGTTTAGAGGTTATGCAGCCACCTGGACGACGCCGAGTGTATCAGAGTCAGAGATTAATCCGCTTTGGGATGAGATGGAGAGGGCTTTTGAGGGGAAGAAAGTGAAAACTGCTACACCGGTTGCTATGGTCTTTGCTACCAAGAGAGGTAGCCGAGGTGTGAATGTTTGTTAAAAGTAGAACGAATTGAAGACATTTATCTCCATTCCCAAACCCTCAAACCTTCAAGTGCTTCTTCTCTCTAACAATCTCCTCGACAACCTTGGCCGCCGCTAGGGTCTCTTCGTCCTTAAACCGCCTCCCAGCAATCTGCAGTCCCACTGACGCGCCCTCATACCTCTCCGGATCCTGGTACTTACGCCACTCCCTCTCCTCAGCCTCATCCCTGGGAACATACTTCCTGTCCTGCTCCGTCAACACATCTACCTTCGGATCAACAGTAATTCCAGATGGAAATACTACAGAAGGCAGGTCTACCAAGTTCCAAATCGCAGTATAATTCCAATACTGGGACTCGCCCATCACTGCAGCAACAGCGGGATATGTCGGGGAGAGAATAAAGTCAACACCGCGACGATTAAGGAGAGCGTGGTACTCGTCTCTATAGATATCGCGCTGGTCATGCAGGGCCCATGCCTCGGAATGAGAAAGAGGCGTGCTTCGGCTATAGGAGAGAGCCCAATCGGTTAGCGGGCGTGTTGGCTCGCCTGATTCGGCAAGAACTTCACGCTGCTTGCTGCCAGCGTCAGGGTAGTATAGAGCGCGCTGATTCATGTTAGCGTTATAGCGTGCATGCCCAGAGCATATTCGGCACTTACAATAACTTCCCAGCCATGCTGGTGCTTATACGGCTCCCATTCTACGACTTTCACACCTGCCGCTACCAGCTTCTCCTTGGCATGTCTCAAAGCGCGTGTGATAGGTGGATGGGGGCGGACGCAGCTGGGAAATGAATTAGCACACTGACAACAAACATCCGTTTGAATCATGACAAACCCATCATCCCACATAATAGCCACGGTCATATCCCGCGTCGAAGCAGCCGTCTTCCATGGCACAGGCATCAGAGATGTCTCAATATTCCAAGGCTCCTGTTCCAATACAGCTTTCTGGAACAGCTCTAGATCTTCAATCGAGCAACTAGCCATCGGACCCACCACACCGCGGATTGTCTCCTGGCCAGAAGCAGCGACTTTAAGCCCTGTTACAGGGTTCCGCAGTGAGGAAGGACGGAAGCCGTACACACCGCAAAATGCTGCGGGGCAGCGAATTGATCCGCCGATATCAGTTCCAATTCCTAGTGGTGCGCACCGGAAGCCCATCGATGCACCTTCACCGCCAGAGGACCCGCCTGGACTTAGAGTGCGGTTGAGTGGGTTCAATGTTGTGCCGGTGATGTTGTTGCTGCAGCACAGGTGCTAGATGGCGTTAGTTATGAGATACACCGCTAATTTGAAATGTATTTACATACCATTAATGACTGGGGTTGGTTAGTCCGGACATGGAAAATGGCGCCGGCTTTGGATAGAAGCTGGAGGAGAAGGGCATCTTCCGTGGTGACTTTATCAACCCTGTTTTGCTTGTCAGTAGTGTGGATTGTCGCGGTGTATATCTACTCACCAGGCTACGTATCCTGTGTTGCATGTTCGGTTCTTCATGGATATGTGTTCCTTCACACTGATTGGTATTCCATGCTGCGGCCGTTTCATTAGAAACTTACCATCATAAATTTCAACAGATATGTACAAGAGCTTACCAGAGGCCCGACCAGTTTCCCCGTGCGTCTGTAGTACTCATCATGCTCTTTGGCGCGAGTGATTGCCTCGTCTGCCATAAACTCTGTTGCAAAATTGAGCTAACAATCATGTCAACGTTGGAATTACAAAAACTGAATCTCCTAATCTCACCAGTTGATGGCCCAACACGGCCCTCTTCAAGAACGCAACCACCACCTCTTCCGCGCTCAGTTTTCCATTGCCCATTTCGGTCACCAGTGCCGTGGCTGACATATCAGTGATAGAAAGCTCGCGCTCATTCAACAACCCGCTTTGTCGGGGGAAATCAACCACGCTCTTCTGCGAGACTGGCGGCAGCCTGTCGACGGGGAGAAGCCATTGTTTCGGAATAGAATTGTTCAAGATGTCTTTGCCTTTTTGGGCTTGGCTCTCCCAGTTACGAGTCATTTTGATGGGTGATAATTGAGATAGAATATGAGCGGGGTTTACTTCTGGTGGTTTCGGAGGGTAAACTGAGATATGTAAGAGGAAAGAGAAACACAGGGCAGTTCTTCGTCCTACACACTTCCCCGCACACTATCAGTGTGATCTACATGGCTATCTCGGAATCGGAACATGCTTTCCATTTAGGCCAGTGGAGAACTATGCAGCTCTTATTGGTTAAGGTGTGGATCGCGGAGCAATTCCGTTCATGCTCGATGTTGCTCAAGGTAGGTTGTACATCGTAAACTTGGATGGTAATGGCTGAACTCCTCCAGCATGACCTGTTCGATGTCTGATGAAATCTTCGGTCAACCCCTGCCAATGCGCTAGTTCCCCAATCTGTCAACTCACCGTCCTCGCTTTCTGGAGCGCTTCCGTGGACTCCTGCAAAGACCTGGATCTGGCGCCTGCATAAACGCTAGCATGTCGGGTTTATGGGAGATAGAACCGCGTACCATTAGCTTTACTATGTCACGAGCTCTTGCATAGGAGCTACTTGTTCCTAGTCTTGCCTCATAACATTATACTTTTCTTCGCCTTTTTCCTACGTTTTATCCCCTGTTACTTTCGAGAGGATTGTGCTGGCTTCTGCCCCATGACGAGATGGAAATATGAATATAGCCGCAGATCCTTTTGCAGCAGTTCCTCCTGCACCCGACTAAGCAGGGCATCTGTGTCTTCCTTTGACCAGCCTAGTGTCTTGGTGAACAGACGCAACGTGTATCCCTCCAGCGCGCACTGCATCTGGAACACATGGTAACTCCCAATGTTTTTCAGCTTTGGGTCATCACTCCACTCGCTAAATGGGACCTGGAATGTCTGTTCATCGACTTGCACAAAGCTAGCTGAGTGCATCAGCTCCTTCTGCTCGGCTACCATGTTGACCCTCTTGCCAAACTTAACCGCTGCCTCGTCTATTAGCGCCTCCCAATCCCTTAGCCCCACTAGTCGGCTTTCATCCTATGTGTTGTCGGTAAAGAAGCGTAAGTCATTCTCCTATACTTCCAACCACCCGCCTAGGAGAAGATACCGGTACGTATTAGCGTAGAACTTATCGTAGTCGGCAATCACCCCGCCTAGCGACTACGTATAGATCAAATGAAACATCTGTCTTAACAATAGATATTAATTCAATAATTATTAGATAAAACACAAAAAAGATAAAAAAAGAAATCTCTCCCTCGGGGAATCGAACCCCGGTCTCCCGCGCTTATCGGTATTAATGACAAGCGGAAATCATCACCACTAGACCAAGGAAGATGCGATGGCTGAGTTACTGCTCGGCCACTTGGCTGGTTGATGAAAATACTAGCCCGTTTTGACATGATGGGGATATTTGAGTTTATCCACAGCAAGTCAACTGCTCGCATAGAGTGCCGCAGATAACCTGACACCGGGAAGATTCATGCGAAACATCAACTTCCTCCGACAGCTCAGGCTGCAGTGTAATCGAGTGAATTCCATAGGCGTGGAAACACTCGTTGATCACGCGCGCTGTCTTCATAAAGTCCTCGACCGAGTCCTCAGACACGACGACGTGTACTGAGGCGAGGGTCTTTTGTTGGTTGAGGCGCCAGATGTGGAGTTCGTGGATTGAGTTGACGCCCTTGATCTGGTAATTGTTAGGAATGAAAGAAATAGAAGGAGATGGAGGTGGGGTCACCTTTTCTAGGTCGTGCTTGACATCGCACATGTCAACCCCTGTGGGCACGCTCTCTAGCAGGATCATCCCGGCTCGACGCACTAGAGAGTGTCAGCTTCGATATTTCCTTTTAGCCTTCTTCTGTTCGAGACACTTACTCAGGGGGAATGAAGACAGAATAATGAGGATGGCAATGAACATGCTCACACCGGGATCGGCATAGTATCGGCCGGCATGGGGTGCCGCGAGCCAGATAATCAGACCGGCTGCCATTACGCCCAAGTTGTTGATTGCATCGCCGATGACGTGGATCATCACTCCCATCATGCCCAGATCACCGTGGTCATGGCCGCCATGGCCATGGCTGTGGCCGCCTGAGTCTGCGCAGTGATGTTTTTCGAAATGAAGATGTTTGTGATCGTCATGCTAAGCTGTGTCAGTCGGTCTTCATAAATTGGATCCCTCGATTTGTTGAAGCTTACCTTGGTGCTGGAATTATGGCATTCCTCGCCGAGGTGAAGAACCGGTGTCTCAATTGTGGGTGATAGGCTATGGTCATGACTGTGTTCATGTCCATTTCCATGTTCTGGGTACTGTTAGCATGGTACTAGCAACTACCCCACGAACCCTACCGTGAAGGAAGACTGCGCTGATAATATTGAGGCCCAATCCGACACACCCAATGATGAACATCAGCTTGGGATTGTGAACATCTAGATGCACCGTCAGTCATTATCAAACGAGATCAACATCCAGTCTGGGTGATGGCACCCACGTTGAAGAGCAATAAATCGCTCAATGGACTGCAAAAATATACTAATACCCAACCCCAACAGAAGAACACCATTGAAAAAGGCACCGAGCAGCTGAGCCCGCTGCCAACCAAAAGTAAGCTCCTTGGGCGAGTCACTGCGCTCGGATTTCTATATTTCACATCAGCACAACCACCACACAACCAGACAGCCAAACCACACTGTACCTTTAATGCAACAAGAGCAATAATAAACCCAACTAAATCATTCAGCTGCAATGTATATTAGCCAACAAAATCCCCAACTCCACACCCGAAAACGCCTACATAGTGAAAAGCATCCGCAATCAGTGCAATAGAGTGGGTATAGAAGCCCACTAGCCCGGTATCAGCACATCGACGTCCATACTAAAAACCACTACCACCAAAACCAAGAAAGAGGGTAACCGACGCGAAATCTCAGCCAGAAAGAAAGATGTCGATATGCCAATCACAACGCTCAGCCGTGTCGAGCGTGATAGATGAAGTCCCATGACTGCGGATATCCAATTTCAGAAAGAAAAAAATGAGATGGAACAGAACGAAAATCCAGGAACGTAGCTTGCCATTGACGAAAGGGACATTTTTTTCGCTGCGAGATCGTGAATACTTCTGCCTTCCAGGGTCTTGGTTCAGAAAGCAATGGCTGGTCCGACATTCCTGCCGTGTAACTACCTTTCTCCATGAAATGTGGCCTATCGGATAGCTCCGGTCACTATGAGATATGGAGATGTGGTATGCGGCAGGTTGAGGATTATGGAGAATTCTGGTGATTTGGTGGGTGTAAATGGTGTTATATCATTGCTAATGGCGGTTGGGGTATGTTATATGGGAAGGGTTAGGGCTAGGCACAAGTACTAAGCGCTGGAGCTACATTGGCCCAAAAGGATCTGCCAGAGTACCTTGACAGCCTGGAATCTTCCAGGAACATATTTCCCCCAGCCCTACAGGAGCTTGTGGACTGGGTTTATGTGTGTTGCAGATCAGCCGATGAAGAATGCAGGCTTGCCACCAACGCAGTGTATCACAGCATCTGAATGTGAGATCCATACACAACCTTGAATTTAGTGATGGGGACATTTACAAAAACGGATTGAATCTTAGAAATATGGAATGATTCAGTTTTCATTAAACAAAAAAGAAATTTTTGTACAATTTTCATGGTCACATATCCAATTTGTTTTACACAAAACACCAACTTAAGCGGCAATCTGATCAGAAAGTCCATCCAGCTCACGCGCCCAGTTACGGTGTCGAGAAATATGCCAGATAAACTGCTCAGCCAGACCCTTCGCATCAGGCCCAACCGTGCCAACCTTCAACAACGAAACCGCATCTCCATAGCCTGTAACAACGCCATACGACTCCTTAAGCGGAGAACCACTCTTCGCAACCTCGACCTCAGGAAGCCCGATCTGCTTCTCAATAAATGGCACAGCCTCATTAGCACCAGCAATGGCCTTCAGATGTGCAAAAGCTTCGGAGATCCAGTGCTTAAACACGCCATTCTTCAACAGCGCCTGGATATGCTTTCCGCCAGGCACGTAGACCGCATCAAACAGCGTCGACCGCGCCCCAGAAAAGAAGTGATCGGGAATAACCTTCTGCCCAGACTCGGCAGTAACACCCTGGCGCTGCGAACCGATCGTGAAAACAAACGCGCCGCGCTCGCTAAGCACTTCTTTCATCGTGGTATACTGGTTGAAGTCGAATCCGTCCGCAAGCAGGATGGCGATGCGACGCGTCGCGATGATGGGTTTCTCCGGCATGAATTCAAGCTGGCTCAGACCCTTGGCTTTGATACCCTTGTTTTCCTTTGGAGATTTGACCGGTGTGTCGCCACCGACATTCTTCGCGACAGTCTTGGCTAGGTCTAGATCGATCGCTGATAGACGCTCTGTCATGCGCTTGTAGACAATGGGGTCGTCGCAGTGGTCCAGCTCGAAGGAGAATGCCTTCGCCACATGCATCTTTTCAATCGGTGAGAGCGAGTTATAGAATACCTGCGCCTGATTGAAGTGCTCCTTGAATTTATCTGACAGCGCGCGCTTCTTTGCGCCCTGCTGCTTACCCGGGTAGCTGACGAAGCCGCCCTGCTCTGCTGTTGCGGGCGGGTTGGCCTCGAACCGGTTCGGCCAGTAGTTTACCTTGCCCTTTGTGATGCGGTGTCTGCCCTGGCCGTCGCGGTTGACTAGGCTCATATATGGACATACTGGCCGGTTGATGGGCAGTTCCTCCCAGTTCGGTCCGAGTCGCGAGATCTGCGTATCGAAGTATGAGAAGTTGCGGCCTTGAAGCAAGGGGTCGTCAGAGAAGTCGATGCCGGGCACGATGTGGCTCGTGCAGAATGCGACCTGCTCGGTTTGAGTGAAGAACTCATCGACGTTGCGGTTGAGTTCTATCTCGCCGATGTAGCGGATGGGCACTAGCTCCTCGGGCCAGACCTTCGTGGCGTCGAGAGGGTCGAACTCGAAGTTGTCGGCCTTCTCTTCGGGGATGAGCTGTAGGCCGAACTTCCAGCGTGGGAAGTGTCCTGCCTCGATCGCCTCCATTAGGTCTTTCCGGTGGAAGTCGGGATCCTGGCCGCCGATCTTCAGCGCCTCATCCCAGACGAGCGAGTGGACGCCCAGCTCTGGGGTGAAGTGGAACTTGACGAAATGACGCTTTCCATCCTTGTTAATCAAGGAATAGGTATTCACACCGAATCCCTGCATCATCCGGAACGACCGCGGAATAGCTCTATCGGACATAATCTGCCACGAACTGCGTCAGCAACCCCAACCCAAACAGGAAATAGATATACTAACCCACTGATTCATATGCGTAACCTCCGAATGCAGATATTGAAAGTCCCAAAAATTATTATGCGCACTCTGACCCTGCGGCACCTCATTATGCGGCTCGGGCTTGACAGAATGAATAACATCAGGGAACTTGATCGAGTCCTGAATAAAGAAGACGGGAATGTTATTCCCGACAATATCCCAATTGCCCTCCGCAGTATACATCTTGATGGCGAACCCGCGCACATCGCGCACCGTATCTGCGCTGCCCTTGCTACCCTGCACAGTCGAGAATCGCAGGAACAGCGGCGTCTCCCGGTTGGTATCAGTCAGGATCCCGGCGGTTGTTACGTCCGCGGCGCTCTCGTATAATTTGAATGTGCCGAAGGCACCTGTTCCGCGCGCGTGAACTACTCGCTCTGGGATGCGTTCATGATCGAAGCGCATTATCTGTTATTAGTTAGTTTGTTTGTTCGAATATAGATCGGTGTGTGTGGAGATGAATGGATATAGGTACCTTCTCGCGGGCAATTTGGTCTTCCAGGAGTGAGGGTCCGGTCTTCTTTTCATCTACGATGCGGAGCCATTGGTCTGGGTTGGAGATTTTGACGCCATGGTCGGTTGTCATGTGCTGCTTGTCGTGGACATCGACGATGTCCTTTTGTAGATCGGCATATTTGCCGTCTGCAGTCTTGGAGTTTGGATTTGCTGCCATAGTGTGTGTGTGGTTGATATCAATGATATCAGAGAGGAGGGGGAAAGTGTAGGTGAAGTATGCTAACCTGAAGTTCCCACTTTATATATAAAAAACAAGCTGATCACTGTGCAATCCACCAAGTGCGACGTCAATGATGTAATCCCTCCAATTGCATATCCAGAGGTGGCATCCACCAACGAAATGAAATCGTACAATTACAAAGCGAAAATTCGATTGCCCGTCATCGAGTCTAGCCAGGGTAAATGACCGTAGTATGACCTACCACCCGAACCCTAACCCCGGGCACTTTACCAACCAATGCCGACAGGAAAACCTGTAATGGAGCAAAGCAGACAAGAAGTATTGCGAATCCCCCCTTCTCATTCGCGGGGCAATTTTTTCCTGAAATCCATCCGGGGGAGCTATAGCTCGGTAGCTTTTGCCTGTGTTGTTTGGGTGGTCTGTTATGGGGTTCCACTGGCAATACAAGGCATTTGAACTAGGTAGGATGGTGGGTCATGCCAATTGCAGGTGGCCGATGACGTGAACTTATGCCTGGATTCGGGCTTCTTATTTATTGGACGTCTTGGATTGTCCTGGAGAACTTGATATTGTGTGACGTCACCAGTCAGAGTGGAAATCGTGCCCGAGTGTCTCTAATATACCAACCTAGGTAGGTATCGTAGGGAATTAAGTTAACAGCCAAAATACGGTAGATCTACGTACCAAATATATCTTGTAGGTTAAATCCGATAGGAAAGAATAAATTCAATTCATAGGGGAATAATTCATAATTCCAAGAAAAAGCTATGCTATATACACCAAACTCGATCTATGTGCGCAGGTATCTCTCTATAGCACAATGTAGCGTCTGAACAAAAAGAAAAGTAAGAGGACAAGCAGAATCTACATATTATCCTCGCTCCAATGACTCCTCGTCTTCTGCCAAGCATCATGTTCCTCCTTATTCTGCGCAGGAGTGTTTCCAAGCCCCAACCCGCGCTCCACCCATTCCTTGCTCCCCATTTCAGAAAGACGGGAAAGCGCACGCGCAAATGCAAACCGCTCCTCGTCACCACTGAAAATAGACGTGTTCTTCAGCGCCTGCACGGACATACCGAGGTCGTCCATTAGGTTGCGCATTGCGTCGGAGAGATCTGAGTGGTCGCCGCCGTCGCCTTTGAGGGTTTTCTTTACGTCGGTTTCGGAAATGAAGAGGTTTGTTAGCGGGACTTCGGTTGTGAGGACTAGTTTGGCCTGTTGATGTGGGTTGTTAGTTGACTACATGATATAAACAAGTGAACAGGAACGTTGCTCGTTACTCACCCTGCTCTCATATACCGCATCGATAAAGGTAATAAAGCGCCTCGCCAGATCACGCTGGGTATGGTTCATGCTCGGCACATCCGTGACAATGAACGCATCGTAATGCCGAACCAGCTCGAGGTAGTCGGCTGCACCTGTGGCCGTGCCGATGAGCTGCTGGAAGGTGAAGTGCGCAGCCTTGCCGCTAGCACGGGGAACCTTGATTTCGCGGCCCCAGACAACCTGCGAGTCTGTGTGCGGGGGGTCATTGATTGGGTCGCCCAGGAACTCGAACCACTTCTGCGCGTGCTGCTCTGCATCCTCGCCCAGCGGGTGGTGGTAGACAGCAGCCGGGGGCCGGGGGATTTTGCGGTAATCCGTTGGGGAGTTGAGGTTGATGACGCTCAGATCTGTCTTGAGGAGGTTGATGCATGGGATGAAGGATTCACGCTGGATGCCGTTTTTATACAGGTCGTCTGGATGACGGTTGGATGTGGTGACGAGGACAACGCCGTGGGACATGAGGATTTCGAGAAGCCTGATTATTGGTGAATTGTCAGCTGGGTTTTTGAATAGGCCCCGTCCGGGGAGAGAACACATACCGTCGCAGGATCATTGCATCAGCTACATCCGTACACTGGAACTCGTCAAAGCAAAGCACGCCCGCGAGCTCGGCAATATCGGCCGCAACCATCGGCAGCGCATCGAAGTCATTTCCATACTTCATCTTCACTACGTGCATGCGCTTATGTGTGTCCTGCATGAAGTTGTGGAAGTGAATGCGCGTCTTGTTCTTGATGTTCGGCGGCAGCGTATCAAAGAACAGATCCATCAACATCGTCTTGCCGCACCCGACATCGCCATACATGTACAGTCCCTTCGGAAGGTTATCGGGGATAGCAGACTTTTCCTTCTTCCTCGCGCCCCCGCCGAACAGAGACCCAAAGAAGGACGACTTTTGCTGAGGGTCGAGAGACTCGGGCTTGGGGTGAACAACTTTCGGCGGGTTGTAATCTTTCAGCGCTTCAAAGAGGTCCTGTAGATTCTGAATAATCCCTATAGAATCGGCGCATGTCAGCTTAGAACTGTGCGCCGCCGGAGTTGGTCACAACCTACCTCTCTGATACTCATCATCCCTCAGTCTCCCCTCCTGCACACGCACATCATATTCCCTCATGGGCCCATCCTGCGGGGGAGCGGTGGTGTTCTTCTCGCCGTCCGAGACTGTAGCCAGACCCCGCCCCTTTGGTGATTGAACAGCCAGCTGGGGCCGGATCCTCTCCAAAGACATGCATACCAACGGAGACCGACTCGGCCGCCGTAGTGTATCGAGCGCCCTCTTCTCTGTGGCATAGGATCTACGGGCGGCGCCCCGCAACTTCGTAGGGCGGAGGCCCCGAGGCGCCCGCAGCGCGCTCGGGAAGCACTCTGCGCATAGCTTTGCCGATGGGCGGCTCATTGGCGTCCCTTTTTGGAAGTTATGTTTGCAGGTGTGTTGCGACGGTGGACTCGAGGTCAGGTTTAGGTGGCAGAGAGTGGTTGCAATGCGAAGGCGTTAACCGAGGTATTGTATTGTAGGCAAGGATTTGTTTTTCTTCCGAACGCTGGGAGTGGCGGGTCCTCAAAAGCCAAGGTAGGGCCCGAGCTATAGATATCGAATTACAACAGGCCCTCAAAATATATATACAGCTCCTGCAGCTCTTGGACTAATGATCAAAAATTCTAGCGGACAACCGGTAGATTCCGTTCCTGGGGTCGAAGAAAGAACAGTCGGGACCAGGTTCTAATCACGTGACTCTATATCATCGCGGCTTTTCTACCTCCAAATACGGATGTTTCTTAACTTATATCAATATTTATATTTGGTACAAAAAGAGCTGTGAGACACCATGGTTAAGCCGCTCTCGTGTGAAAAAGGCCTCCCGGTATATGCACGAGAAGTAAAAAAATATGTACACAACACAGAAGCAGGCAGACCGGGGTATGATCCTGAACAGGATGAGATGTAGATCTGATGCGAAATTGACGCAGAAATAACAACGAGAAAGCCCATAATGCGACATTGCAGAAACAAGAAAATCAAGAAAATCAAGAAAAGAAGAGAGTCAGATAGAAAGGAAAACATGCCGTACATCTCGCATCAGATTCGTTAAATCACGATCTCGTCCTCGTGGACCATGTGAAATCGCTCAAGGAACTGATGACCAGTTTGAAAAAGAAGAAAACAAATCAGAGAATAACCATGCATCATTTCAAAAACTCCAATGCACCAACCTTACTCGTGGCAAACATTAATATGAGGTTGACAATAACCTCATCGATGAAATCAAGGGCAAGTCTATCGTTGACCCCAACACCAGGAAAGAAACGAGTGCTTTTTATACGATGCTGACAAAGAGGGTCAGCTTGGTGTTCCGCTGCATGGCGTTCTCCAGATCCTGATCGGTATAAAGATCGATATATGAGCCGGAGGATTCGTCACGGTACTGCACAACGATGTCGTCCTGGATCTTCAACCGGTCGCATAGCTTGTCCTTGAGGTGCTGCATGCTCACGCCTGATGGGATGCGGATCGCAATCAGGTCATCCTGGAAGAACACCTTGACCTTCATCGCGCTGTTGGCCGATGCCCCGGAGGCTTGGGTAATGGAGCTAGGTTGGCGGTTCATGGGCGGCGGGCCCCCGTTGGCGTAGGGCGTGGGTGTGGGCGCTGGGGCACGCTGCTGGGATACCCGCTCGGTGGACGCATTAATTTGCTGCTGCGAAGACTGGCGCGACACGGTTTGTTGGGGATCCACGCCGCCGGAGTGCTGAGATCCACCCGAGAACCGCGCGTCCTCGCCGAACGCATTGGGGTCGATTTCGAAGTCGCCTTCTCGGGGCGAGAAGAGTTCGCGCACGAGTTGACAACGCGAAATATGCGGGGGCATAGACAGGAGTTTCTTGATGTATTCGTCCAGGTTCTGTCGTCGACCGTTGGAAATCGCGTCCGTGACGTGGGTGACAGGACCCGGCATGAAAGGGAGGGTTCGCCCACGGCCACGGTTGCCAGCTTCGTCTTCGAATTGGGTTAGAAGAGCGATCTGGAAGTCGTAGAAATCGTGGTAGTAACGCGACAGCTCCCAGCAGCGACCGTCTTCCATCTTCGCCTCAATGATGTACCAATACTTGTCGTTATCGAAACAGTAGCGCGGAATATAGGCGGAGACAGGGATGGTAAGTTGGTAGCTCTGTTGCGACATGGGCACTTGCGACAAAGTTCCCTTACTGGCGTTACGTTGGTGCTCCTGGGTCTGCGCATCATTTGTTAGTAAATGGAATCGCAAACGGGGAGTCGGAAATTTTGCATACATAAACATTGCCGTTTTGACTCATTTGACTCTGGTGGCCCATGGACATCTTTTCCATGCCCGAGGTGACAGTCATCGTATTGCCACCGCCGTGACCCTCGATTTTGCCCAGTGTGATACTGCTGTTCTTGTATTCCGCCGTCATTTTCTTCCACTCCTCAACCTTGGGAACACCGGCGCGTCGCACCGCGTCAAGCGGGTCGGTCACAGCTTGTCCGCTCTGCATATCACGCAACTCGATAAAAGAAACAGGAATCAGGCCTGGGCCGCCGAGACGACCGATAGGTTTGGCGACAAACCACTCTGGGTTAGATTGGGCGATAACAATAATGGCCTCGCCAGCCTTCGCGTCCAATTCATCGGGTCGCTCCGCTTGAAAATCGTACTGGACAATTCCGTAGACCATAGCGCCTTGACCCTTAAGTGCAGACATTCTGAATGCGCCGTTCTTGGTGATGGAAGAATCTTGGGAAAGACCGCGGTCGGAGAATCGTGAGTCGTCCTTGGACAGGTCGCCGGAACCCCCACTATCCCTCTCGTTTTTGCCGATAACCTCAAAAAAGGAGACGGGCACAAGCCCCCTAGCACTAGGGATCAGCGGATTGCACGCTTCGTACCAATCCGAATCGTCCTCCCTGCTGATAACGTGAAAGAAATCTCCCTTGCTGAATGCCAATTCCTGCGAGGTCCCCGGCTCTGGTTGGTAGTCGTAGAGCGCTTTAATTACCTGGAAATGCGGTCAGCCACTGCCAAGAACGAGTCGGGAGTGGGACAAGGAGGGGGCGAGGGGTTAAAAGGCGAATTCAACTGGCGAATTTGCGCAAGGAAGCAACTCACTTTTTTCGGGGGTAGAATCGCAATAGCGGACTTGGGTGTAATAGAGATATGATGGTGTTTGGGATCTTTCTCCCCCTTCAAGGATCGCCTAAAGGCCTTTATTTTTTTTCGAAACCGGATTAATTAAACATACCAGGTAATATTTCGGAAGGGAAACTCACCTTCATGGTTAAAAGAGTTAAAAAAAGGATTCGAGAGATGCAAAGAGGAGGAAAGGAGGAGCAGCCTCTTTTTAGTCAAAATGTATACCTTGACCAGCGTAATCGGTATTGCGGTTCCAACCACGCGGCTTGGATGATTGCCCAGGGGCCCGCTTTTTGCTTTTTTTGGCTTTTCTTTGTGATCTTAGATGTTCCTTGGGTAGATGTAGAGACCATGTCTATACTGGTCTTTGATCTTTATATCTACGTAGGACAATGAACCTTTTAAGATCGTATGGTCATGCCAATACAGGATGATTCAGGGTTGAGCCTCGGTATATACATCGATGTAGACTTCAACAAAAACCCCAGATGTTTTACTTGAAAGGGTCAAAGGGCTCTAAGGCAAAAAAACCATTAGAATGTATTCGAACATGCCTTCCAACTCTACATTTGCCATCTGACATGAGGTCCAGATTGTCAAGATTACGGTATTATTTATTGCCGCTGTTGGGCAGAGATAATCCACCGTCGGCGGCTAGTGCAACGGAATCACACCCTACTAGACTAAATGTGACTCTGTCCGAGTCTCTCCATTTGCCATCTCTCCCATAGGTACCTTAGTGTGTTTTATAGAGATACTATACATACATACATATTGCACATAACTACATAGTACAGGTACATCCTACTAGACTAGAAAAGGTACGCAGAACGAAAAAGAAGAAAAAGAAGGATCTTTGCCCCTCATTTCCCCACTTATAACCATGGTTCAGCCATACCTAAACCGTGGATTCTGACGTCGTCTCAAAACCGTTCCGGTCTTTCTTTTTTAGTCTATTGGAAATTAATTTATAGGCTGGATATGTGTATGGAGGGTACTATATATACTCGGGGAACCCCACTGAACAAAGAAATGGAGAAAGATGTATCAAAAACAAAGGGTCTAGAAGGCCGAATCGGATGGGGAGAATTAATCCGTTAATATTACTTAAAATGTTAAAATTTTTAAAAAATTTAATTTCCAAATTAAAAATTCTGGGGCTGACCACGAATGCGCGGCTCCTGCAATCTGCCGTATGCAGAGAAAATTTCATCTCAAATATTAGATAGGATTAAAGGCTAAAATAAAATAAAATTATGAACCTTGGAAGGCACTGGCAAGCTGAAGAAACTCTGTTTAATGTCGATCATCGGCCACATCTACATCTACACCCCTGGGTAATACCCTATCCAATGGATACCCTACTCCGTATGGAAGGCGTGGATTGTGCTTGGTCCCCGCATAAGAGTACCAGAGTTGCTAACTCGCCTCACATCCATGGATGGATACATCTATCCTCCTTACTGGTACGACCCAGCGTTGGTCCTGCTTACCTCGTGGCGACTTTCTATGTATTCGAACATTATCGAATTGGAGGTGAGTTAATCTACTCAAGGCAGAACTTTGCATATGGGATAAGTACTGGATAGATTGAATGTTGTAGGTATTTACTATGCCAATGTGCAATCGCCTCTCTTCATCAGACCGAGTCAAAGAGCACATGTTTTGCCCTCTGGTGCTCCAAAAGAAATTGATCAACTCCAGAATCAGACGCCGCCGGGGGTGTTAGTATCGTTGTAATTCCGCTGGCAATCCTGTGAAAAAGAAATCCGGAGGATGATGTCGAGAACGAGAAAGAAAAGGCAACGAAAAAAAAAAAAAATAAGAACTCTCGAAAGGCTATGTTGTAACCATGTGTGTGGACGTATGTGGTGAACGCCTGCCGCTTTTGAAAATACGCCAAAAAAAAAAGAAATAAGAAAATGGCTTTGACTGAGATCCAATGGTTTATGATCCTCGGCGCAAGAAAGGGATGCACAATGAGAACTGGGTTAGATCTGGCCTTTGATATCGACGACACGGTGGGCGGCTGCTTTGGCTTGATCGAAGAGCGAGCCTGCTTTGCCTGTCAACAGCCTTACAGCGCCGTTCCTTTCCTCTAGCAATTCTTCGGAGGAGTTGTCTAGAACAAAACGTGCGGTCTGCTCATCGGACTCGAATCCAAGCTCTTCTGTGATAAATCGGATGTTGACATCTGGTTTGTATCTACAATAAAAGGTCAGCTAGAATGCTCAAACGGAACAGGGAAATCAGGAGACTCACGCTCTACACATGGTTGCAAGAGCACTCAACCGCTCACGATCGACAAACATGTCCATGAGGTAGGCTCCCATATTCGGCGTATCAAGGTATAGCTGGAAGAAACGATGGTAGTTCCCGAGTGCAAGGGCAGAGCGGACATCTAGGGCATGTTTCACGGCGAGGTCTTTCTTATCTTCTGCAGTCACGTCGGCTAGTGCGTCGTTCATCGCCGTCCAGTTCCGTGTGTAAATGAAATAGAGAATACGATAGGCCTTGAATTCCGTCGGGTGTCCTCCCAGCTGTTGCGCATACAGAACTCGTAGCTGGGTCTGGCACTGGTTGTACTCACCAAGATCCCCTTTTTCCAAGGCGATGCGCGCGTGGATTTCGTAGACAACGACAGTGAACTCATTTCGGATGCGCTGGACCGTTAGGTCTTGACGCAAAGACTTGAACTGGTCACAGATGTACCCGTAATTGCCATCGTGCTTCCATTTTCTCTTCAATAGATCCAGGGCCTTTTGTAAAACCGGAAGAGGACGAACACTGTCCGGGTTGGGAGCAGAGGTCAATCGGAAGTAGTTCTTCTCCAATGTCTGGCATCGCCCGACAACGGGGCCTTGATCCGCGTCGGCAACACGCATCGGCGATGCTGCAGGAGAAGAGGGGGAGTTCCCGCTGCCCCCCACTCCCTCAAAACGCTTCCTCCTCATCTCCAAATTAGCTTTGGACTTACTAGACTGGTCCAGTGTTATGCGTGGTTTTTTCTCTGTGGTAGGGTGAGTAACTCGATCTTCAAAACGATTGCGGTTAGCTTTTCTCCATGGCGGCGACCCAGTCTCCGAATGATGGCCATCAGTTGACTTTCGCTTCCGTGTGGCATCACCCGGAGAAGCTGGGTGACTGGACGCCCAGTTTGAAGAGCTGGGGTTGGCCAGGATTTTGTTGCGTTCATTTTGCACCATAGTTTGGGGCAAAGGTAGCCTTTCCCAGTCGATCAATCCCAACTTGTCATTCTGGGCTGCCTCCGTAATGACGTGCCTCAATTTCTCCTGCATTTCAGGGATGCTCACGCTTGCAACCTGGTTTTCGGGAGCAAAGCAGCGTTGCACATATGAGCGTACGGGTGGTGGGAACTCCACTCGCGCCCGGGCTTCGGTGTCCGGTGATGCCGACTGGATGGGCTGGGGGGGAACGGTATTTGTTGGCTTGGTGTGGTGGGCGAGGCTACGACGCGCTTGAACTGGAGTGTATGCTGGAGCTGCTGTCGGGTTGTTAGCCTCCTGACACGAGACCAACGAGACTCGAGTCGAAATATCTTTCTTACCAGTTGGAGGAAATGCAGTAGACATTGTGCCTGACGCGGTAGAGCGCCAAGGTGGTACGCTGGAACTCATCGTAGATGCAAGATTTGGAAAAATAAAGAAACAAGATGAAAGGAAGTAAAGAGCTACGAAGGGGCAAGACTCGAGGAACGGCTGGAAGAATCAAATTTTGATCTTACTCCTCGGCTGGTAGTTTTGAGATGAGAGAAAATATGATGAACGTTTATTTCCAAGATGAGATAGATGGTCACGAGCCGGGGAGGGTGAGAGTGAAGTCCACACAGACTCGACTCGTGACGGTGAGTGATACTCGCTTACTCACCGGACTTTAGTTTGTCCGAGTATCCCGCCTTATCGGTTTATCGCAATCGCCTTGGCTTAAATGACATGCCTCTCTCTCTTTATGGATCTCATTGATGTTGGGAGCTGGTTGAATCTACTAGATGTTCTTCAAGTCGCTGGATCTGACTACTGCGCTCAGACCCTTGCTGTTACCCGATGAGATTCTTCTCTTTGTCCAGGACGCGGTGGGGTTGTATGAAGGGTAAGTAGCTCATGATGATGCTCCTGATGCGGGGTGCTGATTAGAGGCAAAGGAAATACAAAATCCAGAATTATCAAAATGGCCATGCCTATCTCACATCCCACAGAGTGTGCTATGTTGCGGCTGAGGACCCGCGGAAGTACTCAGTGGCTATTGATTTGAAAGAAATCGATCGAGTGGAGTCTCAGGTGCGACATGCATACATCTTGCCTTCGAGGCTTTTACTCTCGGCCAATCGCTAACAAACCCACCGATTTAAGGCTGGCTTCTTGAAGTCATCTCCGAAGCTCACTATATACCCGAAACCGCAGAAGAAGACGATCGATAAGTCGAGGAGCGCAACAACCAGCCCGGCTGTAGCCCAGCAATCGGCCCTTCATCCAACGCAGTCACTTTCTCACCTCCCACAAACCAACCTCCCACAAAGCTTACCATCTCCAAAGCCAATCAATGCCACTTGGATCTGTCCCATATGCTCATTCTCCAACCCAATTCCGTCCAATTTCGACACCACAACGGCTAGTGCGGCTACAAATTTACCTCCTTGTCTAGCATGTGGCATCAAACCACCATTTACGACCGTTCTCAAAGCAGCGATCAGTGCTGTAACAAGCCGGGAGTCTTCATTGCTGAGTTCAGTTGCATCACCAGCCATTGCACAAGATACAGGCCAACCAAATGCCAATGCGTCTCTATCGCCTTTTGGGCCCGGGGGAACTGTCTCTTGCCCACGATGTACCTTTGTGAACCATCCGTCTCTCGTGGAATGCGAGATTTGTGGAGCGCCTCTATCTACTAGCTCCTCAGCGAGCGCCAATCGTGTGGACTCTCCTGCGCCGTTATTTGAGCAATCGCACATCGCGAACACGGAAGTTCGTGAGAGCATTAAGCTTTCATTTCGTGCAGGTGGCGATAAGACGTTCCATGAAAGACTTAAGGGGGCCTTGGTTCAAAGAAAATGGCTATTGCAAAATGCGCCCCCAGTGCCTTCACCGTCGCAAGGCGCCTCCTCGCTGGGCTTACCTTCCCCTGCCGCCAGCGTCGAAAGCCCTCTACCCTCAGTACCACGACCTTCTGGGGTTGGTATCGCGGGATTAGAACGCCGAGGGCTGGAAGCCCGGAGGAAAAACGAGCTGGTCATAGGGAACGCCTTTGAAGACCTGGAGGCTTTAATGGCCTCTGCCAAGCAGATCGTTGCGCTGGCTGAGACTCTAGCGCGTGAGTCTGGCATGACTACTAATGAAGGCTCTCCAGAAACTAGCGCGGTGCTATCTGAGTCCGCTGCGGCTCTCGGGATGGTAACAACCAAAGACATGCTCAGTTCCGGATCTGAAAGTCTATATTTATCAGAACTTGCGCGTGACTTGGCCGAGTATCTCACTGATGACCGAAAAGGCATTTTGCAGCGGGAAGGTGGGATTATGAGTCTAATTGATCTCTGGGCTGTCTTTAATCGGTCCCGTAATGGTGTAGAATTGGCCAGTCCTTCGGATTTTCAGAAAGCAGCGGAGCTGTGGGAAAAGCTCAAGTTGCCAGTTCGTCTACGACGATTCAAAAGTGGCCTTCTTGTGGTGCAGCGATACGACTGGAGCGACGAGAAGACTATTGAAAAACTTCAGGTCTGGATGGAGGAGCTCCGGCGAGTCCCCCCGACGATGCTGTTACCTGGGACTGGTCCCTCTTCGGTCGGGCCGTTACTGCACAAGAAGCTGCGCATCGGTTCAAATGGAGCGTCGGGGTGGCTGCCGAAGAGCTGGAGATGGCTGAAGATCGGGGGGTTCTCTGTCGAGAAGAAGGAATTGAGGGTCTGCGCTTCTGGCGCAATTATATGTCGTCCCGTGAGTATAATGATCTCTCCCGCCTTGTTATTTGAGACCATGTGATGTGATTCCATAAGAATGTATATACAAAGTTGCATACATCCCCCATTGATACAAGGGGGGCAGTGGTCCTGCCCATGCCGAGCATAATAAAATGATGCATTGAACATATTTGGGCTCAGAGCATGAGGCTGAGGACCTTTTGCTACCCCCACTATGAACTGGTTATCCTAGCTAAGCACTGTGTATACATGTAGGCTTTCGATGCGCCAAGACCAAAGCATATTGCCAAGAGCCCTAGATGCGCATGTGAATGTTGTCACTACATATTAGACCTACAATCATTAATTCATCTATCTACTCATAGCGGCCTGGTTGACACACCACAGCGGTGAATGGCACATTGCATGCCGTTCAAGGGAAACAGAAAAATTGGAGAAGCAAATCCATCCCATTCATCCATAGTTCCCGAGGTCAGGCCCCGGGGCCGCCGATGCCGCTGACGTAATCGTATAAAATCGGCGTCAAACCGGGGTGACCCCACTGATCTTCCCGTGTCCATAGATCCACAAGAACAAAATTCCAGTTGCTTCTTTTCAATCTCACATCTATACCTGATTGCTCTTGCATGTTTGACCTAATGTCACACCTTGCTCATAGTTGTACCTCCTGAGTTTCCGCCACCACACCTCTGGAGCTTAAGTGGGACTTGTCCGTTGATACTACTACACTAGATGGCCTGCCCCCACCGAGGAATCTGTCTCCAGCTCTCCATCCTTGGAGATTGCGCAAGAGCATCGGAAGCCTCAATCCTGCAGTATGACTAAGAAAGATAACTCCCATCCCTCCAGGCGATTGGCCTGTGATGTTTGCCGGGAGCGTAAGTGCTTTCTCAATTCAACACACCCCCCCCCCCCCCCCCCGGGCTCCCCATCCCCAAGAACAGACGACTGAGGTGAAAATTCTAGGCAAGGTTAGGTGTGATCGGACAGACCCAAAGTGTGGTCGTTGCACGCGCCTTGGCTACGACTGCAGCTACCAAGGGCGGAAACTACACCGCGCCGCCCAGGCGGATCTGCCACGTCAACTATCTGAACTGCAAGATCGACTAGGTACTTACCCATCTCTTGGTGTATATCACTGGTACTGTGATCCCTCCTAATTCAACGACATGTATCACAGCCCAAGCCGAGGCAATACTTCAAAGTTCCGCGGCTTTCACTACTCCAGTGACATTCCCTCCGCAGAGCGAACTGTTCTATCCCCAGATCCCACCACCAGAACCACCCGGAGATCACGAGAGGCTAATGCAGCGTCTCCAAAACTATGCGACTCCTCCAATGGACCGTGGGTTTGAGGGGTTCGACTTGTTGACCAACCTCACGGAAGATATTCCTGGTTTTTGGGGAACTATCGATCCAGTTTTGACGTCAGAAATCCTTCCACTTCCCCAGGAGGATACTCCGCCGCTAGCAACTCCGCTCGTGGGTAACTATCTTCTGGCGGGAAACTCCGTGTCCCCTAACTTCAACGATCCTTTCTTTCCATCAACCCCAGTGCTCGATGAATTCATCTCGCCACAAGATATCGCGATACTGTACTGTGATCCTCCCCTTACTTCCGCAAAAGTCAAACGAACTAAGCAGGTTCGTCTAGACACTGTAATTATTTTGATATTTTCTACCCTGTATTACCTATTATAAGCAAGTCGCGCTTCCAACGGGAATGGGCAGAAAATTCTACATCCCCTCAAATCCGCGGATTGAGTTTTTCAGTGGCCCTAATCGGCACAACAATTTGCCAGCGATACGCTCATCTACAACCAGCATGTTACAGCAACGCCCGCAAATACGCAGAGTTGTGCGAACGAGACGACAGAGAGACCTATCTAATGAGCCTTAACGCGTTTCAGGCATTATTACTCATCTTCCGGTATGAGTTGACCAAGAAGCACTTTGCCCGAGCTTGGATGACTCTGGGTAGGGCCGTCACGCTGGCTCAGATTCTCGACCTGCAACACATGGACGCTGGCGCATTTCACACAACTAATCTCAGTCGCCATATATCCTCTCCAGAAACAGCGTTGTCGGACGTCCATGATCTAGCCTCGCTGGAGGAAATGCGCCGATCATTTTGGGCACTGTACATCTTCGAAAGCTATGCAAGTATCCGAATTGGCCGTCCCTGTACGTTAGAAGAGGATAAACTGCGGATTTGCCTCCCCTCCCCAGGTGAACTGAACGAGGACTTTGTGTCCTGTCCAATGCCTTTCCTTTGTGAACCGGCCAAGCTTTCTGGATTAAAAAATCTGTCGTCCTACGCCGCAGTGACAATCATGGTGAAACTGGCCCGATTATGCTATGAGCACGTTGGTATTCTGTCTCGTGGTACCAGTGACTCCGGATTCTGGGACCGCCACTACCGACTGGTTAAGACGATCAATGATTATACAACCATCTTCCAAGGCCATCTGGGCGCGAAGGCAGTGCGTGAAGATCCTCTTGCCTTTTCATTGCATCTAAATTTGTGCGCTACACACATTAATCTACATGAGGCGGTTATCCGCAAAGTGGAGGAGCAGGAATTACCAAAGCTTGTCGCTGCCGAGAGTCGTAAGTGTAGTACCGTCGCTGCGTTTAAGATTCTCGGTGCGATTCGCATGAATTGGCCTGTTCATCGGTCGGAGGTGAGTAAACACCGTGATTCATCTATGATTTGCCCTCTCTAGTCATATTTTCCTTTCTAACTTCTGCTTACTAGCGTGATCACTTCACACTTCAAGCAACGTTTATCGGCTGGCCAATTTCAATTAGCCTGAACGCGCTGAGTCGCAATGTCCTAAATGGAATTGACACCACACCTATCGGCGTCATAGACTCTTTACGCCTCTTACGTGGCGCGCTTGACCAGATAGAGGAGCCAGGTGGCTACTGGCACACGGCAAGTGAAGCGGCGGTGACTGCCTTATTAAAATGGGATGAGCAACAAAGCGGATCCAGTGGGATGGACTCAGTATGTGGAGTTTGAAGATGGAATTTGCGCTTGTAATATAGATATTCTTCAGACAAATAGAGAGAGTCAGAAGTTACTTTTACTATGAGGAATAATATAACAAACAGAAATTTGAGGCAGGTGATTTCAGGTGTCATGTCAGCGAATTCGAAGATTCGAAGGAAAGAGCTATAGTTATGAGCAACAATTGTGCACTCCTATCAATCTAGTAAGGTAATCTCCCATAGTTGTGTCGATTAAAGTATAATACTGCTCCAGACAAGGCATATTCTATGCCCGCCCTCCAGCTGTAGCAGATCCTTTCAACTTTGTTCTCTAAAAGTCACATTATTAGCCATACTCTCACTCCAACACAGGATGGTTGGGGAAGTGACTTACTCCCAAAAACGGGGTTATCACAAGACTAAATACCCCAGCTACCAAGAATAATAGCCACACACTGCTCATCGCATCAGTGATTAGGGGCTTCACCAGGGCCTTTTCGGTTTCAGATAGATCCTTGTAAGTCAGACTACTAGTTCCAGCAACAAGGTTCGTGATATCTGTCTTGTCCAAGCTGGGTAGAGCCAGTCCCACTTTTTGCAATGCTAGGTTTTGGTAGATTGATCCTGCCATGGCGAGGAAGACGACCATTCCGAGGTCTTGGCCTATTAATCATTTTCTTGGTTAGCTTTCGATCATGTCAAAAAGTCTTGAGTGAAAAGAAACGCAAGGAAAGAAACATACAAATAGCCATGGCTCCCACAGCGTTGGCAATATCTTTCGATTCAACAAGAGATTGCACGACAGCAAAGCCTGCTACAACATATGATCCAGAGCCAGCACCAATTAGGATATTGTAGCCGTAGATCCTTGCGTTACTCGTTTCCAAGTCGACAGTGTCTGTAATCGAGTTCTTCGTTAGGACCGACTAGGCGTTTCTTGAGAGAAAATGGGACAAACTTACACATCAAAGCCGCGCCAATAACAACGAGTATGCTACCGAATATATGCCATGGTGTAATATATGGTAGTTTGGGCATCAGTGCGCCGTTGATGATGGCGAATACTACCATAGAGATGATGAAGGGGAGGAGGCGGACACCAGCATCCAAGGGACCATCTCCCTACACATAGTTATATTAGCCTTTGATCAAAATAACTTGATTCAAACTTACCCTTAAAAACTGGAAGAAAAGGGGAATATAATAAGTCGTCGCCTGTGAACACCGTCAGCAAATGTAAGTTCTCCAGGGCCAACATGACAACCGACCAAAACAATTCCAGAAACCAGAAACATCTGCAGTTGCAGATTGACCAATATGGGCTTTTGGAGGAAATGAGCAGGATATAATCGATTGTCCCTGTGCACGCCCGGATGGTATTTTGCCACGCCCACAGAAACGATCAGAAGGACTCCGCTGACAACCCAGAGGGCGATCTCATTTCCAGAGCTCCATGCGAACAAGGTACCACCGAAGGTAATGGCCATAACAAGAGAGGTGGATCCTGCAAGGAAAACTGTTGTCATGATCCAGTCGACCATTTTGAGCTTCTCGCGTAAGGTATTGTCCGGCTTGGGGTCCACGCTGGGAATCAGGAAGATGTAGGACGGGCCGAATAGAGCTCCGATTGGGAGATTGATGTAAAATGCCTAGAGTCACTTCTGTTAGCTCAAAAATAACACGTCGCACGTAGAATTATTCAGCCTCACTCACCCATCGCCATGTCGCCGAGCTATCCGCAAAAGCACCGCCGACCTAATGTCATATTAATTGAATGACCAATCCACACCGTAACAGGGAGAACTTACCACGGGGCCCAACACACTGCCAACTCCCCAGATTACAGTGCTTCCAGCCATATAGATAGGTCTCTCCTCAATCGAAGTCAACATAGCCACAAAGCTCAATGTGCCGGAGTACATCCCGGATCCACCAATACCGGCAATGACCCTCCCAACTATCAGCGCCGTCATATTGGGAGCCGTACCGCACACTGCGCTACCAACTTCAAAAAGTACAACATTGAACAAGTACACCCATTTGGCGTTGAAAACGCCATAGATCTTGCCCCATGGTAGCACACACATCGTGCCTAGGGCGAAGCCAACTCCGATCCAAGGTAGGAGGGAGACTTGACCAAATATATCGAGAATTGCGGGCTGTATGTCTGCCACCTAGGAGGGATTAGCTTCTGTATAATTTAGAAGATTTAGAAGGGTGTTTGTTTGGCTGGGAACATACAATGGTGTTGTCTAGGGCGAAGAGAAATGTGGTTGATATCATGGATGTATAGGCAATTGCCCACTAAATCATGTGGGGTTAATAGTGTAACGTTTATGCTTTTCTTTTATACTTTTCAGAGGAAGGGTATTGTACCTTCCAGCCATGAATTGGCCGAGGAGAGGCATCTTGGGGAAGCACATTCTCACTGGAGTCTGTGCTTGAAACGTGGTTGTGGCTATCACCACACACTCCGTCCACTTTTTCGGGATCTCCATGGGTTTCCATTGCAACGATACGAAGGAGCGATATATAGAGATATATGGGTATCTAGCACAAAACAACACAGTGGTGAGTGTGATTTCCCTCTGGTTATATAGTAGTCGAACCGTCCGTTCTTAGGGCTAAGAGCGGCCGCTCCAACTCCGTGTCTTGGCACAGAGAAGCGGCCACCTTAACTCCGTCTAAGCTTGACCCTTTCCCTGTCAAATCAAACAGCACTGGTATGTCCCTGGGAGTGTTCATTGACAGGCTTGCTTGCGAACATTTCCTTGAGTGGTTATCTTCTTTTCGGTCTTCTTGCCCGGAGGAACAACTTGTGGGTGCACGGCCAAGTATTCCTAAATTAACCCGCGATAATCTCTTGATCGGTATGGATCGAACCATTCTTCGAAGAGTGAGCTCTTGCCGCGCGGGTCCAGACCAAGGTCTCTCATGAGTGTGTGTCGGGATACCGTATCGTTGTATCAACTTCTGCTTTTCGGTAACTCTGCCCAATTCCCACTTCATTCAGAGTGGATGTGACCTGGAAACAAGATTGATCAGTCGCCCTTTGTCCTCAACACAGGAATAATCAGAGTTGGCAATAATGGCGATAGTCTCGATCGTCCTTCCAATGGTCCTCGGAGTTGGGGTGGTCCCGAAGAACAACGAGCTCGAGGAGTCATTTTAACGCAAGGGGATGTATGGCATTGACGAAGAAGCCCTCTTCCGCGTCTTTGAGATCGCTATCATTGAACAGGCTTGGGAAGGCATTTCAGACCACATTGTTGTTAGACTGGAGTTGATGGAACTCACCAAAGCGGCGCAGGAAGCAGGTGACGACGTAGACAGTTTTTGGGCCTCGGATGTGCGATTCAATCACACTGTTTGGGCTAGAAGTCCCGGGGTGAGGATGTGTCTGCTGGAGGTGGGAGCCAGAGTATTCTCTCTTTGTTGCAAGGGTTAAAATTCATCGGGGCGGTTCAGGCTGTACGTGAACACTTCATTGCGAAGCTTGCTCACATGTCGATGCTCAACATGAACGAGTTTGAAGAGACCCAGTCTATTACTAGCCATGGGGTTGATAGTATGATTGTCGTTGGGTTGGGGAATTGGATCTTTAAGAAGCTGGGTCTTGGATCCTTCCAGCCGCTGTTGGGTCCGAGTTTGACGATCCCCAACTCTGTAGAGCATGTTTGCGCAAAGCATGGGATTAAAAGGGTAATATAGAGGACAGTGCTTTTGTGCACCCCCAAAGGAAAGTGCAAGAGAAAAGGAAGAGAAAGTTAAATACTGCAGACCCAACAGCAGGTGGCCTAGTGGTAACATGCCAATGTGTACTACGAGGGAAGTGCCGAAGATCTTCCACTACCTGGACTGTTCCGGTTCGACTCCGGTCGTTCTCGCGTTTGTCACCTCTTTTTTTCTCTCATCTGCAAGACAATCCAGTTTGTTTGTTTGCTATTTGCTACTTCTGCTCACACTAGCATATGCATCATGATATAAAAGCAGTGCCATGGTCCATCCCTTTCACTTTCCCTTTCCAGCAGATATAAACTATCATTCGGTGAGGAGATCCCGCAAGTTCCCTTTGGCAGGACCAAGTTGACTGGCCATGGCATTGTTCTGGACTGGGAATGTGGTCCTCTCCTGCCACTCGTTTCTCTTATATACTGCGTTTTTCAGGAAGCAGCTACTATTGCTGGCACTTATAAATGATGTGTCTGGAGAGTATATGTATACATATGTAGATACCCAGCATGCGTATGACCCCAGAATCCGAAAGGCCTATGTATGACATGAAGGTACTTGGCTCACTCTCTTTTGTTGTTCTCTCAGCCTCCGTATAATATGGTGCGTATTGTTTGGTTCTTCACGGCCTATATAGTATCTGCTAACGAGACAAGAAGTTCCTCTCCTGCTCGGCCAGGACCTTCCGCGGATTGAAAACAAAAAAAGGGCCGATGGAAATTTTGGTTAAGGAATGCTGGTCTAAACCCAGACATTGGGACATCAACAATTCATAGCTATAGGCCATGCGCCAGGCTCTCATATAATTACACACCAGTCTCTATTCGTTGTCTTCAAAGAATTATATTCCATGTTGATCTTCATTTCATATCTGGATCTAGTTAAAAAGCATTCCGATATCCCGTCACACAAACACGACAAGGCCAGTAGGTAGCGTGCATGAGTTTGTGAAAGAAAGGATAAAAACAAAGACCATCAAACCTGCATGGCAATCTCCTATTCTAGAACTCAAATGCTAATCACTCACTTGCAATAATTGCAAAATAGAACCAGAAAAACGCCAACGGTGCAGCCTACTCCCGACTACGTCGCTCTGATTCAAACACAGTAAACCCATCAATTCCCCGCCCATCAATTCCACCGGTGCGGAAGAACTCGGTTATGGCTCCGATAGCATAACACGTTGCGGCGGTAGCTGTGCCTGCAATAAGCATTCTGCGACCTATTTTGCGAAACGAAGACTCGGATTTTGTGGTTGGTTCGGGCTCGGAGCTAGAGGATCCGGTTGCTGAAGGAGGCTAAGTCGACCAGTTAGGAAGCCACCTGAATAGACAGTCCTACTGTCTACTCACCTCAGTGGTGGATTGCCATGGAGCTCGGACTCCGTCGTATGTGGCGGCGGAGTCCATTGAGTCGTGGCGAAGATGTTTGGCAATTTCGGCGTGAATTGCTGGTTCTTGATCTGTTGCGGTATTTGAGGGGGTATGACGAGGGGTGCTTTGAGCCTTTCGGAAGACAAGGATGTTGCCTCCGCCGGTTGCAATTTCGTAACCATCTTTTTGCATCTGCTCGAAATAGGGTAGGAATTTGGCGGGGTTATGCAATCGAGACAGGATTTCACTTGGCCCACTATCTTCATCGACACCGAAGAATGAGTCTGCTTGTGCAGCTGAGACTTGCGACGTCGACGTATCAAAGGCTAGAATATGAAATTTAGGGGAAGAGGTTTGGGGGGCTGCTGGTTGCTCTCCTTTTTCAGTGGCTAGGTTCTGGCTTTTGAGAATGAAGTCACCAACGCGGTCTTCGGAAGCGTCGAAATCCAGCGGATTGGCTTGTGCCTTTGATTCCAAATGATCATAACGAGAGCGAATGTCATTAGCATCCAAGGCACTCAGGTCCTTGTTCTCATTGGGACCCTCGGCACTCGCCATCTCAGAAACGAGTTTTGCCTCTAATCCATTCTCGGGTGTACAGTCGACAACATCCTTGGCTATCTTGGATGTATCAAGGCCAACAGGTAGTTCTGGCTGTGATTGCTTTTCCTCAATTGAAGCTGGGTTGCAGATAAATTTGGCCTCCAGTTCGCTCCCAGGAGGGCAATCAACAGAGATCTTGGCTTCCGATTGAGCAACGTCCTGGCTAGCCGACTCTGATAAAATATGTGCTTCAATTTCACTACCTGGAGAGCACTCAAAGCTTTCTTGGGCGCCTGTCATGGCGGCGGTATTAGTCGTTTGATGAACAGGACCATCGGACTCAGGACTGAGACTACCGAGCTCAGAAGGAAGCTTTGCGTCCAGCTCGCTGCCTGGTGGGCAATCAATTGAAATACCAGTTTGCTTGTTCGGGGGTTGTGTCTCCAACTCAGACGGAGAACCCTGGACAGAGCCGCTGGCAGGATCAGAGATGAACTTGGCCTCCAGCTCACTTCCCGGGGAGCATTCCACATTGGTGCCCGCAGTCAAACCGGCATCCAGATTCAGTCTATTGGTGTTTCCATTGACCTTAGACGTGTCCGGCTGAGGCTGTGCAGAAGGAATAGATTCAGAAACAAACAATCCTTCCAATTCACTTCCAGGAGGGCAATCGATGTTTACAAAGGGCTTTCGTTTAGTTTCCTGAGGAACTTGAGCCCTGCCCTGCACTTCCTGAGATGTGGGGGTTGAGGTAAAGAGTGCATCTAGATCACTGCCTGGAGGACAGTCAACGGTTGACTGTGAGCTCGATGGGGCTTCGGGGCTCAGTCCTGTGTTTCCCGGCTGGAACTGTCCATCCTCGGCCAAACTGGGGTTGTGGGCGAATTTTGCCTCGACTTCAGCGCCTGGGGGGCAGTCAACCGCTTTATGAGGGTTGATTTCTGCTTCCGTCTCGTTAGATTCGGGTTTAGTGGATGGCGGTACTGGCACCATGCGTCCACTGATAGGGTCGTACATGTACTGCAGTCCAACATGATTGGCGTCACTTGTCGTTTGCCGCTTGTCTACTCTCGGTCTAACATTGGGCGGCTTTTCCACATTGGGTGGCTTTTCCATACTGGGCGGCTTTTCCATACTGGAAAACGACTGAAGGAAACCGTTCAATGAAGTATCGTTCTTGCCGAAATTCTGAAAGGGGTCCAATCGGCGCCCAAAGACGGCCCTGTAAGGGTCTGCCTCTATGTACTTTTTCAGCAACTCAATGTGTTTGTGCATCTGCCCTGAGTCCGAATCCCAAAGCCTTCTCTTCAGCCCAGTGGGGAGGCCGGGGAAGTTTGACTGAGAAAGCCAAGCTGCCCAGCCCCGGCTTGAGTGTGTATCGTTGGGAGTAGCATTGCTGTCCCGGCGAGTTTCGGGCTTTTGCCGATTGTATAGATGGTATCGCTGATATTTGTCAAAACGTCGTGAGATAGGTTCTGTCTTGTCTCCCTGACCGTTTCGTGCACATCGCCATATACTCCGATTTGAAGTATGTGTGGCCACCCATTGGGAAGATGCCGGGCGAATGACTCGAGGCCCCGACTTTCTGATTGACATTGCAGCCGAGGAACTCATGATGAATGCTCGAGCTTGTATGTGAAAACTCAAGATGTTGTTTATTTCTGACAATTAGTCTAGCGCTATTGAAGGTCTGGTGATTCTTGCCGTAGTCAATGGCTGCGTCGATCGGATCCACTTATGGGGTACAGTGATAAGAGGAGTACTGATCCTGGCCGAGTCTGTCCTGCAGAGGTCATTCAAAAACAAAAATAATCGGAATAGATGGGACAAGAGGATTGATGCCAGATCTTCCCAGTCACAGTTGAAGGAGAAATGGAAAGGAATGAGGAAGAAGGATGGCATAAAGGAAGAAAGACCAGCGGACTCCGAATCAGTATCGGGGTACAGCCAATCGGCGACCGCGGCTCAGCTTCCCCGCAAAGTTACGTCAGCAGAAGTGACGTCATCAATGCTGTTTTGAAGTCACTCCTTGCATTAGCAAGGCAGGTATTAGAGGTGTAAAGTATGGAGTAGAACTGTATAGAGATATACTGCATTGATCTGTGGCATTGCTTCACTTCAAATGAAGGATGTAAGGCTAGGACAATAATATGTCTTACTCCTCAGGCAACAATATCGAGCTCAGGCAAAATCCACAAACGAGTTGAAGTAAAACACAAGAAGAACCCAACAAGCAAAGACCAAACTAACTGCACCTCTCCATTTTAATGTCAGCGTTAAGACCGTCTCAACCGCGGTACAGTCGCTTTCTTCGCCTCGTGTTCCTTCTTGGCCTCTGTGACCCTAGCAGCCCTATCTACTTAGGAAAGTCGACAAAGTCAACTTTGATTCCATACTACACAATATAGTAATGCCAATCACCAACTTGTCAAGCCCAATCCATGGAGTGAGCCACCTTTGCTTTATGTAGAAGTACCATCTATCGTAGGCCTGGAGATGCGTCAGGTCCCCACCTACTTTAACAATGGTCTTGACTATCTTCAGTCTAAAATCCCGGTAAAGTTGTATTACAGCATTGGTTTTGATGCCGGTGGGCTTCTTGTTTGGATGTCGGCTGAGCAGCTCATGGAGGTTATTCGTAATGCGACGACATCTTCCATAGCTGTGCAGCCGCCCAGGGTGGAGTTTGGGGTTACCTGGATTAATCACACGCAAAGAGTTTTGCACACAGCATAGAGCCAGTAGTTGATGCTCTGGGTTTTATACTTTGTAGATCGCGTCGCCTGCCATTACAGTCCACCCAAAGCACCAATGGTCCAAAACTCCATTGAGAGATACCATCTGCGCTCTAGTGCAAGCACCCCGAGAAGTCGTGATTTGTGGCTTCATATGCATATGTCTTGGCTAGGATAGTTGCTAGTGCAGTACATCTATTTTACTGTGATTATCACTCTCGAGATACTCAACATCTCGCATTAAGGGGGAAATGTCTACGATAGAACAGAGTGACTTAATGCTTCTCCTCTCTGAGGTCATAGTACTAAGACCTGGAGCGGCGGGTGGTTTGGATTGGTGGTGTGCGAGTCAAAAGTAAGACAACAAATAAATAGGGTCAGGAAACTGCACTGACTGATGAAGACTGATGGAGAGCGCTCACTGCTGAGGTGAGTGTTTTCTGACCAAATTAGTCTTAAGAAACAATTGAGCAGATAGAGATAGTCAAAGACAATGATTTGAGGGAGATTCGAGAGAATATGTTGAGTTAATACACGAACAGAGTATTAGATAAGTCGGTCTACCTGCCCAGGTGTGTAGCTTGTCAATATATATCATGACTATATATCATGAAGCACCAGCATCTACACCTGGAGTGCTTCTCTACACTCTACAATCATTAATCAATTACGCTTCGATTCTAAAATACGCACTTAGAAGACAAAAATATTTATAGCCTCGATATCGCATCGTTGTAGAGTGCTCCAGGGCTCCGACCTCGGGAAGTAGTCGATGTGGGGATTTCTAATCGATAACGTCCCTCCAGGGCTACCCCCACATAATCCCCGGGCCAAATAGTTTGAACGACTCTCAACAAATTCTTCTCGATCCCATTATCAATTAATTTCAACTCACATCCTACGAAATGTCAAAGCCAACACGTACCCCCGTCAGCACTAAGGGCGCACCCGTCCCACCCCCAATCCTGTCCCAAGGTATGGTCGTCGGCAACATGGTTTACTGTTCTGGCCAGTTGGGAGTAGACCCGACCACGGGTAAAATGGTGGAGGGAACCATCCAGGACCGAACAGTATGAGAGACGCGACGTCTGATTTGTGATATATTTTGACATATGAACAGCGACAAATCCTCCACAACCTCAATGCCGTCCTAGAGGCTGGAGGGTCAAGTCTGCAAGACGCAATCAAGGTCAACATCTTCCTCACCGATATGGCTGATTTCTCGGCTGTGAACGAAGTCTACGCTACTTTCTTCTCGGATCCCAAGCCAGTAAGTATTATGTGGTCAAAAGAACGAGATTCGAATTCCAAAAGGAGTATGATCCAGTCTGGAATTCGTTCCTCTTTCTCTTATGTGATTTCTGAAAAAAATGGACCGTTTCTCACTATCATCGGGCCTGGCCCTTTTAGGTGCGTACTTGCATTGCCGTCAAGTCCCTCCCCCAGGGATCGGATGTCGAAATCGAGTGTTCTGGCCTGGTTACAAAGCCTGGAAATGGACGTAGTTCTAGACTTTGAACGGGACTGCAGGGATGACGATGACGTGGAGAATGAATAGGGCAGACAACTCCACCTGAATTGTTTCGTGGCTCTTTTTGATGGTCCAACTCGCGTCACACACTCCACCAGAGAGGCAAGAATCAAATGTGCGAGAAAATCGGTCACATGATCTATGTATATTTTACAGTCTGGTTGGAAATATTACGAAGTTGTTAGTATTAGTTACGTGTAACTTTTGTTCAGCTCCTTTCAATAAATACAGGCTGAAACCAAGGATGAAGGGTGGAGACTGGTGCTGTAGCGCCCAGGAACAGGGTTAGCGTCTGCACTTGTCCATGGTACAGTTGATGAGCCCCTGGAAGTTTATTGTATAAAAAGGCTCTTAAAGAAATACAGCATCCATGGGCGCTTGATATTGTTCATGTCTTCAGGGAAGAGAGCCAAAACTCAAGCTGACCCGGAGTCTGTCCTAGGTCAAACAAAGAGAATGTGGCTGAGTCAACTATACTTAAACCCGTGGACCATCCATGCCTCTCGCATAAGCTTGTATGCTCGGTTCTTTGTTCCTGCATTTCTTAGGCTTCTCGATCTCGAGGATCCATGCAGCATGCAGCCACAAGCCCTTGAACAAAGCTAAAGAGGTAAGACCTTGAAGTAATAGGAGAAGAAAAACAGAATATAGCGATGATGACGAGACTGGGTTTTCTCGGCTTAAAATTGATTTTGCACCATTTGGCATTGGTTGGCACAATCTCAAACACACTAGGAATGCTGAGCATCTGAAAATGACGACAAGAATGAGGGGAAATCGCAGCCAACTCCTCCATTCCGATCGGGGCACGTGGTGTATTTTATCAATTTGAAAACTTGAAAGCTCAATCAGCTTCCGAGTCGGATCCAGGTTTTGTAGAATACACTATGAGCAGGCGTTCGTGTCAGTTAATCTCTATTAATCTATTATTCTGGAGAAAAAAAAAAACCTAAAGCTTCGATAAAGTGTGGAGCATTCTTAATATCTGCCGGGTCATTATTTAATGACCCAATTTTGAGCCAGGGCTCATCCCCTACTTCCATAGTGGATTGAACTAGGAGTGAAGTCGCACAGCATATGACTCGCAAGACTCGCAAGGCAGCTAAGGAAGATAATCACATATGTCTCACGAGACTTCAAAATGGACGAACTAACTTATAGCTTAGAACGCCGGACAACTCTCTTAACGAGCGAGAAGCACTCTACTCAACAGCGGCTAGTTAACACACCCCATGCTGATTCGATTTCTTTGTTGATCCTAAGCCAGAAAGAGCTAAGTGCTTAAGACTGACGCCCGAGCTTAAGCCACTAACGATGATTATGGTAATGTGAGCCGGTTTGGTGAAAAGGCCTGTGTATCACGCAGAGGTAAAGAGGCCGTAATCGGGGCCACGCACTTTATATTCCCGACACGCTCAGGTACGCGTGTGGGAAGGACCCACTTAGTTGACGCCTCCGGGCTAGACCTTGCGACGGACTGAACTTTGCTGAGAATTATCTTTGGACTTGCGCTGTTTTTTACTCTTTTCCCTTTTTTTTTTAATATTGTGATCGGCTTGGGTGGGTTTAACTCCGACTCCATTCTGGTTTTTCTTTTCATCAATGGTCTCCGGGGCTATTGATCGGCTTAGATGAAAAACGCTTTGAAACCCTAACACGGACTTTTTTGGCCTTTTTTTTTTGGCAGGGGTTTTATTAGAAATTACCTAGTGCTGCCATCATTGTGTTACATTGCTCAAAAACTTAATTTTCATTCCTGTATCAGACTTTATATGTCTATACTCCATACTCCATACTCCGTACTCCGTATTCCATATCTGACATAGGATATAATATATAACTATGTGCAATATTGTAGGTTATGAGTTGAGTATCCGCTCAACTCAGATCGAAATGTTGATTTACAATCTCATCGTGCTCGTTGATCGTCGATCCTGATATTCGCAATGGCCGGATTATGTTCCAGATATTATTGTTGCACAGACGAACGGGGGTAACGGGAAAAGAAAAGGGAAATATCGTCCGAGTACCTGTACAACGGTCTCTATACTGTACATGCCGAAGAGGGCTCCAGTTCGATGTACTGCTACATACAAAGCGACCGTGGACCTATAGGGAACAGGCTCATTCTTTCCCCGATGGACATTCATTATCCATTCCGGTTTTCTGCATGGCGTGACCCATCATTGCCGTTATGTACGGAGTACTGGTTAGGCTGCCTAACTGCCTTGTCTTGGCGATATCGTGCAGGTTAGTGTTTAGGGTAGCTTAGCTACTCCGTATATGGTTTCAGATGAGGGCCCTTGGAATACCTTTGACTTGGAGGGTCCAGATTACCTATAAATATTATGGTATAGATAATAGAAGTTTATAATCAGACCAGGATATAGTTATTATTTAAACCTACTCCATACAGCATGGTAGGAATAGGAACAAGTTCAAAATCACCATCACAAGCTAATAACCACGGTAAATGCTCAGGGGCAAGTGCGTGGCCACATCCCACGCACCTGTCAAACGCCCGGACCAGCTCATTAAATACACTAAATATACGTAATTTACTGTAAATTACCCTTGTTGACGCTGCCACAAACGTGTCCCGCCCCCCATTCCACCTTTCCCCCCCCTAATGATGAAGTGATCCTCCTCTTCTTCTCTAATCCTTAACTTCATTCACTCATTTACTCCTTTCTTTCTCTCCCTTGTCTGCTTTTGCTGTGTTCGCCTGTTGACCCTCAACGGCGTTTTTGACCTGGGCTAATCTCCCCTTGCATCGGTCGCCCGCATTGCCTGTTTTCCCTTTCTTTGATCTCGTTGCCCGGACGGTTCTACAGAAAGTCGTCGTTCGCTCCTTACAGCTTTTCTAAGCCCACACTCGTTTTTCGCCTTTTGGGAGTCGTTTCAGATTAATCGAAATCCCCCTTTCCATTCGTTTATCGTCGAATTATTGTTTGCGCCCATTCGGTCTCATCGGTTGCCATCGAGACGTTGGATACTCTGAATAATCTTGGAATTGTGTGAATTTATCACAATTGTCCGAAGTTTGGTTGTGTTAGAAACTCGGATATTCCAGGCGATCTACCTCTTGTCACACCCCCTGATCTTTCATGAGGTGTTGACAGACGGTGGTTATCGCATTTTTGTACACTGACCTTAGACTCACTCTGAGTTATAACGTACAGAATTGTTCAACATGCGTCCCGACGCTATCTCCGTTCTCACAGCCTTGCTCGCTGTAGGTGGTCTCGAGCTCGTCACAGCTCAAGATGCCCCCGAAGCGCACGTTCAGCGACCCCGTTGGTACTTCCCGCAGGAAGTCAAGCGAACGATTCGCAGAAGCGCTGAGCCCGAACCTGGCTCGATCCTCGATGGTATATTCGACAACTTGATTCCTACCCAGGTTTCTTCATCCACGGCTACTCCCACCCCCGAAACCTCGGCTCCCGCTCAACCCCAGAAGGGACAGGAAGTCGTTGTTGTGACCATCTCGATCGACCCCAAGAACCCTGAGATCACCCATCGTATTACTGGTACTACAACTATTGGCGGTGAACCGACTGGTACTACTACCACGACTACGCAGAAGACAGAGGCTCCGAGCACCGAGAACACCAGTACGAAGAACTCCGAGGCCGCATCTACCGATGCGGGAACCACGAGCAAGCAGGGATCGGTGGTCGACTCATCGGCCAAGGCTTCGACTCCGTCTCCTTCGACTACAACCTCTAGCGATGGTCTGCTTGGTGATTTGACGTCGAATTTGGGTAACGTCCTCGGAGGTGACTCCACATCCTCCACTGCGACCCCCGCCTCCGACTCATCGGCTAAGGTAACTTCGCCTGCTTCTTCTACTCCTGCTACATCCTCCAGCGACGGTCTCGTTGGTGATTTGACCTCGGGTTTGGGCAACGTCCTCGGAAGTGAGTCCACATCCTCGACTGCGACCACATCCTCCACTGCGACGACCCCCGCCTCCGATTCATTGGCTAAGGTAACTTCGCCTGCTTCTTCTACTCCTGCTACATCCTCCAGCGACGGTCTCCTTGGTGACCTGACCTCAGGATTGGGTGGCATTTTGGGCGAATCAACAACCACCAGCTCCGTCTCGGCGACACCCACTGGCTCCTCTATCGCCAACACGATCAGCAGCGCAGCCTCAAGCACAGGCTCGGGGTCGGATCTTTCTGACCTTTTGGGCCTGGGTGACAAATCTTCTACCGGCAACAGCACAAGTGCTACTATGTCCTCGGACGCTTCTAGTTCACCTACCATCCCAGTCAGCGTGCCCGCTTCCGCTACTAGCCCACCGTCGACCATCCCCACCCCCTCTGGAACTACAACTTCTGGTGATTTCGTCGGTGGTCTCGTGTCAGGCGTGGATTCCCTGCTTGGTGTCACCTCTACTGGTACTGGTAGCACCGCTTTGATTCCGACTGCGTCTATGCCAAATGGTGGTCTTCTGCCGTCCAAGTCGACTGGTCTCATTCCTGGTACCAACACTGGTGCCATCCCCACCCCGACTAAGACCCTATCAGTTCCCGTCCCGCATTCGCCCGGCTCTGATGCTACCTCTACTTCTGGATCTGAAACTGTCTCTGGTTCTAGCACTGCCTCAGCTCCTTTGATAGGCACTACCACTACCGCCTCTGTTCCCGGTAGTGGCTCTCACGAGAGCTCCAAGGTTCCCGTCCCCACCTCTCACCCAGTTTCCACCCCTCTTCCCTCGTCGACTTCGACGAGCGAAGAAGTGAGTACGGCTAAGACCACTGTGGAGCCTCAGACCCCGACTGAGACGCCTACGCCCTCCACCTCCAACGACAACGACTGGATGCCATCGACCATCCTTATCGTGCCAACCGTCACCGCCACCGAGAGCTCGACCTCCGGTCAGACCTCGAAGCCCACGGCACCACCATCGCTCCCTGGCTCTATCACCCCATCGAACGAGGTCACCGAGCCTCCGTCCGACTCCATCTTGCTCCAGCTTGGTTTCAACAGCCAGCTGCCCTGGTCATTTGTTGCAACCACTCCCTTGTCGTCGTCGCAAATCTTCAACTACACCCCTCAGGCCATTGAGAACGCTTTGCCAACCCTCTCTGCTAAGGACAGCCCAGTTATGTTTGCTATTGAGCCTTACTACAACTGGCAGTCTACGGGCTATAACGCCACCCTTGCTATCTTCTATTTCCCTCGTGACAAGGTCGATGCTCTGAAAGCGCTTAAGATTAATCCCAACTCTGCTCTTTACAACCAGGCTAGCGAATCTATCCAGTCATTGATGGCAATGGTTGACCCCACGATTCCCCTCGAGTTCTCTGGAAACTACCCTAGTGGTGACAGCGACTCGACTGGCGGCAACAACCACGGCGGCAGCAATGATGGCCCGGACAGTGGCAACAACGACAACAACGATGGCTCTGCCGGCAGCTCCAAGGCTAAGGCTAGCTCAGTTGGAATCGGAGTCGGTGTCGTGGCCGGTGCTGCCGCTTACGGTGCGGGTATGTTCTGGGTTGCCCGCCGCTACCGCAAGAGAAAGCAGCTGCACCAGCGCTCTAGCTCGACCGTTGAGCAGATGAGCCAGGGAGGTTCCGCCGCTGGTTCGATGTTCGCTGCCGGTGGCCGTGCCCCCAGCCATGGTAGCCGTGGAACTGCTCGTTCGCAGATGATCAGCGCTCCTGTTATGGCGGAGAACTCTTTGGGATGGAACTAGACGTGCTTTTGACAATACGACGTATACACCACTCCTTCCATCACACCCTACCTCCTTTTGGACCCTACGACGACAATCAGAGGGCACCGGGCCTTCAAAGACCCTTATTTCTTCTGAGATAACTGCTCCTTTGAATGCGCTCATGCTCTCCCCACTCTCCAACAGAGGCAGGGACAGAGAGACTGCACAAAACTTCATTTTCATTGTCCATCATCCGCCAAGGATTTACATGTCACATATCACGTATCTCTTCTTTCTGTGCAATTTTTGACCGGCCTTTTTTCTTCTCAACATGATACTCCGAGCGACGGTTTGTCGTCGCTGCGTGTGTCGCGTTATCTTTTTTTTTCTTTCTTGACATATTCCCCCTTTTGTTCACCAAATATTTTCTTTTTATCCCTTTACTCCTTTCAATGGCACTGGGACAACCAAATTTGGGACGAAATCTTTTCTCTACTTTTGGCTTCCACTTGAAAGCTCTCTCTTATGAACTGTTGGTCATTCAGTCTTTGGACTTGCACATTAATAATGGATTTGGGTGGCATCCTTTTGACAGAGCCAATGGCTTTTTTTCTCCTGCCCTTATTTCCTCTCTCCTTACATCTCTCTATCTCTCTATCCCTCCCTGTCTCTCTGTGTTGTATCTCAATTGTGTTTTTTTTGCGTTTCTGCGTTTCCGCGTTTCTGTACAGATGTATGAAATGTGCCCAAGTGCCGTGTGGCCTTGTAGATGTGGATGTGAGCCCGTCAATGTGACGAGTAGATCTCCTTTTTTCAATCCTCTCTTAGGGAAGTAAATTCTAGTGTAGCCTTGTTATGTTCAAGGTAGCACGATCTAGCCCTTACAGAATATAGTACAGCTCGTTGCCAAACTCAGTGTCATGACATACATTGTATCAGGTGACACTTTCATAGACCAATAAATTTGGAGTGAATATTCGGCTAATACATCGAGTTGGATGAGAGCGGATTTATGCACCCTAAGACTGAGGTTGCAGAAAGTCACCCATCCTCCGCAGGACTGTATCCTTTCGGTCCCCTTTCGCAGAGAAGCTTAACCACTTTAAGATGACCCTTCGCTCTCGCCAGGTCAACAGCACACGGAGTCCGAGGTGTGGAGCCATCGCGGGACAAATTCTTCCTTATTGGGGCATTGATATCAGCCCCTTCGTCGAGAAGGAAGCTGACTATGTCAATATTGCCATGCTCTGCTGCGAAATGAAGAGGCGCCATCGAAGATTCACTGCCTTGGGCATTGATATCAACTTTGTTGTGGTCCATCAGAAACTTAACCAATGGAAGACAGTCCTTTTGCGCTGCTTCAATGAGATATGTGCTGCTCCTGACTTCGAATCCGTATTCTTCGAGAAGTTCAAACATCTCAAGTGCGCCCATGAATGCTGCATGGTATAGGCCATCCTTCACCTCAGAAACGACATCTGCTTCAGCAAGTCCTCCGTCTAAGAGAAACTTGACCACATTGCTATGGCCGTCGCCTATTGCATTCTTTAACGTATATGCCTCTTGTATGCCGCTAACCCTGAATCCGTATTCTGCGAGGAGTTCAAACATCTTGAGACCACCCAAGCGTGCTACATACTCCAGGCCAATGTTAACCGCAGACACGATATCTGCTTCAGCAATTCCTCCGTCTAGGATATGCTTGACCACATCGCAATGATTGCTGCCTATCGCATGCTTTAAAGCAGACGCCTGGCCGTTGCTGCTAAGCTCGAACCCGTATTCCCCGAGAAGTTCAAACATCTTGAGATCACCCCTGCTTGCTGCAACCTGCAGGCCTTACTCAATGTCAGAGCTGATGAAATCCTAGTTTACAACTCGCACAATTTCCAAGGCCTCGATCATGTCAAAATTTAAATGAGCCTGTGTTAGGGGTGGAGCTATGGCCTCGAGCGAGTTTGCAAATGTAATATCTAAGAAAATATTAAAATAAATGGTTTATATGCCAAAGTTCCCCATAGAGTGTTCCGGTTCTTTTGTGAGCTCAAAGTAAATTAGATCCGACTCTCTCTTTTTTCCTCGTCCAAGTCTCCATTGAGCCGGTTCTTTGCTTCTTCCTTCAAAGCTTGATCGTCCGCTCGGTTCAAACCAACCTGTGGCATCAACCAAACAGCCAAAAAGAAAGCAAATGTCGCAAGGGATGCGCCGACAATGAAGATGATACGAAATCCCTTTTGATATGCCGGTGTCAGCACATCACGGACATGCTCAGCATCTTCTGCAGATAACTTTGATAGATAGCTTTGTGGGCTCGACAGAAGAGAGCGGGACTGAGATTCGTCGAGATTGAGGACTGAGATGGACGACGAGACAATATTATTTCTGTATTGATTAATAAGAAAACAAGCTAACAGATTTGAAAGAACCCTTACATGATAGTTCCAGCAATAGCGAGTCCGAGAGTGCCGCCGAGGTTTCGTACGAAGCTGCTCATTGTTAGCTCCATAAAATGGCTGATATTACTATGGGCGTTACTCACTTCCTGAATGAGGTTATCACAGCCATATCCCGTCTCTCGACACCGGCTTGAACGGCAATGAGAGAGCTATAGGGAATTAGCATAGTTTAGTGGACCAGGATAGGGAGTCACATACGGCTGCAAAGTATTTCCAACCCCGACACCAGTCAGAATGCCATACCCAATCTGCTTTCCCAATCCCGAATGCTGATCAAGTGTCGAGAAAAGGCCAAGGCCAACAGCCCAGATAATCCATCCAAAAAGGATGCATTCGCGGTAGCGACCTACCCAGTGTACAATAAGGCCAGAGCCTGTACTGCTGATAGCTGTGAAGGAAGTCAGCATAGCAACACAACTAAGAAGAAGAGGATTCATACTTTGCATGAGGGTAATAGGGAGGAGCATTGCAGCCGCTTTCACCGTCGAATATCCAAATACCAGCTGATAGAAAGTGGGAATATAGTAGACTTGCACCAAAAAGTTCCACCCGTTGATGAACATGGTCAAACATGCGCCATTCACAATCCTACCCTGGAAGATATGCATCGGAACCAGCGGTGTCGACGCACCCTTCCATTGCCACGCCACAAAAGCAACAGAGATGGCAAACCCAGCGACCAGAGTCGCAATAACATGCGCCGAGTTCCATTTATACTCACCACCGCCCCAAGTCAAGCCAAGCAGCAAGACCGAGGTTCCCCCGAGAGCCAGAAGCGCGCCAAAGAAATCAATTGCCTTCAGCTTGACTTTCCAGTCGCCAGTGACTTTTCGAAGGGGCATAAAGAACAAAACAGCCAGCGTGGTTAATGCAGTGAGCGGTAGGTTCAAGCGGAAGATCCATCGCCACGAGTCTTGTGAAATGGAGGCTAGCGCACCTCCGATGACAGGGCCAATGCCATTGGCAATAGCAACGACGGCGCCTAGAATACCCTGATATTTTCCTCGTTCACGAAGAGGGACCACGTCGCTGACGATCATCTGTGCGACGGTCATGAGACCACCGCCACCAACTCCGGTAAAAGCACGGAAGATAATCAATTGCGTCGCTGTCTGCGCAAGGGAAGCTGCTAATGACCCGAAGAAGAAAATGGCTAGGCCGACGAAGAGCACAAGCTTGCGAGACCAGATGTCGGATAGCTTCCCATATAGTAGTTGGAAACATGTTGAAGTTCTGTGCCGCGAGTTGTTAGTTTGACTGAGTAGTATAATGATAATGACTGCAAGAGAAAAGAGTACTCACACGAAGTAACCGCCCGAAATCCAAGATGTCTGATTGCTGGCTCCTAATGCATTTCCTATGATAGACAAACTGGCCGCCAGCGTTGTCTGGTCCATCAATGCCAGGAGATCAACGCTGGAACATGCCAGGAAGATCTAGGAGTTGTCATTAGCTGGGCCATATATTACTTGTTACCGCATCCACTAACCGTGATAATTGTGCGCTTAGGTACATAATTAGTTTGTTCATTGAAAGTGACATTTGTACCATTCTTCTCGACCGCGACATCCTCTGTTGAGTTTGAATTTTCGAGTGCCCCTGTCATGATGTGTTGATATGAAGGGTTAGAAAGTAAACAGACACCCAGGATCCGAAAACGCGACAGAAAGAGAAAAGGAAATATAAAAAAAGAAGGCTGTAGAGAGACTAGAGCGGAATAGTCAATCTCATCTATTGACATTCGTCATTTGTCATTCATTGATCGGCATTTGGTCTGAGCACCTTGACAGAAGATCTGCGTCTCAAAGTTGACAAAACTTCTCAAACACCCTCAAGGTACCCGCCTCTTGGTATAATATACCTCGGGATATCGGAATATTTTCAGCTAATAAGCAATTAAATGTGAGGACCTGTGGGATTATTGAATCCATTCCTGGGGACCTTGTCAACCTATGAACAATTTGATTCTAGAATATTACAAGGTACGACATCAAGAATACCAGAGCATGACGCAGCTCCAGTGTGAAATATTCCGTTTTCAACCGTTTTATGTCCAATTCCTGTGACAAAGAGGCTTGCCTTACAGGGTCTGATCTACACTTGGACTGTGGTCAAAATTCCCGAGATCGCTCCACGCGATTTCCTTGTTCATCGTAGTAGCGAATTTCCAGGGCTTACAGCGTCCACCTATGGCATTTAACCCTCATATTGAGTCGTGTGGTGGGATACTCACTAGTGGAGTAAGAGTAGATCTTACTTTCTTACCTCTCGGACGCCAAGAAAGACGCAACAGGATGGAGGGAGGGGCAAGTAATGGACGCTATAGAAATTTATTCTGTATAATTGCCCAGAGTGACCCGGGGTTTTCTTCTCTCATATTTGCTTTCATCACTCGAGAAGGTTGCTCTTCAAACTCATGCAATAGAGCTACTCGACTATCAGCATCTATATCTTGCACAAGTGTGTCTCAACAAGATGATCAATTCTTCCGAGAAAATGACCAATATAAACGAGCGCAATGTATACTTCGGCACTGACTCGCTGAAGAAATACTTCGACCCGGACTGTCAGCCTCCTCTGCCCCTTGTAGAGCTGCCACCTCATTTGAACCCTTATCATCAAGATGGTGTGCGGATATATGCCAAAATGATGACCATGCATCCGGCAAACAATGTCAAGGCAATGCCAGGTATGAGAAGCCCTGAGAGAACGCTAAACATCATTTGCAAGCTAACACGAGGCCAGCATTGAACATGCTCGAATCTAGTGTTGTGCCCGGCGAAACAGAACGGATCATCGAATACAGCTCCGGATCAACAGTGATTTCGATGTCCATGGTTGCCCGAGTCATGCACGGAGTAAATGACACTCGGGCTTTTCTGAGCAACAAAACCAGCGATGCAAAACTGAAGCTGATGCAATTCTTCGGTCTCGACATCACCTTGTTCGGTGGACCGTCTCAACCAGAGCCTTTAGACGAACGAGGCGGCATTCAAAATGCCCGAAGAATGGCCCTGGAGTCGGAAACAATTGTCAATCCAAACCAATACGAAAACAACAACAACTGGAAGTCTCATATCCGATGGACCGGACCACAGATCTTCAAGCAGCTGCCTGAAATAAACGTTCTCTGCGCTGGTATGGGCACGTCTGGTACCATGACCGGTCTGGGGACCTATTTCAAAGACGTGAAGCCATCCGTTTACCGACTTGGTGTTTGCACCGCCCCTGGTGACCGGGTACCTGGTCCCAGGTCATATGCTCTAATGCGCCCTGTTGAATTTCCCTGGAAAGCAGCGGTGGATACTATCGAAGAAGTTGGATCGGCCGAGTCATACACTCTCTCCCTGAACCTATGCCGAGAAGGATTGGTCTGTGGCCCATCATCCGGGTTCAACCTTCAAGGTCTCTTCCAGACGTTGGCAAAGCGTAAGGCTGCGGGAACCCTATCTGAGCTCGCAGGGCCAGATGACACAATCCACTGCGTCTTCCTCTGCTGCGACCTACCGTACCAGTACATCGACGAGTACTTCCAAAAGCTAGGCGAGCAGCAATTCCACCCAATCCGAAACGAGGTAAATACCACCTCCATGACGTGCTGGCGTTTAACGAGTCCACCTTAGAAAAAAAAAGCTAACCTATCCTCTATTTACTAGAGCCTGACGAAAGTTGACCTGCACCGATATGACGAGAGCTGGGAGCGGGATGCTTTAGAGGTCCTACCGCAATTTTATGGATCACCGCGATCCCTTGCGCAAAGCCTATTGAGCGAGATTGTCCTCAAGCCGCAGAATCGCGTTCTGGACCTGCGCCAGCCGGACGATTTCTCCGCGTGGCACCTCCCCGGCTCGATGAACTTGCCATTGTCTAGCGTTGGGCCTCATAGCCCGTCACCGTTTTCGGACCCAGGTGTTCTGGAGGCGCAATGGGTGGAGCTGGAGAAGATCTTCAAGGATGACGTCTTGGTCTCAGATCTGGGACGGCATCACGTTCTCGTGGTATGCTACGATGGGGATTCGGCACGCGTGGCCACCAGCGTGCTTCGGGCGAAGGGCCTCGAAGCAGACAGCGTGCGTGGAGGCCACCGTGCGCTGAGGATGTATGGAATCGGGAGTGAGAGTCCGATCTCCACTACCAAGGGGCCTATCGGGGCTACTGTCTCCATTGCAGCGGTTCCCCTTGAACAGAGAACCTGAGACTCAGGATCATAGCGCAATCGACTGGGAAAATGCGGAATGTAGGGTTGGATCTGCCATGTGAGGCGCTAGTCCCGATGCAGACATATTGTGCCTCGATTTCTTTTGCCCCTTCTTTTCTTCTTTTTTTTACTTCCAAGGTTATTGTTTTCGATTACTTCATTGATTTAGTATTGTTTGGCGCATACCACCCTATGACTCTTTCAATGAGAATATTGTTTCGACTCCTTTCCACCATCTTCCCACACGTAAGAGACCACAGTGTCCACCGTGGCTCGAGCCTCAAGTTGCTCCGCATGCGTTGAATAGCTCGCATTCGAGGGAATCCCGGAATATTCGGAAGACATGCAAGATATATGCACGATGTATGATATTTTCCGAGGGGTAGTAGCCCAAACACGATGTCAGATGTCAGATGTCAGATCCAATTTGTATCAAGCGCAAATATGCTCTAGTCCATTTAGCCTGTGATATTCCAACCAACCACGAGTCTCTGAATGACTGCAGACCCCATCTCTACATGAAATATGCTCAATTGTGAGCAAATCCCCTCGGGTGATCGGCCAGGATAATTGAAATGACTAGAATGTACATTCAAACCCCCTCGACAGGTACAAGGAGAATTAAGGAGATATCCCGTTTTCGGTTCAATCATCCAGAAACAAAATTTGCTCCAGACCTGCCGATCATACCTTATGTATTTCATAATATCTGAATTTCCTTAACCATTACATTGTAGGTGTTGGTATTGGTGTCACTTCTTTTCGGTCGCACAAAATGATGGACATGAAGATGGCCCAGGGCACGCCCTGGCTCGATCAGCCGGTGATGCTTCATTCGTCTCGCGCCGATAAATGCAAACTGACCGAAGCTCAATGTCTCTATCGCAACTATTCCTGGCGATACTGGTATGCGCTTTCTTCCGAGTTACCTACATGTATACGTGCTTATCAGAAATCTGTTCTAGGTACCAAGCCGACCATGTTTACGCATTAAACACTGTCTACTTCATGTGTGCGGTGATTGGAGTGTTCGCGATCTCGAACTTGCTTGTACGATTCGCTCCAGATAGAGTGAAACGGACCAGACCATGGCGCATGTTCACCTCCGCCTCACGATACTTGTCTTATCGTGGATATCGATTGCCTGCGCTGCGATATTGGTCTCCGGCGTTGGGCGTGGTGATTCTAGGCGCAGTAGGCGCTGTATTCTTCTTCGGTGAGTTTGGATTTGCGAAGGTTTGACGAGAATGGTGGTTAACTCTTTATAGCGATGACACTCGGCCCCCAACCTTATTACTGGCCAACGGATGCTTCTTATGGAAGTAGTCCTCCGATTGCGACTCGGTCGGGCTGGATGGCTCTTGCGCTGCTTCCATTTGTACTGTGAGTATTGGATTCGGAGCATGCAATTCGGTTGCTGACCTTTTAGGGCACTGAGCACGAAAGCCAACATGATCTCTGGTGTGACTGGTATTCCGCATGAGAAACTTCAAGTGTTCCACCACTGGACTAGCTATGCGATGTTTGTGTTGGCTTTGATTCACACATTCCCTTATATCATATATCATATCTGGAAGGGGGATATGATGTATCAGTGGAAGACAAGTGTTGTCTACTGGACAGGGGTTGCTGCTCTCATCTCACAGACATATCTAACCCTCATGTCTTTACCATTCATTCGGTAAGATCACACCTCTGACTACTGAAAGACAAATTTCTTAACTCCTCTACAGCAATCGATTCTACGAATTCTTCAAAGCCACGCACATCTTTGTGGCGGTGGTATTTGTCGTGTTTTTCTTCCTTCACTGTGATTTCCGGCTCTCTTCTTGGTATGTTCGACTCCAATGAGCCCCACGATGACCTTGCACTAACATATATCAGGGACTACTTCATAGCCTCAGGCGTGATCTACTTCCTCAGCCTGATAACCAGCCACATCCGTACCTATCTAATGCACGGCATCCACAACGCAACCCTCGAGACTCTCCCTAGCGGTCTTGTTCGCGTTGCAGTCCCATCAATCATCAAATGGACCCCGGGCCAGCACGTATTCGTGCGCTTCCTCACATCAGACTTACATCTACTCACCGCCCATCCCTTCACCATCTCCTCCGCATGTCGCAATCCAGACGAAATAGGCAAAGCCTCAGAACTAGTATTCTACATCAAACCACGCGGCGGTGCCACCGGACGCCTTAGAGCAATGGCATCCAAGAATCCAGGCTGCACGAAGAAGATCTTAATGGAGGGACCGTACGGCGGCGTCAGCGAACCCCACATGGCGCAATTCGACACGATTCTAGTGATCGCCGGCGGCTCGGGAGGCGGGTTCTCACTAGCCATGGTAGACGAAGCGCTCCGGCTGACGGGAATGAACGCACCGAGAAGCGAGAAAACACCACCGTCCCGGCGGAACCTCCAAGTTGTCTTCTCCACGCGTGACCAAGCCATGGCAGATTGGTACATCGAGGAGATCGAATCACGGCTATCGGAATCGACCATGTTATCCGCGGACTCGGACAACGGATTCGAGACTGCGGTGTCTGTGCACATCACTGACAAACGGGGATCCGGAATTTCCTCGGCTTCGGAGTCTGACGACGTTAAAAGCACGGCTGGTAAGGTGCCGCCGGCTGAGATTACTACCACGGGAAGTTTCAGTTTGAATGTTCACCGCAATGCTCGGCCTGATCTTCCTGGTCTGGTTGCGCGCACTGTTGCCATGGCACATGTACAAGGGAAGCATCTTCAGAAGAAGCAACGGGTTGGAGTTTTGGTTTGTGGTCCAGCTTCTATGCTGCATGATACTCGGAATGCAACTGCTTTGGCGCAGGCTAGGGTGTTTGGAGGTGAGGTTGAGGAGCTGTATTTGCATACGGAGCCTTTTGTGTAAGTCTTCGGTTTGTTTGCTATGTTGATCACGGTTGGCTAACTGGCTTCTACAGGTGGTGAGTGCTTTTTGATATGGAGTATCATCTGCTGGATTGATCCTACTCTCTTTCTCTCTTCTGTCAATGTACCTATTTATTGCCCCCAAGCATACATGTTTCGATCTAAGTCCTAGGATTCGATGTTTGCTTAACCAAAAGAGATCACATAATTACTTAATCCAAAAGAGCAATGTTAAAAGAAAATCCAAGTTATTAACGGCCAAGACCCTCTAAACCAGTCTAAAGCCCGAGTCTGTACTAAGTCCCAGGTGAATACACAGCAATCTAAGTATGAGCTAGATAGTACAGAAAAGATATCCGAAACAATCACCGCCATGGCCAAATATAAAACAAAGTCTGGGGATATGAAACACCGAGGCCAAAGCCCGAAAAAACAAAAACGCCGAGCATTAATCCCATAAGGCTGAGTGGAGAGATGAGAAAGAAACGTGGGATCAAAAGATCAACCACGAGATGCAAATCTAAACATTAAATGAAAACAAAATGAAGAGATCATCAGGTCATTAGCCCACCGAAATCCTACCTTCCGCGCTTCTCACAAGGATCAGCATATTTCTTCTTCCTCTTTTGAATCCTTGATATTGAATCAAATCCAAATCACTCCCCCCTCTCGACTCTCTTCATCAAGGAATCCCTCATCCGCACATTGACCACACCACCAACACCGTATGCAGGAACAATCTTTCCCATGCGCGCAAAACAGCTAGGCACATAATCGCGACGAATCCGCGCCACACGTTCCGTCCAAGGCAGACCACCGACAGGCTGTCGGTTATACAGATCCAAACCTAGGAGGTGCATGGGCGTACTAGCGAACTGCATAGCAGCGGGACAGGCAAATTGTGCAATGCTGGATTTCATGGTTGGGCTTGAAGCGAGGAAGTCTGGGATTGAGGGCGCGATGAGGGCGGGGATATTGAAAGAAGCCCAGATTGTGATGCTGTCGCGGAGACAAAAGAGGCCGTAGGAGACTTTGGGTATTTGGAGGGTTGGTGCTGTGGGTGCGGAGGGAGGGTGTGGTGCGCGCAAAGCGGAGCTGTACTGCCGCGCGACGGGGTTTGTATTTATGGTACTGTTTCTAACTGGCGATGCGGAGGGAGGAGAGGCGCCGAACATTTTGGCGAAGCGCGCGTCTTTGTAGACGCAGATTGTCATATTGACTATTGTTGTTGCGAAGAATTTGGGGAGGCCTGTATCGATGGCGTTGTAGGGCTGATTGTGTGTTATTGATCTGAGGGTGTCGATTGCGTTTGCTGTGAGGTAGGTTGAGGTGTAAAGGGTGTAGATGAGGATGAATGGAGTGCTGAAGAAGAAGCCGCTAGGTCGAGCGACCATCGATCGAATGCAGTTGTTGATTGTTTGGCCAATTGGGAAGCCTTTTGAGGCTTTTTCCATGATTGCACTGGAGGAATTAGTCTTATACTCATTAATAGCACCCGAGAACTGTGATAGTCACTTACCGATCAATGATGGTGATCAATGGGCAGGTCAGCGCGCCGGCTGTTGCTGCGCTAGTGACATCGACGCCGATTCGCTTGCCCAGATCCTTGGTATTCCATGTTGAAGATGTGGAGTGCTTGTTGGGGGTCTGTCCTTGACGTTCCTGACCCTGTTCCTGCTTTACTGTCGCCATTGTAAATATTGTATCTTGCGCAACAACATCCCGATTCATGCTCATATAGTATGGACGAGAGAGAGGTTATGCATTGAGTAAAGGGTTAACGAGATAAGGTCAAATGAGACAAGACGAATTACAAATGCAAGATCTGAGAGATTATTATATCTATTGATCTCCCCCAGCTTCGGACGAGAATGACCCGGGCACGACCCGGCGCCGGTTCTCCGATGCCGGCCCGATAGCTTATCGGCTAAACGCTGTTCCATCCATGGATACATCCATAGATACATATCTACATATGTACTCCGTACATTCTCGAGATAGGACAATATACAATGGAAGTATTTGCTTCATTATACTCTTATTCTTATTTTAAATTCCCCCAACGCCAAATACCAAGATCTTAACTACATATCTAACGAGCTTCAATACCCTCCAGAGTGACATTAACCGCACCAGCTTGCACCAACTAAGAGAGAAATGTTAGCAGAAATCCAAATTATGCAAGGGACACACATAATACATACCGCTCGTTGCAAGTCGTCAATCAAGTCATCCACATCCTCAATACCAACACACAACCGGATCAAGTCTTCAGGGAAAGCGCGCTCCGCCCGCGTCTTTGCGTCAATGCTAGCATGACTCATACGGCACGGCATACTGATCAGACTGTTGACACAGCCAAAGCTGACACTGATAGCCCAAATCTTGGCGCTCTCCACAATGCGCTCGCTCATGGCCGTGTCACCGGTCTCGAACGAGAGCACAGCACCGGCGCCCCGCGCCATGGAATTGTGAAGTTCGTATTGCGGGTGGGACCGCAAACCGGGGTAGCGCACCTTGAAGCCAAGCGACTCAAGGAACTCTGCAATGCGCTGGGTATTGCTCTGCTGCTGTTCCATGCGGACCTTCAACGTCTTCACGCCACGCAGCAGCAGCCAAGAGTCGAACGGTGACAGGCCGCATCCTGATGCGTTGATCGGGTAGTATAGGCGTTCTCCGAGCTGCAAGTCGTTCACGGCAATGACACCGGCCATCAGGTCGTGGTGGCCGGAGAGGTATTTGGTACCACTCTCGTAGACGACATCTGCGCCAAAGTCTAGCGGGTTCAAGAGAAGGGGAGACATCATAGTGTTGTCCACAGAGACAATGCAGGCAGGGTTGGCTTCATGCGCGGCGGTGGCAATTTTTCCGATATCGACGATCTTGATCAGGGGGTTTGTGGGGGTCTCGAGTAGCACCATGGTTGTCTTCGAGCTCAGCACCTCCTGGACCTTCTCGGGCTGTGTGGTGTCGACGTGGTGCACGATGATTCCGCCGTTGGTCGAGAGGTACTTAAGCAGACGGTTGGTGCCGCCGTAGAGGTCGTCACCAGTGACCACCTCATCACCAGGGCGAAGAAGTCTTGTAATCACGTCCAAGGCTGCCATACCGGAGGACACCACCAGGGCGCGCTGTGCCGACATGATCTTGGCCAAGTGACGCTCAAGATGTGTGCGAGTGGGGTTACCGGAGCGTGTATAGTCATACTCTCCACCGCCGGCGTAGGAGGTTTGCTTGAAGGTAGCACTCTATATGATTTAGTATGATCAGCATTTATGTTCACTTGAAAGCATCATGGTGTCACCGGGGGTGGATCTGTACCTGATAGATAGGAACGCTGCTGGCATTGTATTGGTCACTGCCCTCGGTGAAGACCAGTTCGGTGGCAATATTGTACCGGCGACCGGTATGAGGGCTGGACGGGGCAGGGGAAGGTGGAAGATCATGGCCTGACAGGTCAACCTGAGGGAAACCCTTCTTCACACCGCTGGATGACCCCGAGGCAGCATTGGGAATTCCGGATCCTGAAGCCGACATCGCTGTAGCGGGGCAGAAAGAGGGAGAGAGAGTGTGTATGCGTGTATAGAAGGTAATTGAGGTTAACTGAGAGCAAACAAGACTCAAATGATGCGAATATGCCAGAAGTAAAAAGGGGAATAGGAATAAAAATAAAAAAAGAAAGCGAAGAATCCCCAAGCAGTTCACATCTTCCCCCCCGGACAAGCTGACTCGTCTGAGTCGGCGCTGATTCGTCAAGCCACCGCCATTGCGATCTCGTCATCCGCTAGTCCCGATTAGGCATGCAGGTATGTGGAGTTTTTATGAGTCAACATCATTTTTATGTTATATGTTGATTAAGTTGATTAAGGCGTTGATATTGGTTATATTACGTTTATTTTCACATTTATCCATGGATAGGAGAGTGGTATATAGATTTAAATGAGGGAATGCTGAATACCTGTGAATATAGAGACTATGAACGTTGATATCAATGTTGATATAGCTTGTCTAGGCATATCAAGAGTTGCTTCTTTGTTAAAACGCATTTTGGTCTTGTTTATATTGCCAGCGAAGAACCATATTAAGTGAAAGCCAATTAGAAGCTGTGTAATGCTCTTTTATAATATATCCATAGCTATATCGATGTATACATACTCTGGAGAAAGTCGTAAACTCTCGTTAGTCATCAACTTGGCTCTCGGGACCACGGGGGACTTCGAACATCTTTACTTAACTATCTCTATCTACATATCTAATTGCACATACCTCTATAGAATCGAGTCTGGAATCTAGAAAAAAGATATTCGAGGTTCTCCAATGCTTTAGCCAGAGAAGAACAATAACAATGGCATTGGAAGCGGAAGCGAAATTCGCCTATCATGAACCATCAATCAAAACAGTCCTCAACTACACCGGCTTTCTTTTGACTCTGAACATAGCCAATACCTGCCTGGACAAGCTCCTCTATTGTGGGTTAATCGGTCAAGTCTTTATCGGTGTTCTGTGGGGCACGCCTGGGGCACAATGGTTCGATCAAGAGACAGAAAGAGTGATCCAAGAGATTGGGTATTTAGGTCTAATACTCTTGATTTACGAAGGTAAATGTGTGCCCATCTATCTAATTGTTGGATATACTTCTTACAATAAACAGGCGGTCTGTCAACCTCAGTCAAGTCCTTGAAGGCAAACCTCTTTCTTTCGACAGCCGTTGCCATCACTGGAATCTGTGTCCCAATGGGCTTGTCATTCATTCTCAAGGACCTTTTATCGGCGACATCTCTTCAGTCCTTCGCTGCGGGTGCAGCCTTGAGCGCAACTAGTCTCGGCACCACCTTTACCATTCTCTCAACCACCCAGCTGACAACTACAAGGCTCGGCACAGTCACCACTAGTGCTGCAATGCTCGACGATGTCGTCGGTCTAGTCATGGTTCAAATTATTTCAAACCTTAGCGGAAGTGCCGCCTCATTCAGTGCTATGACCGTCATTCGACCTGTTTTCGTTTCCATCGGGTTCGCTCTTGGTCTTCTATTGCTGTGTGCGTTCTGTTTACAGCCAGGATTAAAGAAATTGCTTGGTTACAAAGACAAGTTCCCAGCTTTTGTGGGGACCGCACAATTTGCTTTCCTTGCACAGACATGTGTGTTAGTTGGGATCGTGGCTGGTGCAACGTATGCTGGAACGTCGAGTCTCTTTGCTGCCTACCTTGCTGGAGTGATTATCTCTTGGTTTGATGGCTTGGTAGCTGAAGCGAAAACACCAATTCCTGCCTTGCAGTCTGGTGACTCCCACGAGCAGACTTCCAACCACCAAGGAAGCACGCAGAATGCCGAAGAGACGCTCTCTTCGCGTTCGCAACATCCTCGGGAAACAGAAATAACCCATAATGGTACACCTACAGGCGAACTCATCTACAGCAAATACTATAAAGAGCTGGTCAACCGAATCCTTCTCCCTCTTTTCTTTGTGGGTCCTTCCATTCGATCTAAGAAGGGACGTACTAACATCTGTAGGCATCCATCGGATTTGCAATCCCCATAACCAAAATGTTCTCAGGCCAGGTTGTATGGCGTGGAATTATCTACGCCATGCTGATGGCAATTGGAAAAATGATCACAGGCCTATGGCTCGTTCGATTATCTCCGAGCCCTGTGTCTGGTCTAGCCTCTACCATCAAGAAACTATTTGCATACACGCATTCCTACTGTGCGAGTCCTCGGACCATCAGCAGGAAATCGAACCAAAACAAGAAAGCTCCACAAAGACCAGCAAATCAAGATGACAGTGCAGATGTTTCAACCCCGGATAATGCGAAAGATGAGTCTCAGTCAACGAACAGACCCCCTGCACCCACTTCCCGCCCCGATTCTCGCATCTCTCTTCCCCCAAAACCCAAGTCCTTGTACCCGCCTTCTATCTTGGGATTGGCAATGGTTGCCCGAGGCGAGGTGGGATACCTCATTGCTTCGATTGCGGAAAGCCAAGGAATATTTTCCAATGAATCTTCTGAAGGACCATCTGAGATCTATCTAGTTGTCATCTGGGCGATCTCGCTCTGCACATTGATCGGTCCGATCTTGGTTGGGACTCTAGTCAGACGTGTAAAGAAGCTGCAACAGTCAAGGGGGAATATGGGGTCTGATCCTTTGGGAGTTTGGGGCATTTAGTTCTCTCGGATACAGTGAGCGATGACCATGTTATATTGAAACTCAAAAATGATACCCTTGATACATACATATGTAGACAATAGCCTTTCCAATATCAATGATCTTATGATGCTAATGTACACATGTATACACAAACATACCCGTTTAGCCACCCATCCCCATAACCCGGCCATTCTTGATATGAGTCATGACTCTCCGGGAAATGGGATCCTTCTTGTCAAAAGCCGACTTCTTGCGTTCTGCAGGAGCCCAAGACGTGGTGTCCTTCGAATCACCGCCCAGACGCCCATCATTAGTCTTCTTCGGCTTTGCTAATACCTTTGCCCAGCCCCAGGGATCATTGGCATTAGCCGTAGGCTTGGGAAGCTTAGCCGTCTCACCAGACGACTTCGCGTAGCGCGGGTGGTTCAAGCCATGAATTGTGACATCGTGCTTGGCGGCATAAGCCTTGATATTCGCATCATGGCCATCCCAGTCGATACCGTACTCTTCAACATCAACAATGAAGCGAATGAACAGGCCGATAATAGCTCCAATATTCTTTACCTCCGAGTCCAACTTAAAGAGGTCATTTCGCTCCAGAGTAGCAAGCATAGTAAGGAACATTGTGGCGAAGGCGATAAATCAGGAGTCGACTGATTTTAGTCGAAATGTTATGAGTCGAATAATATAAGTACGTAGGTATGTGAAGACAAGCAATTGAAATTTGTATATACTCCATCCCAACTCCCTCTGGATGCCAGTATGAACGTTTCCCCAACATGACCCAAATCAGAGAACAACGGAACACACAAGAAAATAAAACAAAAAAGACTACCAGCCTCATCCAAGGATATTCATAAACCAGACCGTCCCTAAAGACAGAACAGACGAAAGAATCCCACAACGCCGCAGCCGAACCCACCTCGCCCAAAAAGCAATCCATTTTGAGACAGGAAAAAAAGGAAAAGCTCCAAAATATGACAGTATATACCAGCATAACAATTAGATTAAAGTCTGTAAAGGGAACCCTGGGCGTACTTTGTACTCCAAAGCCCCCAAGTCCACTCTCGACAGGTAAAGCGTGCGTAACAGCATAAACATGAAGCGTAACATACTCCAGATCGTGATTGGTTATGCCGCCAGATCGCCAAACCCGCCGTTGATGCCGAAGAATTGGAACCTGTTGCATGTTAGCAAAAGAATATCATTAAAAAAAAATCATATCAGCACAAGTTGTTGGGAGACATACCAGTCCTCGACATTCAGCGTCGTTGGCGCAGTCGGCCCGCTACGGGAACTACTACTCCAGGTATCATTGTCCTGGCTAGCAGCGTCCATCGCCGCTCCACTCATGGTGCCGTCGAGGCCGTGCATGGGTGGCCAGGCTTGCTGATGCTGGCCCTCCATGCCGAACATCTGCTGCGGCGGGTTGGGATGCATTCCCATCGCGCCCGGCATTCCCGACATTATCGGCGGGCTACCATGGGAGATGGACATGCTACGGCCCGAGATGGGCTGCGGCTGGTTGTTCATCATGGGACTGGGGCGCGGGGCCATACCCGGGGGCATTTGTGATGGGATCTGGAGGGATGGGTCGACTGCGGTGGGCTGGGGTGGCGATGTCAACTCCGGGAAGAAGGCGGTGCCGTCTGGGAAGAGCTGGTCGGGTTGGAAGTTCTCCCAGAGGGAGGGGGAGAGGTTGGGCGAGGCGCGGGTTACTAGGAAGAAGTCGGGGGGTGTGGCGGGTAGAGAGAATTGGCCGTTGAACGGGGTTGTAGGCCTGGTGTTGGCTCTGGAATTACCCGTGCCGGTCATTGGATCGTGAGGAGCGCGGTGGGTGCTTGGTGATTGTTGGCCGCCGGGAGGGGGTTGGTTCAGTTCCCGGGAGGGGGTGACAGCGGGTGTCTGGGGCCGGGAGCGCTCGTATGACACGGGGGGTGTAGGCCCGCCACCATTTGGCATTCCGATATCCATATCATCAAATTTGCGCTTCGGCGGGTCATGCCTCTTTGAGGAAGATGATTCTCCGTGCCGCGTGCGCTGATGTCTCCGGCCTGCAGCCTTCTGGAGTCGCTCTTCCAACACTTTGTTTCCGAGGATAGACTCGAATAGTGTATTCACCATCTTCGCCACCAGCCAGACCTTTGATACATCCTTGAGGGCTAGCATGCAAACGTTGATTCTCTCCTGGCAGGTGGCCACGATCGAAGGAACCGAGGAACGCATTTGGTATACGTGCATGATCAAGGCTGAGAACAAACTGTAGACAATGAAGGCAGGCGTGTACCGGATCTCCCCGTGCGCCTGTAGGTTCTCAACAATAGAGGTAATCATGCCTGCAGCTTGGAAGGCAATAGTTCGCGATGGATAAGCCATTTCTTCGACCCTGTAGTTATTAGGTGCGGATGAGGCAGGCGGCATGTGGGCCCTGTGAAGAAGACAGAGCGTAGTGTAGTAATTAGAGTGCAAGAGAGCCGCCCAGAAATGATGCCGAGAGCGTTGCCAGCATACTTCTTTGGGACAGTTCTGCAACCAATCGGCGAGCGCCATATCCGAGTGAGTGAGATCCATTGCATTCATTCGCCGTGACTTTGAAGCCACAGAGTACTGCTGCGACAGGACCAAGCCCATGATCTCGCATAGCTTGACATACTGCAGGAAGAACTGAACATGGACAGGGTCTGCTGGGTATTCGGCGACACTGTCGAGCTCATCCTCGATGAAATCGTCTTCCGTCACCATCTCAACATCTGAGTCATCTGTATTGATTCCAATCGGTCGTCCCAGTGCGACAGCGACAGAGCGATCCCGGGTAAACAGGGTCCACCAGATTCTCTTCCAGAGTCTTTTGTCTGGTTTGTTAAGCTGAGACATTTCAACGCTGCGGTGCATTCCAGAGCCCTGGGCTACCACCATAGCGACCCGGGTCCAGTAGAAGACGTTCTTGGTGACGTCTGTGACTAGTCAGAAAATCCATTAGGCTAGACTAATATAGATTGTGAACTCACCTTCCGGTCCCTCCCAGTACCAACCCAAAAGCACTAATGCCTGCACGATGGTGACACGGTCATCCTCGTAGTTAGCATCATACAGCGCCTTAGCACGCTTATAAAAGGTCATGGCCGCAGGGGTTGTTGAGCCATTCGCATCCATAAGCTGCTGGTTAGTGCAGACTCTCGATCCTGCCAGCAGAATCGCCTGCAGCAGTAGCAACGACGGCGGGTTTTTGGGGTCACGGTAGTGACGCATGAAGCGACTTTTGTTGATGATCGGCACAACGGGGGCCACCCATTTGAAGTAGGCGTCGACCAACTCATCACACAGCGGTTTAGGCGGGAGCAGGAATGCACCCCGCTGGTGCAGGATATCGATTTCCAAGTTGTCCAGGTCCGTCAACCGGGCGCGGGATCCTCTGATATTCGGTGGGAGCGGGTAGTGCACGACATCTGCTGTTCCATGGCGGTCTTGAACCAGAAGGGACAGATTCGACGACTCACCCAAGTACGCCACCCGGCCGGCCTCTTTTATCGGAGCACGGGCAAACTTCGGCTTCATGAATTGGGCATAGGCATTGTTGGCCGAAGCTTGTTGGGCGGCCTCGGCCTCGGAAAGGGAAGTATTGGGCATGCCGTCGACACCCATGAGGTTGTTCCGATATCCAAAGGCATTGCTTTTTTCATCCGAGTCTGAACTTTTCTCCTTTTCCCTGGACGCAGAGACCGAGCCAGATACCGAATCGGCTGGCTCCTCAGTGCTTGTGGGTCGGAAGTGAGCAACTGCAGCGTCGACGATCGAGGAGGCAGTTTGCGGTGGACTGTCGTCATACTGAGTATCTTCCTTGCTCTTGTTCTGATTGTTCTTCTTTCGTTTCGGAGACGGGATCTTGCACTCTATAGAAAAAGCGACACAATTGGTGCAAGGCACCCCGAGACTGGCTGCATCACATCGAACCTGGGCGACGGGAACGGTTAGAACGTGGGGGAAAAAAAAAAAGAGGCGCGACCGAAGGTAAACTCACCTTGCGAGCATGACATGTCTAATTGAGTCGAAAAGAGAAACATCAGCTACATTTTTCCAAATCCAAGAAGGGGAAGAGAGAATGTATCGCGATAAGGAACTGAGCCGAGGTGCGTTGAGAACCTCGGCCCCAGAGTCGCGTCTCTCGAAAAAGCCAGACGTACCTCGCACGCGCGTGATGCACGTTGTCTAAGATTAGATAAAACGAATTAGCAAGCGCATAAAAATGCTTAACTTGGAGAGTTTCCCTTCAGGCACAGGGGAAGCGAAAAGCCGAAAAATCCCTGTCCCTCATCTTGCTTTGCGCCCGCACACCCCGCGACAATCCATCAAACCAGAACACCGCACCCAATATCACAAGAAAAACAGCACCAACAGCAGAAAGAACTTACCTTCTGAAACTCAGCGGTTGGCCTTGTGGACCATTGCGCACCGTAATGCCCGAAGTCCCCGTCGAGCCCGCGTTGCTCGGAGCCGGGCTGCCGTTGTTGTCCGATAGCTGGTCGGTGTGGAATTCAGTGGTACTCATGGCCACACAGTCTCTCCATCCAGGAATTCAGACTCGAGTCGGAGAATTGGATGCGCTCGGAGGGGAAGGGGAATATGATATAAAGCGTGCCAGGTCCAGGGGAGTACGGGGCACGGGGCACGGGGTATACGGAGTATAATAAAGAGGGTAAGAAAGGGGATCTCTCTCACAGCAAAGACGCCACGCGATCAACAGAAAACCAAAGAAAAAGTACCGGGGGATGGGAGGGGGGAAAAAGAGGGAGGAATATCAAAGTTGGGGTGAAGTTGGTGGCAATATCAATTTCCTGGTGGAGTTCTTATTTGGTCAGCATTTATATTTATGCAATTGGGGATTTTGGATTTATATTTCTTATGTATATTTTATTCTTCTAATATTATGATATTAAGTATCCTCTATTATTACCTAGGTATTCCCTTTTGATTTCCTACTCTCTACTTTATCTAAGTAAAAGATGAAAAGGGGTAAAGGTAACCCTAAGAACACAGCACTAAACAGCCCATATGGCGCAGGGGTTCACAAACGAACCCTCATTGACTAAGCGCTAACGCGGTGTACGGCGTAAAAAGCCACCAAAATCTGCACTGTTGGAACCTGTTGGAACGGGGACCACAAAAAGATGGAGAGATCGACGGATGGGGTTGGAAGACCGGCGGAGGTAGCACCTGGAATGCTTCTTTGTGGGAAACAGGAACATCCAATATATATTCAATGTATCCGCAAGCCTGGGAGGAGTACAATAATCTATGTACTATATACAGTATATATAAAAACTCTTGAAGTACCAATCCCCAATCCCTCATTGTCAATCCGTTCCAGACATCCCGGACGCTAAACCGGCCTACCCTAATTAGGCCCACTGCGTGGAAATACCATTGCTTCAGCCTCCATTCGGGCTCGGGGGGATCGTCCCGACTAAAAGATTGGTTTTTGGGTCTTCGACCATGACGTGAAAAGCCCCAGATCCTGCATTAGCTCCACGCCTCCAATCCTGGGTAAAATGACCACGGCCAGAGCCTACCGCCACGCGGGAGGATGCGGAGGTGTGGAGGGGAAGATGGCTATACTCTCATGTCGGGGATTTCTCTCACTGAGCTCGGAAACAATATTCGGGCCATATTGGCGGGATGTGCGGATGTATATGCAGTGTGACCTGCTGCTGCCCATTGGCCACCGCTTAATGTATACTTGTAAAGGGGGTTTCCAGAGTAAACCACAGAGTAGTAAAATAGTAAGCTTGGAGGATTTTTGTTTTTTGTTTTTTTTTTAATGGCATGTGCTAGTGTTCTGTTTCAGACATATTAATCTAAACGGTACTCCATAGTGTGTGTAGTTGTAGATGTAGATCACATTACAACCGATCCCCTCAAACCCAAGTCAAACGGTGAGATTGCGGG